AACAATGGCTAAAGAAGATGAAACCCCAAAATGTTGCAGAGTTGGTGGTACTGGCAGAGTTACTGGTAGAGCTTCCAAAAAGCCGAAGCAAGAGAAGGTGCCGCAGAGAGGACTTGGTGTGGCACAGCTTGAAAGAATTAGATTGGAAGAAGAACAAAGGGATGCAGCCGCTGCAATTGCATCATCAACCAAATCCTCCAATGATTTGCATATTCAATTTCCAAATTTTCATTACTCCAATCAACCATCTTCACCAATCTCTTTTCCTTCAAGTTCTGTTCAAGGGCATGTGAGGGTGCCCCAGTTACGGAGTTCCCATGAGTTGAAATTTGAGAAGGAGAGGTTTGGGATGGACCCTTGTGAATCCAATCCCATTAGGCCCCACCCCAATTTGGTGAAGAGAACACAGTACCAACAATATCCTTCTTCATCAATAGTAAGATGTTTTGGACTTTCAAGTGTGATCTTTCTCTTTTTAATTTCCATGATGGGGTTTTCAATTTGCTCCTTTTAGCTCATTTTCTTCCTATGGAATAAGAAAGGTTTGGTTTGGATTATGCAGGTGAGTGTCTCATCAGGGACTTCATCAACACCAGTACCTCATTCCTTTATAGAGCCCCCTTCAAACCAAAAATTTAGTGTTAGCTATGTACCTACGAGGCCAAAGGAGAAGGTATTTTCATTTTCTACTCTAAAATGATTAATTTGACTTGTTAAACCATTCAATTATTTGAAGGTACCGCTTTATATGAAATATATTCATATATCTCTCTCAATACAACTCCTATTTGCTCTGCATGAAAATTTCCTGTTTTTTTTTTCCTTCTCAAGAGTTCCCCCTCTAGTCTCGTAGTTGGTATAACTAAAGCTTATAAAATTTAGAATGAATGTCATAATAAAATCTTATTCCAATATTTTGAATTTGGTGCAGATGAAAGGGATTAAAAGACAAAACCCCTTCTCCCAGGATGCTGCATTTGTGTCCTCTTTCAATTCCAAATCTCCCATTTTTCCTGCTCATATGAAAGAAAATGAAACAATTTCATGCAGCAGTGAAAGTGGATTCAACTTGGATGTTGGCAATTCAACTTTAAGGTTGGTTCAACTTTGATCCTTTGACTTATGTTAATCTTAATTGCTTCGTAGCTACAAGTTTTGCATGCTCAGTCACTCCCTGCATATCTACATCATCTGCAGGGAAGTTCCTTCCCTTTTGGTATCCAACTCAGAGCTAATCTCCAAGAAAAGCAATACACAGAATAAGAACTTTGATGGAGATTTTCTTACATTGGCCCCTCCTGGTCTAACTTCATGCACACATTCCAAATTAAAGTCTCCTTCAACTTCCCTAATATTTCACCACAAGGTACATCCTGATTTTGGATCACTGTCTAGTCAGGTTTGGCAATACTCATATTAGCCATTTCCTTCTTTTATCCAAATATCATTATTTATTCTTAACTTTTCATTTATTTTTCTCTTTCATCAAAGGGAATCACGGAAGATCAAATCTCTCCCCCACCAGTGTACAATCAGCAACAACATTTGTGCAATTTCTTCCCTCTAGCAGCGAAAGTGGCACAAATTGGACAACAATCAGGAAGAATTCAGAATTGTGATGTTGTGGAAGAAAGTGTTGATCTCAATTTGAAGCTGTGAACATCTACCCATTTCTTTGGTGTCACTTTTAGGCCAGTTGTCCTTCACTTTGTGATTTGGATAGATATCTTTGATCTAATTTACAAGTAGGTAGATATTTCTAAATTTGCATCCCATTTTGTGAGGAATCTCAAAGGGACTAGAATTATGGGCCTGTGAGAAGCAAGGGTGGTGAAGGAAAAACAGATGCTGATTTCTTTGTTTAATGACTCTTTTGATTAGGCCAAGTAGCATCGCGTTATTTAGAGCTTCGGTTATTTTCTGTTCCTTTTATCGATTATCAATTGCAATGGTAAACCAATAGTCTAACATTGTTTGATGCGCAAATATAATGGAACAGAACCAACATGTATAATTACTATTATTATATTATCATTTTAGTTTATGCTCAATTCCAAACATAATACTCTGGCCTCGTTTATTTTATAAATAAAAAAAATTCTCGTACTTCTAACAAGAAAATGCTTGTTTCATTAAAAATATGTAATTTAAATCAGTTTTTATGCATATCCAAATCATGTTCAGTTATTTAGAAGTGTTTTTATTAAAATTAATTGCATTTTACCATAGAAGCAGGGTTGCAATGCATGGCTAGTTGTGTCGTGTCCTACAATGCATACGTATGCAGAAGTGCATATAAGGGATGTGGCTGTGCAAGAATCAGATTGTGCTTTGTTTTCTCTGTTTTGATGGGTCCCCAAATCTGACCTTCGTTATGGTTCCATATGAGGGACGAGCGGTGGGGTCACCATGTGGATTTCTGTGTGAGACAGAAGAAATATAATAAAGAGTGCCTTTATCAGTCAGATAAGCAAATATCCATACAAAAGTCAAAAATAGAAAGATTAGTAATGTATATTTTTATAATTAATTTGTCTTTTAAAAATTTAAATGCTAATTTCATAAATTAATTAATTTTTAGATATTATTTTATTTTTAAAAACACATTAATTGTAATGAATGTATACAAAAAAATTATATCGTTAACATTTCTGAAAATCAAAATGTTGAGTTGAGTTGGCATTTGATCTGAAAAAAATAGTCAACCCTCTAACAGTCTGGGTGTTTATCATTTACTTTTTAAAAAACTGCTATAAAATTGTAAAAAAAAAAAAAACTTGTCCAATTATACATTAAGTATATACTCATTAATACTTTTTTTTCCTTTCAATCTCTCCCTTTTTCTTTTAACTACTCTAATTTTTTTAATGAAAATATTGTTTGTACATTAAAATATCCAATTTATGTTTTTTCCTTTTATTTTGGAAAAATATTTTGAAATGTGTATATACAAAAAATTAATATATAAGATCAAAATACTTATATATAATGCTAATTATTTGATATTTGGATGATAAAACAAATTTTGTACTATATTTTTGTAGAAGATTATAAATAACTTAAATAAAATTTTCATCCCTCTATATGTCACTGTTTTTAGAATTAGTCTTTGTTTTTAAAAAAATTGATAATATTTATTTGCTAAAAAGCATGGCAAGAAATTAGTCCCTATCGTTCAAAATATTTTTAGAGTTGAATCTCTAATAGGAACTAAGTTTTTCTTCCTTTAAAATGTTAAGGACTAACTACTAATTGAAATTTTAATAGAGATTAATTCTAAAAATAACTACATTTATAGCAATCCAAAAGTTATTTAAGCCTTGCAAAATTTCATGAGTTTGACATAACATGCATCATTCATAGTTAGAATTGGTGGCTTTTCTGATGCGAAAATTAAAGTTTAACTTATTGAAGGTGGATGAAGTGACGTCAATACATTGTACATGGAAGTTCGCAATAATTTTTATAGAAGTAGATGTGATGAAGCCATTAACACCCAAGTCAAAGCGAGTCAAGGCATTGGATGATGGAGAGCCAACATAAGGGAGTGAATCATCAATGGTAATGGTTGAGACCATGCAACAGTTTAGAGAGCTTACATCAGCAACAGGGAAGATGCTGATAAAAATAAAATAAAATAATGCAACTTGCATGTAGAATCAGGATAATGTAAAGATGGATAGCTATATCTTTGGCCGTGGATGATGGTTAAAAGAATCCAAAGAAGGAAAGTTTCATGCCCTATTCGGGTAATAGAGAAACAACAAAAGTTACCAAGAATAATGTTGGTGGGGAGTTGGAATGAAGGGTCAAGATTTAATGTCTTATCCATGCAAGCTAATGAAGGATAATAGGATTAATAAGTCAAAGAAATTACGTGGTGGGGAAGAGAATAAGACATGCTTTCTACTGTGATATTATGATATACCCATCCAAAGATTTCTTTCTGTAATGATGATAATTAAAATTGGGTATTAACATTGGCTTTCTGATATATATGATCGATCGTGCAATGCAATGCAAGCGTTGATATTTTAGTTGTGCATTTTACGCCATTAACATCCTTAAATATGCATGCACGATGCCATTAACTGGCCATCTCACGACATATACTACCGTCATATATTGATATCGCTGTATCACTTACGAACACTGGAGACAAGCACAACTGCACCAACACAAAACCCTTAAATTTTTCTTTCTTTCTTTTTATATAACTTTTTTTTTATTTAAGATGACACTTTCCATAGCTGATGGGTCATGAACAGTGACTACATAGATAAGGTTGGTTTTGTCGGCAGAAATTCTCTACAATATAAATATAAACATATAACTCAAGATGCCCTATAAAATGTAAAATATAAGTAACGGAATAATTTCCCTCTTCATACAAGACGTATGAACTGTCTAAATATCAAACTTCATAAAAAATAATTATATAACTATTATATTGTTTGATTTATAAGGGAGGAGAGATTAATAAAAATAAAGGGTTAATGAACGAACAAAGAAGAATCTTATCAAATCTTTATAGATTTAGAAAAGGGTTATAATTAAGTGAGAAATAATTCAATTTTTTTCTTTTTTCTCTCTCCAATAAGTTTGAATTAAATATAAACATATTTTCTAAATTTTTTTCTTTTATTTTCCTCCAATCAAATGTATGCACGGGAAAATAGTAATTAGGTACTTTATGTGCATATTTAGTGAGAGATAAGAACAAAAAATTAAAAGTAGCAGATGATTTAATGTATAAAAAGAGAAATTAAAATAGAATAACAAAGGGTAAAGTCGTAAAGATACTATACATACGTATAAAATTTGGAATTCCTTACTAGAAAACCTTAGAAAGAAATTGAGGGAAAGAATGAGTTCAACATCATAAACATTAATAATAGTATTTTTTGATTTCTTATTGTGTGCAGTTCTAAGTGTCTTTAAACGCGTTAGAAATCCGAATATGTTGGTCCTCTCAGTTCTAAGCTTAACAAGAAAAGGGAAACAACATTGAATCAATAGAGAATTAACACTTGGATCGGAGTTGTTCTCAGTGAACAAAGGAAAACAGATGAATGTCATAAAATCTAACATGGATACATACATAGCCTGAGTCAAATACATAAAATGTTTATAGCCTCTAGAAGAAGCTGTACAACACACACAAAAGCTACCATTCAGCCATACTCACACCTCCCCAGGTTACTTCTGCATTATGGTCATCTCTTACGCCGCTTCGGCTCCACCTGCAAACTCAAGACATAAATTCTATAACACCATAAGCCAAGAAAACAAATGTGCAACTAGCTATACAATGAATCACCTCTCCATAGCTGAAGATCCAAGCTACACCATTTTCCAATTTATAGTCGTATTACAAATCGCAATTCTAAATGATAGCAACCATAAGGCACTAAACACCTTGCATAACAGATTAGTGTGTCTCGAAGAGCTTATGAAAATAACTTATGACTTTCAAAATATTTTCAGCTTATTTCAATGAACTTCTTTATATAATTTTATAAAAATAAACTCTTTTCAGCTTATGTCAATAAGTTTCATAGTTTAATTTATGGTATAAACTCCTCATGCACAAAGACATTTTTGAATAAGGGAATAAGCACTTTATTAAACTATTATCCTAACACACCAAGAAGGTTAGAAATCCAGAACAATTCACATTCTAACACTACACATATTGGTCATCAATAGGAAAGCTATTAAAAGCCTGTATAGTCTGTAGAGTAGTACAAAGTACAAGCAATCTAAAACAAATTGATAAGTAGAGACTAATGCCCTTAAGAAAACAGAAGTCTTTGCTACAAGATCTTAACATGATTCAACTATCACCCCAAATTCAGCAGTGCCATGCGCAGAAGATGCAACCAAACACAATAGTACAGACATTGGACGAAAGTCAGGCTTAAATAACTTTTATGCACATTTACTTTGAACAAATATAATCATATTTCTTACTCTCAACACAAATACAGCAAACTTTTGCACTTACAATCCTCATTTTACAAACACAAAATCCATAGCTTGATAAACAATAAAATTTTATCCCACTAGGTAAGGTCAACCAAATGAATCAATACGATGTCACTGAACTCAGTTAAAAAACAAAATCTTTGAGATATTATTTATCATGAGGATCCATTTTAATAATATCTTCCAAAGCTAGATAAAGTTTATTTATTATTTATTTTAAAAATAGCTTGATGCAATTAGAATCCAGATTTGAACTAAATATTTGCATAGAAATACGTAAGCCTATTTAAACAAAGAAATAGCTTAATGCTACTTAAAATTAATATAACGGTACTGGGTGATATATGGTGTATTTGTCAAATAAGAACTTCAAAGCAGTCACATATTTACTAACAAGTAATGGTCATGTCATGATTTCAAAGATCTTAATATACGTTCACTTCTCCTGTAGATTATTCCAGAGGCTAGTTGAACCACAATCATATTTTATTAAGAATTAGCAACAAAATTAGAAGAATATTCTGAGGCAAAATGATAAATGAAAGAATATGAAGATCAGAAGTAGGATAGTCTTCAGTCTAGACCCCATGTTAATTTCAGCCTACCATAAAACAGACATGATGAGGATCAAATTATATGCATGAGGAATAACAATGGAAATGATATCATTCATAAGGCAAAATGATGTTTTGAGTCCCCCATTAAAGATCAGTTTTGTTACTATACACTTAGTTTTCGATGATGGCAACAAGACCACCACCAGATTTTACAACATGTACATAATAAACTTTCAAAATTTCTTTTGAAATATGGATATAATGCTTCATGTAGGGTTCACCATGAACCCTAGTTTATATTGATACAACTCTCAGAAAATGCAAATGAGAGTCAAACATGGAAAAGCATAGGAAGAAAGTATTCAGATAAATTTGGTGAAGAAAAGCGTGACCAGTATGTATGTTAATCATAATTCATAAGGATATTGATTAAGCAAAGGCTCAAGACAGTAAACATCATTTATAAATCTATATCTCAAACAAAATGATTGCAGCTTTCAATACATTCACAATGATTAGCAAAAGCAAGCATGGTTGACAGACAAAAGTACAATCCAACAATAAAAAATAACAGAAGCATATTTTATTTTAAAGTAAAAGCATACATAAGCACCCATGACCATTAGATTATTTTTAGCTATCCCACAGTTTGATTAGATACTCTTTGCAGCATATTTGAATTTGAACAATGCCCATAGTGTTTCAGATTAAAGAAAGCAAAGTCAGAAATAAGAACGAACTATGCAAAGCTTACTATCAAAACAGAAGTGCATGTTTTGGCACATGCCTGGTACTTTTACATGTGCCTCAGTAAGAATTCCATGCTAACTGGTGAAAAAACTAGCAGCACTAAGGTACATTATCCCTTTTCCCTGTCAAACTCTAAATGGTACAACATGTGCTAAACCAGTCATCCCTTCCTCGGTAATGTGCCCCCACATTTCCCACCCGTATCTTTGCCAAGTAGGAACTCAATAATAGAAACAAAGTGAAGTACTAATTATTTGGAAATGGATGCAAGAAGTCACCTTGCCATCAGCTCCAGGCGATGCAGAAAATGTAGCATGAGGTTTCCTCATATCATCATCAGACAAACATTCGGAACATACAAAATGATCTAGTTTCTTTGCTTCTTCAATAGTCATGCCCACGCAAGCAGGATGGTACCTACAAGAAACCTACAAAGATTGAAATATGTGTCTATAAAACATATAGGGGCATCAGCAAATATGAAAATCAACAACGTATGATTCTTGGACACTCCTTAGACTTAACACACTTTAACAAAGAATACAAAAGTGATTCCAACAAAATTTGCATTCCCAATCCTACATGGATTTAAAGATACATATCTCAGAATAATTTTCATCATTACATTCAAGCCAATCAACCAAAGGAATAAGCCTCTGCATCATTCAATTTATATTGGCTGACAGTAATTTATATATTGAAGGAAAAAAACAACGAACCCAGAGTCATGATGATAACAAAAGCCTCACGTACCTAATGATCAAACTAAAATCTATAAATAAACATAGAAAAAAGGACAATCTAAAAGCAATAATAGTAAACAAAGTAAAGCAGAATACACTGATTTTACCAATCCTTGCACCCTTCACATTGTACCATGAGGTCATCCGGGTTATAAGGCATCTCACATTTGCAATACCTTCAAAAAACAAACCAAAAAGAAGACCAAAAAAAAAAAAAAACAAACATTAGTTCTACAACACAGAATGACCATTCGCGCAATAAAAAACCCAAAAAATAAAAACAAAAAAGGAAACTCACACAGCAACACGGTCAGGAGTGAAAGCCCCAGTAGCAGCCTTGTACTCAAATCTACAATAGTAATCCTCAGCACCTACATTCTCAAGCTTAGTATAGTTCTTGAAAGAGTGAACCAAACACTTTCCTTCAATAGTGTGAGCACTCTGCACATCATAGTGGTCAGAAAGAAACAGTTCCTTAGCACCATGGAACTGCCTTCGACCCCCAATCGACTCTTCAGGCCTATAATACCACTTCACACGAACCTTCACGTTGTTCCTGTTGTCTTGCTCGATCTTCTCCACGCGCGCCACGTAGGGTGGCTTCGACGTGTCCGAGGGCCGCATCAGAACGCAGTCTCCAGCTGCAACATTCCACAACCCCACCTCAAAATGACATCATGGGCATCCACGAAAACCACGAAAGTAACCATTTTTAAGAAGACAACGCAACTGGGTAGGTCAAACTCAAAAAGGGTCGGTGTTACCTCTTACGATCTTGTTGGTTCCTCTTATGGTGTACGAGTCCAAGTCCTTCCTCCCTGGCCTCGTTTTCGCCATGTGCAGCAAAAAGGGTGTTCCGGGAAATGTGAATTTTCTCAGCTTTCAGATTAGAAGAAGTTAGAAAAGAAGAAGAAGAAGAAGAACAGAGGAACCCTAAGCCTATGGTGAGTGAGTGTGTTTGTGAGAGTCTTTTTTGTGTGAGGGAAGAGAGAGTGACTGTGACGCTTCGCCTGAGTTTTTATTACAGTGATTTTGGTGAATGCAATGCGGTTCTTCGTTCATTACTTTTAACTCTGTTCGTAATTTTTTAGTTCTGAGATCTGTGCTAAGCAATTTCCTATTTTTGCTTCATGATGTGATATCTAATGTATTGTCTACCAATTATATTATTATTGATATTGTTGCTGCTATTGGCATTGGCTTGACCCGTTTTGCGTTTATTTTCATCTTTATTTTTTTTTGCGATAATCCAGGGCGTTGTTTTGTCGTGTAGCATCTGTCTTCCAATAAAACAATACGAAATTGTCACCTCCTTTATTCCCATAAAATAATACTAATAATAAAAGTAATTTTTATTTAGCAAAAAGGTATAAGAGAGATATGCATGCTTAATAAGGTATGATAATTCATTATCTTCTTAATAACCCAATTTCATATTTTGTTTTATTGTAAAACATTAATTCATTTCGAAGTCTTGTTTCCATCATGGAGTTGAGAACATGTAACCCTGTCGAGTGAACCCTTAGGAAAAACACTGAGCTGAGAAGTGTTTTCTTTCTCCATTGACCAACATGTCTGCTTAATCATTGAAAGACAAAGACACATGATATTGGTCAAATTCATGAACAAGGTAAGGGAATGACATGCAAACTTTTGATCGCCTCTTATGCTTTTGTGAGAACAGAACAATGTAATGATTCACGAAATTCTGAGAGACCAATTCTCAGACACAAACATTGTAAATCATGACATACCTAACCGATTACACTTAGCTTAATCCAAATATGACATGTCACCATTTCAACTACATCTGGATGTTCGGTTTTTCGTTCGGAAAAATCTAAAACCATGTCTTGGATAAAAACCTTGTCTCCTGAAAGTTGTAACTTTTGACCAAATTATGGTTCTAGGATTTCAAAGAGAAGCCCAAGAGTTGACATATATATCGGAGCAACACCATAATTGGTGAAGACCTGTTTGAAAGGGTTGCAACTGACTCTTATAAATTATTTTTAACTTTAACTTAAAATTTATTAAATAAATGTTTAATTAAGCATTATTTTCAAATGTACCCTGATCTTGCAAAAACATATAAATATATATTTGCAAAGGAAACTTCCAAAGTAACAGGCTTTTAGCACAAGAAAATTTGGTAGAAGTGTTTTATTTTTAGGTCACCAAAATTTTCCCATAAATCATTAATTAATAAATTGAGCTATATACATTAGAAATTCAGATAATTTCGAACTACTCGTACTCTCATGTCTCTTAAATCCTTAGACAGAAAAAGTGGATTCATTCTTGGAAGTGTACTTATAAACATTAATATATATCTAAAGGTATGGCAACAAATAATCACTCCGATCATAAACCAAAATATGATTGAAGCAACAAGGACTAGACTATAACTTCCATAACTAAGGGATTCATTTTGGTATTGTCCATTTATTTAACATAAATCACAGTATTTGTTTGTTTCTTGCATGGAAACCTCAACACAAGAAGCTGTATAAATGCGAATATACATGAATAGGGTACATAGCAAAAGACATGAATCTCCTTATTCAAAACACGAAAATCTCAAAACAAATATTACTAATGGTATAAGAAGATAAATTTTGGGATGACAGAAATAAAAGTAAAGCATCTTAAGCAAAGAAACCAAAGAGTAAAAGAATTTACAATATAACATACCTCACCGGAGTCATGATAAGGCCATTATAAAGTATGGATAAATGTCCAACGCAACAGTCAAGTTAAAAAAAAAACCTAACAAAAATATTTTTTAATAAGTTGTACAAAGAAACAGCTTATGTCACTATCTATTGGATTTATTAACTCTAACCTTCTTCGCTGTCAACCTCGAGCACTGATGTGCAGTAGCGTTTCTTAACATATCTTAGAGAAATATTAGAATAAGTTTAGAGAAAGAAAAAGGAAAATGACTAGCTAAATGATAACAGTAATATCATAATTAAAATGATGAAGAAATATTCAAAAGTAACAAGTTCATATAATGTAGCTTATATTAGAGTTTTATCCTATGTTTTTATGATATATTTTCTATACATGTATCTTATGAACACTGTTATCCAATTTCAACTACATAGGTATTTTTATATATCCAGGGGTGGCGGCTTGCTGATGTAGGCCCCTCAAATATTATAAAATTGGCATTTTCAATGCAAATTTGATTGAATGTATTCCTATTTTAATTTGGCTCCTCAAAATAGCATATCCTGTTTGACTCAACCATTGCAATCTAGCCCTATCACTCTATATATCCCAATCACAATAGAACTAACAGCAAATGTATATATGTTTCTGTTAACATCAAAATGCTAGTGGGTAGTTTAATATTCATTTCATTATTTTAAAATTATCATACTCCATTTATAAAAAAAAACATACAAATAAGTTTCAAGTTACCTTGTGAGCAATCTGTGCATCTTAATATTTATGGTTTTCCGTCTATGCACATATGACTTTGAAAAGTGTAAATTCAACCATAACAACCCCTATAAATTGAGCATGAAGGCTGAAATTAAATAATAAAGTACTTCATCCTTTGGAGTCTTCTCTCCAACCTCATTTTCCTCCTGCAAAATGAGAAGCATGTCAAAGGCAGTATGCTTCATTTTCATAATTTTTGTTTTGTCACATGAAGCTGAAGGCCGTGCCCTTCGAAGCAGTGATTCTGAGTTGGTTTCTAATGGAGTTGATGATGTTCAACTCAAAAATTCACACCTGTATCTCAAAGGAAGTGAGTCTTCTGGGAAGTATTGTGAGCAAATGTATGGTTTCTTGCCATGTTCCAATAACATTTTGGGTCATCTCTTTCTAATTTTGGTTTATGAGTACTTGTTATTCCATGGAGAATCATACTTAGCTGATGGAGGTGAACAAGTCTTCAAGATTCTAGGACCTGGCATATTTGGTGCTAGAGCCTTTGATATTCTTCGTGCACTTCCTGAGCCTTTAATTATTCTTGGTATGATACTAATTTAAAAGGTCTCCTTTTTTTTTCCCTTTCCTTGAAATAAACAACATTTGGTGATGATTTATTTTTTGATGGGTGACAACTAGTCCCTAACTATTTATCTTGTGTTAGTTTCTGGACTTTCTAGTGATACAGAGAGTGCACAAAAGTATACTTCCACTGGAGTAGGCTTGTTGGCTGGATCATCCATCTTACTTCTTACATTAGTGTGGGGAACTTGTGTTATCATTGGCAGTGAAAAGTTGAAAAATGACCCTATATTTGGTGACTCTAGTGCCTCAGATTCATCAAGTGCAACCATAAAAGAATTATTAACTGGTCTGTTCTCCATTTGTCTATTATTCTAAGTACTCTAATGCACATTTATTGATGATAACTGATTATTTGGATAAATTTCACAAGTATTTATAGAAAATAAAATAAGGTGATAGAAAAATTCACATTAGTTTTTGAAAACGTTAGATTAAAAAAACTTTTAAAAAAGTTAATCGTAAGTTGTAGAAAAAGTTTGATTTTTTTTTTTATATTTTATTTTTTACGAGTAATTGTAATTGTTGAGAAATTTATGATTTTCCAAAACCGATCTAAATTAGAGTAGAATGATTGAAAGTATATTCACTGTTTAAAGAATAACACATCATTCTTAATTTATTCTCCTAAAATTTAAATTAATTATGCATAAAATTGTTTGATAATTTAAACAATTTTCCCTTTCATCTATATTTTTTAAATTACATATAAATTAATAAGGAATACCACCCTTATAATTTTAATTAATTCTTTTAAATATATTTTAAAAGTTTTATTTAAATTTAAAATTATCATACAGTGTCCCATATTCTTGCTAGATATTTGAACTACTAAATACTGGTTGTATTTTAATTGATGTTTCTAACTGAAATTACTGATCCATTCTTTTCAAAAGGTTTTAACCGATGAAGCTGATGCTTGTCTTTTCATGTTTCAAAATATTCACTACATTACCTTACTCTTTTTTAGTTGCTTGACTTGTAATTCATTTTTAATGGATATTAATAGGTTTTGGTGTTACTTTGGAAGTAGACACTATGAAGAAAGCAAAAATCATGGTTTTGTCAGTTATACCACTCATCATAATGCAAATTCCCACTTTATTCCAATTTTCTTCAACACCACTTGCTGTGACCTTAATGATTGCCCTTATTCTTGATCTCATTTTTCTCATCTCAGCCTTCGTTTACCAGGTTTCTTAATTCTTATCCAACTCTTTATTTTAGTATATTTATGTCAATTCTTTCACTCTATCTAACTGCTACACAATATTAATTAATTGTTATATGGAAGGAATATCCGGTATAGTAGTTCGGTAATTCTAGAGGCTAATTGAATTTTAATTGGAACATTAAAGAGAGATATGAGTATATTAGAGTTTATAATGTAAACATATACTCTGATTTAAGAATATTACTAAGAATTAAAATCGGAGGAACAGAAGGGAAAGAAAAGGCCTAATTTTCTTGCACCAAAATTTTGACTCTATAGTTTTTTATTTGTCTTAATTTATTGTTTTCGTTTCTTTTAAAAATATGAGGCAACAAAGAAGTTTATTAGTGACATAAAAAATTAATATGTGACAACATTTTAATTAATCATAGTATCATTAGAGAGTAAAAATGTTAAACTTTTTTTAAAAAAATAGGGACAAAAAGTAAAAAAAAAAAAAAAAAAAGGAAGCGAAAATCAAAATCTTACAATGACCAAAAATATATTTAAACCTTCTTAATATTAACCACAGTTCTTATTTACTACACAAATGGAACTATCCATATTAGAACACAACATGTATTGATGTTGCTCATTGTCATCCTATTTTCCTGGGGAAGATTTTTTCTCTCTTTGAATGCATACCACTTGACATCATAAGGCTTCTTATTGTTACTAACAAATATGCAGATTTTTACACCCCATATTGAGAAAACGAGACTAGAATATGTAAAACATGGTCAATTGATATTAAGAATTTTTCAACGTGTTGAAAAGCAAACTCTGGAAATGATCCTTACTGAGGATGGAACTCCCAATGTTGCTGCCATAAATGGGTGAGTGAGGTTTCATGAAACAGTTCTCAAAGTAGATATACATACACACATCATTTTTCACATACCACTAATCATCATCCTTCATTTTCCGATTTCTTATTCCCCCTTTTCATCCTTAACCATATTATTGATAATGTTGATGTGGAGCATGTGACAAATGTTGTATATGTATCTACTATCCAAGATTAAATGGCCATTTGCCTAATTGTGTAAACAAGTGTTGCATGCATAACCAAAAATTCTTCAATATGCAGGATATATAATGAAATCAGTCAACAAGGGACCAAGGATTTATTAGTTTCTGAAATAAAAGAGAGGATACTTAATAAGGATGCTACTGAAACAAATATCAAAGAGGAACAAATAGCAGAAATGTTAAGAATTTTTGACCGAAATGGTGATCAAATTATAACCAAGGAAGAATTTGTCGAAGGCTTGACAGAATTTATTAACCAAGCAAAGCATGCTTTGGACAGACACTACCTCCCCAAAAAGGCACTGAACAAAATGTATCAGGTACAAAATTCACCTTGTGAATTCCATGCAAGCCACTAGTGATGAGGAGTTTTGGTAGTTTCAGGAGGTTATAAGTTCGAATCTCTCTGTCGCCATTGTAACAAAGGAAAACATTGTGAGTTATGAAATGAATTCAACACATTATATGTTATGAATCCCAGGTTGAGTAGAACAAGAATTTTAATGCTGTACTTAAGCCATGCATCTCTCTCATCTAATGGATTAGTATTTTAGGTTAGGCTTTTGTCATATTCTTAGTTCATAACAATTGCGTTCTCAAAGGGAGTAGCAATGTTTTAAGTCACATGTCGAGTAAAATAAGATGCCTTAATGTGGTCATGGAGCTCTCACGCCAAATAGGCTAAGAGTAAGACTAGTCTTTTTGGTTGAACTCTCCTAGTGTTCTTGAGTCATAACATTATATCATAAACACATTCCTCACTAGTACTTAAAAAAGTGCAGGATCTTGGTGCCCTTGACATTATTTGTTAATTTTTCTCCACCTATGTTTGGTTGGAATAAGAGAGGGCATTTCTTTTCTAAGCTCATCCCTAATTTATTTTGAACAGGTTTTCATCAAGCCATGGATTGAACACACAAGAAAAGAACGCGAATTGAGGGGACGTGTTATATCTGAAGTATTAAGGCATGCTCAGAATGATATAGTTGGCAGGCTTTGTAAAGATGATGGGACACCTGATGAATCTGTGATCAGAAGGTCAGCATCAATGTTTTCTATATCTAAATGCAAATATTTACCTTAATTAATTTGTTGTTTAAAGTCGATGCCATTTGGTTGTCAAATAAGGAATTTAGTGCACCATTAATATTTTTGAGTATTTTTACCTGTTCTCATAGCTGTGATGCAACAGGTTATTTGAAGAAATTGATACCAATGGGGACAACCATGTCTCAAGATCTGAGTTAGAAAAACTAGTCAAGGACATTCAATTTGTTAATGCAGAGGTGGCAATTACAAAAATGTTTCAAGAACTTGATATTAATAGAGACAATGAAATAAGTGAGAAGGAATTTGTTGATGGGTTTACAAAATGGATAAACACAAATTACTGTCACAATCATCACTCATCTCTGCCTTATGGAAACCTTCAAGTAATCCACACTTCCTTAATTCAGATAACTCACTAATTTGTACCTATTTTTAATTTTTTATGGATCAAACACTGAATAATGTAAATTTACATGCACTTGCACTCTTTGAAATGACTGTGTTAGACCTGGGAAGAGGTTGAAAAGCTGGTGGAAGATAAGCAAAGCAAAGGAGTATATGCATGGTTGAGTGCTTTAGGATATGTGGTGCTGGGAATTACTATGCTGTCTCTTCTTGCAGAGCCCCTGATAGCCAGTGTTGAGAAATTCTCTGAAGAAGCAGGAATTTCATCATTTTTCATATCATTTATTTTAGTCCCCTTGGCTACAAATTTTAGAGAAACTACCTCAGCAATCAAAGAAGCTAGCCATAAGAAGAGAAGAAACACTTGTCAAACAATATATGAGGTTAGTCATCTTCCCGTGCCACTTTCACTTCACTAATCTAACTCGATATTTAGAATAAATAAACAATTTGATCCCTAAAGGAGAAACTTTTTTACCTGAAAGTCCCCAAATTTGTTAGCTTAGTCATACTTTTTTGGACTTCCTACAAAGCAAAATGAGAATAAAATGTAAGCAAAATTAACACATTTAAGAGCTCAATTTTACGGAAACACTTTTAGAGAGTCCTTAATTGCCAAATTATATAAAACAAAACTTTCAAGGATCAAAGGTAAATAAAGTGTCACTTTCAGGGACTAGTTTTTGTATTTATTTTTTTCATATGACCTATGAGGATTTATGTGAATGCAGATTTATTCAGCTGTGTTCATGAACAACATTCTTTGCTTTGTGGTGATCTCCATTCTAATATATGTTAGAGATATAAATTGGGAATTCTCAGCTGATGTACTTGTTGTAGCAATTGTATGTGCTGTAATGGGCCTCACTGCAAGTTTTCGCTCAAGTTTCCCTCTTTGGACAGCCATACCAGCATACCTCTTATACTTCCTATCATTACTTTTACTGGTTGTTCTCAAAGATGTTCTGAATTATGTTTAGTGAATCTTGGAGAGCTAGCATTATCAATTCCAATACCAAATTTAGATTTTTATTAGCAAATATATATACAGTCCAGCCTCAAGAAGAACATATCATGGATTATGATGGTGTTGTGAGTAGACAAATACGTAGGAAGGAAAAATGAATAGTGATATTTATTAAGAACTTTCGACTGTGGAACTTGAAAAACTGGACTTTCTATTCATAAAGACTTTTGTTTGAATGCTTAGAAGAAAAAAAGAAGAAGAGTTTGACTAATAAAAGAGGAGAGCTGTAGAGAATGAGAAGGAAGATTAATAAAAAATCTAATTCTGAGAAATTTAAAATATGAGTATAAGAGGATTTTGGAAGATTTATAAAAACTAGCTCTAAATTTGTTAACAAGAAATATCATCAAATAAAATTTTCCGTCTAAAATTAACTCTAAAACAGTCTAAGAAAAGTGATACAGAAAGCTGAGTGCAGTTGGGCCACAACAGAAAGATGGCAAATTGAAAGGGAAGAGAAAAATACTGATAAAATTTGCCTCCAAAATTTTAAAAAAAATAGAAAACTCAAGACAAAATGATATATTTGACCAGATACAGATTTCTAACCCTATTAATTATGTAACTGTATAAAATAAAGTATTTATTTCATTCTTAAAAAAATATTTTTTTGTTTATTTATAAAAAAATATTTTTTTGCAACAGGAAAAAGTTTTATAAAAATAATTTTTATATTTTTACTATGCTACAAAATGAAATAACAAGGAAAAAAAGATTTTGAAAACATTTGAGTCCAGCAAATTTTTATCTTCCTTTTTACGTATTATAACGTACTAACAAAATTAGAGCCACATTGTGAATACCACATTTCTGTGGGTACTTTTTCTTTCCTTTAAAATTTAGTTATAGTTAAAATTATAAAAAAAAATTTAATAAACTAATATAAACGTGCTCAAATTCATTTAATTTCTTAATCACTAAAACATATTTTTAGCCTTATTCTAAAAAAAAGAACAGAAAAGAAGTGAGTCTAAAAATAAACAATTGTAATAACAAAAACTCCTTTTAATAAAAATAATAGCTTTAGGAAATGTTAAAGTTTATTTTTCTTTCCTAACAAATGAGAGACAGAATTTTGTCTTAGTAAGATAAAAATAATAAATATAAAAAAATAATTCCTTAATGTGGTTTTGAATCATTTTCTGAAAATTTCCAGAGTTTTAATTTTGTACTAGAGCGAGCGTAAGCAACACGATATGCTAAGCTTTGAATGGTTTATAAAGCTTGTAAAATCCAAACACAAAGGGTCTTGTTTCTACAGCATACCCTTCTTTCTCGCTTAATGCCAAATGAATTTTTAGTCAAGAAAAAACCCAAAGTCTTTGTTTGTCAGTGTCCTTTTAAGCCTTCTTTTCTTCCTTGAAGTTTCCACAATGAAGCAGTCTTAATCATTTCACTTCACGAGAATATAAAGAGAATCTTGAAAAGAAAAGAATAAACTAATACTAATTTTAGTTTTTTAAACCGACATTCATTTTAGTTTTTTCAATACAAAATAATAAAAAATAAATAAAGTAAAAAAAGATTAAAATGATCAAAATGAAATTTTTATAAAGTAAGAGACTAAAGCAATAATGCTCACACATTAAGGCATTAAAATAAGCATTTCCTTGAATAGAATCATAACTTTGAATTCAAATAAAAATTTCATAGAAGAAACTTTCCACACTAGTACGTTTTCTGTAATTTGCACTGCACATGCATGTATCCTACAATGTAATTGCCAGAAATTCAAATTTTATATAACTATTAGATTTATTTTTTTTACCAATGTTTATTTTTAAATTTTCGACATGTGCAGATAACATAAAGGACTCAACAAGGTTTTAAAATTATGGTTATGTTGTTATAAAAATTTCAAACATCACAATTCACAAGAAAATGCGGTTGAAGTAGCAACAATTGTGCGATAACAACGTGGTTAAAGGGACTTTTTGTCTGTTTGACTTAAAATTGAATAAATTAATTTTGATAAAGTTGATTTTGGGTCATTCAAATGAATTGAAATACGCGTATAAATATACCGATAATTTAGTGTGAATCCAAACATACACTTGTTGCTCCAAAAAGAGAGTTAATTATAAACAAGCCAAAAGTACTGAGACAGAGAAATAATTGCATTGCTTAACATTAGATTCCATGTCAATTGCATGTAATCCAGGTTTTACCTGCATGCCAAATGGTTTCGATTGCTGATATTGATTCATTGCTGCCTCCAAATGTTTTATTTTTTCAAATTGCTTCAAACTTTTTGCCAGAACGTTGGAATTTGACCCATTAAAACTAATAGTAATGTTCCTAAGAATCAATGCGGTCAAATATTATAAAATGGTATGAACATTGACTCCTTCAACCCAAAAAGAAAAGGCAAGTTTTTTGTTTGACATATGTTCTTTAAGCAATCTAGAATTTATGTTTACATTTATATAATGGGATGAGTGTGTCTAGACTAGCAATATTCTATTATAGTAAATATGCATAGGTTTGCTTTTGTGATTTGGTTTATCAACATGCATGTAATTTTACCTCGGAATAGTGAAGCTGATGTGAGTTCTGATGTTAAGGGCATAATAGGAGCTATTTTAGATGGCAGCTCTCGCATTGGCCAAGAGCAAGCAGTGGCTATGAAGCTGACATTGGAAGACTTTCATCATAATAGCAATCAGAGTTTTACTTTGCATGTTAGAGACTCTAAAGGGGATCCTCTTCTGGCAGCTATTGCAGGTTCATCTCTCATTGTCTGTCCCACTGCTTTAAATAATTCATTATTAACAGTGTATATAATGTCTTTTAACCATGCAATGACCTTTCAAAATCATGTAAAGTTGAGTCTATCATAAAGTCAATACTGATACATTCCTTGGTAGGTGATCATTCAAAAACAGTTTAAGATATAAAGCTATCAACTCTTCATGATTTACATATTTATCAAAATATTAGTAGAAGATGATAGTCTGGCAATCATAATTTTCATTGTTTATTGCATTTTAGTCCATTGCCTATGGCAATCATAATTTTCAATTTTTTCCATTCTTACCAATTTCTCCAATATGGAACAACAAATTATTTCCTAGAGTTTAGACATCATTTGACCCTTTTCCTTTCTTCTTGTAATGTAATGTATTGTTTGGCAGCTAAAGATCTTATTGATAATCAAAAGGTGCAAGCAATCGTTGGACCACAAACATGGGAAGAGACATCTTTAGTGGCTGACGTATGCAACCAAAGGAGCATACCCCTCCTTTCTCTAGCAGATACAACTCCAAAATGGGCAATAGAGAAGTGGCAATTCCTGCTCCAATCCTCGCCTAGCCAAGTCATGCAGATGAAAGCTATAGCTGAAATTGTCAAGTCTTGGAATCTCTACAAGGTAAGCATAATATATGAAGATGGAGACTCATCCTCCGCTGAAGTTTTACCTCAGCTCTATGAAGCTCTCACAGAAGTTGGCACAGAGTTAAGCAATGTTCTAGCCATTCCACCTTTTGTTTCCTCTTCATTGTCTCAAGAACTTGAGAAGCTAAGGGGAGGGCAATGTAGAGTCTTTATTGTCCATTTATCCCTTCCTTCGGCACTGCACCTTTTTGAAACTGCCAAAAGAACGAATATGATGGAGGAAGGTAATGTATGGATTAGTACTAGTACCTTTACAAACCTTGTTCATTCCTTGAATACATCCACTATCTCCAATTTGCAAGGGATTATTGGAGTCAAGAGCTATATTCCAAATCTATGGCACCAATATGCAAACTTCTACCATAGATTTCGTAGAGAATTTAGCTCAGCGAATTTTGAAGAGTATAATTATGAGCCCGGGATCTTTGCAGCCCAAGCTTATGATGCCGCATGGACTGTGCTTCAGGCAATGAGGGAAACCAAACCAAAACAGGGTCAACTTTTTCTAAACAAGATTTTGCTTAGCAATTTTACTGGTTTAAGTGGGAAAATTCAGTTCACTGATAAAAAATTATCTCCAGCGCGTACTTTTCAAATCATTGACGTGATTGGGAGGAGCTACAGGGAAATTGGTTTCTGGTCAGATGGACATAGTTTCTCAAAATCTTTGGACCAAAATGCTTCTTATAGTTCTTTTGTGAAGGAATTTGGAAAAATGATCAATCCAACATGTTCTAAACGACTAAGAATTGGTGTCCCCTCTACATCAACATTCAAACAGTATGTCGATGTTACTCAAGATCATTCAGAAAAAGTTACTTCCTTCGAGGGATTTGCTATAGATCTTTTCGAAGAAACCGTAAAAAAATTGCCATACCATCTGGAATATGAGTTTTTTGCCTTTAATGGCACATATGATGATTTGGTGAAGCAAGTTTATTATAAGGCAAGTGTTTTATTTCTCGTATGGTGAAGCTCACTTCATTAATGCAAATCACTGATAATATATTGCTAAGAAGCACAGACTTTTGAATGATAGTCGTGTTATGTTGTAATTGTGTCCGACATGTATCTATGCCGGATACTTCATAGACACTTCAAATACCTTTAGTTGCATTTTTATAACTTTTTACATTTATTTTTTAAACTTTTATACTAATATATATTAGAAAACCATAATACTTAGATAAATTTTAACATTTGATATGTCTACAGTAATTCAATTTTAAATGTTGTATTATCGTCATGTCGTGTCCTGTGGCATTTAAAATTGTTTTATCCTTTGTCTAGTAATATTTGTATCCCATGTGGTATCTGTGCTTCTTAGGACCTAGATATATGATATACAACTTGAGATAAAAATATAACTTTAAGAGAGCACTTCTCCCTCAACTAATTTAATAATTTTATATTTCACACCCTAGCTTTACTTTCATTTTCAAGCTTATAGTGCACACTAATTTGGTGTGAAACTATCTTGTCCATGTCTAATATGCTGGTATATGGTAGCCTCCAGAAATTTTTTTCATTAGTCATATCATAATGCCATTTACTTTGCACACTTGGACTGATCTATGCATGATGCAGAAATATGACGCAGTTGTTGGTGATGTAGCAATAGTGTCCTCGCGTTATGAATATGTTTCATTCACTCAGCCCTATACTGATCCAGGAGTGGTGATGATTGTTCCTGTTAAACCGAAGACAGGCAATAGAGCATGGCTATTCATGAAGCCTTTTACAAAGCTCATGTGGGTTCTAATATTAGTCATCATTTTCTACAATGGCTTTGTTGTATGGATGATTGAAAGAAACCACTGCCCTGAGCTTAAGGGGCCTATTCTGCATCAAACAACAACTATGCTGTGGTTGGCTTTCTTTTCTCTTTTCTCTTTGAATGGTAATTTCTTTCTTCCTTGTTCATCTATTGTATCCATCTCATTTCAATATCTTAGGGTGTTTAGCAGTCTAACATCTATAACTTCGAAGTTCATGATGTAGCCAATAATACTTGACAAGAATTAACTATTCCGGAAGCTTAATTGATTGTTGAAGATTAGTCTTAGGATGTGTTTGAAAGAGTTTCTATAGATATTATTTGGGTTTACAAAAATGACAACTTTCCTTTAAATTCTTTTTAACTTATTTTAACAAGCTTCATAGAAAAGCTTATTAAAATGAGCTAATTTTATCTTATTTCAATTAGTTTCACCCTCAAATTTACGAATAAGCTATTAGCTTAAGTGTTATAATTAAGTTGTTTACCCAAAACGTGCCCTTAAAGCATCCAAAGATACAAGTCCCAACTTTCTGTTCTAAAATTCAATTTATTTAAACTACTAGTATTAGCAATGAGCAAGGGGTGATTGATTTGGTTAATCTGTAGAAAGTCATAGATTTAAACATCTATGCCATCATTTTATCCAAAAGAAAATCGATTCAATTAATAATAATAGGAACAACTGTAATCAAACTCTTGGCCATTTGGGCATTGTGACTAATGCTAACAACTATCTCAAGTAACATATTTTGCTTAATTGGCTGCACAGGGGACAGGTTACACAGCAATTTATCAAGGGTTGCAATGGTGGTCTGGCTTTTTGTGGCTCTAATCATTACACAGACCTACACTGCTAGCCTTGCCAGCATGTTGACTGTTGAACGGTTTGAACCAACCGTAGACAGCATTCAGGTGCTCAAGAACAGCAATGCCAAGGTAGGATATGATAGAGGATCCTACTTGAAAAGATATATCCAGGATGCATTGGGCATCAATGCTGAAAACATCAAGCAATTCAACTCATCAGAGAACTATGCTGAGGCCTTCAGAAACAAAGAAATAGCAGCTGCCTTCCTTGACATTCCTGAGGCCAAAATTTTCCTGGCAAAGCACTGTAAAGGGTTTACTCGAGGGCCTGCATACAAAGTTGGAGGATATGGATTTGTATTGCTTCAAATATTCTTTCACTTTTGTCCTGTTTTAGTTTTTAAGTAATTCTTGTGTGAGAACAGTGTCTATGGCTTTGAGTACAATTAAAAGCTCAAACAAAGGTTTGATAATTATATTAACCATTTTGTTATCACGAGCTCTTATAGCTTATTTTAAGCAACTAAAAAAATAAAAGAATTTTCTTTGAAAAAAGGAAGCATTTATTACATCAAAAATACAAAATGTGAAAAGCTATGTCTGTCATTTTTGGTAATTTAAAATCAGTTCTGATGACTGATGCTAAAACCGTTATTTTAGTGAAACTTGGGCTTTTATTTGGATGTAGATTATCACATTGACATGTAAGAATTATTCTTAATTTCTAGCTCCTTAATTAGAATCAAGTTTATGTTTTACTTTGTTGCAATGTCTTTACAGGTGTTTCCAAAGGGATCGCCATTGATTCATGGTGTAAACCAAGCCCTACTAAACATATCTGAAAATGGCACACTACGTGATCTAGAAAACAGTATGCTTGCATCAGAAGAATGCAAAGATGTAGACCCAGGTGCAGAAACTACTAGTCTTAGCCCTGGCAGCTTCATGGTGCCCTTCATCCTAACTGGAGGCACTTCAACAACTGTTCTCTTAATTTACTTGTTTTCTGTAAATTATTTATACCATGGACAGAGAACAATGTGGAGTCTAATGACGGCTGTGATTAAACGTTGGCGATCTAGAAAGAGACTATTATCAGGAAGAATCCACAATGTGGCAGAAAATCCTTTAAACTCTTCCAACATTTCTAATATGCAAATTTTAGCTTAAAGAAAAGGTTTTAAGTCAATAGTATTGTGCAGCTAGAACGAGGATCTTCAAATAACTTTCACCACCCCACCAGGCAATTGAAACTGGTAGTATGTTCCTACATATTCAAGGTTCATAGCAAATGTAATATTTTATTACTTTTTGTGTTAACACTGATAAAAATGACATAAAATTATTAACTCTATTATTGACATGTATTTGACTTGACAAAATGCAAAATTCCCTTTATTTCTTCTGATTTCAAACTTTATTACATAAGAATAAATCATACCACAAAATAATACATCACTGCAGATAGGAAAAAAGAACTTTAATGACACAATAAAACCAGTATCCATTTGCATTCCCCTTTGCAGGTACATAGAAACTCAAAAATTGCCAGCACGGTGCATTTCAATTTTCTCAATGAAATATCATCGTCATCATCCAGTACAATCTATAACTATAAATACACCGTTCATTGCATTTCTCAAAAAACTAGCACAATAGCGATACATTTCTGTGCAATCACTGTTCATTGCTTTGCATCTAATCTAATTCAACAGCAATAACATGTAACCAACAACCTAGCTAGCCATTCAAATTCCATCCAAGTTAAACATAACCAACACGAACCTAGCGCTGAATGTTGAGCATGTCCTTGGCCTCACTCTGCTCCTCCATGAGCCCCTCACTCACATACCTACTCAACAGATCCATCTTCTTCTTCTCCAGCACCATCCTCTCAATCTCCTTCTCATCCGGCAAAGGAACGTGCACCACAAACTCCCTCCTCTCCTCCTCCTCCAACCTCTCCCTCCTCTCTCTCTCCCTCTCCCTCTCCTCCTCCACCACATCCTCCTCCTCCTCCTTCAGCAACTCCCTCGCCACCGCTGTCACCTCCACAACCTTCCCGCTCTTCACTCCCCTCCTCGCCTCCCTCCTAACCTCATCCACACGCCGCCACTCCTCCGCAGCCGCACGCCGCATAGCATCCTCCGCCGGCGCCTCAAGCCGCTCCAACACACCATCCTCATCATCACGGTAACCATAATAGCTCGCATCAATTCGCTTATAAATGTCATAGCGCGTGCGGCGCTTTCGAAGTTCCGGCGGTTTCTCGAAGAGTTCCCGAACGCCGGGGAGTTTTTTGGCGGCACCGAAGTATCGGTAGCCGGGGCCACGGCCCCCAGGGTTGGGGACATCAACGATGTTACCGTCGAGGTCAGTCATTTTGGCGGAGTGCTTGGTGTAATTGGGACCGCCGAGTTCAACAATCCGCCGTTCCCAATGCGATTTCTCGCGAATTAGTTTGTTAATCTCGTCATTGAGATCGCGGAGACGGTGCTCGCCGAGACCCTCGTTCTGGATCTCGGCGACTTTGCGACCAATCTCGCGCATGATTTGCTGGCGCCACTTGTCAGCCTCGGAGAGATCGCGGCACTCGGAAGCCAAGAAGGGACGACGCTCCTTGGGCTTTCTTTTCTCCTCCGCTTGCATCTCGACGAAGCGGTTCAGCGTGGATTGCCTCTTCTCTTCGTTACGAGCCATCTTCTTCTTTGAAACAGAGAATGAAGCCTAGCAAGTTCCCTTGATTTGAATTGAAGGGGTTTTGAATGCGAAGAAGGACTCTGCGAGTGTGCGGAACCCTAACTCTGTTTCCTCTCTTGCTTCTTCGGCACACAGGGACACTATTTAGTTGCGTTCTGAAGTAGCCAACAATAAAATACTTTTAAAGTAGTGGCTTTTTTATCAAGGCAATAATTTAAAAAAAAACACATCAAATCCTAATTTTTTATTTTTATAAAATACTTTTTCTTATTTTTTTTACTTCTTCACAAAGCAACATGTCATGTAGTATAAAAATTAACATGTAATAACATAAACTAACTACATTATTATTTAACAATGATTAAAGGCACAAATTAATATTTGTAAAATATAAAAAAATAATTTTATAAAAATTAAAATTTAATATATTTTGAGAAATTAAATTAAATTTATTCTTAAATTATTTTAGTATTAATAAGATATTAAACATGCAAGATATATTAGAAGTTGATATGTGAATGATTAAATTTATATTTAAATTACTTTTAAAACACTGTACAGTAATTAAAATTAACAATTTTTTTCTTGAAACATAATAAAAATCAAATTTACTGTTTTGTTTTAAAATGGTACCAACACTGACTTGACCTTTCTTTGAATTAACTTTTTAATCCTTTAAATTAAAATTTTGTTAATAATCATATTCATTTTAAATAAAATATGAAAAAAATTTGTTTAGTATTTAAGTCAAAATTATTAAATTCAAAAAGTATTTCACTAGCTTGTTTTGAATGATACTCATAGAACTTAAGTTTACAAGTTTCTAATTTATTTTAAAAAAAAACAGTTATTACTTTATTAAAATTTATCTCTTATCATTCTTGTGTTTAATAATCCTAAACAGATGTAAATATTGAGTAAGCATGCTCAATTTGAATCGAATTTATGTTTAAAAATTTAAAGATAATTCGATGATACCTTAAAAATTAAGAAAGTATTTTACGTTCTTTCACATGTAAAATAATAATTATTATTAATAATATTATATTAAATATATATAATAAATAATATAAAAAATATAAATATTTTTAATTTTTAAAATATTAAAATAATCATAACGGCAGAACCAATGTAAATTGATATCACTAATGTTATGGAGTAAACGGGGGGAATAGGTTGTAGTTTAGACCGGTTTCTAATAACTCAGACAGGGTTTCAAATAGTTTGGGCACAGAGTGAGAACAGTCTACGAGAGCAAAAGAATCCAAATTTTAAATCATAACTAAGTAACTATATATATTTAATGTATTTTAAGGATGTATTTAACAAAATTAATGGATAAGCTAATAAAAAACTACAAATAGTTAAGAATTGATAAGCAAGCTAATTGAACTAAAAGTATTAAGCAAATTTAATAGTTAAACTAATAAGTATACAATGAATAAAAAATAATAATTATGATAAGATAGTGAGAATAAAAAATAAAAATAAAACTTATAAACTTACATACAACATAAAGTAACGTTTCAAAAACCATTTTTATTGCCACCAATTTGTGGTTGAGTTCACTTCTAACGCCTATATTACATTTTATTTTAATTATATTTAATTTTATGTACAACAATATCCAACCAAGACTTTTCAGGCTAATTGTATTTGTGTGGCAACACCCCCTTCACTCCTCACTGTCCATTGTGCAAGATCGGGCTTTTACGGGTCTCAGTCGCTGTAAAATGAGATCTCAAACCAATCCAACATTGGTAATAATCATGATCCAAGAATGGTGATTCTATGGCCCATTGACTGATACGGGGTATCAAACTCGATTCAAACATAAAAGCCATTGTGTCAGTGATCTTGGAAGGTCCTACATCATTCCCACGTGCAATGGTAGCCTGTAAACCAAGTACCAACATTCTTTACTGAAGATTGAATCCATCAATTTGTATTTTATCATTCTTAGTACTTTAACCAAATCAACAAATGGCACATAACTCAGTTTTTTTTTTTCTGAGTAAACCCATTTCAGTTCCTATAAGGCATCAACAGTAGTTTTTGACTTTATAAATTTCCCGATTTAATTTCTAACTTTTCAAAAGTGTTCATTTTATTCATCTCTACTTTATTTTTTACTGTTTTGTACTAAAAAAGACTAAAGTAAATGGTATTTTACATAATTAAGAATTAAAGTAAAAAATTTGTAAAGTCATGGACTGAAGCGAAAACACTTCAACTCCAACAGTAGAATTTACTCATGGAGTTAAAGATGGTACAAGAATGATCTTAATGTCCCTATGATTATTCAGAGAAACCATACCTCATACGACTTGGTGTCAGGACCATGGGGAGTCATACAGTTATGAAGACTTGCACCGCCTGGAAGAAATCCATCAGCCTTGGCCTGCCAAGACAATCGTGTTAGGCACAGACTACAGAAGAAATGTTGCCTCAATTTCTCAAACGACCAAAAACTAGCCCAGCTTTTTTGCCATACAAACTACCATCAAGATTGAAGCCATACGATGCTTCAAACAAACCGTGAATCAAAGTCAAATTTTGATACTCCATCCGGTCTTTTTTATAAGAACATTTTAACTGAATAACACATTTAGCAAAGTGGTTGAAAAAAAGTTAATGTATTCCAAGTTTACCTTTAGTTAAAGTCAAACTCTATTATTATTATTATTATTGTTAATAAGTTAGAAATGTAAAAGATAATAAATTCTCCGAAAACTTTGTAAAAGGTCTTATATTAAAGGACGACAAAAATCTAGTTCTTATAAAAAGAAACAGAAGTATAATATACCTCATAGCCACCATGAATGAGGCCCATAAATTCACTCATGCAATTGCGATGATAATATGGAGGCCGGAATGTATGCTCAGCAACCAGCCATCTGGGTGGGAAAATGACAAAATCAAGCAATGCCACTCCAGGTGTATCAGTCGGTGCCGTCAACACTGCACATAAGTACAATAATTGTCAAAAAAGAAAAGAAAAGAAAAGAAATTCCATGAACAAAAGAGGGGGTTAAGGACAATTTCATTTAAAAAAAATGCATACCAGTATTGATTGAAGGATCGCCATGATCGAATAGAACTGTATTATAAGGGCAGAATTTGCTTAGATCATACTGCAAGAAAAAAAGAAGAGTTGCTAATTTAATTTAAGACGCATAAGTTTTTAACAGGAATTATACCCCTATCAAATTGAAAATAATATGATGACGATGGTAATCATAAGTTATTCTCTTGAAACAATGTAGAAGAGAAACCCACCCACCTTATATGGAACATAGTTACCACGCCAAGCAACAACATTGAAAGGAGAGAAATCTTGTACTGCAGCAAATAGTTCACCACCAAACTTCTGCACTATGGTGTACCCAGGATAAGGTTTATCTTCAAACCATGCAGTGGGTACAAGGAAATCCCTTGGGGCAGCGAGACCATTAGCACCTAAAATGTAAACAAAATTCATTTTAATTATACATATATATATATATATATATGGATTTTCAAGCAACAGCTATGGTAGTTTAAATTTCTTAACTGCAAAAGAAAAGATACCTATTGGTCCCAAATCTGGAAGTTGAAAATGAGAACCAAAAATTTCAGCAACATAACCACGGGATGGGCCATCAGGCAGATTCACAGAAAATCGAAAACCTTGAGGTAGTATAGCAATTTCGCCAGGGGAAACTTTCAGCCTTCCACATTCAGTAGTGATGAATAGTCCTACAAATCCAGTACCCGGCATTAAAAGATAATAATAAAGGGAAAGGAATACTCATGAAAAGCTGTGTTACACAGGAAGGAATAGAGCATACTCTCAAGTGTCATGAAACTTTATTTAGCCACAACGCCAAAGCAGATATTCATGCATGGAAGAATTCAAAAACATGGTGACAACTGTTTGTCCGTCTAAAAATAAGATTTTACACAACGAATCAAAGATAACTCCAATGGAAGAAATCATGGAAAAATAAAAACGTTGAATAACTACATTCAGAAGACTAATGCACCAGCCTTTTTCAAAATCAGTATTTATAATTCAGAGACACCCTTCAATTAGGAGATTTCTTTTTTACATTCAAGTATCAAGAATGCCGACATATTTTCTTTTTGTGAAAGGAAAAAGGAAGCATCCTGAGTCCATTGAGCACAGATCAACAGGGAAATTATACAGGTCCAGAAAGAGTTATAACATGTGTAAGCGAGTACTATGCAACTAACCCAAAACACAACTTTCTTTGTTAACAATCAAGGAAATTGTTGTAGTCACTTACTTCCTTGTTGAGGAACTATCAAGAAGTCACCATCAGCATTGCAAAAGGCACAATTGTCCATTGATTTGTTGGCAGTGTACCTATAAGTGTTATAACATTGTTCCATTTATTATAGTGTAATGTAACCTTCAAAATTTAAATTTATCATACAAATTCCGGAAGCTTAGTCACTTCCACTATGTTTGCTGTGATAAAAACTATCCACCACACCAGAGTCTTGAAAAAACTTAAGCTCACGATTTATGTAATTTTGATTGAAACCTTACCAACAAAAGTGAAAAAAAAAATCCCATTTTAGTCTCTAAGATTGAATTAGTGACTGAAATAATTAACCTTTTACAAAATTAGGGATAAATTGAGAATTTTATAAAATCAGGACCTACGTGATTAATACTTAAAATTTTTCTGGGGTAAATACCCACTTTTGTCCCTTAAATTGTAAGCATGCATCACTTTAGTCTCTAACTTTATAAAAGGACTAAAATGAATATTTAATCAATTTTTCAATGACAATGAATGGGCTTTACTAAAAAAGTTGACTAGTCAAAATCATTGTCAAAGAAACAAGAGTACTACTTAATCACAGGATAACAATTGATTACATGTGAATAGCATAACCATGGCGCATGAAGGAGCTGCCAGAACCACAAATGGTTGACAAACCATCAATGAAATCCGTGGGAGAATGGGGTGTGTCCATGGGCTTCCATCTAAGCTGAGTTGGATTAGCTGAACTGTTTGAGTGGTTGAACTCACTCAAAATTCTCTCATTACAAGGAACCCGAGCCTTGAACGGTTCATGGGTCACAGATGGTTTGATCCGATAAAACCAACTACACCCAAAGACAAAAATCAGAAGTAAAAACTTAAAACGCTAAATATACACAATGGTGGAACATATAGAGAGGAAAAAAGGAAAGTACTTGAACAGTAGTCAGATTTAAATCTTTCATTGGCTCCATTCTTTTTTATTTGATATTTTAACATTTTTATTTTGTTTACTTTGAATTATCATTTTATAAAATTAATATTTTTATAATTTATTCTTAATAATTAATATTTATTTAGTAGAGATAGCAAATAAATTAAATAACTAATATAATATAAAAAAGCTAAGTAATATGTTTTTATAAATTTTAAAATATTGATTATTTTCTTAATCTTCTTCAAAATTTTAAACATAAAAAAGAAAAACGGAGGCAGTAAAACAAAGAATCTTATTAATCAGACTTGACATTAATTAAAAATTAGTAAATAATAAATTTTTATTAGAAATTATATTAAAATATATTAAAAATTATGGTAATGAGTATTCTTATATTATTTAATAAAAATACTTTTAGTTTAACATTTTCTTAAAATAAATAACTCATTTTAAAAAATATGAATCATTTTAAAAAGATAAACAAATGAAGTTTTATAATTTTACAATTTATTATACATTTTAAAATCCTAATATGAGAAAATAAAAGCAAGTAAAAATGAAATACATTTATAAAATACATTATACATTAATTTAAATTAAATATGGAGTCTTAATTATATTTTATCTTCTTTTTTACTATTACAAAAAGCTAATCTCATTCGTCTACGCAGGTTTCGGTTTTTGAAAACAAAAGTGTAATTAAATTGACATTTCCGGTGATGATGATGATCAAATTCTACGAAAATATGATTTTAAGGAGCAGATAACACAAATACGCGAAAATCAATTTGTATAATCGTTGAATTATAAAGAGACGAAGAAGAAAAATAAAAGCAGTAACTAACCTGAAGAGGTTGCGGTTGCGAGGGGTGGTGAAGGAGGTGCCGGAGATTTGCTCGGCGTAGAGGCCATAGGGGCAGATGAGAGGACTATTCTGCGCCGGCGGGAGAGCTCCGGCGAGCGCCTCAGAGGAGAAGTGGTTGCCGAAGCCGGAAAGATAGTCGTAGTCGCCGCCGGCGATTTGGCTGTCCATGATTCACGGAAATAACACAGAGAGAGAGAGAGAGAGGTCAAGCAAGTCAACTTGGGAACACACCAGCGGGGGTTAAAAGTTGGTATTGGCGTCGGAACTGAGGGAAGATCTTCCAATAACTCATTTATAATTCATATTTTATTTTATAAATTTTACTTATTTAATATCAATAAAAACGATTGAGACAATACTTTTACGTAATCTTATAAATCTAAAATTTTAACGTCCAGGGAAAGCTTTTTCAAAATATGTTAAATTTTTAATGTTTGATTTTAATTTTTACCAATTTTTGTTATGAGTAAAAGAATTTCAATTATATTTATGGAAATGTTTTTTAAAAAAATTAAATATGCTAAATATATTCATAATATCATTTTTTTCTTAAAAATAGAAAATATATATGTATACCAAACAACTCCGAAAAGACCCATTTTCATGGAAACGTGTTGGTTTCATGAGTGGAATTATGTGAATCGGAAAACTAAAAAGTGTATCAGCGTACAGTTATCTTGTGGGTGTTATTAAGAATTAATATAACATCTATTTTATTATTATATTATATTTTTAACATCTATTTTATTAATAAGATTTTATAACAAAAATTTATTTTATTGGTGAATTATCATTTGTGTTCATGAACACTGACCAACTACGCTACGTAACTTCTTGGATAAGAATGGCTTTATAGTTCTATTTTGTTATTCAAGCATTAAATTCTCAAGGTCATCTTTAACATAGTATATGTTTGATTTTATTATTTATTTTGTATACCAGCTGTTCTTAATTAATATTGTTTATCTACATAAGTTAAATTAATTTCATAATAGCAAGTTACCTTACCTTTATGCCACTTGTCTACCACTTTGATTATATGTCAACTCTTGTTTATCAGAGAATAAGACTTTGTGGTTATAAAGAAAAATTAATTTAACTTATAGTAACTAGCTATAGGAAGAATGTTTGTTACATCTCATATCCCTAGTTAAAACTGAGGGAAGGTCATCACACACTAGAATTTTGTTGTTTTCACCTTCAACTACACTGGTCTCTACTATTGTTTTTCATGGTACTGAAATTTTCATGCTTCTTGTCAATTACATAAAACAACATGTGCTTGTTGAAGTGTTTATGAAACTTGTATGCCAAAAGGAATATTCTTTATTGCCTAAATTATTGACTAACAGCAAGAATAAATGAAAAATATATTTTTATCTCTCTAGTTTGGCAATGGATGCTTGCCATCCCTACCCCCTTGAATTTGAATTGTGGTTTAATGAGGTAGGTTGTTGGAACTTGATTTGATTAAAATGAGGTATTTGTGTTGTAAAATTATTGCCATAGTTAAAATGAATTATTTGGACTTGTTTCATTGTGTGCATTCCTCTTGGAGTGCACAAGGGGAATGGGCTAATTTGTGTTGGAAGTGGCCAATGCAACCTTACCATTTTGCATTTTCCATTGGGATAAGGAGATGGTGCCAAGGATAAGGGTCCATGCTGAAGCTGGGCTAGTGTGGCTGGATTAGGTTATGTTACTTGGTGGTTTGTTGGGATTGAGGACATGATAAGGGAAAGGAAGATGATAATTTGGATAATATGAGTGATGGTGGTTTGATTTGTTGGTTTTCTTATGTTATTTTCTTTATCAGGCAGGCATCGAGATTCTAAAGGTGTTCATGACATTAATGATACTATGATTAAGGAGGATGCAATTGGTGCACAACCTGTGGCTCATGTGTTTGTTTATTTTGGACTAAAAAATTGATCACTAACAAAAATAACACATTTTTAGTTTGTTAGAATTCAAAGTATATTGTTTGCCTTTAAAGGAAAGAACTTGTTCATATTCAAAATTATTATGCTTTGAGTTATAGCTAACATTTGAGAATTTACTTGAAATAATTTACTTTAAAGGAAAGTTTATGCTAAGATTGGTTCAACTTCTTGCATTTTGCATGCTTCATGAAATGTTATTCATGTCTTTGATCGTTGAAAACCTTAAGTAACAAAATTACTAATTAAGTTTATTCCCATAAAATTGTAATATTTATTGTCTGTGGCATTCTTCTTTTGATTTATTTTTAGTTAGCAATGAACTTACCTAACTTTAATATTATTTGTGGTCCTTTAATGCGGGTCTATTATATAACTTAACAAGAATAACAATATTCTCTTGCTTGGTATTAGGGGTGTTATTGACCGAATAATCTTTAAATTGAAATATAATAAATGGATTAAAAATAAGGTTTAAATCTATTTATGATTTGTGAAAACTATATGTATTAAAAAAATTTGAATAGTTCATTATACATTCAATAATATATGAATTAACTTTTATTTTATAATTAGATAGGTTGTTGAATTTTATGTATCGATAGATTGGATAATTTGTGGTTAAATGAATCGAATTGTCACCCTGATTTAATATTAGATTTTTTATTTATAAAACTAATTTGTAAGCAAAATTAAATTAATAATAATGAAATTACTCTTAATTGTAGTTTTAGACGTTATTAAACCAGTAGAAAGGAGGATTATATAAAATGAACAACGAGAGAAAGTTAAGTACATTTTTTACGCCACGTTCCCAGGCATTTATTTAACTAAAAAATTAAAACTCAAAAACATTGATCATCCTCCAAATTCATTGCTTTTAAGTTCTGATATTATAACGACAGAAAAATAACAATATTTTTACATTCTTATTTACATCACCGCGTTATCTCATACTAACAAAAAATTTACAGTCATATTAAGTGTTAAAAAAAATAGAGAAAAGAGGAAAGTCAAATTGATTTTTTTCTTTGTAGAAATGTTATCCAAGAAAAAATTTCAACAAAAATTTTTTATGTGTAGTTGACTCTTTTTTTTTAAGAGGCAAGATTAACATAAACTTACATATATGTCAATAAAAGAGGTCAACAAAAAAATGTTATAATTATCTATTTTGTGTGTCATGCCTCAATGTTTCTAAGCAATGACAGAAAGCAACTTTTGTTTGTTATCAACGAATTTGTTCATTATTATCATGAATTATATACTACGTGAAAAAGATAATGCTATTGTGAATAACAAATAAACAAAGCGTATACTTGAAGAAAAAAAATATCAATATATACATGACATGGGACATTCAACCATCCATATAAAAAATAGTAACAATGAAAATAACCAATGTTATTACATCACATGTTCTGTACAACTTGATAGATACAATGTTCTGGTGCCACCAAATAAATGAGTTGAGCAATGTGAATGTCTCTATGTGCAAGTTCATATACATATCAAAATATGAACTCGTTCGAAAAAATATAGTATCCAAGAAGAGTGCATTGATTTTTATACACCCTTCTTTTCTCATGGAGTCAATGCTTCTGATTTGCATATGGGGCAGACATTTTTCACAAGCAACCAATTCCTTAAACAATCTGCATGATATTCGTGCTCACATCGAAGAATTCCAATCTTATCTTGGTTCTTATATTCATCCTGTGAAATCATATACAAGCATTTCAATTAATGGTGAAAATGGATTACATTACCCTAGTACAAATATTATGCAATTATGTATACCTGGCATATTATGCAAATATCAGCTTCTTGTTCATCAGAATTTGCCTCCTCTAAGTTAGTAGGTAGTAAATAAGTTCTTGTCTCCATTTGATTTGTAATTGTTTCCTCTGATAAACTTGGGTTTGCATTGCCAATTCGCTCACCTAATGCAAGAAGCTCCTGTTGTACAATTTCAAAGAGTAAACAAATTAAAATTTTCCGTAGTCACTAAATTTTTAGTATCCTGGACCTCATTATTCTAATTCAGTACAAATTTATGTCTACTTACCTCATAAGACATGTGCTCAATGTCCAAGCGCATATCTCTATGATGGCCAACCAGTATAGCAATATTCTGCAAAATTTGTGACAAAACAATCAATATAGATAAGTAAAAATAAGTAGGATGACTATTATCTACATAAAAAGTCCTATGGAACAATGAAGTACAAAAAGCAATTATGAAGAGAAATAGAAAATTTAACCTCAACTTGGAGAAAGGCCATGGGAGGAAGAGTTGGACATCTAACAGTCATCCTATGAGGTCGGTGTATCCATGCACCTGCAGGTGGCACCGGGAGACCACGCCTAGAGCCCATCTCAAAAGCATTTTGTATGGGAATTTGAGCACTGCTTAAAGGATTTGTTGGAACTCTATATGAAGCTGCAGTTACTGGAGGATGAAAGTTGATGGAGTGACCTCTCCTCCCTTGCACAGGCCGCGTATGATAATGAAAGGCATGGTAATGCGGGTTGACCGGAGCAGGATAGGGAAATCTTAGGCCATTTGTGCTGCCAGATGTATCATGGTATCTCCACAAACCCATATTTGTATTCTCTAACGAACGTCCATTAGCATTGGGAACTAGAGAATAAAAGGGTAACAGTCAGAAACCTAATCCATTCACAAGTATTCGAAGAAAATTTGAGTACATTGTTTGGCTATTCTATTGACATTGTGGGAGGCAGGTAATACACGGAAGAAAAAAACACCTATAGATTTATTCAAATTTTAGTTCTACAATACACTTTGAAAAAATTTACTTTACTGCTTGGTTGATCCAAAAAACTTAGTTAAGTTTCCACTCTTTATTAGAAAACTTGAATAAAACTTCTCAAATGCATGTTACTGTAAATTACTCACTTTATTAACTCACAAATCATCCCAAGTAATATTAATGTACATGAACACAGAATCACAGAACAAAAATAATGGAGAAAAACATCTTTACCTTGTACAAAGGGCATTGGAAGAGACTGATTCCAAGCCAAAGAATGACCATTGTTATTATTGCTATTCAATTGTTGAGCCAACCTTGGAAGAGGAGCTGGATGAAAGTGCTGCCCTGAATAGTTTCCTTGAATTGAATGGTTATGGTCATACACCATAAGAGGCTCATCTGATCTGCTCCACGAACTAGAAAATGATGGCAAAGGAATTCCATTTTCTGCATGTCTTGCATTGCGAGGACCAATCGAAGAACTAGCTGAAGCATTTAAATGTTGATTATTTCCTCTAGTTCCTACAGAATGTTTGCGTTTGTATGTCCCAGAAGCTGTGAATGTGTTTGAACCTGACAACTGATTGGAGGTTCTGCGATTTCCAGACACAGCAGTACTAGATGGAGGATTCATGTCAGGACAATATACATAGGCAGCACCCATATGACGATTATGTTGACGGTGAACTATTCCGTGCATCGGGACATTATCGTGAGCATCTAGTAAATAATGGGAATCTACATTCATTGCATCCCCTGAAGCTGACACCACTGTACTAATATTAGGCTGAGAAATGTTGGTGCCTCTGCCATGGATGCTTTCAGACTGAGAATGACTACGACTTTGCTGTCCCATTTGCAAATCACTCATTTGATCCATAATGTAGAGATTTGTTGATGCAGTTTAATTCTACAACAAACAGAGTGAATAAAATCAGTCGTTAGAAAATTACTTAGCAACCATAAAATCAAGAAGAGAGTCTGCGCACATGAAAATACCAGTTAACATTTCACATCTGAAATTACTTGTCAACTTTAGTTTAGTCAGACGCTAATGAATCCTTTTAATTGATAACTTGTCATTACACCGTTACAGAATCCAATAACTTATCAACTTTAGTTTAGGTGTTCCAAATTTTATTATTTTAATCGATAAATAGTTCAAATAATTTTAGGATAGAGAGGGTAAACAGAAACATGCCTTGTTTATTTCATTAAAGGGAAAAGAGAAATAAAAACAATTAGCCAGAACCAAAGGAAAGAGGTCAAAAGGAGAACTAGATATCCAGAATCACAAACCTAAGACCTTATAATTAACATGAGGACAGATTGTCCAGAGATGAAATTTATTTATTAAGAAATATGAAAACAGAAAATGTAAGCTTTAGCATAATCATTTGAGTATCTATAGCTAATTCATACATCATTAATTAACCTATTCCACAAGGACTCTACACTAGTAGGTCTATATTATACGGAACTTTGAGGAAAAATTACTTGAGAAAAGTATAGGCATATGATCCCCAACCACGTAGAAAATATGATACATTAGGCACACCCAAAAGATGATTCTGGTAAAAGGTCATTTACTTAATGCAATTACGTAGCATTTCTGAAAAGCCTTACTATTCTCTTAGAAACTTTCACCTTTCTTTCATATACATTTATCATCATGAAACGCACATCCAAATGATCTAAATACCCACATCATGACTACTACACAAATGTCATTTCAGAATCCACACACATAACATTGCTATTCAATCTTCCAGCTCAGCCAAAGACGAAGTCTCAATTACTTATTCTCGAACTTCTTTATAAATTTATAAAATGTCAAACCTCAAGCCTTATGTAATGTAACTATGAACTTGGGCAATGGTGAAACCATACATGCCAACATGTCTACAAACTTCAGATAAAGCTGAACGTTAAGTCCTACTTCCTGAAAATTATTCACACTAACATAAAAATAAAGAAAATAAATTTAATTAAGAAGAAGAAGAAGAAGGAGATAAAGCAACATCTTTGAGCAGAAAACAAACTTGAAGAAATAAAATACACCCACAAGGCAAGATAGGTATATAACATAAGCATTCCAATTCCAAGCATAGAATATGTCCATTACCAGACTCATGAGACACATAAAAATCATCAAAATTCGTTATTTTTTGGGCAAAGGAAACGGATTTCAGAGCCCTCAAGAATTCGAAAAAAAATAAATCAAATGGTAAAGAAATAAGACAACTTTTCACAAAATCCTGAAACCCAAAATTAAAAAAAAGATAAAATCAACGAACTAACCGTAACCGACACCATCGTAAGTTCACCACCGACTTAAAAAAAAAGTGTACCTCGTTATCATCGAATGATGCAGTTTCGAACCCGAAACCAATCCACGCCGCTCGAGAAAGCGCGTGAAATCAGAGTGGTTGCCCTCTCACGACATGAAATCCTGTCAATCAGATGGATCGCAAGGAATCAACGATATTTTGGAGAGAAATTGAGAAGCGAAGAGTGAGATTGAAGAATGTGGAAGAGGAAGAGGAAGAGGAAGAAAGTAGAGCTGTTTAACGCAGGGAAGAGAGAATAAAGAAAGAGAATTCCGACAAGGTAAACTTATTACGATGATATTGTTATATATAGAATGGTTACAGATTGTAATGACAGTAAAATAATATTACTCTAATTTATTTAGCTCACCTAATCAACTATTATATATTTAATCAAATCTAATATTTAATTAGTTGAACGGTTACATTTTTTAAAGATAATTTAAAGGATTAATTGTTACTATTGATAATATATTAATGAAATTATATATAGCAATGTAAATATGTTAACGGTAAAAATAAACCATCTATAAAATTTAAAAAAAAGATATTTTAAATTAATTTATATAACTTAATCAATTTATCTGATAGTTTAAAAAAAATTACAATATCTAAAACTTAATGCTAAAATTTAGTTTAATAGATATATTTTTTGTAAAAATTTAAAATATATGTTCTTAAAAGTTAATGATTTGTATTATATCAAATTTATTTATCAAATAATAATTATGGAAATAAATTAGTATCTTTAATTTATTCGTCTAAATATTTATATTATTTAATATTTGTTATAAATCTGAAGTTAATTAATTTAAATATTAACTTAAAATTTTTTATCAATTAAATTAATTTTTAAAAATTTTATGGCATTATTTTATTTTAATGAGTGTTATATATTTAAAATATAAATAGATATTAAATTTAAAATAACATATTTAAAAATATTTAAATTGTGATAATTATATATATAATTATAAAAATAATATAACACAGTTAATGATTAAATCAGTAAATCTTTTATTATATAAAAAATTATTAAATAATTTAGTCGTTTACATTAATAACAATAACTTTTAATTTAATAAATTTATATAATAGTTCGTGAAATCAAATCTAAGATGTAATATTTCATCCTAAGATTCATCTAAACAGATATATTTTTGCATAAATTTTTTAAATTTATTGTTACAAGATTCAAAATCGTTGATTATATTTATATAAAAAGGTTTCAGAAAAAATTCTTATACCGCATACTATCATTAGATTAAAAAAAAAAGAAAACAACAACTTTATCATATTTATTAGAAAAAATATTATTATTTTTGTTGACTCGTTACCTACTTTTATTATTATTTACAATGATGAGAAATAACATCATTAACACCACTATTATATAATTAATATAATTATTGTAATCATCTACTTAATATATTTTTTAAATAATAAAATAAATGTGAAATGATTTAGGCACGTAAAATTAATTATTTATAATTTGAAAAATAATATATAAATTTATATTTATATTTATAATGATTTTATTTATATAATCACATTACTTAAATTATAAATATATTTGTTTATAATCAAACCATTGTTCAAAATCTAAGCAAATTAATGCTTGGAGAGTTTTTTTAAAAAAGAGAATATTGTTATTGAGAGTAAAAGTAAAATCTCAATTTGTTTTGAGGTAGAAAATATATCAACAAATTGAAAAGAAACAAAAAAAATATAAAGGATAAGAAGATTACATTGATTTATCTTTGACTCACTTGTAGGTAAGTGGGCTAGTCTAATTATTTTCATTAATTTCAATAAATTTTAAGTATTGAAGCTTATTTGTTTATTTTGGTAAAAAAATTATATTGCATTCAAAATTTTATTGAAGGATTTTTTGTTCAATTTTGATATAATTTTGTTTTAAAAATACACATACATGCTTTTTATTTGCAAGACTGCACAAATCAATGTTATTTTTTACAGCTCAAAATTAACACTCAAATTTGATATGATGATTAATCCAAAGATTGAGAGTATATTTGATTACTGTTCTGTTTTTAAAAATAAATTATAGTACAAATTTATATTAATTTTTTTCTAATAAAAAATTATTTTTAAAACAGTAATTAAACATGCCTCAAGTGTTTGAGATTAATTTTGACTTGTTAAATCATTCAAGAAAGTGAATAAATAATCAAAATAGATATTCTCCAGAGTGTTCTTTCCACCCACAAATTTGTCTATTGGTTAAATATGTGATTGACTAAACTATAAAATATTATAATAGTTTACAATCTTTGGATGGAAACTTTTGTTGCAGAGGGTTGCACCAGAAGAGAGAATTTGAGTCCATAAACAACAGAGTGCATGCTTAAAGAAATTTCCAAAAGATATTACAATAATATATAAGAACTAAGGAATATGAATAGAAATAAAAATAAAAATAATAAAATTGATAACACATGAGAAATAACTTTGATCATCCTATTTAGTTTGCCCCTTAACCTTTTTATATGAATCCACAATGTGTTTTCAACACTTTGTTATTTGATCTTCACTTTTAAATGCATTAGTGGTTGATTGCTGGTGTTTTTTTTTTTTTAATGTTATTTATGATTATTACAATTTCTATGCTCACATCACATAATTTGCAACATGTTATCCAATTTATAATATGGTATTTTTAATATTTATAAATATAATTAAATTCAACTTTTAATCCTTTTTTTTTTTAGTTCTAATCTTTATAATTCTTAAAACTTTTAAAATTAATTCTTATTATCATATATTTACCACTAGACACATTACATTACTTACTATCTTACGACAGTTGTTGACATAATACAGTATCAATAATTCTTAAATATATGCCATGTCATTACAAATCAGTAACAATGATTATTTTAAAAATGTTTAAAATTTATGATAACTAAAATAAAAATTTTGAGAAACTAAAATTAAAATTAATCATATTTATCAAGACCAAATTATATTTAATTTTTTATTACATTATATTCATTTCTTGTGCCGTATGTTAGCATTTGTGTGGCACATTTTTCGTAAGTCGCCCTAATTGAATTTATATCTTCGAGCTACACAAGAAGAAGTAAATAATAATAATAATAACAAAGAATATTAAAATTATTTTTTAAAGTTAATCTTAACATTTACAAAAAATAAAATATTATTAAAATTAAAAGTATTAATTTAATAAAAATTTACCACAAAAAATGTATAAGTTAGTATACAACTTTTTTTTTTAAAATACAAGTTTATATCAATATCAATATCAATAATAAGGCATAGCATTTGTGGCTTAAAATTAACTTTAGGGCCATTAAATATATTTTAAATAATAATTTACAATAAAATCTTGTGGGGACCTGTTTATTGATCATCAACATCGTACCTGTCACCTGCGTCTGTTCTAATTTCTCCTCTCCTCTCCTCTCCTCTCCTCTCCTCTTCTCTTCTCTCTGCAACACAGCCAAAGGTTTCAACTTTAAACTCCTTTCGAGTCCAAACACCCCTTTTTTCTCCCCAACTCTCTCTCTCTCTCTCTCTCTCTTGTTCTTCTGCTTCGTTTTCGGTTTCCTTCAATCATGGGTCGCCCACCCAGTAATGGGGGCCCCGCTTTTCGCTTCACTCAGGCTGAGGTATTATCTACTCCATGCAACTCTCTATTTCCCTAAATTTGAACTTCACGTGATTCTTTCATGTTTTTTCATTTTCTTTTTATATAATGGGGGTTTGTTTTTATGCTAAAGTTTGAATCTTGTGATGAATTGACCAACTGGGTCTCCTTTATAACTGTTTCATTTTGCTAATTTGAATTTTTCCACCGGATTTTGCGTCATTCAATTTTGCTATGCATGTGTGTGATATTTGGTTTCTGGATAATGGATATTTGATTTATGTTGGTCTACTAAACCAGTACTGGAAGCTGAAAACAGATGCATTAAGTTAGGGCTATGATATTGGACGTTGAATTAGGGGAAGTGATAGTTGAATCACCTATTTAGACCCCTTCTCTGCTATATACACATGTTTTTGTGAGTAGTTATGTGCAAGTATTGGGAAGTGGTGTGAAATTGATGTGATGTGCAAACTTCACTACCTTTAAATAGGTTGTGTTCCCAGTCTTGGGATTTTCGTATTTTTGGGATTATGCTAGAAGCATTGAGTGGCTGCTCCTCATAATTTTCATTGATCATAGTGAATTTTGTTTCCTCTTTTGCTTATTGTTGTATACCGATAACTCTATTGGTTGAACCGTGCTAAATTCTGTTTCGATTTTTGTTCTTCTTATTTTCTCTCATGCTTTTGTTTTACACACTGAAGCTGATTAAGATGCCTTTGTTCAACACCCAACTTTCTTGTGTTTTTTGCAATATAGATTTTATTAAATTTATGCTACCAAAACGTATTTAGTCAAATGCCATATTCTATTTCTTGTTTGGTGAACCTTTTTCCCCCTCAAATCTATGATGTATAGTGCTCAATGTTATCATTTTAAACTAGAAATTGTCAAAAGAACTTAACTAAGAGTCTCACAAAACAAAATAAGTCATTACCATGAATCTGAACCCTTTATCTCAGAAGAGTGAAAACAGGGCATTGAAGCAGCAGCCAAAATGTAGTGCATAGAGGTAGAATAAGTGAGGTGACAGTGTGAAACCTATGTTTCAGAGGATTTGAGGTCCTTTAGTTCCTTTTTTTCATTTAACAATTTAAGGTTATCTGACTTCACAATTTTTTTAGCATTAGTGAAAAAGAAGTAAGAAAGATAAGAAATCGTTTAATTGTGTGGTTAGTACCCATAATAATCATTCATCCATGTATTGCACGATTCAAAGTCATCTTTACTCCATCACATGGTACAAAATTACAAATTGCTGGCTATAGTCCAGTTATATTGTGAATCATCAATCATAGGACTTGTAAGATTCTAACAACTATGATATTTTCCATAAAGAGTGCTGCTAAAAACTATTTTTTCTATGTATAGGTAGGAGAAATGGAAGGTATTCTTCAAGAACACAACAATGCGATGCCAGCACGTGATGTTCTTGCAGCTCTTGCTGACAAGTTCAGGTATGCTGTGGTGCTCATACTATTCTTGAGGGTTTTAATGAGTATCAGACTATGAGTAGTATTTAGTATGCTCCTGCAAAAGTGGTATTGAAGTTATGCTTTCTTCTCATTTTTTTAGTGCATCACCGGATCGCAAAGGCAAGATTACAGTGCAGATGAAGCAAGTATGACTGCTATCTTTTAGTGTTAAATGGAATCTTTCACCCTACATTATCTTAATTTTCCACTTGCTTATAGGTTTGGAATTGGTTTCAAAATAAGCGGTATGCTATAAGGGCAAAATCAAGTAAGACTCCTGGAAAGTTAAATATCACACCTATGCCTCGTGATGATGCAAACCCAGTAAGGAGTATGCCTCAAGGCCCTCAACAACCAACAGCTGCTCCAATTCCTGCTGCTTCAGGTTCAGGTAGTATGTTGCCTCTTTTAGGTCCTTAATTTTCTTTATTTTGCTTGAACCCAGAGCCACACTTATTTGTTAATCCTGCATACTTTATTTTGTGTTAATTTCTTTTGAAAATTTGATCAAACTTTTACTTGGCTCATATACCATATCAGTGTTATTTTATCAGACGACTAATTTGAGTTGATTACACTATCATAATGCAATGAAGGGCTAGATGTATATGTCCTTCATTGCATTATGTTTCTAGTTTGAACTTGCTGTGTTGTGTACAAAAAGTAATGAATTATACTTTATGGAGGGATTCCTGTTACCATTACCTGCTTCATCTAGTATCTACCACAATTATATGTTCCATTTTTATGTTATCATTGACTTCTACCTTTATAACAAAAAGAGTGAAAATTGGGGTCAAATCATTAGAGGTTTGAAACCCATTGGCTTCATGTCCATCTTGCTGATAAATCAACAAAGAATTTTAGTATTTTGAATGTAAAACGTTGTATTGTTTCCTGAAGTGTCAATTATGTGAAGCTAAAATGTACTTTTTAATCAAATGATACACGTTGGGTCTAAACTTGATCTTGCTAGTTTTGTTGTGTAAATACAGCTTTTCTGGTCACTTGTGTAGCGTTTTGGTGAACTCTGCTGGTAGTGGGAACTATCATTACATTTACATATATAGCATGGTCTTAGTAGCTGCTGTATGTATGTATGTATGTATTAGAAAAAAAATCCTTTGAATCGCTAAAAACACTCAAACAAACTTGCACTCATAAATCATAATTCATATGGAATCAGGGTTGACAATGGCACCTCTGAGGGTTCAAACAGAATCAAATAGAGAATTAGCATCTCAAACTAGGGTTTAAACAAAAAAGAGGTAGATTGGTTCATTTTGGGTTAAGGACTCGTATCCAATCTGGACATTGAATCTATATTTCAAATTGGATACTAGCTAGGTGAAATCACATGATTTTAGGGAATTTATGATTTGAACCTGATTTTACTACAATTTAACCACCATGTTATTTCAGGACCAATTTGAATTGTTGGGGCTGTCCAAAATCATAAAATCCCACTATTTTACAATTCAACTCTTGATTTTAACTACCATAGTTATAATGTTTTAGTGTACATGATACATAGTAGTCAATCCTAGATAGCGGCGCGGAGCGGCCAACCTCAAAAACACTATAGCGGGGATAGCGGTAGCGGGATGACTGCTATTCTGAAGTTTTAATACACACACATACATGTTAAAAAATATAAAATTAATATACAAATTTGGAACAAAACAAAAGAGGAAAACTCAAATTAGGAAAGGAAATAAATAACAAAAAGCAAAAGGTGCAGGAGCAGCCTTTGCTTCTACTTGAAGCTTTGAAATTTGAAACAGAACAAAGTAGGGGAATCAAAATGGAGAAGTAAAAAAAAAACAAAGAAAAATAAAGGAAAAAATAATTGTTCAGTCAACGGAAAGTTCGCCAGAGTTAGAGAAGATGATCGGAAAGTATTTGAAAGATGTTGAAAGTTGTGCTGACCTTGAAGAAGATGACAAGAGATGAAGAAAATGACTCAAAATAATTTGGGTCACTTTAGAGGCTTCACCGGAGATGAAAAAGATGACCGGAAAATGTCTCTTCTTTGGTAGAAGTCTCGTCGGAGATGAAAGCTACACTCCAGATGTGAAAAAACAAAGAACAGAGGAGAGTTGAGTGGAGAGCTGCGGAGAGAGTTGAGAGGTGACTTGAGAGGGGCTAGGGTTTTGCACAAGGAAGAAGAAGATTTAGAAATAAAGGGGGGGGGGGATTCCAAGATTGCCTTCCTTTAAGAGCCCAACGGTAACAAAGGGCAGAACTAGAAATTTCAGGGGATGGCATAGCGGCTGCTCCAGCCGCTATTTTTGTAATTTTCGGCCGCGATTCGCGGCGCTACCATCGCTATAGTGAAACGCAATGCTACAGAGTCACCATCGCGGGAATGCGCCGCTCTGCCGCAATAGCGGCTGCTATAGGCACTATTGACTATTATGACATGATATAGTACATACTTCTCCCAAAGATGTTGATATATCGCTGCATAACTGAATTTATTGGTAATGATTTGGGGTGACATTCATTTCCCATTGCTTTAAATCCTGTTTTTTGGGGTATAATGCTGCTTTAAATATTTAATAATCAATAAGTCAATCCCAATCAGGAAAAAGTCCAACTAGAGATTGTGTATTCATATAGACTAAGACGTCAATATTTTTATGATTTTATTATTTATTTTGTTTACTTATGTTACCTTCATTTTGTTTTACTCAGTTCCAACAACAGTAAAAGCAACACCAGAAAATTCAGTTATGGAATTTGAAGCTAAATCTGGAAGGGATGGAGCATGGTCAATATTCCTTCATTTTTTTGTTTATTTTATTTCATCTTAATGATTTTACATTTGTGGACCTGACTTGTGTTCATCTTATTGTTAGGTATGATGTAGCTAGCTTTATATCACACAGATATTTGGAGACCAGTGATCCGGTAATTTAAAGCTGAGATTATTTCCATTAAGTTTCGTGAAGAAATTAATGAGGCTTTTTTGTATGGTTTTCAATTGTCCTCTCTCCCTAGAATATTTCCTTGGTAATCCTATTATTTTACTGTTATCTATTCCCATAGCATGTTCATATGAATGCTAAGACTGACAACTGAAGTTATGTAGTAAAATGTTTTTAGTGATTGAACCCTAACAAACTGTTAGAATATATTGGGAGTTGTTAGTCTTATTGTATATGGGCTTGTGCTTGTCCTAATGTTAATTGTTGTAACTATTAGTCTTAATTATTATAGGCAACACCCTTTATCTCTTAACCCTACAATTTAGGAGCTATCTTTTGTTAGGGACTTGGTTTTAATCAGATTTGAATTGTAATCCTGCAATATAAAATCATAAGGGCTGAGAGGTATTCTCTCAAGCAATTTCAAGAATTCTGGAGAGATGTTGTTGGTACACAGTGTCCTTCTTTCTGGTTGTGAATCACTCTTGGTGCTGCTGTGAACGATCCTAGTAAAGTCCCTCCTGCCTTGAACAATTCTGGAGAAGTCTCCGATTATCACCAAACTCTGGCAATGGGTCAATTCAAAATGGGCAGACTGACTTAAACCTGAAAGACCCTCCATCCATCACTGGATGCACCTGCACTTACTGCTACTATGTGATTCAGCATTCAGCAAGTGCTGCCCACATGCTATCCTACATGTGCATTTTCAAGGCATTTGTTCTCCTGCTGTTTGGTCACCCTCTTCCTTCCTATTGGCCATTATACCCCTTTGCAGACCCACTCAAACATAATGTGCCAAATCTCCAAAAATGGTTTTGTTTCCTCTGTTTTTTTTGGGAACTCCAAACACCGGCTGTAACATCTGAAAAACTAAAATGAATTTGGACTGGAATGCGGCTGTTGAGATATGGTTTCTAGCCGAGGACTCGTGTTATCTGAACAAGAAAACTGAGTCAATTTGAGCCAACAAACGAGATGAATTGAAGAAGGTTGATTATCAGTTTGTGTTTTTATTATGGCGGTCTATTGATCCAAAGCTGGGGGTCCACTTGCACTCCTCCAAGACATGTATGTGATAGGGAATAAGATTTGACTGTTCATGTTATTGATATATGATATCTATACGATGTCATTATAACACCATAACTCTCCATGACAGACTTCGATTGACCATCTTATAGAAAGAAAGCCCAGTCCACCATTCAAGATATTATGCTACAGAGCTGCTCTTGTATTCTGAAAGAGTTTGATAAGCGATAACTTATCTGATATTCATTAACCATGGTTTCCATTAAGATTTTAAACTTGTTCTGAATCAAATCTTGACAAATGCTAGTTCCAATATGGTGGAGGGTGTGGTTAATTTCATGCTTTGATTTCTTTCTTTGGAAGCAACATTAAAAACCTAGGAGATCTAGAGTTGGTTGTTGATGGGCTTCTAATGTCAAAATGAGCCCTGATAGATTGGTGGACCTGTTGAAAATACATGATTGTGAGCTTTGATTGTGGGGACATTTTCTCCCACTGCGCATTTGTTCGACATTTCTTATCAAGGGCTGCTATGATTCATTAACCTCTATCAATTGGACATAAAACAGCCTTAAGTCACTGTGATAGAAATTTTTTTTGAAGCAACAACTTGGGTTTGTTATTCAAGGGGACTTGGGGAGTCTTGTTTGGTGCTTTCATAAAACTCTATGGCCTCAAACATTCCCCTTGGACATGATCTATTTAGTTGTTCAAGGGATTGATTATGAACACTAAAGACATGCAGACATTGTTGGTTATGTAGATGCAAGCTGGGCAAGTTCTGCTAATGATAGAAAATATTCCTCTACATATAGTGTCCTTGGTTCTTAGTTTCCAGGTCACTCATTAATGGTTCTGTAACTATCTTGAGTTTTGTCCTCAATTCTTTGGTGGGAAATATAACCAGCACTTCATCTTATTTTGTTGAGGGTTTTGCTTTTATATCTCATATAATGGTAATATCTTTCTGCTTGTTTTAGGAAGTGCTGATACGATTTGCTGGTTTTGGAGCTGAGGAAGATGAGTGGGTTAATGTTCGAAGGAATGTCAGACCACGCTCTTTGCCATGTGAATCATCAGAATGTGTTGCAGTCCTACCTGGAGATCTCATACTTTGTTTTCAGGTTGGAATAACTCTTAACAGGTCTCATAAAAACGTTTACTTTGATCCTGTACATTTGTTTTCACTAATAATGTTTTTCTTTCTGAAATGAATACTTTCTTTCCTTATTTTTTAGTTAGTTTTGATTTTTGTCTATACAGGAAGGTAAAGAGCAAGCCCTTTACTTTGATGCCCATGTGCTCGATGCTCAAAGACGGAGGCATGATGTAAGAGGCTGTCGCTGTAGATTTTTGGTTCGTTATGATCATGATCAATCAGAGGTATTAAATTTCATTTAAGTTCTGTCTTATTTGTGTTTTTTTGGTATCTTTTATGGTTTAATTTTGCCGCTTTTTTTATGGTTTACATAAGATTTCAGTCCATATAGTTTTCACTTTTTACTCATTTGAGTTTTGGTTCCAGTGGTTTTTATTTTGGATGTCAGTCCTTATATTTATAACTATATTGGTTTTGGTCCTTAATATTTAGTATTAGTTCTTATATTTTGCATTCATGTTGATTTTAGTCTGTATATATTTTCATGAAGGGTTGGTTCCATAGTTTTCACTTATCAAGTTATTAGTCCATAAATGAAAGGAAACTTTGGGACCAAAATCTTATTTAAACTTATTTTTAAAGTTGTATTCCTTAAATAAAGGTAAATCATATAGAGCTTAGGTAGCAATTAGTTTGTCAACAATTATGATGGTCAATTAGGTTTGGTTCTATGAGGGGTACCATTTCATACTTTTTAAGCACCTTATACAACTCATTTCCACTCCAGTTTCATAGATGTCACAAATCTGGCTGAGATGGCTCGTCCCTTAACACCCTTTTCTGAAATAGTTCCCATTCTAATCCCCATTTTCTGTTGGATTTTATTTTCTGATCCAATGGCGAACAATGAATGCTGAATGGCTGCAAAACAGTGAACTAAAATGATGTATGACTCCTTGTTCAGTCCTATTGCTTCACAATGATGCCATTTGAAAATCGGCAGAATCATGCATTTCACAAAATTTTAGCAATTTGTTCTAAATTTTATTGCAAACATATGACCATATTACTAAAGGTCACGCGTGATACTTTTTGTTGAATCACCTATCATTGTGTTCTTGCCAGGAAATTGTGCCACTTCGGAAGGTTTGCCGGCGGCCCGAAACTGATTACCGGTTACAGCAACTTCATGCTGTGAATGAGGTAGTCCCTGTGGATCAGCAGAAGAGTGGCATGAATCCAGCAAATGTTCATGCTGTAAGGGTCACTACTGAAACAGTGCCAAAACAGCTGATTGCAGCAAGCATTCACATGGAAACACAAGTTTTGCAAACAAATGTTCCTCATGCCCCACAAACTATGAATGTGAATGCAAAGAAAGCTGAAACTACTAGTGATGTTCAAGCAGGAAATTCCATCATTACCCCTGGAAGTGCCCCATTTACTAGTATCATTGCCACAAGCAATCTTCCTGAAGTGTCTAATCAAAACATGGCTGAAGGAAAATGACTTGCTATATTTTTGTCCTCTACCTTTTGTGTGGGGTTCATTTTTTCAAACCTGTTAATTAGACTTGAGTACATTGTTTTTTCTTTTTTAGAACTACTAACTAGCCGGGTAGTGTATGTTCAGCACAGAATGCATGTACATGGGTTTCTCCCTCCTTTTTATCTGAACTATGAAATTAAAAAGAAGAATGAGGTTATACGATTTTCAAGCATATAGCTGGGCATTTTTTTCTTGCGAAAAACTAAACCTGTAATATTTAGAATAATTAGATAAATTGGACGAGGAATTTTTTTAATAATCATTATTTGCCAATTCAACCCTTTATATCAACTCAACCCTGCTAGTATCCGCTTAATCAATTTACTTAAAATGCAAGAGGACAGATTATAAATATAAGCACCTTACTTTGTATTTGTCCTTGAATAGAAAATAGTTATACACAAGTGTGTTATGTGCAGACAGGTATAGTGTGAATGCAATAATAAGTATAATTCCTGAATCATATACATCTATTTCCAAGGACCGAGTTTAAGCATATCTATTTTTCAATTTTCTCCAATCAACAAAAGCAACCTATAGAAGATTCCATCAAGACTAGTGACTTCATGAAAGATTACTTGTCACCAACATTACTCTAGAAAGTGCAAGACTAACACCTCCACTTTTAACTTCAGTACAGGACTTCTATTATAGTGAATTATTTGAACTTTGATCTTCCTTTGTGCTGCTCAATTTGTTATTATTTGTAAGATTCTCAACTGATGCATTTGATAAGCCTGGTTGCTCAATGATTTTGCTTTCAGTTTCCTTTCCACTTGACCCTCCCACAAAGGTTTCCATGGCAAGTTGGCCAGAATACAGCATTAATCCAATAGAGTTGAAACCATAGATAAATGTAGCAAGGTAGCACAAGCCATTTATTATTGTCCTGTGAGAAAATATCATTTGGTTGTTAGATGACTAATAAAATGAAATACATTAAGCTTCCACAAGATAAGTTATATGGAATCTACCTTATGGTGATTGTTATCTGGCGGACCTGAAAACCAAGTCATTTTAACTCTTCAGTCTAATATTTTGGGCAGGCATATGACATTAATGTGTTAATTCAATAACGTGCTTCTCTATCAATTCTACCATTATGAAAAAATACATTTTGTGGAAGGAAGAAATTTTTTATTTTGTTGGAACTCTGTTTTTGAAAACATACAAACAGGTTGATTGCATTGATTCAAAACATCCTCTTATATATAGGAGCATAAATAAATGTATTTTATGAATACCATTTGAAGTATGACCACCATGCAGGATATGCAGGCCAACCTATATAGACCCACATTTAAATGGGCCACATATTTTTAATTCTGGGCCTACAAAATTGTGAGTTTTGTAGGCCAATCCACGGTCAAAGCCCCACATATCGAGCTCTATCCCTTAAGTTAGTAAAGACATGATAATGATATTTTATAAGATAGTAAGACAAAAATATTTAATTAGTGGTTCACATACAAATAATGGTTTTTGGATTATTTTTCTCTCCCGTAACATGAAATTATCACGTTTCTTTGAAAAATTAGAGGACCCAAATCTAATGGTTATGATCATTAATATAAACACCAAAAATAGAAAACGTGTTTGAACAAAAAAAAAATTATTTACTAGATCTTCATGAATTCTAAAATTTGATAGATATTATACTAACCGAGAAATTATCAGAAAGTGTTTGGCGACCAAGAGCTGCTTCTATAGTTGTGGTGAACCTGAAGAGGATAATAGAAATAACACCTGCTATAATTGCCCCCAACAGTGCTTGATCAGGTGAAGGTGGACTCTTAGCTTTAATGGAAGTTGACCTCATACCTTTCAAGTTTTCCAATGACTTCTTCACTCCTGAAGACCTGTATTTCTATGACCACCAACCCATTTCATTCAACAATAATATATTTAATCAAAATAGCACATCTCAGTTATATCACACCACAAATTAAATACACAGAACCAAATGAAATCTCCATGACTTAATTATCTTAATATAAGTTCATGCTCTGAAACTCATTTGTCTCTCTCTTTCTCCCACTCTCGCTCACATTTTCCATAGTTATGTATGTGTGCAGACATTAACGATGACACTAACATAAATAAGTAACCTTAAATTACACGAAGAAAAACAGAGTTTACCAATTCTCTGGCAAGTTTTGCTCTGCGCTGGATAGAGCGAAAGAAGTAGAGTGTGATGGCTACGGACAGAAGAACGCTGGAAGCAACTTGAATGGTAGAAGGGTCGTCAGTAGTAGAAAAGGGGAGTTCAATGGGTCCAAATTCTTGTGTTATGCTAGGAAGCCATGTTGAAGCCAAAGGAGGAATGGCCGAAACAGTAGTGTTGGAGGGTCTATGAAGAAAATGAACAAGAGGAAGAGATGGTGAATGATGATGACGGGTGAGTGAGAGAGGGACAGAGAGGGTTGATGGAACAGAGTGCAACATTGGAGATGGAAGAGAGTATTATGATGATGATTCCTGTTATTACTACCTTAAACTTATCAAAGAACAAAGATTTTGAGCCTCTGTTACTCAGAGATGGACTATTTCTTTTCTTATGTAAAATATCTTTTTATGACTAATGGAAAGGAACATCACAACATCTAAAATATCTGTTATGGATATTTAGGGCCTTCAAGGGTAATAAGGTTCCATTTTTTTCAGTTTAAATTTTGAATATACAATTACTTTATACACTTGACGACGCTCGTGATATAAAAAAAATAATTGAATTGAATTAGTATTAATGTATTATACGTTAGATGTGTTGTAAAACATAAAATATTAACATTTATATTCATGTTAATATAAATTTATTATTTTAATCATACAAGAAATAAATTTTGAGAAATTAAAAAATATGAAAACTAATCTTAAAAGATAATTTAAAATATATAATAAAAAAATAATTTAAAATATGTTTTTATAAATTCTAATAATCAATTTTTATTTTTTTTTCCCGGCAAGATAACTTTTCATCCTATTTTCACTTCTCATTTTCTTTTCACCCATTTTCATATGAAACAAATGCACTGCTAGAGCGAATTTAATATACCGAAGTATATTACAGACGCCTAATTAGTAAATATTCATATCAAGGTTTTCACATACCTAACGCATTTTTTCTTTTATACATGTTTCTGACAAGAAATAAGAATATGCATCACGTTTCCTTCATAAGGTAAATCTTGAAAGACAATAATAACATATGGATTAACATTAATTGATGAAAACATATATTTCTGATCAATTGTTTCCAAACTATATGCTGCAAGGCTAAGTGTGATTGAAAGGAAATAGGAACCGTAATTTCAATGTGATCAACTTGTAGTTTGTTTCTTCTAAAATAAAGCCTACTACACAATTACATTTCCAAGTTGTACATAACTAAACCCATCACTCTATTTGAGTTCAACTAAATCAAAATTCAGTAGGCTACCCAGAATTGGATGAATTCAACTACTTACTAATGCAAAATTATGTGTACATAAGACATGCAAATGCAAGTATTGTTACTTCCAATCTCCCAATATGCAGAAGAAACAAGTCTAATGAAAATTCTTAAAGAAAGTTACATAGTCCATCTAGAAATCCTCTATCTAATACGATTCTTGAAAAGAAAGTTAACATCTCCATGAGACTTAGGATTCCTCCTTGCAGTAATCTGAATGAGTGCACCATCAACAAGCATGTGCTGCAGAACTCTTGCTATGTTCTTTGTATCATCAATACCAAGATGATGACTTCCCACCAATGGGATTTGCAGTTCCTTCATCATTGTAACCATTCCTGTGGCCTGCTACCAGTTATCAAGGAAACATAAAACTAGTATTGTAAATTAGGATTAATAAAACAAAGGGGATAAAAGAAAAAGAACAAAAAATAACCCATTCAAGTTAAGATGAGATAATCATTGAGATCAAGGTGGCGTATTACTTTGTTAAAAGATCAGATGGCAAAGCTGGTTTTATAACTTAATTCGAGTACAGCACATTTGTTGGACATTAATCTTGATGCTTAGTCAGTTAATGGGAGTGTCATGAACTAGTTCTCCCTAAAGCTTAAATTGTTAGATAAAGGTACATGAATAATTTTATACTTATATATCTTTCACTCACCCATGGACGCACAAGCCCTTCGAGCTCTTAAGCATGGACAATGCCTAGGCCCACCTTTCATCGCGTTGAAGAATATGGTGCAGTAAGGATTCGACTCCATACCAGTAGATCATAGTCTTTGATACCGTGTCATAAACGAAATCTCCCAAAAATTTAAGTTGTTAGGTAAGGTACATGAATGTTATTAAGTGTTCACATCTTTACCAGGGAGAAATTAGGTATATAACTAGTGTACAAACTTAAAATATGTCAACTTTACTCAAGATTCCATGATTTCTTAGATTAAATCTTCAAATTCTGAACCTTAAATTGCTATTAAATCAATGGCACCCATCTACGGTTACCACTCAAACTAAAGAATTCAACAAGATGTGAGGTAGAATTTCCATTGAACCATATACCCAGGTTGTTGGCATGATGGAAGAAGGAATCAATAATTCTATTCTTCTGTCAATTCTAAACATTTAAAGAATTCACACCCTCCTATTATAGAAGTTTAGATAGAATTTAGATTGAACCATATACCCATGTTGTTTGTCATGATGGAAAAAGGAATCAATAATTCTATTCTTCTGTCAATTCTAAACATTTAAAGAACTCACCCTCCTATTATAGAAGTTTAGATAGACATCTTTGAGATTAATCCACTCCATAAAATATGGAGGAAGCTTTATCTTTGACACGTCACATTGCTGAGGGACCTTTGTTTTCAAATCCCAATTTCCACTGCAAAAATGAAAGAATTCAATGTATAAGAATAAATTTTCTTATTCTAGATATATAATAGAGCAGGAAACTAAGGGCTGCTTAGTTTGAAAAAATATTTTCTGATTTCATTTCCTATTTTTCACTTTTAATTCCAAAAATACCTTGCTTTCATTTTGTGTCCCTTTTTCAAATATTAGTACAGAAAACAATAAAAAGTTGTTCTTACTACTTCTATATAGATCTTTGAAAACAGAAAATAAAACGAAAACAGTATGGTATTTATGTGATTTAAAATGAAAACAGAAAATGAAAAGAAAACATTTTCTCAAACCAGCCCCTAATGTACCATTACAAACAAAAAAAACCAGAACCATGAAATAATGATATTTACCAAGTTACAAATCCTGCACGATTAAGTTCTCCACCCATCCACAATTGATGTTGCATCAACCAAGCTTCAAATTGTTGAATAACTTCCTTGAATGGTATTGCTGTGTCATGCCAAACTCTGGTCAAAAAATTATATTTTTTAATTAATCTAATAGGTAGCATGGGAACTGTATGAATTCAGCTGTACTAGCTCTTTATTGCTGTTGTCAAACTTAAATTACGATCAACCAATATCCTTTCACTAGTCTAACTCATTATTACTCATCATTAATTAGAAATATCAAATCATGGCAAACACTACTCTTTAAAAAATTTTTAATATAAGCAATCTTAAATTCCAGATATTACTATCAAATCACTACATGAATATAGGAACTGGAGGAGAGATGTTTTTCCTCCTTGTTAGACACTTAGACTGTTTCAGGTAGCAAAATGAAAATGAAAACCAAAAAGATTGTATACAGATCAGAAGTACAAATCAGGTAAGATTAGTTTAAAACAAATTAAGCTGGATACCTGTCAACTCCAAATTTTCCGTACTTTCCTTCAATGTATTCAGTTATTCTTTGTTCACTCATTTTTGATGGCCTCACAAACCTGTTAAAGGAACAATGCAAAAGTAAAACTGTAAGATAAGCATAAAGTGATAATCTTCATATGTACATCATACTTTTATCTACAAAGAAATCAACCTAAGAGATCAAAGCATATTGGAACATTGGAACAGTCCAATTCATCCATCGAAACTATTGTAGCTACATTTAAGGGTTAAAAAATCAAGGGTCTACTATTTTTCATTCAACGGATGAACAATTTTTAAAAATATATAGGTATATAATATCCAAATTATACTTTAGTTTGATATTTCCGAAAATCATTGTACTATAAGAAAGTAATATCAACCTGTTATCCTTGAAACATTCCATTTAAATAATCTTTCTAGAACCATCAAGCACAATAAAAGTAATTCAGAATACCCAAAAAAAATGAAATAGATAAGAAAAACAGAATATCACAGGACACTTCTCATGCTAGACATGCAACAAAGAGCAAGATAAAAACCTGTGGAAAATGTCTTCAACTTGCATTGTTTTTGCACTAATCATTAGAACTGGAAACTCAAGAATCTCAACCCTACCCTCTAAATCAAGCACAAGGAAAAAGTCTAAATTCTGAGCGCATATTTTGTTTAACTCAGGGGCATTCACTTGAAGCTCCCTGGAGAAATCATGATTAAACCTTTCAAGGTGGATAGGATCATCCATCTGCAAATTTGGAGAAAATTAAAAAGTAGCAAAACTACAAATATTATACTCTCATAAAACAATCAATATACTACCACAAAGACATGCAGTGTAGGAAGTCCCTACACTGCAAGTCCAGAACGAGTCATATTCCAGTCAGTTCAGTTGACATCTTATAATATTCTTATATACTTAATAAACATAAGGGTTAGAGTCCCTAAATCAGTAAATCGTAAAATACTTTTTCTATTAAAACAGCATTTAGAAGAGCTCATGGACAGTTTATAAGAATAGTATACGACTCCCACAAGCCCATTTTGGTTTATTTCTATAAGTTTCCTCGAACGTTTTATTAAAATAAGTTCTTTTTAGGTTATTCTAATAAGTTTTATAATGAAATTCTCGTATGAAAAACCTTATTGTTTAACAAGCACTTAACTAAACTGTATATGGAAATGCGCCATCATTGTTACAAGTACGTTGGACATTAAATATTTATATATGTTAAGGTGGTGATAAATCATGCAACAGAGTCATGTCATTCTTCACCATTGAAATAATTGATCAAACACATGGCATACAAGCCAGCAGGGTCCCCGAGAACTCTGAACGATAATAAAAACTTCAAATTTTGGCTGAACAAAGAATACCCAGAAACAGAAATGAAGTGAAAGTTGAAGGGACATAAAAAAGTTGGAACCTTGGTGCACTTTCCCTGGGAGTGATACAAGCACATGGGTCTCCAGCGAGAGTGAGACTCTTGTGAAGAAGGGTTGTGGGAAGTGGAAAGAGAAGCAGAGAGTGTGAGAGAGTGCATTGGAGTGAGGAAGAGGTAATTGGGGTGAGTAGTGAGATGTGAAAGGCTCAAAAACAAAGGATTACGATGTGAAAAGATGTTGCCCAAACTACCTCTCAGAACCGCCATTTCTCTTCGAAGTGGATTCTACAGCTAGGTTTATATCTCGCCTTCATTCTATAAATTATTATTATAAAAATTATCAAATTTGTGTTACTAAAATAGCCCTGTAGGTAAATTTATTTATGTATTTCTGGTATAAATTATTAATTGAACTATTTATATTAATATGAATGTTTTTAAAATTTATTATATATAATTAAATTTTATTAGTGTTAATAAATTGATGATTTATTTTTTATAAAAAATATTCAACACAAAATAAATTGATAATAAAAAAATTAAGATTTTAAATGCAATAAAATATCAATTTATTCTATAATATGTTGATAATTAATAAGAGAATATCACATCAACAAAACAAAACAAATTTTATATCCATATTCAGATTTAAATAATGAATCAACAAAAAAATAAATTTTGTAATTACTTTTTGAAAGTTAGTCACTTGCATAACATATATCTTCTTAGAGTGTTTGTTATCACTCTCTAAGCTAATGCAAAACTGTTCTTTAACTCTTTTTTACATATACAGTGCTTTACTCAACCTTAAAGCTAGTTTATAAAATGATAATTACTTTAATTTTTATAAGTTTTTATTCAGTTGTATATGTAGTCAATGTAAAACTTTAACACATCTATTCATACTCGAGATTGGACACTCACTAAACAGAAAAATCACAAAAGCAAGTTACTAAAAACATTTATAAGAATAATACTTAGTTACTAAAAACATTTATAAGAATAATACTTAGTTTTTTTGTCAAGATTAATTCAATATCATCTGAAATTTAGAGTTAATTCTAAAAGTTAACTCATCAGAATAAGAATTAATTTATCATTTATTAGTTTGTATTGAATCATATTATAATCCACAAACGACTTGAACACATTTTGTTTGAAGGCAAAGTTAAGTCTTTATCTCTAGCTTCTTGCATGAAATATTAACATACAAAATAAGATAAGATCCCAACGAGATAGAAGTTTTGCAGGGGAACAACTAATAAACCTTACCTACAATAAGTTGTTACCTGTCTACAAGATAAATATAAAGACTAAAACATGAGAAAGAAAATTGAATCATATTATTTCATCTTTTCTCAGAAGATATAACTCTGATTAATTGCCCAAAACTCAAAATTCAAACCAAATCAATTCAATAAATTAAGCCAATTTGAACGTATACTTCTCCTTACAAATTATTAGGAACCTTTTAAGTTTAAAGGCATAAAAAATGGGGAAAATGTGTGATTGGCATTGCCTTTTCTCCCATTTTTGTGGGTCAGTGAGAGGTGATAGTCACTGTCTGCATTGCAAATAGTATTTTGATAAGTTGCATTTACATTCATGCATAGTCCATTGATGTGATTTGCATTTGCGGCTTGAAGATGGTTTGACCAAAAGTCAATCTTTTTTCTCTAACTCATGAATTGGAGTTATAAATTAAAAAATCGTTACTCTTAAAATATTTAAACTTAATTTTAAAGATTGAGATAAATAAGATCTTCAATTTTAAAGCAGCTTAGAACTTAACAAAATGCAATGCAAGGCTCTCAAATTGCTTCATTCGATTTATTTTAATTTGATAAAATGTAAGTGTGATATTTTTTATAATTTTAGTGTTGTTTTTTAATTAGAATTAAAATTTTAGTTTAATAATTCATAACAACATTAAATATTATTTTTATCGAAATAAAATTTTAATTTTGATTAAAAAATAGTAAAAAAATATTTTAAGAAATTGTGCTTAATTTTAAAAAAATATCCAAGAAAGGACACTCCCTTTTTTCATTGTAACACATGGACATGGTCTTATACAATATCTATTAAAGAAAAATGGAAACGAATTTTAATTTTTGGGTCGTGCTGCGTGGAGAACTTAACTAAAAAATGAACACACTAACAAAAGATTGTTATATATTATGCCGTTTTCTCATGCAAGCTTGACCCATAATTTGCACCCATGAAGTAAGCATAAAGCTCCTCATCCTGCATAACCTCAGCATTGTGCCAAAACTCATGAGTAGCATCATCATGCACCCCTGAATTCCCACCCTCCTCAAAAGAAGTTGAAAATTCACAAGAAGCATTATTATGGTCTCCACCTTTGATGTTGCTATTGCTACTAAGTAGCATCTCTTGAGCTTTCTTCAGCTCTTCTTTCAGCCTTTCAACATCTTTCTCTAGTTTCTCTTTTTCAGCCATCACATTCTCTAGCTTTGCCTGAAGAACACCATGATCAACCTCCAGGGTTTGATTCTTCCACCTAGCTCTCTTGTTTTGGTACCAAATGGCAACCTTTCTTGGAGGGACACCAAGTTGGTTTGCAAGTTGGAACTTTTGCTCAGGTTCAAGCTTCTTGTTAGAGGCAAAGCAATTCTCTAGGATGGCCACTTGGTCTTCAGTTAGCCTCTTCTTGTTGTGTTTTGCTCTGTGGTGTGCATGTTCTTGGGTCTTGAAGGAGAAGATGAAATCCTCCATTGATTGTTGGAGTCACTTGATTGAAGTTTTGGAACAACTGAGATTAGTTTTGTTGATGTGAAATATATTGTGAGACCAGATGAGTTGGATGCTCATTCTTTTATAAGGCTTTTTAGCTTGAGAGACATCATGAGCCCCACCAAATGGAATCACAAAGAGGATATCTAATGATGCACAACTTTAGCGTACTTACCTAACACTAAGTTTCTATTTTAAATATTGTAGAATATATATATATATACTATATTATAATATCTCGTTAACAATAACATTTATTTTTATATTGTTGTACAAATTAGCCTCCCTTTTTGTGGTAAGAAACTGTCTTAAATAAGAAATCGGATGTCAAAGATCATTTTATGGTGCAATTTACTTTGGTTACAGTTCCTTGAAAGCAACTTAAGCAACGCGGTTAAAGTTGCTTGTAGGATTGAAATTACTTGTCATGTTTCTTGTCCCTTTCTTTATTCTTTTAATTAAAAAAAATAACACGTCTTTTAAGAAATAATATTATCTATAGTGATTATTAATTTATAGGGTGTTATTTTGAATTTAAAAAATTGGAAAAGAGGCAAAATGTAAACAGGTTATTTGATCACTGCATTTACTTGCAATTATGTGGCTCTTAATATTATTATGGAACATGATTTATTTATAGCATGCATGCCTATGAACTCTAATTTTAACTTTAATTTTTATGAACTTTCATTCATTACACTTTTTAACTTCTACTTAATAAAATTAATATTTTGAAACTTGAAAAGCAAATAGGATTTTGTGTTCATACATCTGATCAAGATGCTAGATAATCTTGAAAAGCCGGGCATGCTAAGCATGCAAGAGAGACAAGCTAAGAAGTAGACACTATTATTGACTTATCTTCGTTAACTTGTGTTATAGATTTTGTCTGCTTCAACTTAAACATAGCTAATCTGACTTTAATTGGAAAGATCCCAAATTAATTATATTCTGTTTATGTTACGTCAATGATCAGTGCATGTGTCGTTTGGAAGGTGACAACATCCCCCACCCTTGCTAGGAAAATTGGTGATTGAGGCCTAAGTACATGCATCCTTGGATCTCAATTTCGTTTACTCATAAAGATCAACTATTTCATGCAATGATGAAGTTGCTATCCCTTCACTGAATCTGTTTGAAGAATTAGATGGCTCATAGTCTCAATGCTCTCTTCCTATCCCAAATGCATGAACTTAGTCAACATGCCAAGCCAATGCCAGTTGCCTTGATAGTGAAAGAGAAAATAAGCTTCAAAGGGTGTGATTACACATGTTTTAAACTGAATATGCTATTTTCACAATATTTTCTCACAACCTTTTTTACAATAAGAAAATAAATAGAAAAAAAATGTGAAATAAAATAATGTGATAGAGAAAAGTAAAAAGTATTGTAAGAATAACATTAATTTTTTAAATAATGTCTTGTTCAGAATATAATAAATCTATCTTATAAACTTATCTTATTTTTTAGTATAAAATTTGTCCTATACACAAAGTTTAAGTTAAAAATATATATTTAATTTGATACACATTAATATAAAAGAACATACAAATCTATCATACTTATGCTATATTATTTTTTATCCTCGTATCCTATCATGTTAATTAAACAAATCCTAATTCATCTAATAACTTTAAAGAAACTTCCGCAGTATCCTGTAGAAAACAGAGAAGAGTGTTAGCACCAGGTCAAAACTAATATCAATTTCATACGGTGGATTAATCCAATTGTGAGATTTTGAAAGAGCATGAAAAGAAAGCTAGCTAGATGGCTACTAGCTAGGTTGCCTTTTATGTTTAAGTTTTGTAATTTAGTATGAATTTTGTTGTACGAACACTACAAAATTTAAACTCATGTTAGTTTGTGTTGCGCAACGAATCGGGCAAGAGAAAAATAAAAAGCTATTTGTTGGAAATTATTTGTAGCTGCCTTTTGGTCAATAATCGTACTAATTTCTTTGTACTAAAGATCTTTTTCTTTATGTTTTGTACTTACGAGTTAACACCTAACGTTAGACACTTGCCCATCTAATTTATAGAAAAATTTTATTAGTACAAAAAATTTGTGCAGAAAATTTTATAATAAAAAGAGTTAGGCCCAATTTAGCTTATATTAATAATCTTTACCCTTTAAAAGGAGTTAGGCCCAGCTTGTATAAGCTTTTATAAACATATTTTTATTGAAAAGAAAAGAAAATAAATAAAATTATTCTCATAATTTAAAATTAATGTGTTCTTACTTTTCAGAAACTTTTTCAATTAACTTATCTAAAACATGAAATGTATAAATTGATTTTAACTTATAAGAATAATTTTATTTAATTCATCTCCTTATTTTCTTTTTCTACAAGTATTTTTACAAAAGTTTATTCAAGCTCAACGCTATGTATAGTATTAACCAAAGATATATTTACTATGTTAAATAAAAGTGTGCAGTACAAATCAATTCCTTAACAAGTCCATAAGAGTTATATTAATTGGTAAGATCAAATAGTATTGATTTTGGGGAGAAAAAAAAAAGCCGGTTCTGTTTTTACCAGTGGTTTTTGATTGATAGTTTTTGTGTAAAGCATGATTGACACTAAATCTAGTTTAGGGATACATACACTTTGATCAACAATATGTACAAATTCATGGAGTTTTTCTTTCATGTGAAAGCAAATTCCAGAGCTACACTGAGTGCGCAAGCTCAATAGAGCATGAAAAATTTTCTGCACTTCTCGTTGCATTTAATTTTGCATGATTGAAGGGCAAACGATACTTCCTTAGAACTAAAATTAATCGCTTGTCTTAGAAGCATAAACACCACAATTCCATAAGTGATAACAAAGTTACAAACAACCTTTTGGTCTCATTTCAAAGTTGAGAAGCAGATGATTGAATAGTGGAAATTAGTATATTATCATTATACTCTAATTGAAAAGTGTAAAGGCTCTTGCACCACTTCCATCTCAAGGCTTATTATTGATGATCCATATAAATGAATTTTTTCACTCCTGAACATGCACTGATAGGTATATTGTCAGAATTTAACTGCAAGTTACTAGACCTGAATTACACATTGAAAGTATGAGATTTTAATAGGGTTGATAAAGTCTTAAACTCTCAAAGTACGATGACTAACTTTTATAGTACTGTTTACTTAAATTTCGTTATAAATTGATATTAGAACTTTCTACCATCTTAGCCGCTCATGCCACACGTAATGACGTGGCATTATAGTGTCTGCCGAAAACTACTTAAAGGGCTAGTATACATCCAACCCAATGAGCAGTGAGGCTTTGAGGTATGGTGAAATGATAGAATTCATTTGCAAGGTACGAGACTTTGAGTCCCAACTAGCTTCTGTGATCTGGTTTTCTTAATGTTGATATCATTTATGAATAAAGATAACGCTACACTATAAAGAGGATTGGCTCTATAATTTGCAATGTCCAACTTTATAGTTCATTTTTAATGAGTGTATGCTGTATTGAAATACAAGTTAATCTGTGATTCCATTTTCTTTTCTTCTTCTTCCTTTTTTCTTTTTTTTTTTTTTTGCAAGAGACAGAATCAAGGGGCACATGTATAGTAAACATTTTATTTGTGGATTCACTATTGTTTTTATAATCTTCTGGCATGTCTTTGATAAAATGCTTTTATCCTTCTCATACCCTCTCTAAGAGCAGATGGATCAGCAGCAAAAGTGATACGAAGCCAATCTTTTAGCCCCACCGCAGTTCCTGCAAAAAAAAAAAATTTGTCATTTTTGTTTGTTACAAAATTTACTAGAAAATTTGTGAGCCATGGCGAAGACAAAAGCTAGCACTAGATAGCTTTTGTTACAATATATATTTAGTGCCAAATAGAAATTCTTAACTGTTGTTCTTTTTTATATTTTTAGTGCTGAGTAAGTTTTTCTCACTAATTGAATGTATGACAATTAGAAAATTGTTACCAAAGTGGCAGGGTGTAAATGAATAATAATGGAGACCTTTTGGAATAAGCCCAAGTAATATCTACTTACCTTGATGAAAATATCATCTAAGTGACTTTCACTGACGGCTATATTTTTTTATAAAGAAAGTCCCTTTTTCCTATTGGAACTTGGAAGGAAGAATACAGGGAGAGAACAATTGAGAAAGAAGCAACTTCATATACTTCTTTCAAAAACAACACATTTCCATACATTTGTACTTCAAACTGTTTTCAAGAGAATTAAATATTCTTCCCTGAAATATTCTATGTGCGTTATCAATAAATAAACAATAGGTAGAAAGTCTTTTGAGTTTCAGAAAGTTCAATATAAAGATAGAGACTAACACCACTTAATTGTTTTAGTTATAACTAAATATCAGCAACGATTTTGGACCTAAACAAACAACCTTGAGTTGTTTTGGTTACATAAGTCACAATTAGTTGAAACTCAAGCTGGAAATGTTAAAACGCCGATAAATTATGGTGAGATGTGAACATCTTCAGAGTGTTATCAAAGTTGTTTCTAAGAAAGTGATACAATTTCTTGATAAAAGTGAAACACATGACATAATTGAAGATATCAAATAAAAACACCTCCTTCTTAAGCTAATAAATGCTCTAATTTTTCTGTACACATGAAATGACTCCTCAAATAGAATATGCACAAAATGCCAAATAAAGCATGATTTGCACAATACCTGGAAGAATGATAACAGCTTCCTCCTTTGCAAGTTTGAAACAGAAATCAATATCATCGCTAATATCTTCCAGAAGTGAAAGGTTAAGTTTCACCTGCATTTCATTCAAGAATAAATAAGAAAGATTGCATTTATAAAACATTATTCTGTCCTCAAATAACTCCAATTTTGATATACTCTCAGTTACTCACCATCATAGCCATGGACCCTTCTGGTTTGTAAGGGCAAAAAATGCATGGAATATCTTGTATCTCTTTACAACATATATCTGCGGTATGCCTCAAATTATCAATGGTTTTCTTGAAGAAAACCTCCTCTGTATGTGCAATTATCCGAGGAACAGCCGCCTGTCAAACCAGAAGTGTTATCAATCAGATAGAAAAAATAAGTAACAGATAAATGTATGTCATGGAAGAAAACTCTGCCTCATCAAGAATTTTGGATGAAGTTCCAACATAGATCAGCACCAAACCAAATAACTTGGATTTCACGACAGAGCTAGCATCATCATATGAATACTACATCCAAATGACTTTTCAGAGTACTTAGCCAAATTGAACATTTTGTCAGGTGAAAAAAGTGTCCTGGCTAGAATGCTTCTAGTCTAGAGATAAATATAGTCTGCTATTGTATTCTTTGAAATTGAAATTTTTTCTTCATTTCTTTCTTTTTATTTTTGCCCTTTTCTCTTTGGATAGTAGTATCAAAGGCATTCATTACTCTACATGAAAATAAACATGCAAGAGATAAAAAAAAAAAACCTGAATGAAGGTGGCTGGACCTCCCAAAAGATCAAAATACTTTTTAATGCGCTCAACTACCTGCATAAGAAACTTGGTTTTATTAGCGTAAGAAAGTGATTGAATACTACGAATAACCACTCATAATTTCGAAGTAGCAAAAAAATATTTCAACTATGAAATGTTCATATTTTAAAGTACTGACAGTTAAATCCAGTCAATCATTGAACTTTCAATATAGAATAGTACAAAAGAGTGAAGCAAACAAAGAGGAAATAAAGTTAGTAGACACAAACAAAGTAAAGAATTACATAGATAAAGAGGGAACAACAAATAAACATACTGAAGAAAAAGGTCGATTGTCATAACAGAACATAAATCACAGATCAGTTATATATAACATCTAAGGATCTTCTCAGATTGACTATTGGACTATTATCTAAGACTCGAGATAAAAAAATATAAAAACATTAAAAAGTGAGAGGGAATAGAACCTTTGGTTTTCTAAAAGTGCCACATGGATCATTTGTCACAAACCAACCAAGCCTCCATCCAGGTACTATCCATCTCTTAGACAGTGACCCAAGAGTGAGAACAGGAACAATAGAGCCAAAAACTCCCATTGGCACAAAAGGATTGGCCCCAAAAGCAAGGTGACCATATACTTCATCAGAAATCACAATTGTTCCTAGCCGCTTTGCAGTTTCAGCAATCTAAGTCCAATATGAAAATAAGCTGGTACTTTTTTAATTACAATGAAAACAGAAAACGTTTGTAGAAACTAAACAACAAAAACTAACCTTCTCTAAATGATGGTAACTGTACACATTCCCACATGGATTCCCTGGGTTTATAATCACCAGTGCAACTGTGTTCTGATCTGCAAGAGCTTCAACAGCATCTAGATCAACCTCCCAATCTTTCTGTGGCAGCAGATCATAATGCCTCACTTCAACTCCTCTAAATGCCGCACAAAGTTCATAGATTGGGAAGCCTGGTCTTGGAAGCAAAATGTTTGCACCAGGGCGTGCCAACATCGCCACCGAAACGTCAATGGCTTGTGTGCATCCACAAGTGATGAAAACATCATCAGATGATAGCTGGTAAGGTAGGTCACCAGACAGATATTCAGCAATTGCACTGTCACCAACATGATAGTAACTTTAGATTGCATTTAATTTTAGAATAAAAGCCAAGTAAGTCAATTCATTGCACGAGCAAAAAGTTAACAAGTCAAGCAACCAACATATTAGTAACTGTGAGATACTAGATTTCCTAAGCTAGTAACAAAATTGCATAGGAACTAGAAAAAAGCATTGCATTGAAGCTAAATTGTTACACCAAACCCAGAAATGAATTGAAGTATGTTTATACTTTATATGAATGGCACTATGAAACCATGTTTGTTACATGATATTGGATCCTGGTCCAATGAAAATAATATGGACTCATTCATACAGAAAAGAGAGTTTCGAACAATGATTTTACTGGAATTTGATTAGAGCATCTTTATTGGGCATATCTTATATATCTTAGTTTTAAGTAACAGTCCCTTAACATGTTCTAGAATTTGAAGTTGATGAAGTAAAAGAGAGCAAAAGAAAAGTTGCTTCCGTATGCAATCAAATTGAACCAAGAAAAACCCATAATTTTATATCCAATTTGCAAGAGGGAGAAAGAAAAACAATTCTAAATCTGATGCAAGGATAAAAGGGTTCTTATAGAATATCCCACCTATTTCATCTCAGCAAAAAAAAAAAATAAAGAAAAAATAAATAAATAAAAAATATATATATATACACACAGATATACACATAAAATAAGCTAATGTCAACTACTATAGTAGAGAAAAAAATAGCATAAACTTTCCGAACCAAATGCAAAACACAGAGAAATTGTCAAATTAAGAATAAATTCCATGCAATTTCATACTGGGCAGAATTCGATCCAAAACCTGCAAACAGTGAGCAAAAGTCACTGCTTAAAAAAATTGAACAGAACATAAAAACAATTAAAATTTTTAAGAGACTAATTTAAGAACCAAAATTTTTATAAATTGGAAAGGACCAAATTGATAATCATTAGATAATGAACTACAATAACAGCAGAGCTTAAAGGACTGACACAAAATTGAAGATTATCTAAAAAATGAACGAAAATAACAACAGGGCTAAAACAAATTGAAATTCCAAAGAGAGAGAAGCAGAGAAGCATTACATTCTGGCTTGAAGTAGACCGGCAGTGGGGGCATAGCCATGAAACTTGTGAGATTTAAGAGTATCAGCAACAGCTTCTTCAACAACAGTGGAAGCATGGAAGCAAGTAGTGAGAGTTGGGTCTCCCATACCCAAAGAAATAACTCTTTTGCCATCACCATCACAACAATTCTCATCAATGCTCTCCATTAGAAGACTCAGAATACCCTTTATGGTAATGGTGGAAGTTGCTTTGGATTCATAGTTACTGTTATTCACAGCCACAACCCCACTTTCCATGCCCCTTTTCTCTCTCACACACACAATGAGCTTAGTATTTTTGAAGGCTCGATGGCTCAGGCAATAGTTGGGTTGCTTTGATTTTTAGAATTGTTCAGAGTTTGGTTTCCCCGAGACCACACACCACACGTTATGTTGTTTTCCTGCGCATGGAAACAAAGATTTGGCGGTTTTTGTATAGTTGTGTGAGTTGTACAAACCATTACGTGGGAAATTCAACCTTTGTAACAGTCTTTAAAAATATGTGGAACTAAGCTAATCATCATGGCTTCAATTGGAACCTGACATTTTTATTTTAGTCATTTATTCAAATTAAAAATTAAAAAGTACTAATAAACTAAAGAAAACAAATTTGATGGCTAAAATGCACATTACCCTTCCCTATATAAGTCAATTGAAAGAAACTATTAAGGGTTGCACAATCAAAAATAGTGTAAATTAAATTAACTCTTTGCATATTTTGTCAAGCCTGAGATTGACTTGTAGTTGAAGACCTGACAAACTTTTTCTTAAAACAATATCTCAATAGTTGGTGTGATATTTTAATATTTTATGAACTAAAGTGATTTTCTTCATAAAGTGTACAAATTTGTACACTCTAATAAGTGTTTAAGATTGTATAAAGAAAACGCGTAAATTTGTAGTTGAAAGTGTACAAATTTAAAAGGGGTAAAGTTTCATTTTATTTCTTAAAATTATAAGAATAAGTCATTTCAATTATTGATTTTATATATATTTTTTAAATTTCGTTTGTTTTATTTATTTTATATAAATAAATATTAAAATAATTTTTTTCTAAAATTGATAATTAAATTAAAAATTCAAGTTAAAAATTGAAGTGATTAATATTTATTATATGAGAAAATTAAAATGAACCTCATTTAAAAAGTGATTTTGAGATTGTATAAAAAAACGTAATTTAAAAGTTTAGAGATGGTATGTAAAATTTAAGATGATTACACACTTTATTCAATAAAAAAAATAGTAAACTCTGTTAACATATTAAGATTGTAGTGAGTTAGGTACTGTTCAAAAGTGCAGTACTCAACTTAAATGGTAGGATAGGACACGTGAAAGTTAGGTATGGATAATATTTAAATAGCAATCACATGGGTTAACCTAATTTAAAATCAAGTTTTTAAAATTGATTATTAATTATAAACTTATTTTTTATTATCCAAATTTATTATTAATTTTTATCTATATACATTTTAAAATTCAGAAAGTGGTGAAAGAGTGAATGCTTTATCCAACTCAATAACTCGACTTAATTTTATTTTCCGAAATTAATTATTATGATATGGTTTTTAACTTACATGTTAATAAAAGTTTTATATTATTTCAATCTTTAATTAGGTGATAGTAAGATCGTAGGTTGAGAAAATTATGGTAATGAAGATGTGAAACTAGGTTGAAGCCAACCCACTCTGACCCCTTATCTCAATTGGGACAAATTTAAGATTAGTTTGTTAAGCAATTAATGAAGAAATTGATGAGAGATTTATTTGTCTTGTAACGGTATGAAAGGTGTGTTTGAATAAGCTGTCAACACAAATGTTTTTTGTGATATAAAATAGATTTATTAAAATGACTTATGACTTTAATGTAAGTTTACTTTAATAAATTTTATTGTAAAGTTTCTCAAAGTATATTTATTAAATTAAGTGTTAATAACATAAGTTATCATTTGTTAGACTCTTTTGAATAAATGCTTAATTTTGTATCTACCCAAAATCTGTCTTTCTCAATAAATTGAAGTAGCACTGTAATGAATATTTTTATAAGATTTATTGAAATTCCACATAAACATACAATGTTAGAACTTAATTATCTGCGCAAGAATTCACTTTAATTTATAATAAACTTTAATTTTGGAACTTAATTTGGCTGTTATATCTAAATATTACTAATCCTATGTTGGGTTTGAATTGTTGGACAAATGACAATAACATATACCGAAAAATCTATTTGGGTTTTGAAAAGCCCTAAATCAATAAAGAAAATGTTTTATGTATCACTTAGAGTAAATATTTAAAACTCTCTCTTTTATATTTAAAGTGTATTTTTAGAATGTGTGCATATAAAATAAATAAAAACTCGTGCAATGATACAAGTGTATTAATTTTCTTTTTTATATTTAAAAATAACTTCTTTAATTAATTTTATTTTTTAAAATAATAACAATTTTAAAAGACATCAAATGAAAAAGAGTGAGAAAAATGTCAATAAATCTTTAGTATTAGAAGCAAACATCATATTAGAAGCTTCCTGAAATCCGAACATTTAGAATTTGAAATTACACACCAAAAAATGGCAAATCAAAATCTGAAAGAAAAGGCAAAATTAGAACAGTACCTGCCCATGCAATAATTGTTCATCCAAAGCAATGGTTTTTAGTGTTCAACTCCACCAACCAAAAATGGATGGATAATAATACGATGCAAGATTTGGCTTTATAGCATATATCGCTTGGTTACGAGTTCTGAGTCTTCTCACACGGAACGTAAAGAAAAATGAACACTGTTTTGTATTTTTAAACTTTGACAAGATAAGTTTGATGATTCATCCTATCTAATTTTCATGGATGATGTTGACCAGAAACAATGCAACATTACATTGCATACATCTCATCCTTATCAATTCAAATGTATATATTATTATATAGTTTAAGGATATGGGATGCACGTTGGCATCAACCCTTCTACTTTGTCTTCGTATTTTCTTTTTTTTTTTCCAAATAAGTTTGTGGTTAAAATATTTTATTAAATATTGCAATATTATTCTTTTTTTTAACGGATTTTTATAAGTTTACCTAAAAAATATCTATATATCAACAATTTTCTCTTTTAGTTTACATTTAGGAATAAACTTTATATTTCACCACACAATTTGAAACAAATTTCAAATAAGAAAGAAAGAAATTAAACTTCACTCTTGCCTGGGCCATGTTTATTTCTCTCTATTTACTTTTTGGGCCTCACGTTTTCTTCATTCATTTTAGCCCACATTGAATAAATACCCAAATACATCACTCAAATCATGCATAATTTCATAATATTATTATATATAAATAATTTTATGAAATCTCCAAATTTTTAATAAATATTTATAAAAAAAGATAAAATAAATTGCTTGTTCTTTTAAGTTAAAACTAATTTATGAACCTTAACTTTTTTAAATATTTGTTTACTTAAATTCTTCAAAAATTATGATGTATGAGTTAATTTAAGTTATAGAAGAAATTTTGATTCATATTATCTTTTATTTTATTTTTTATAATAATTTATTAAAAAATTATTGAAATTAACCTTAAATATATTACATACAAAATTTGTTACATGTATTATATACATAATAGGTAAATTTGTCTTTTGATTTTGCCCCTGTAAATAAAAATTCTAATTTCACTCTTGTTCTGGATGCAATGGTGGCTATGATAACAGAAATAGTTGCACAAAACGAGAATGAAAAAAAAATTTGTCTATATCATGTTCCAAGTCCTTTGTAAGTCAATTTTCACAGATAAATAAAATATAAACTAATAAATATAATATGATAGATAAATATAATTAACTTGTTCTATTTTATTAATTTATTAAATATTAAATTAAATATAATAGAATAACTTATTCAATCTTGTTTTTATTATCAAAATAAATTTCAGATGATTTAATAATATTTTATTAAATACGTGTATAATAATTTTAAAACTAATTATGTATTAAAATTTAATTTAATATGAAATGAACTGATGTTATTAAATTTAACTCGGAATAAAACTTAGAAACTAGACCACCCCTCTTAGAAATTAAAATTAATGTAAAATTTAGAAGAATTTTTAATTCTTTCAAATTCCTCAAACAAAAATAATCATCACAAATTTTTTTATTTTTCTCAAAAAATAATTTCATAAACAAACCCTTAAACAACAATTTAAAATTGGAAAAATAAAAAAGATTCAAACACACGTCCATTTGTTTAAGGCAAGATGTAACAATCTTTATTCTTATTTAATATGTTAAACGTTTAATATTTATTGTATACCAAATTAATAAATTACTAGTCGAACCAGTAATCGATTAACTCAGTGTTTAAACTGAGGTAATAATTATCAAAATTTTATAACATTAAATTGAACTATTTAGTTTTTCAGTGTGAGGTAACATGTTGTAATATAATTAGAAGATGCAGATAAAAAGAGAAGCAGTTGGAGTTTTAAAGCATTACATGGCTAGTCTATGTTATGAGAAATGGTGTTGTGTACTCACACTACAACTTTGAGAACAAGGTACCAAATGAAATAAAGGGTGATAAAAGAAGACATTGACCACCACCTATGAACTTGAATCCATTTCATGAATTCAAAAAATAATATTGCTCTATTATTCAAAGTCTGCACAGAAGGGGAAAAAAATTTGAATATACAAAATATAAGAAAATTGATTATTATTATATTTTTTTAAATTGGGTAGGGGAAGTTTATGATATTTTGTAAATGAATATATGTTTTGGTTGAAAAAAGAGCTTTATTGGGTATGAGTGTGTTCAGATTAATGTACTTGCATTATGAGTACAACTACTATAGTCAGTGTTTGCATTAGCATAGCAGTAGCCACCCAATCTATGAATCAGACGGCGCAAATGGTCCCATTTCAGCAACGGCACCAACCCAAGGACGACTCAGAATCTGACACGTCAGAGGGACCCACTTAGCCTTATTATTGATCCACTATTTATCATTGCCCACAATTATTGCTTATTATAAATTGTTACCCTCTCGAACCCCCCACATGCACTAGCCGGAGTGCGGCGTGCTGTGACCTAAGCTGTCGTCACGCGCCTCCTCGATCCACGCGCCTCCTTGTCTTTTCTTTCTCCTATGCTTTATAATATGTTAAGGAGGGAAAATGGATAATCTATTTAAAATAATGGCATGTTTTAAACTTATTTTTAATAATTACACGATTACTGTCGATAGATCACATAATTATAGAAGTAACAACAGCGTCAAGAAACTGATTTTCATTAAACATTCATTAATCACAATTACAAATACGACTACATGTTATTTTAAAACACTTCTTTTTATTAAAAAAATAAAAGAGTATTTAAAATGTGGAATGAAGGCCTGATTCTCCTTTTCAATTTTTGCAAATAATTGTATGTCCTAAGTAGTCAAGGTGTTTTCAACCTTTGATCCTTTAGCTAGCTGTTGAATGAGAAGTGTTGCAATGGCCCTTGATAGCTTTAAGGCTGCTTTGGTGGGACAATCTAATGCAAAACCTTCACACGTTGCGTCCATGATTTATAGGGAACTTCACGTGTAATGCATCACTGCAGGATCAAATTCCTCAAATAACAATTCAAAATAATATTTGGATATGTTGAAAGTCACGGCAGTGAAAGGCATTACCAGATTACTTTTGTTTTTATTTAACTGTTCAAAGAGGAATAGTTTTGTACATATTTATCTATCACTGTAAAAATTTAAGAAAACGTTAATTGATATTTTTTTTACTAATGTCTTTTATTTTAAATATTCATACTACGTTCCTTTTTGACTTGACATTTCTACTTTAGAATTTTGAAAACAATGTCACTAAAAAATGGAAATTTTAAAAATTTGAAGGGAAAGAAGTCAACTCGGTTTGCGTGGTATTCCGGTCCATAAAAATGAACCGGGCGTGGATGAATCACGTGTGATGAGGCATAGAAATGAACGAGATTGTGACGATATTGCAATGAGTTTCTGTGTTGTCTTAACAGCATTCAAAGCCAATTCCAAAATATGAAGCTTTATGGCATGGGAATTGGTAAGGTGGAACGAGAGGGACATAACAGAGGAACCGTGAGTTCCAAGCCATAAAGGTGGCAACGTTGGGATATCAACCTCAAAGGGTTTAGCCAACCCAGTTTGGAGAAAATCGTGGGGGCAATTTTTTGCTTTTTTCGGGAATCACTGTTAGAAAGTGCCTTGACGACTATAAAGGTAAAAAGAGAAAAGTGAATATTTCATTCAACATTACTTTCGAGAAATACAATTTTTATAAATCAATGCCTTTTTTGCCTTTTTAGATTTGGACAATGTTGTTCAAGGGAAGGTGTAATGTGCATACAACCTGTACAGACAAAAATATGTCAAGGAATGAAGAGAGAAAATCATTAAAAAAGCAAAATATTTTTTTATATTATTAATTTTAATTGAATGATCAATACTTTTAAGATATTAATTAAAGAACATTTTATTTATTTATCGTTGAAATATGATAATATATTAACAGGTAACCGATGTTGGAATGAAGCAATGCGGTAGTGGCATGGGAGAGGACTTCAGCATGCAGATTGAAGAGGTGATTTGATGTAAAGCCTGTGAGAGAGTTCTCAAAATCCGAGCACGATGTGTCAAATTCCCATTGCATCAATGGTTCACACCCCACCAACCATTCACCAATAGCCATTAGTTATAGCATCACCTGCTCCCTCCTCTTCCCACATGATTGGATAGATCACATGGATGATCATCATTTTCATACTCATGCACGTCTGGTTAATTAATGCCTTAAAAGTGGTTTTCTTTCCTTTATTTTTTATTAAAACATGTGTTTTTTGTACTTATTATTAAGTTAATGACATTCTTTAATGAAAACGTTCATGTGATCAAGTGATAATATAATAAATAAATAATAGATATTACTAATCACTTTTTAATGACAAAAGTTCATGCGATTAAGTGATGGCGAAAAGCTTTTATATTCCATTTTTTAACCTCCCTGATATATATCTATGGATTCAAGAATTCCAACCCCCATCCCCAGTTTGAGTATTTACTGTCTTTGTTTCTTCCAACGTTTTTGCTAGAAGCCTTGGGCCTATTTATTTATTAAAAAGTAAATAAAAAGACTATAATAATGTGACATTATCCAATGTCAACATGTCTTGTGTGATTGACCCTTTGTAATGTAAAATCAATAAATCAATCTCAACTATATCCGCTTTCTTTCTGCTTCCCTTTCTTTGTTTCAGATGCAAAATACCCACTTTTAGTAACATTTGTTTTGTTCTGCCAATGGTCATTGGCATGTTCACCAATGTGCTATGGTATTAAAAGCTGGTACTTGGGACACCATGATACCCACTTGAGAATCGATTAGATTGCATATAACAGTAATAATTCTCTCGTTTTGGTTTTATTCAGGCTCGTGCTAGAGACTCTCTTATCTCCTTATTTAGTTTTCCTTTCTTTGATATGCCATCTGAAAATGATAGCTATTGGATCTCATGTGTACCTTGTAAAATATGGCATTTTTATTTTAATACAGATTTTCTCCAGCTGTGATTATGATTGAAACAGTTAAATGGATCAATCACACCATTGAGATGTCATGCAAATCCTGCTAACTATCATGGTAATTCAGAGTTACTCAGCGTTTCACTTTCGGAAATTGGAATATGAACTCCACTCTACATGATTCCGAAAGATTTTTGTTCAGTTAAGTAATTAGTTTTAACTTGGAGATATGCTTCTCCAACTCTATGTTATGTACGAAAGTTTTGGATGACAAGTAATGTTTTTTAATAAAAATAAAATAAACTAAGGACATTAAAAATACAATGGAGAAGTAAAACGTTTTGTAAGTTTCACTATTTATTTTATTATTATTTTCTATTTAGAAGAAGGTGAAGGAAATTATAAAAAAAGTATTTTATAGGCCTCGTGTGTGTGTTTGTGATAAGATCAAACAAAAGAAGGGGCATACACAATTCGTCGCTTTTTCTTTTTATCATAAAAAGATTTTTTCAAGTGCTAATCAGTACTTAAAGGCTTAGGAGGTGATTAAATAATTAAAAAAATGTTCTTCATACATTTTTATCATAAATTTTAGTAACAAATTTGTTATAATGAAAACTATTATTTTAAGGTAAATATGATTTTACCATTATGGGCAGCAATAAAAGAACAAGGCTACATGCAATGAAAAACAAGGTCGGCAAAACCTATGACCACCCCTACAAGCTCCTAAGAAAAAAATGTCCTAAAAAAATAGAAGAGAAATACATCTTTCTTGAATGTCACATACTGTTGTTGCAGTAAATCGTATGCACAAGAGAGTGTCCTATATGGTGGCAAAAGAAAGCAACAGCAGAGGCAATTAAAAATACATCGTTTGGTGCAACCAAATGCAATATCTGCTTCGGGCTAAGGAGATACCATAACTCTGTACACAATTGAACAAGCACCTATAAACAGAAATGATCATATCAAAGCAAAGATTGAAAATTAAAATTCGAAAAAGAATGAGTGAGAAGGTTGTGACCCAGAGTACCAAAATTTGCGGAAATGAAGTGAGAGAGAGAGGAAATGAAAGGAGTAAGAAGTTGGCGTGTAATAAACATGACTTTCTGATTATTTAATGTTTGTACTGTGCTGACAGGTAAGATATGAAACAGCTTTATTGGTGTATATACATGAGATAGTCTCTCATTATTTATAACTTTAAGGAATAAACTTTTTAAATACTCAACAAATTTAGTAATTTTTTTTTGGAAAGGTTAAAATTCATCACCATGCTTAAATCACGCAATTATAAGTAATTTTAGTTTTATATCTGGAAATTATATTTTACATATATACACAATGCTTTTGTGATTGTATATATGCAAAAGTACTAAAATATCACGGATTATAAAAAAATTAGTAGAATGTTGATTATGGTAGTTTATTTGAACATGTGTGTGACATATTTTAGTTTAATGAAAAAAAGTAAATAAAGATATAGAAGATTTTTAAAAATTATTAAAAAAATAATAATAAATAATATCTTAAAAAATCAATTTTAAATTAAATTCAATGATATGATTCGTGTAACTCATCTTGTGCTATAAGAATTAATTTTCGTTGTTAATATATAACTCTTTTTATTGTGTTATATTATCTACTAAACCTTTTATTTTTGTTTTTCTCTTTTTTAATCTTTTACTAAATACATTTTCTATGAAAAAAACATTGACAACTCCGTTTTGTTAGAATTAAAATATAATTATTTTGATAACAAATTTCTTATAATATTTTTTTTTATCTCAAATGTAAAAATAAACAAGCCTCTATAAATTCGTGAGCTGTGTGACAACATATTCCTTATCTTTATTGTACTTAATTATTAATTTTAATTTTTAAGTAATAAATTTTACTGTTATAGAACTCACAATTTTATTTAAGAGTTATTCATTCCATTTCAAAATTAACTATGATATGTTAAAGTTAATGCATATAGATCCAGAATATCTCATGTGTTTTATTTAATTACGTGTAATAGTTTTAATGAATTTTTCAAACAATTGTTAAATAAGGAAATTGTTAAAAAATTATCAAATTTTAAATATCTAAAATGAAAAGAGTTTTATTAAAAAATCCTATTGCTCTATAATATTTTAAGGGAAAAAGTAAGGTTTTATACAATGGTTGTCCATATAGTAGAATTATTGTATATGAAATGAGACTTTATTGAGTAAAATATTTTAATAAAATTATGTGTGACTTTCATTTATTTAAATACTGTGATTTATTAAATCATACAAAATATATTAAATAAATATAATTATATTAATGCCAATCTTTAGAGTTGAATTTAAGTTTTTAAAATAATATTTTTATTAAAAACAAAGTATTTAATACATTAAAAATATAATAAATGCTTTATTAATAAAAATATTAATTTTAAATATTTAAATGTAACTTTTAAAATTGATAGTAACAAAATTAAAGTAAATTTAATACAATAATTACTTAATCCATTGACTATGCATTAATTTCTATGGATTATTGAATGACAGATTAAGATCAACTTGATTTCTCCAATTAGAAATTAATTAATTTAATTGTTATCAATATATTTAAAACAAATGAAATCACCCATGTGTTAATGTGTCTAAATCACTATTTTGTTTCTCTGTTTACTTCTTCTCACACATAAAACTACTTTCTGTTCCCTCGCTTGTAATTTCTTCACTGACAGACGAATACCTGCACACTTCCTAACACACGCACGCATACTCGAAGCAGAGTCCCAGAACCCTCTCTCTCTCTCTCTCTCTCTCTCTCTATATATAGCTATGTTGAATTGTGGTTATGATAAGGACCGTGGCAGTGGCAGAGTTTAGAGAGATCAGAACAAGAGGACAGTGCAGAGAAAAAAAACACACACATATTTCCACCCATATCATACAAAATCTTACTAAAAAATTAATTAAAGAACTAATAATTAAAAAATATATTAATAATATCTTCTAATAAAAAGTTTATCATTATTATTAAATAGTTAAGATTAAGTAAATTTTTGTTAAAATTAAATTTAAAATATATTGATATTATTTTTTATAAAAATTACTATTATGTAGTTTTTAACAAGTGACTGAGATGCTAATTAACATTTGTCTATTAATATTATTATTTCACCAATTTCCTATGCCACTCGATTCATCAAATCCCCATGAAACTGAAAAAGAAAAAAAAAAGAAAAATGCACACATCCCTCGAAGCAACAAACCCCTGAATTTTTTCCTATATAATGTAGAGCCATCATGTGTTACAATCCAACATTCCCATCCCATTCTAATTAATTTCTTCCTTTGAAAAGTTCACAACTCTCTCTCTTTCTCTTTCTATTGTGCCTTTGCCTTATCTTCTTTCTGTCCTTGTTTTCAAGCTTCTTCTTCTTGTGCATGCTCCTATGGATACCTACTACCACCACTTTGACAACAACACTGAACCACACTTACCACCTGGCTTTCGATTCCACCCGACAGATGAGGAACTCATCACATACTACCTCCTCAAGAAGGTTCTAGACAACACCTTCACTGGCAGAGCCATAGTTGAAGTTGACCTTAACAAATGCGAACCATGGGAACTTCCTGGTAATAACTAATTATGACAATGTTTTGTCTCTCTCCATGTTACTTAAGAAAGTGTGCAAAAAGTGTATGTGCATGGCATGTTGTTTCTAACTGTGATTTTGTTGTTGTTTCATGGCAGAGAAAGCTAAGATGGGTGAGAAGGAGTGGTACTTCTTTAGCCTACGTGATAGAAAGTACCCAACTGGGTTACGTACTAATAGGGCCACAGAAGCTGGTTATTGGAAAGCCACAGGGAAAGATAGAGAGATCTATAGCTCCAAAACTTGTTCCTTAGTTGGCATGAAGAAAACCTTGGTTTTCTATAGAGGTAGAGCCCCCAAGGGTGAAAAGAGCAACTGGGTCATGCATGAGTATCGCCTTGAAGGCAAATTTGCTTACCATTACCTCTCTAGAAGCTCCAAGGTGAGTCCAAAATCGAATTCATAATCATTCATTTTCCACCCTTCTTAATTTCACATGGAAATAATTATTTGCTCTATATTACTTGTTAACTTCATAAGTATTTTTCTTTTTGATTTGTTTTGGAATTCGGTTCATGATCAGAGAATAGTGGTACTGTTGGATCATATATAACGGCAGAAAGTACTTATATATGTTCCCTCCTGATTTTAATCTTGTTCACTTGGCCAACGGTTATTGCCCATTTACCCTTCGGTGCATAGGCACGTTCCTCATATACCCATACTAGTTTGCATGGATAATATAAACCATTATTATAAAAATGATGACAAGGCATAATCACCCCAAAAGGGCACAGCATTAAGCCACTGTATCATTCATTATCACTGAACATTTTTTCCCTCAGTGCTGCCATGATGCATAAGATCCTGAACCCGGATTATGATATCATATCCTCCTTAAACATTCTGCTTTCCTTTAGAACAGCATAATGTTACCTTGACATCCACACTTATTACTATTATTTAAAAAATAAAAAACATGATGGATAATGTTACAAAAAAATAGAAAATATAAATAAGAGAAAATAATTGCCTATTACTATGAGCTTCTTGTGGCACATTTTCGGTGACTAGTTAATTAAATGGCTGAGTTATTCATTGTTATTTTGAATTGATGAAGGATGAGTGGGTGATATCACGCGTGTTTCAGAAGAACACCACAGGGGGTGGCTCCACCGTCTCTGCTGCCACCACAGCCATGGCCACCACCGCCAATTCAAAGAAAACAAAAATGAGCACATCAAATGCTAGTTGCAGCATGAGTCTTTGCCCTGAACCCGCTTCACCCTCATCTTCCATATACCTTCCACCGCTTCTAGAAGCTTCTCCTTACACAACATTCAACGACCGAGAAAGCTGCTCCTTCGACAGCGCCACCAACCAAAGGGAGCACGTGTCCTGTTTCTCCACAATCTCCGCCGATGCTGCCACCCTCGACCACCTCGTTCCCACGCCGGAGCCACCGCTTTGTCAAGACCCTTTCTCTCGGTTCCAGAGGAACAACGTTGGTGTCCCTGTCTTCCCAAGCTTGAGGTCGTTACAAGACAACCTTCAGCTACCGTTTTTTTTCTCCCCGGCGGTGCACGGCGGAGCTGCTGACGTGGCGGGATGTGGCGGCATCGGGAACTGGCCAGTGACGGAGGAGCAGAGGGTGGCTGACGGCGGTTCGGGCATGATGGGAGCGTCGGAACTGGATTGCATGTGGGGCTATTGATTTTTTGCGTTGACCTTGTTGTTCATGTTGACTAGTAGGGTTTATTAGGCTTTTGAATATTTCATTAATTAGTGGGTAGGAATATCTATGTTTCTATTATTGGGTTTGGACCTTTATTTCTTTGATTTTGACTCCATTGTAGTAATTGTTAGGGTTGTTTTGGGGTTGCGGTTGGTTTGATTTAGGTCGTTTATTGTGCATTAATTTTATGTCACTGTGTGGGTTAGTTAAATTGAGTGTATTCAACTTTTTGAAATTAAATGCTTCACTGTATCAGTGTATGATTTTGTTTGCTAACATGATGGGAGAATGCAAATTTAAAGCAAGAACCGTCTCTGCTTTTATTCTTTTATAATTATTAATATATTTTTGTTTTTGTTATCAAAGTAAATATTAATGATAAAATAAGATTTAAATTTATAAACAAGATTTGAGCTAGTATTAGATAAATGTAAAACCTATTTAATATTTTTTATTTAATTACTAAAGGAACTGTAAATATACAAAATAGGAAATTTTAGAAACATGCACTGTAAATATTTGGGAGGGGGCAGGAGATAAAGAGGGTTCTCTCAATTATTTGAGTTGCTTTTAATGGGACAAGCCATGTTTTCATTGTAGATGACTATTATTATCTATTTCATGTTTTTTTAAATCTATTTATTACATTATATATATTTTTTTAAATCGCTGTCAAATAAACAGTCCAATAAAATATTTATTTAATATTTTTCTTTAATCTTTTACCACTTACTTTCTCCCCACCCCCTTTTTTTATACTTATTGCATGCTTTTTTAAATTATATAATTTTTCTCTTCTCGTAGTGTATCTCTTAGATTTGTTTGAGACGGGGACTTGTCTTCTGTCTCTTTTTATTGATATTTTAACGTAAATATTTTCTTCATACCTAATAAGTGAGTGTTGAGTATAGAGTCGAGCATGAAAGGAAGAACAAGAAAAAATAAAGAAAGTGTTTATGTAATAAATGATGTTTTAAGGACTTGATTTGGATAGTTACCTTACAATTATTGTGGTTCTCGATCTCTATCTTTCTCTTTAATATATTAACTGGTTGTAAAATACATTTTCTCTGCTCACAATGGATATTGCGTGAATATAAGCTAATTATCTAACTTGATCTTCTCTTATGCATTGTTGTGTGTGATAAGTGTGAAGATGTGAACATAACTGAGGGTATATATATTCCCGGAATAGAATTGTTGAGCTAAACACATGAATTGAAAGTAGGATAGGGGCCATGTACGTTGAATCCTAGAACTCTGCTATGACTATGACTGGCTATATTGGTTTTCATGTATGGCAGCAGCTTCATAATGAGCGATGACGAACCAACTCTCATCATTGTTTTTCACGAACACGATGCACATCTACACTCCATAAAAATTCATAACATGGGAGTGGGGTGTTAGCACAGTGAATATCATATCATGGTCCAATTGTTACTATTATTATTGAAGTTTTTTAATTTTAAACATTTTTAAACATTTATTATACTTTTATATTGTTAATACAATAATTTTTCAATCAAAATTTATATTAAATACTTTTCTTATTACCAAGGAAATTATTGAAAAATATTATTATGTTTTATTTGAAATTATATAGTTGCATTAAAGATTATAAGAGGATATACTATTGTAACTTTTAAAAAAAGATTTTAAATTTTGACTTTTAACCTCTGTTTGTGAACACATAATAAAATGGACATATAGTAAATTTCTATTAAACATTACAAGATATTATCAGATTTACTACAACGATAATACTATCTGTCATAATTTTTCATTAAAAATTATTATTTTTTATCATGTGTTCTTTAAACATAAGCTAGAAAAATGTTAATTTTTAATTAATATGATTATTCACCTTATTATTGTTATAATTTGAGTCTTACCAATAAATGGTTTGAAGACAATTATTAAAAGATAAAACATATTAAAAATTACAGTAAAAATACAAATTTAATTTAAATATATTAATTGTATTTTTATACAGTCATTTAATTATAAATTACTATATAATATTTTTTGTTTTTGTAATAATTAACACAATTTGTGTCCATGATATAATTTAATTAATTGACAATATAAAATTTTGTATACAAATAGTATATTAAAATCAATATGCATTAATTGTATTTTTAATAAAAATATTTAAATATTTGAAACAGTGTGAAATAGACAGAAATTAACAAATTAGTTATAATTAAAAGTTTTGTATAACATTAAATGGGCAGTTGAAGAAGGTATGGAGAACAGGGGTAAGGTCAGAGAAGACCTGAATTTGGTTGATTTTTCACGTGGGGGTCTGAGTCTAGGTTTAGAGTTGGAGAGTGAGTACAATGGCTATGCTACACCCCATCCTACTTGTGGAAGGGACAAATTTAATGCTCTTCCTGTTAACATTGTTACCTTTTTTCTCCCTCTGCCTCAACTTTGCTGCAGCTACTGCGGGGACCCATAAAACCCAAATTATATAAGCACCCTTTCAACCCATTCAAACTTCAAACTTCAAACTTCTTACTTTAACCCCCCCCCCCCCCCCCCTCCCTACATTGAAGATTGCAACAGTAAAATAATTGCAGTGTGATGATGTAGATCATGCCACTCCATAGCACAAAAGTAGAAACTTGTAGAAATTTTGGTTTTGAATTGCCGTTGGCATGACATCAAATCAATATTCAGTGTTTGCTAGAAGGGCTATATGCCATTGCCATAACTTACAATGTGAATTTAAACTTTGGTTACTTAGAATAATGCAATACTAATACCGTGTTTGGTTCTATGTCTAAAATAATAATAAGTGTGTTTGATTAGATTTTGCTCCATGCATTATGTATTTGAAAAAACGTAATTTTTTTTCATAAATGCACATTAATTGCAGAAGTTATAGATAATAGCGTTGAAAGAAAGTTGAATTATATTGTAACATAAAATTAAACATGTTACAAAATTTAAAGAACAAAAAAGGTAAGTGTAGTTGGGTTCAAATGCAGTAGAAGACATGTATTAAACCTCACACAAATAATTGAAAAAAAAAAAAAAACACATTTTGGTATTAAGAAAATGTAATCATAAGCTACGTTGCTCTAAAGTGGCAAAGATTATTAATATCCCATCCCCATCATCATTGCCCCCTACCCTTTTGAAGAGCTAAGAAGGAAAGGGTATTTTTTGTGTGGAAACATTTCATTGATGCTTCCCACTGATGCATTGGCATCTTATATCCCAACAAAAAAACATACATCCTTCTGAATTCTCACCATTCACCAGACTGATGGCGCAGATCCACTCATACGGAGCATCATCATGCTATGTACTTGGGGTTATATATATATATAGTATACAGCTAAGTGAAGGGCATCTAATTGGGTGCAAGGGTCACAATGTTGATGATGATGGTGAAATTGGTCCTTAGTCTTTTAAGGTACATTAAGTTTGAAATGGGGTATGTGATGTGTGCATAATTGGTGAGGCAATGAGTATAGTGCTTGTTATGGTTTGGGTTTGTGAACATCCGTTAGGGGCAGAGAAAGCAGAGTTGGGTTGCTACTTTGTGCATGAAAATGGCATGCCACGCGGTGTACTATACTCAAGCCAAGCTTTTGGACTTTCTCACAATTATCTGAGTCTTATATTGCTAATTTCTAACGATTTTTCTTGTGCCTCCAAATGTTTATGAAATAAAAGGTAAAAGAAGAACAAACAAGTGCTATAGCCAATGCCAGAGGATGAGTTTGGAACTTACACTAACAGAAGAGAATCATGATTTTTTTTTAATCTTGGATCACTCAGAATCACGGGGTTGAAAAAATGGGCTAATTTTCCTGTTTTCATTTTTGCTTTACTACAAGTTCATTTTAAAACATAAATGCTTTGATCTTATTCTTTGACATGAAGGGAGAAATTTTACAATTTTGGTCTTGGCTTGGGTCTCAAGATAAACATTTACTGTACATTACATGAAAATGAAGGAAAAATCGGCATAACTTACCACCTACGATCTAGAAGGAGATAAGTCTAGTAAATACATTTCTTATTAATGTCTATCTAGTGTTTCACTTTCAACTAAATTTAAATATGATAATCTCTTTGATAAACAGTAAAATAGTAACTAGAAGCTATTCCTATTTGGTAATGTAGATAGCTCAAAAAAAATAAATTTAAATTTAAGCAACTAAACAAATGAGATGGACTAATAAATTATGGAATATTGGTATCCTTAGATAAAAAAATTAAGGAAAAATATGAGTAATGTACTGTTAATATATTATTTGTGATTGATTAATATTTAAAATGGTCAAAACATTTATTTGCAATGTTATGATAAATGTTTAAATTGTCTTTTAATCTAGTAGAATGAAATTAGATCAGTGTAAACACAATGTGTTATTGTTATCATTTTTTTTATTGTACAATTAGTATTTATATATTTATATAAGCAATTAGTTATCACAAACTCATATTAACTAGATTCTAAATCCACTAAGCCCATTTTTTTAATGATGATTAAAACCTCAGTTGACATTAAAGGTACTTAGGAGGAGAATAAGTTTTTGTTTTGAAGGGAAGAAAACATGAAGGAAAGATATATGGAAGCCCATTTTCTTTTTTCATTTAGAATTGATGGCCCCAACCCAATGAAACTAAAACAAAAGAAAACGCAAGAAAATAAGAGAGAGAAAACGAAGACTCAATTGTGCTGCTGCATTGCATGATTCTCGCAAGGTGGTGGTATTTTCATGGCCATGGAAAAGTATTCGCCAAGATTAAGGACAAAGACAAATAACAAAGATCCTATGTGAAATCATTCTCGATAACATTCTTCAAGATGTTAGAAGATCTTGCTTGTTTACATTGTCTCATAATTTATGAGATCGATGAATCTAACAACCGCAAGAGTTCATATCCAATTGACTTTGATCAAATTAATGAAAATGTATCAAATATTTTTAGCCATGAGAATGAATCAATTAGTATGAACCTGATATGAAAAATGAGTAAATGCTAGTGTGAATTGAACGTGGGGCTTTGATTCCTTCACACATATATAATAAGGATAGCATTTTCTTTAATAATTCCGGTGAGTAAACTTATTACTCAGAGACTTATCAATATTTTTAAACTTAGATTGGTTATAGAGAGAATATTGATTTTTTATTTCTTGATTTAATGTGATTGAAATGGTGACAATAAAATGTATTTTTTAATATTATATAAGTTTGAATAAATTTTTAATTTTTGTAAATATGATTTTATTGGATTTTAATCTTTCAAAAACTTTTTATCAGTTTTATTTTCTACAAATTTTTAAAATGGTCTTTGTTATTATTGATGAAATGATATGTATATAACCATATTACATTAACAAATATTTTAAGATAGCACATATAATTGTCAATGCAAGTCATATTATGACTAAGGGGTATTAGAGTTTTTTTTTTTTTAAAATTAAAATTTTATGATGAATAAAACGGAACCGTTTCATGGGAGCATTACACGTAGAAAACATTTGCCACGCACGTAGGTTATTTTTTTTCTCTTTTGGGTTTCTGCTTCAGACTTGAGTGCCAGTTGCTACGCCATGGATGATCCTTCTCAGCTCCTCGAAGCAGCTTCTGATTTTGCTCATTACCCTGGTTCCTATATTCGCTTCACTTTTCTTCTCTGCTATTATTATTGTTGTTATTATAATTTTTCACTGACATTGCTTTGATTTCAGGGGTGCAAAGCGAAGATTCCGCTAGGGACTTTCTTAATCGCTTCCCTCTCCCCCTCATTATCAAGTTTGCTTCTTTTTCTCACTTTTATTATACCCTTTTTCTCCTTTTATTTGTTGTTGCTTATTGAGAGTTTCCTTGTTCTGACACTGCAAAATCTTAGTCTTGTTTGAGAATTTTGTGATGGCGGGTCAGCTTAAAGAGGGGGCATTTGTGAGTGTGTGTGTGTGTATAGTAAAAGAAAAGAAAGTGTTGATGTCAGAAAAATTAGAAATTTATTTATTTGTTGTTTTGCTCTGTGTGTTGAATTTTGCTGGCGCTTCAGGTATGACATATTTTAGACCTGTGTGCATTCAATATATTCTTCATGACTTGAACTGAATGCATTTTGAGTAAAACTTTATATTTCTCGCATATTCCATAAACCTTTACTGTCTTAATCAGTGGAGAACTATTTTCCTTGCTTGATGAGGTTTTTTCAATGTCAATTCAAAGACAATTAAACATCCTTCTAGAGAAACTTGCCCTTGATTTTCTCCTTTAATTTTGCAGTGCCTTACAGACACAATTTGACGTGCCTGGCCTAGAAAATACTCTAGTTGCATGCCTTGAAAGGTTATTCAATACCAAGTTGGGTGCTTCCTTAATCCCACAATATATGGTTTGTCATTTACTCCCTTAGCTAATCCTTTATGTTTTTTGTTTTCTACATTGCTAATTGAACATGGATTGCACACAGCAGGGAATGTAAAACTAAAAGTTTGCTGAAAGTAGTTTTTTTTTCTTTGTTTTTAAGTTCTGTGGGGGAATTGAATGTTTATTTTGGGTTTGTCTCTATTTACCAGCCCATGAGTGTGGCTGATCCAAGTCTTTTCATCCATTATGTTTTAGAACATTTTATATTAGTTCTATATTTGGATCTTATTCAATCATTTTCAATTTTTATAAAACCCTTCAGATTCAGTATTATGGGAATACCGGCATTATTGAAAAAATAGACCAAGAAAACCATATGCTTGTTAAAGCTTTGATTCAATAGATTGTTGACTGAAGTGTGCACTCAACAGTTAAGACCTATGATGAATTTGCAAGCAAAGATCTTAAAAAATTGTATCTGTGCAGTTTAATCATTAATTCAAGAAGGTTAAAAAGTTGTCTTCCATGTTCAAGCATAAGTTTTAAGTCTGCATGTGTAAAGTTAGGTATTATTTTGCCTATTACATTATGTTTTTATTGCTATGGTTATGCTTATTGATTTGCTATTACGTTTTTGGTTCAGTCTTTTGTTCAAGTTGGTCTGCAGACAGATTCTCAAGCAGTCAGATCCTTAGCTTGCAAAACAGTACGTGGATATACTTTGCACATCCCAAATTTATTAGATCTTTCTGTAGCATAATGGAGATTCATCCCCCTTCACCCCCACCAATAAAGGCATATTTTATGTTTGATACTGGAGTTTTTTGCTTTTTCTTTACATAGATCGTTGAAAATTCTAGTCATTCAACCCTCAAAAATCATTTTTATGTGGTTTGATACTTATTCCAGTGACTGGTATTGGATATCTGGCGTATGTGCATCTGGGATATGTATGTAATTGATTAACATTTAAGAAACCTAGCATCAAAGAGAACTTGCCCTTTATGAGATGTTTTAGTTGCAAGGCTGTGCAAAAAAGCAAAAATGATCACCAGTTAATCTTTTGTGAGTGAAGCTTGACTTCCTAGAACTTTTTCTTTTGCTTTTGTCTCAAGTCAGTACAGCCTATAAACTTATCATCTATGTTCTAAAGAAAAATAATAAAGGCATGAATTTCATTAGGCAAGTTGCCCAACAATGATAAAGTTTCTGATTTTCATTACTCACTGATTTTATCTTCTTTAGTGTATCTCATAAAGTTTCTGTCCTAATATTTGTTGCTTGCTGTTAGAAATATAGAATCAATCTTCTTGGACCTTCACCTAATTGCACAAGCTTTTAGGGTAGTTATTCTTTGACATGATGTTATCAGGAGCTTTTATGACCAAGTAATCAGGTATTTGATCTTTGCTGCCCCTGTTATTCTAAATAAAGTTGATTTTCAGCACAAGTTAGAGGTAGAGTGGGTTTGGGCATTATCAATGTTGCAAGCCCAAAGCGATGTTGTTTGAACGGTGTTTAAGAGACATAAAACTAATCATAAACCTTTACTTAGCAATGTGTATTTGGATTAGCCTATAACTTCCTGATAGAGTTTTCAGGGAAAAAAAAAGTGCAATGATTGCCCCACTCCTTTCGTGCAAGCTGTTCCCAGATATGCACTAAGCCTTTTTAGAGTCCTTGACTATCACAACTTCTTTAGTGTATGCATATTTGCGTATCTATCTTCCACCCTTTGTGTTAAAATTATGTGCAGTTCATGATTCACATATTAAAATGAATTTACTTTTCCCTGGAATTAGTTTTTTATGAAATTGTACTTGTTTACTCTTAGCCTTGGAAATAGTACCAACTAAGTCTAGAGTGTCCATATATATGGATGTTTTGCAAAATGGAAGTGCTGAATAAGAAAACTTTTCAATCAGATTTTACTCTCTAAAATATCCTATATCTATTACTCTCTTCCTCCGGCTCCAAAATTTTAACTGTTGGTTTACAATTTATTCTAAGGTTGGTTTCTCTTACTATCATGTGTGTGTTTGTGTAGTACCTTTTCTGCTATTATTTTACTCCTATGTCTCCCACCTATCATTCCTTTCATCCTGGTCTAATCTTTGGTGCTTCTTATTAAAGAATACTGGCTATGTGGCTGTGCATTGGCACTTAAGTTGTTAGTCCAAGTTGTATATGCTCTTCAAAGTTCAAATGTAATTGAAATGGTTTGAAATTATCTATGAATTTATCATCTAGAAATAAACTCTGGAAATACTACTGATGCGTTTGAACAACTTTTCAATATTATTGAAACTTTGTATCATATGGTAACAAGTAACAACTTTCAGGTCACTTGCCTTCTGGAGAATCTTGACAATGATTACAAAGTTGCTGCTCATCTAATTACAAACTTCAACATATATCCTCTTTTGCTTGATTGCCTTATCAAGGGGTCAGTAAATAAAGAATTATCAGTCACTTATCATTCCTGCTTTGCCAAGGTGTTTATCCTATATATAGTTAGGATTTGGTTAGCTTGTGTGACATGGTGCCAATTATGATAAGCTGAATTAGTTAAGAATTCATTCTGGGAAGGTGCTTGGTATTCATGCATTTTTCATTTCTAAGTGTTTAAGATGACATACCATAAGATACATGTGTATCTAATCTAAGATCTTGTTTTGTACAAAAATTGGAAATTATGAAAGAAAAAGGATGTTGTTGGTAATTCATAATCAGGAATGATAGTTCCTCACACATTTAGGAGGTACGAGACCTGTGAATTTCTAATGGGAGTTTGAATGCTGCTGTAAATGCAAATTTATACCTACCACCAAAACTGGCATCTTTTTTAGGTATCAATGAAAGCCAGTAGCCACCTATGCCTTGATGAGAATGATGGTACAACAAATGCCTCCATAGTTTCATATTGATGTCAATTGTATCCAACATTTGTCTTTATTGGAGATTTAGAGGTACTTTGTATCATGAAGCATCGGTTCTTATAATTTGATACATGATAAAGTAAACCCTGCAACTCCTGTTTAAGTTGTTATTTTTGTTGTAAAGCCTGGGCATGCTGGTTAAAAATTATTTTTCTCAGTGCAAGGTTGAGGCTTGTTTAACATTAAACAGTAAATTAGAATTACAGTAAAGGATCCTTTTTTATAATGGTCAAGGGATGCTTTAAGATAGAAACTTGGTATCTTTACCGGAGAGAATAGGGAAGAAGTCCCCAATTTACAGAAATAGAACACACTGTAGAACTTCAAGGGTCTGCACCTCCCAATGGTATATGGTGCCAATTTCCTCTAACAAAGGACAAGTTGCCTCGCCTTTAATGCCCCTTATTTATAGGCAATATGCTTTATTTCTTTGGCCAACTAACCTAACCAATTGCCTGATGTAACTGACTAAGTAATGGGTATCAATCACTTTTTCAGAGGGTTGTGTTAGTGCTTGTCCTTTCTTTACATTTTTTTTCCTGGTTAGATCTGATTACCTGCTCATAAGTTCAATATAATTTTTTTGATAGTTAAATCCTTTGATTTTCACATCTTCTCACATTATGCAGCAATGAACAACTGGCAGCTGTGGCAATGGATGCAATAAAAAAGTTAGCTGGTTTTCCTGAAGGCTTGGTAAGCAAATTCTTTTAAGTCACCTAGATTACTTTTACTTGTATGAAAGGTAGGAGATTGATTGAAACCATATCCTTCATGATTACTGTCTGACTTGCAACACTATTGTAGGAAATTATCTTTCCAGCTGCCAAAGATGGTAATACAGACCTAGGGATTATAGCATCACAATGTTCGTCACTGGTATGGTAACCATTCTGTTAATGCCAGGATTTGTATATTTGTCATTGAATATTTTAACATGTAGACTAGGTTGAATGCTTTGCCCTGAATGCATGGGAAGGCTCTAGCAAATAATCAGACCTCTTTTTTTGCATCCTTATAATGCAATATGTCTACTTTCTTTGTTGGATTTGAGAATTAATGTCAAGCTATTTATGTGAATTGCTTGACTGTTAAGTACTCAGCATACTGATTTCTACAAAAATGTAAAGTAAATACAATTTATATTGACAAGATAAATAAAGAATTGGGTTGTTTTTTGAGATCCTAGTGTTCCTAATGCGTCATAAATTCCTATTGTTTCCAAAAATGTAAAGTAAACACAACATTTATTGAATGTTTCCAAATTTTAGTTCTTGAAGTTGTTTATCCTAATTCTTGAAGGTGTTCCCTGGGCATGTTATGTTTCAGACTGTGTAAAATTGATTTAATTTGCTCTTGTATAACTTTTTACTGTTCTGATTTAGGGCCGAGTTCGTGTACTGGCTTTAGTGGTGAAGCTTTTTTCTGTATCTAGGTCTGCCGCATCTACCGTTTACAGTTTAAATCTACTGAAATTGTTGGAAGCAGAAATCACTGATGCAGATGATACTCTTGTTACTTTAAGTGTTTTGGAGCTTCTCTATGAGGTTACAAATCTCTCCTCTCATTTTTATTTTTGACTTAAGATGCATAATAATCCTTCTACTTGCACATATTTACTTTATAATATAAACTTCATATCCACAGTTCAAACACTTTGCTTTAGTTTTTTTAAGTAGCAGTAACAGAAAAAGGATTGTTTTACATGAAGCTGAAAGGGACTAAGCGTAGTAATCATGTTAATAAACATCACACTTGTGTTCATTACCTATTAAAGAGATTTGCCTGGAGTGTTGTCTCAAGGTCTCAATTGCTTGAATCCTTTTTTATTTATTTGTCCTCAACTTTAAAGTATCTGTACCAAATTCAGGAACTCTGCATTGGCAACTGTCATTTGATTTGCACCTTTCCAGTTCACATTACATCTATATATATTCTCACGTTGTGTGAAATGGATACAGTTAGCTGAGGTTGAGCATGGTACAGAATTTTTATCCAAGACTAGCCTCCTTCAATTGCTTTCATCAATAATTAGGTAATCATTTATTATCTTAGAATATTTTCTTCTAATGAAAATTATGAAAGTTATGTTTCTGATATAAGGACATCCCTTTTCTTGAGGCTAGCAAAAATTCTATGGAATCAATTTTAAGATCAAGAGCAATGATGATAAGTGGAAGGCTACTGTCCAAAGAAATTACATACTCCTTAATAGATGAACCTTGTAAGTCTTGCACTTTTATCCCTTTCTCTTTCCATTTGATGGAAGATACTGAAATCTGATTGCAGTATTTTCAGTTAACAGTTCAAATACTCTATAATTTATCTGTTTGCAGTTGCACATCTTTTTTATTTGATTATCCACCAAAAATCATTGTTATTTGCAAACCTTATCAAGCCCTTCTTGCTAATACAATTGGTCTCTTGCTGGTTTGTGCTAATTTTATTTGTCAATTAGTCATGTACTTCACACAATATGTTTCATACGTTTAGAAAACCGCTGATATGATGCAACCTGATTAAGTCCTTGTGGCAAAAGGTGTTTCCTTGCAGCAGTTGTTCTTCTTGATCTTTTAAAAGTCCACGTGCTTCTCATATAATGTTGCACAATGTAATAATTATTACGAAAGAGATAGAAACTGTCCACTAATATGTATTTGTTGTGCTATTGAATTCAGGTGTTAAAACTCTCATTTCATCTATTGATGGTAGACTTCAGTCGTTAGAACCTTCAGATAGAGATGAATGTGAAATGGCACTTGAATCATTGGGTCATATGGGATCAAGTAAGCATCTCATATTATCGTTGCCTGGTTTTTAACAGATATTTTGCATCTCTTGTAAGAAAATTGATTATGGTTGATTAGATTATATTGATCCTACAGTCTACCTTGGAAGTTGATTACCTCCCATCTTTTCTAGAATTCTGTTGTACTTAAGTAGTTGCAAAAATCTCTCCTGGGATTTGACAAATTACATAATCTCCAACAATAATAAGTAATAATCTTATCCCAAGTCGGCTACATGCATTACATGATGTTATTGAGTTTGGTCAAAAACTAAATTCTTAGAGATATCATCCATCATATTATTCAACATGAATCCTATTCTTTTATTTTTTTATTTTTTTTATTTTAAAAATTATAGACTAAAATTTAGCATAACATGCCCCCAGGTTTATAATGTATATTATGTTAGAATTTGAAATGGAGATCGTCATAATTCAGAAACAAAGATGTGCCTGTAAGTTGGTCTATGTCGCCGCTATTTATAAAAGAAAAATATATTTATAGAGGAGAAGAGAATATAACAATGCAGAATATGAATTCCTTCAGATCAAAACAAAAGGCACAAATAGGGAAAAATTAATATAGCCATGGTGTGGAAGTCCATAAGAAGCTAAGAACATGTTTCTATTGCATAAGTTGCATGCATAAAAGTCTATCTTGGGAAACTTTTGCCATTGCAAGCAAATGAAAGACATCTCAAACCATTGTGAAAATGATGATCAATCAATCTTGTTTCACTTGGTTTTTTCATGTTGAAACTTAGAAGTGATTGTGGACATTACTAAATACTAATAGCAGATATATTGTCAGGAAAACATTCTCATGAAACACTGGATTTTACCCTTAAATCATTCAAAGCAATCTTCAACCATACCAATTAACAACACTAAATATTTCCATCACAATCAGCATTGCAGTTCTGCACTTTCAAGATCGATGTCTGACCTTCAACTACAACAACTTTCATTCTTCAGCATGTGTTCATGCAACTTAATTATCAGTTTATATTCCATTGCTTTATTCAGAGCTTATTTATTAAATACTAATAATTTTTTTTTTTCGGTTTTTGTGATCATAGCTATCCAAGGAGCTACATTACTACTCTCAGGTTCATCACCTGCTGCTAGACATGTTATAGATGCTGCATTTGATCAACAAGGACCTCAGGGGCATGGTAGACAGCTGGTTAGTGAACTAGATACTTGATCCTCCTTTCTTTTTGAAGTGTTTTGAGGTGTCCTAAATAAACTAATGTAATTTGATGCCCCTATAGTCCCATTGTATGTTGTGGTTCAATGGCTTGCTCAGGTGACTTGAACAAGCTTATTGCCCAAGGTTGAAAATAGTTGAAACTGCATTTATGATGCATTGACACAATTTTCTGGTAGCAGTTCTTTGGTAGTAGTATTCTGAATCTTGAAAGTGTAGTTCCCTAGATTTGTTACATCTATTTAGGGGCCCATGAGATTCCTGGGTGACTGGATGTGTTTGCCTCCCAGACATTGATCTGATGTAGCATTTAACTAGTCTGTTTTGATAAGTGTGTAGCACATGCCATGCTGTTGAGTCCGAGTAAAACCTGAAGACAATTTACATTTATTGTCATTGTTAATAATTTTCACGGATGTAGCAAATCCATCAGTCAACAAGTCTTTGTTTTGATAAGGCTTGGTTGTTGTCGGTGCTGTACTCTCTTGAAGGTACAGTTTAAAAGAGAATGCATTGCTTTAAGCTCTAGATTGTAGAAAAAATTGGAGTTCAATTATAATTGGAAGATGTCATGTGCTGATATAACATGTATTATTTCTTAAATGGCAATTACAGGCTGCACTGCATGCTCTTGGAAACATTTCAGGAGAAGCCAGATCTGAGAATAACATGATACTCAATGCTGAAGCTGAAGAAAACCTACGACGCTTAATTTATGAAACCGCATCTAAGAGCACAAAGCTGACACCATCGGTCACCTTTTTCATTCTTTTCATTATCAGTCAATTATTTTTAAGTCATATTTATATTGTTTCATTTCTCTTTAAACTGAAGGGACTGGGCATATATATGAAACTTTATCTAAGCTGTAGCTTTGTCCCAACTTAATCATGACTGCCTGTGGTTTGAATTTTAAATAAAAAGCCACACTGATCAGTGCTTTATGCTATGCGTTTTTCTATCTTTTTTTTTTTTCACTGAAGAAGGCGAATTTTCATTTCTTCCTTTCCTTTAATCCAAATATCATAATTTAGAACAACACGGGTCATGTGTCACTATACAGAAAATGGTTTAAGATAAATATAAGCACAGTGAATAATAGTCCATCTTCACTGATAGCAAAAAAGTCTGTTAACAGAAACTAACTGAACAAATGATTATTGATTAAATAGTAATTGTGCCCCTCCTTGTTGTACGTTAAACAAACATCTTTGCTTCAGCGAATTTTTGAAAAATGTTATTGATCAGTCACTTTGCAGACAATAGGTTGCAAGTGCATTCACCCTTTTAAAAACAACTCCTCTTAGAACCAAAGATCCTCAAGGCTACAGTGTCCATTGAGTTCTCTTTCAGGACAGCTTTTAACTAAATGTTGAAATACTACAATCTCACAACAAAGTTCATGCAATTTGCAGGGTCTTTTTCTGTCTGTTTTGCAGCAGGATTCCGAAGTTCGTTTAGCGGTGAGACATTAATATGAACTCTCATATTACAAGTTTACATGAGCTATATTGCTTGAATAATTCCATCTAAGCTGCCAACATTATGCGGAAGTTATATGTCTTTCCTCATGCATTACTTTTAGGGGTCAATCAGTTTGGGTAATTTTGTAAGAAGGAAATGTAAGGTGTACTACGCAATTCAATATTCAACAATGTAGCATTTAGATCTTTTAATCCCATCAATTTCACCAACTTAAGAAGTGAATCAATTTATGCTAGCTTGTTTCACAGTGAAATGGCAGGCCATTCTAAAGCCAAAAAGCAGCAATCAATAAAGAAGCACTTAGCTTTACTCATAAATTTCTATTTCTCTCTCCCTTGGAGAAGGGTGGCGCACACTAGTCAAACTTGTTTTTAAGCACCACTCCGGATGTGCACGAACGCAAGTGTATTGGTTCGTGAAAAATTTACTGAAAGAAGTCTGATGTGGCAACCTGTGTGACATTTTCAGGGCTATAGAATGATAAGGGGGTTGGTCACCCGACCATGGTGCTTGATGGAGATATGCTCAAAACAAGAGATTATAAATAAAGTGACTGACCCAAGTACTGAAACCAAAAAAATAGGTGTGTATTATGATTTGGATGACTGTTAACATGCCTGTAATAATGATACCAAAGTCGCCAAATTCCGGGTCTTTGCTCCAATATTGTTTTTCTTGACATGCATTATTTTAACATGAATTGGAGCATTTCAGGTATGGAAGCTAGATATAACTGCTGCAAGGCGATACACAAATCATTGACATTGTCTAGTAGAGTTTCTGCTGATCCTGCTTTTGCAGGAATAGCTGCAAAGGTTAGATATCAAACCTTTTCACTATATTGTGAATGTGTGTTTGTGTTTCCTTTCCAGGCTTTTGAATGCTGATAAGTAATAAAAAGAACAATAATATTCTTATGGAGTGACCTTGGGAATCTTGCATGCAGCTGCAGGAAGCTGTTGGAATGGGTCCATATCTAGTTAAAAGGCATGTTGAAGCTCAACCTATTGTGATGACAGCCGAGAGATTTTAGTTTACTGAACCTGAGTGGCTAATCAATACCTGTAGTTGGAGTACATGTTTTTTACCCCCTTCTAGTACAATGTGCAGTGATATAGAACATAAACCTTTTGGAGTGTTTGTCGTGGTCCTTTTTCGAGAGTATATTTAACTTTACAGGATATATTCTCAAACTTGTTCATCATATCATATAATTTTTTTTATAACTTCCCTCTATAGTTTTGCATATAATCATTTATTTTGGAAGTGTGTAATCCGATGTCCCTAAAAAGTAGTTTTTAATATACAGAAATGATATTTACACTAACTTTACGCCCCTTATAACCAAGTCATATTACCAAACGTCAAACACAAAAGCAAATTCATAATTACATCGAAAGATATAGCTTTCATGTAATTTTATGGAATTTTTAAACAAGCATTAAATGTTATAAACAACATCTTTATCTCATTACTTCACCAGAACTCCTATACAATGGGAACTCACCAACGTACATTATCTTCCACCTAGCTATGAATCACCTCTTTGCTATCATTTTAGCGCCCTCAAACAGTATTATTTTTTACTTCATCATACTTCAATATTACACCCTAAGCTGGCCTATATCTCATGAAGACTAAAATAGCTCCAATTTTGATTACCAACATGACTCACTAATAACAAGAACACGAAGTTATTAACAAAATTAGAGCCAATAAAAAGTACCAAGTAATTAGACTTTAAAAAAGTTAATAGAATCAAAATAAAAAGAGAAAACAAATTTAAGCATTAAAACACTAATTTTATCATTATAAAATAAAAATAAATGATTTTACTTGAAATTATCATTAGAATTGTAGACAAATCAAATCCGTCATGCGTAAAAATAATTCATTTCTCACGTGAATAATATCGTAAAAATTTCTACAAATGTCATCTAATTTAAACTATTTAACTCTTTAAATTAACAGAGTAAATAAAAAACAAGAAAAATAAATGAAATTAAAAAAAGAAAAACTAACAAATATGCTTTAGGAACACTAATTAAGAAATAAAAATAAAATTTTTATTAAAAGATATAAAAATATATTCACTCATAATTTTTAATAAGCATAATAAAGACATTGAGTAGCAACATCTAATAAAAAAAGAGCATAAGGGTATTATGGGTAATATGTTACTATTGACAGACACTGTTCGTTCAACAAATAACTCAAACGGATAGAGTCTCTTCGCTCACACAGAGAGAGAGAGAGCGAGCGACGAGAAGGAGAAATGGCAGCAACAGTTTCGTGTTCATGGCTCACCCTTCCCTCCAAAATCAGAAACTTTTCTCTCACTTCTTCTTCTTCCTCTTTTTCCATCTCCAATTCCTCTTCTCTCAGTTTCTCTACAAACCTCTCTCTGTCTCTCTTCTCTCAAGGTATCACCCTTCACTCTATACTCTTCCTTTGATGGGATTCCTCTTTTCTCCCATATTTTCATTATAGAAGTCGAAAAATTTGATTTTGGTGAAGATTACAATTGTGGGTCTGTGTGCGTTGGGTTTGGTTTCAGGTAGGTGCTTGTCGTTGAGCACGGTTCAGAAACGTGGATTTGTGGTGTGCGAAGCTGCTCCAAAGAAAAAGGTTGATTCTGCAGTGAAGAGAGCTCGTCAAGCTGAGAAACGCCGCATCTACAACAAAGCTCGCAAATCAGAGATTAAAACCCGTACCAAGAAGGCAAGTACATTCATCCTATGTTTCGATGAATGTAGAAAGTGAATGATATGGACATATTCTCATGTTTCAATTGCTTAATAAAAATGAAATGGCATTGAATCTTATCTAATTGTTTGGCTTATTTTATATAATGAAGATGATGATGATATTTGTAGCTTTATCATGGTTTATTATACATATTCAAATAATGAAATGATTCAAGTTATTTCATTTTATGTCACTTGGTTCTATCTCATTTTATTTTATTCAATTCCACTCATTCTTAGAATTCAAAGACTGTTAAAATGGAACCATTTTTTTAGTATTGTTAGTTATGAGTGGCCAAGTGTATGCCTTGTTTCACCTCAAGAATGTGGTTTGAAAAAGAGAAAAAGAAAATCACGATTTAGGACTCTTAAGTGATATTAATATGATGACATGACATATATATTGTAAAACAGTAGGGTATGCCAATGCTCCTAGTTTGTGTTAGTATTCTAGATCAAATACTTGTGTTACAAATACAAGCTCAGTCCACTCCTAACCTAATAAGACTACAAAAATAATTAAGAATCACGATATGGTAACAGATGTTATAATTGCAATTGCTTATGTTGAGCACTCTCAAACTCTAAAACTTATGTTTGCTTGATATTGTGAATCATGGTTGCGTTGTGTGTATGTTAAAGTGTAGCAGATGCTTCTGAACTTCCTTGGTATAAAATACTCTCAGTAGACCACTCCTGATTCTTGTCAAAGCTCATGTTAATTTGCCTTGTGATTCCACCAGCTTTATATAGTATTTGTTTGCACGGGTAAGTTTTTTAACAATCTTCTAATCGATGGCCTGCAGGTTTTGGAAGCTCTGGAAGTGCTTAAGAAGAAACCGGATGCACAGGCTGAAGAAATCTTCCCAATTGAGAAGATGATTGGAGAGGCATACTCAATAATTGACAAAGCAGTGAAAGTGGGCACACTGCACAGGAACACTGGAGCAAATCGCAAGTCTCGGCTTGCCAGAAGAAAGAAGGCGGTGGAGATCCATCATGGCTGGTATACCCCAGTTCCTGAAGCCAGTGCCTAAAACAATCCTCATGTTAAGTTCACATTGAGTTTAAAAGGTGCCAGTGAAGACTTATGCAGATTTTTTTACACTCTGTCCAATCACTATATGTTGTCTTCTTTGGTGTTGGTTCAAATTGGTTTACTGTTCCATACTTGTTATGTACTATCATCATGTAGAGCTATTACTTTGAACAGCATTTTCGTAATTAGCCTTTATTGTTCTTTTTCCTTATTGTAGTATAATGCAATGTCTTCTTGAAATTGATGATATTTCCGCTGTGGTGAAAACTTGATTGTTATTGTAATCCTGTTCGTGATTCACCGCTTAATGTTTGCAACTCTTGAGCTAGAGAATATTTGTTGTTTAAGCTTCTTCAGTTATAGGATTATAGCACCTTAATATGGTCAACCTAAAGATAATAGCGAAATTAGATTAAACAGACTTAAATTTACACATTCTTCACACATTAGCACATTCATATTGGACACATCTTGGTTCCATTGGTAGCATTTAACATGCGAATTGAACAAAATGAAACGAAAGGTTTGTTATGCTCTGTTCTTGTTGATTATACTTTATCAACGGAATTAAAATGTGTAATTTTTTAAACCTAAAATGCCATTCTGTTCTATATTTAAAATACATTAAACGCAAAATATAACTCATTTTATGATGTCACATTGTAACCTTACCAATAAATTTATCATCGTAACTCAGTTTGTGGAATATTTCCACTGGCATTTTGGCTTCTGTTTATATCAATTTGCATTCTGCATTCCATCGTTTATTATAGTTGAAATAAGCCTGTCACGGAAGAGACTAAGCAGAAAAAAGCAAAGATCTACGAAGTTGTGCCCGGGCCTCGTCTTCACCCAAGAAAATGGACCTTCCGTAATTGGGCCTCCTTAATAATGTCCATGGGCCTTTTCAAAACTGTAAACATCTTTAACAATATTAAGGCCCGAATACCGAGGCCCAAAAAGACAATGCAATGGTAGGCTGAGGGTGGTTCATTCAAGGCCCATTCTACCAAGCGGTTTGCTTCACTTTGTGACTCACTAGTAGTAGATTTACAAATAGAGCACTCATAAAGATATCAGGTTATGCATTGTGCATATATTGTTACTCTAGGTTGTTCAGACATTGACTTGAGCATCAGAGTAATTTTGCAAATACCCTCCACCTTTACCATTGTTCTAGTTCGAATTTGCATCAACCTTCAACCAATTGGAGTAGACCCTATTGGCTGCAAATCATGAGGATCCTAGCAAGCGAGTGTTTCCCAATTGACAAGTTGTGATTGACAAGTGTACTCAATTAGCAAGTTCTCCATCGAATTGGTATTTGAACTAACAAAACTAGAAGAGTATGAACAAGTATCAACTAAGGGAGAGGCTAAAACTACTTGTTAACTCTAAGAAAATTTGTGCACAAAAAAGGATGTTTAGCAAATAGGGTGAAACTTACTTTTTATAAGTAATTAGCATTCCATTATGTGAGAATGTGACTCAAAATTGGTTAGAGATTATTTTAACCAATGGATAATCACCTAATCTGATTTTACTACTTTACCGTTTCACATTATATTTCATTTCTTTTCTATCTTTTACACATGATTATAGCGGGACTTGTATATAAGATAACTAGTTAAATATTTTGAAGTGTGATTAATAAATGTATGTGGCTGAGAGCAAAAGAGAAATAATAAAAAAAGTGAGATCAGCGTACATCGTAGAGAGAGTAAAAAGTGAGTAAACTTGAGTTTTTCCTGCAGAAGAAAGGTTGGTAAGGTTTTAAGCAAAAAAACCTGGAGAAATCATCAAATCTGTAGCAATCTTAACGCACTTGTATTCACCAGAAAGAATGAGAAATAAATTTGCTGCTTTTTCCTGTGGACGTAGGCCAAATTAGGCTAAACCATGTAAATCTCATGTTTTTCTTCTCTCTTTCTTTATTCTGTTTTTAATATATTTGTTGATATACAAATAGATTTCTACATTAGTGATTTACTAATTTATAAATTGTTATAGCAAGTGGCTATTTTTTTTTTCTCTATTGTTATTACTTAGATAGGTTGCATGTTGGGTTGGCTTCCTGTTCTGTTTTTCTATTTCAGGTCCATAGAGATAAACTATTTCAAAGATCCAAACTGACAAGTGTCGCCGTCTGTGAGGACAAAGAAAAAACTTAAAAGATTCAGAACAAGATGGGAACCACCAAGTATGATATTGAGAAGTTCTCATGGGAGAATGACTTTGGGTTATGGAGGATCAAGATAGAAGCAATCTTGATCCAACAAGGTTGTGCTAAAGTCATTAAAGGAGAAGTAAAAATGTCAAGTTCTTTAAGCCAATAAGAAAAATCAGAGATGATAAATAAAGTTAGGAGTATCATAATCTTGTGCCTTGGAGATAAAGCTCTGAGAGAGGTTGCAAAGGAGAAGACAACAGTTTCAATGTGGTTGAAGTTGGAATCCTTGTACATGACAAAGTCTCTGGCCAATCGGTTATGCCTAAAGCAACAACTCTACACTTTCAAGATGACAAAATTAAGAATGGTCACAAAGCAGCTGACTAAGTTCAACAAGATCCTTGATGATTTAGAGAACATTGAAGTGAAACTTGAGGATGAGGATAAAGCTCTTCTGCTATTAAACTCGCTGCCAAAGTCCTTTGAGCATTTCAAGGATGCTATCTTGTGTGAAAAAGATCAAGATATTACATTGGAGGAAGTTTAAACTGCAATAAGGACTAAGGAACTACAAAAATTACAGGATTCAAAGTTTGAAGACAATGGAGAAACCTTGAACATCTCAAGAGGAAGAAGTGAAAAGAATGGCCAAAAGGGAAAGAAGTCTATATCAAAGTCTAAGGATGGTCAGAAAACAAAGTTGAAGTGTTTTTCACTGTCACAAGACTGGGCATTTAAGAAGAACAATCCAGAAAAGGCAAAGAAGAAATCAAAGGGATCCATGGATTTTGTAGACATAGCTGTTACCTCAAATGGCTATGAAAGTGCAACAGTTTTAGAGGTCTCTACCTCTAAAATTCAGGAGGATTGGGTCATGGATTCTGGCTGCTCCTATCACATGTGTTCGAGGAAGGAATATTTTGAAGAACTGGAGCTGAAAGAAGCTAGAAAAGTGCTTCTAGGAGACAATCATCCATGTAAAGTGCAAGGCATTGAAACTGTGATATTAAAGATGTTTGATGACAAAGAGTACCTTCTAAAAGTGTAAGGTATATCCCTGAACTCAAAAGGAATTTGATTTCTATTAACATGTTTGATGATTTAGGATATTCAACTAAAACTCAACATGGTGTTCTTAAGATTTCTAAAGGATCTTTAGTCATTGTTAAGGGTAACAAAGACAAAAACAATTGCCTATTTATCTTAGATTATTTTGTTGTAACTGCACATGTCTCCCTTGCTAGTAACACACTATTTGATAAAACTAAATTGTGGCACTTAAGATTAGGTCATGTTAGTGAGAACGACTTAGTTGAACTTGAGAAACAAAATCTGCTAAATGGTGATAAACTTGATAAGCTTGATTTCTGTGATCATTGTGTACTTGAAAAATCCCAAATGGTGAGATTTGGGACTGGTACACATGTCTCAACTAGACCATTTGAGTATGTTCACTCAGATTTATGAGGACCTTCTAGAGTGAAAACTCATGGTGGAAGCTCATACTTCCTCACCATAATATATGATTTCTCAAGAAGATTGTGGTTGTATGTTTTAAAAAATAAAACTGAAGCATTTTCAAAATTTAAAGAATGACATACTCTTGTTGAAAATCAATTGGGATCTAAACTAAAAACCTTAACAATTGACAATGACCTGGAATTTGTTTCAGAATAATTTAATGAGTTTTGTAGGAAAGTAGGTATCAAAAGGCACAACACACTCCTTCACACTCCACAGTAGAATGGTCTAGCAGAAAAAATGAATAGAATGATTCTAGAAAGGGTCAGATGCATACTTCTAGGTGCAGATCTACCAAAGCCTTTTTGGGGTGAAGCTCCAACACTGCAACCTATCTAATTAATAGGTGTCCATCATTAGCCCTAAGTTATAAGACACATATGGAGGTTTGGAGTGGTAAACTAGTAGACTATTCAAATTTGAAAGTGTTTGGATCATTAGCATTTGCACTTATTAAGCAAGGAAAACTTGAAGCAAATACTGTAAGGAGTATTTTTCTTAGATACCCTGAAGGGGTGAAAGGGTATAAGCTATGGAAGCTAAAACTTAGGGAATCAAGGTGCTTCATAAGTAGGGATATAACCTTTGATGAAACTAGGATGGAAATGCTATCTAAGGACCAAAAAGGATTGAAACCTAGTAACGAGAATACTTAATTTGAGGTGGAGTCTTTAGAAGGGTCAGATCAGGCTAGAAGAGAAAATATTGCAGAATTGACAAATCAAATAGAAACAGAAAATTCAGAGCAAGCTTCAAAATCTGATGACCTCTATAATTATCAATTACTTAGAGATAGAGGAAGGAGATAATTTAAACCAACTAGTAGATATGGATTTGTTGATGTAATATGTTACGCTTTGAATGCAATTGAGGATATTCAAGGTTCAGAACCAAAAACCTGAAAGGAAGCAAGGGAGAGTGAAGATAGTCAACTATGATTTCAAGCAATGAATAAAGAAATAGAGTCACTAAAGAAAAATTAGTCCTAGATACTGGTGAAGTAACCTGAGAAACAAAAGGTTGTTAAATGTAAGTGACTATTTAAGAAGAAAAAAGGAATTGCATGTGTAAAAAAGCCTAGGTATAAAGCTAGATTGGTTGCTAGAGGTTTTACACAGGTTGAAGGGATTGACTATAATGAACTTTTTTCACCTATGATAAAACATTGCTCAATAAGGATCCTACTTGGATTGGTAAATTAGTCTAACTTGGAACTTGAATAACTTGATGTAAGAACAACATTTTTTTCATCAAAACTTGGAGGAAACTATCTACATGAAGCAACCTGAAGGTTTTGAAGAAGGAGAAGACTAGGTGTGCTTACTGAAGAGATCCCTCTATGGTTTAAAGCAAAGTCCAAGGATGTGGTATAAAAGGTTTGATAAGTTTTGACAAGTTATGGATTCAACATAAGCAACTATGATAGTTGTGTCCACATTTTGAAGAAAACGGGAAACTGCACTCTGTATCTTCTTCTCTATGTAGATGACACTCTCATTGCTAGTGTAAATAAAGGAGAAAGAGAAGAGCTGAAGCACACTCTGAAGAAGGAATTTGAAATGAAAGAATTAGGACTTGCTAAGAAAATTCTTGGAATGGATATTCAAAGAAATAGGGAAAGAAGATAGCTTCTTTTATTTCAAGGAAATTATCTAAGAAGGGTGGTAGAAAGGTTTAGAATACATCAATTTAAACCAGTTTCAACACCACTTGATCATCACACAAAATTGTCTATTGATCAAGCCCCAAGGTCAATTAAAGAAAGGTCTAAAATGAATCAAACTCCTTATACAAGTGGAGTTGGAAGCATAATGTGGGGAATGATTTGTAGTATACCTGATTTGGCACATGCTATGAGCATGGTGAGTCAGTTCATGGGAGATCTGAGTAGTTGTCATTGGGATGCTTTAAAATGGATTTTAAGATATCTCAATGGGTCATAAAATGCAGGCTTAATGTATAAGAAAACAACTAAGGAGGAGGCTATCACTGGCTATGTAGATGTTGATTATGCAGCAAATGTTGATACCAAAAAATCATTAACAGGATATGTGTTTACTCTGTTTGGAATGATAGTTAGCTGAAAGATAACTCACCAATCAGTTGTGACACTTTTAACTACAGAAGCTGAGTACATTGCTATGACAGAAAGAGTAAAAGAAGCAATCTGGCTTAGAGGAATGATAGGTGAATTAGGAATAGAACAAGCTCAATTCATGCTCTATTGCGACGATCAAAGTGCAATTCACTAACAAATTATCAAGTCTATCATGAAAGGGCAAAACATATAGATGTGAAGCTTTATTTCATTCGCGATGTTATTGAATCTGGGAAAATGAAGATAGTAAAGGTAGCAATTGAAGACAATCCTGCTGACATGTTCATAAAGTCATTGCCAAGGGTCAAGTTTAAGCATTACTTGGATTTGATAAGCTTTGTTGGTGATTAGAACATATAAGTGGAAGAGCAGCCTAGTGCAGTACAAGCATACTTGAAGATTTAGAGTCAAGGTGAAGAATTGTGAGAATGTGACTCAAAATTGGTTAAAAGTTATTTTAATGAATGAATAATCACCTACTCTATTTTTACTATTTTATCCTTTCACATTGTATTTTATTTTATTTTTGTCTTTTATGCATAACTACAGCTAAACTTGTATATATGACAGCTAGTTAGATATTTTAAAGTGTGATTAATGTGTATGTAGCTGAGAGCAAAAGAGAAATAAAAAATAAAGTGAGATCAGTGTACACTGTAGAGAAAGAGTAAAAAGTGAGTAAACTTAGGTTTTTCCTGCAGAAGAGAGGTTGGTAAGGTTTTAAGCAAAAAAAGCCCAAAGAGATTATCAAATCTATAGCAACCTTAATGCATTTGTATTTACCAAAAAGAATAAGAATAAATTCGTTGCTCTTTCCTATAGACGTAGGCCAAATTAGGCTGAACCCCGTAAATCTCATATTTTTTTTCTTCTCTCTCTTTATTTTGTTTTTGATATATTTATTAATATATAAATAAATTTATGCGATTAGTGATTTACTAGTTTATAGATTGTTATAGCAAGTGACTGTTTTTTTCTTTGTTATTATTTACTCTCTACTATTTTTCTAAATAAACAAAAATTGTATTATAACTTTCTTGATGATTTGAAGAATGATATCACATGAGAAATATTATCTAAATAAATATTCATACCCGCGACTAATGTCATAATTCTGTCACTTCAACTCTAAAAAATATATTTTAAACATGATCAACTAAATTATTTATATAAAATCATTTAATTTGTCAACTTTATTTTTAGCATTAAATTTAAATATTTAATAATAGTATAGTTTTGTTAAAAAAGTATTTAGTACATTTTTAATAAAATAATATTTTATAAAAATAAAATTATTTGTAAACACTTAAATTTAACATTTAAAATTGAAAATAACAAAATTAAAAAATAATTGAACTTAGGAAAATCTTGATACATGTTTTTCTGTCAAATTTCAGTGGCTATCAACTTGAGTAATTAATGTTGAATTGGATCAGTAACCTTTATTTATATGATTATTTCCTAAGGGAGGGAGTAGAAGATGTAGAGCTAGGGGTAGTTGGAGACACAGGTCCAGATAAGGTGGGAGACTTTATGACCTAATAATATTGCTTAGGTAATTTGTATAGATCATTGCCTAATAATATCAATGAATTAAGAACTCATCAATATAACTTGTACACAATTTTCATTTTTTTTAAAAAAAAAAAATTGCACAACAATCATAAGCTTGTTAAACACACTTTTACCAAAAAACATAAAAGCAGGATATTTATTTTAATTAAATATAAATATGGGCACGAGGTGATATACAAAATGAGTATTGTGAACTGTGTTCCACTTAACCGTACGAAAAGTAATACAGGGGCGGCTATGCGTGTTCCCCGCCAGGGATCCAAACATCCACGTGTTAACATTCCAACTTTATTATCATTCTCTACCGTCTGATTCATACGTTATAATTTTTTATAAAAACAAATATTAAAAACCACACAGATGCTGATCCGTTCCACGCGGCGATGAGGCGGAGCGTGCCGACAAATGTATGGGGAATGATCCTCAAACTGCCGTCATGCTCCGTTTATAGTAACAGACAGAGAGAGGCGCAGATGTTTAAACCGCCGTTAAAGGCCACACTACAAGAGGTGTGGTTGATCCTACGTGTGGTAGGCATAGGGGACCACATGGCCCTGTTTTTCTTGGCTTAGTGGTGGGACCCACCTTGCCATTGCGATGGGGGCGGCGCGGATGCACCTCATCTGATGGCATACAGTGCAGTCAAACTTCAAAAACCTCGTTGACGGAGCCCAATTATCCTATTTCATGCCTTCCCAATTCCAATTTCCTTTATCACCCTCCCTCCTCCACGCGCCTCTATCTACTGCTGCTTTTTTATTACCCTTTTTCAATTATAATAATCTCATAACATCAATCGACAATACTATTATTATTCAAGTAAATTTTAATAAAATTACTTAAAGCATGGTACTGATTTCCTTATCCGGTACACAAAAAACAGGAAAACATAAACATCTGTCCCAATCTTTTTCCCAAATAAAAGGAATATTGAATGAAACAAGGGGCACAAAAATGGCCAGCAGCATTTATGCAAGTGAGTCTACGATGAGTATGCAACAAGCGCCTAAAAGGAGCGTAGCTTTTTTAACGCACACGCACACACTCCTCTCTCTCTCTCTCTTCATTTTGGCCTATAAAACCCCTTTCAACTTCTTTTGGTTCCCTCAAACATTGTCCCCTTCTTTGAAGCCTTCCACTCTCTCACTTGCTTTTTCTTTTGTCTCTCAATCTCGAACTCAAACCAAAAAACAAACATAATGCCTCCCAAGGATAGATCCAACCTTCTTGCTGGACCCAACCCGACCCATTTAACCAAAGAGATCCGTTACCGAGGAGTTAGAAAGAGACCGTGGGGCCGTTACGCCGCCGAGATCCGTGACCCGGGGAAGAAAACGCGCGTCTGGCTCGGAACATTTGACACCGCTGAGGAGGCTGCGCGTGCTTATGACGCCGCGGCGCGTGAGTTCCGTGGGGCAAAGGCCAAGACCAATTTTCCCACACAAGTGGAACTGACCAACAATAACTCCGCGCGTAGTCCTAGCCAGAGCAGCACCCTGGAGTCCTCCTCCCCGCCACCGCTGGACCTCACTCTCTCCCCGCTTGCAGGGGGCGCCGCGTTGGGGTTTCCGGTGGCTCGCCCTGTGGTGTTCTTCGATGCGTTTGCTCCGATGGAGATGCGCACGTTCGATCTGCCGGTGGCAGGGTTCCGCCGCAGCAGCGCCGATATTGGCGGAGCACAGAGCGACTCCGATTCGTCCTCAGTGGTGGATTATGAGCGGGTCCCACAACATCGGAGAATGTTGGATCTTGACCTTAATGTTCCTCCTCCTCCGGAGGTTGCCTGAACCTGCAAAAGATCCAGTTTTTCCGCAGTTATTATTCGGTTCAGTTTTTATATAAAACCGTATATTAGGTGCTTTAAATATTAATCGGAAAGGAACGAAGGTGATAGGTGACATGATGTGAGTTTCTGTAAATAGATCATAATTAACCCAAAAAAAAAAAGCAGGTTTTTGTTTTGGTGTCTTTTCTGCTTTTTTTAAACGGCAACTGAAGGCTTATTTCGCTGACTCACTGTTGTTCTTGCTGTTGCTGTTAACTTCAATATATATATATATATAATGGCATTTTCAGATTAATCAAAAAATTCCTGTCAATGTTTTTTTGTGTTTGTGTATGCTGAGAAGTTTTCCAATTGGATTTTCCAATCAGCCAAATGGAACGTTATATTTTGAAGAAAAATAATGGTTGATTGAGATCAGCCAGACATGTTGGCATTGTTGAGCTCTTGAATAAGTATTGTTTTATTTATTCACTGGATGGGACGCTTTTTCTTTTACCAGTTCAACTTTAGTTTCAAGATTGAATGAGCTGTGTAATTAACTTTAAAAGTAAATTAAGTTTTTTGTTAATTAGTATTTTGAATATTGTTTAAAAAACATTTTTATAAAAATAAATAAATAAATAAAAGAAGGGAAGTACTGAAGTAGGGGCGGCACCGACGGCAAAAGGGTTGCAGCGAGAGGAAATGAGAAGAAGGGGTTGTGAAGGTCCCCACGTCCATCCTGTTCACTCTCTCACGTCATCTTTCTCCTCTTTTTCAATTCCCATTTATCATAATTTAGAAATTACGTTAAAATATATTGAATATTATAAAGGGGAGTGGATATTTTTTTAATCTCTCAATTAAATACACTAATAATGTAATTAATATAAATATTATATAGAAATAAATATTTTTGACTCAACTGAGTCTTTTCATGTTTAGGGTTTTCAGTAATATCAAGTGGAAGTGACTTATCATTTTAAAAAATGAAGTGTAAAATAAATAAGGGGGTATTGAATTGAATTGATGCGCGTTGATGGAAATGATTGAAAAGGAAGAACAAAAGTGGGGACCATGTGGACAAAGGGTGATTGCAAGCGTGGCGGCCGCTCATAAGTGGGTCCCTATGCTCCCTTCTGTTTTCCTTAATCCATGAAAGCTGTTCCAACACGTGCTTAAAGAATCCTATATCTTCACTCACCAAAATACAAACATCCCTTATTTTTCTCAATAAATCTCCATTTTACTTGAAAATAATCATCCTAAAAGAATATTTATAATTTTTTTATTGACATTAATTTTTTGTTTTGGAACATAATTATTACTTTATGTTGATAAGAAAATATTAACAATAAGTAATTTTTTTCATGATATAAAAAAATATATAAAATTTTTTAAGTTTAAATTTCAGTAATTAATAATAATAAAAATATTATTTTTAGATATTTATGCTGAATTCTAAAGATTAAAAATAAGAAAATGGAATAAAAATAACACGATATCCTATCCTTTCTCTTGGTGACACTATCTTATCTCCTTTCAGTCACGACCTCACCGCACCGAATAGTGTGCATGTTGTACCATAAGACTTCAAAGGTCCAATCATTTACCTCCACGTGGGCATTGCTTTGGGGAATAGAGGAAATATGACAGAATGACACGTGGTGATCAAATCAAGTTGACGCGTGTTGAAGAATAGACTAGGGTTTGGGCGGCTGAACTGTGTTGAGCTGTCAGGTTATTGGGTTTCACAGTGACTGATCGAAATGTGAATGAGGTGCTGAGATAATGTGATTAGTTACAACTTATATCTTATGTGCATTTTTCTATTAAGTCCATAAAAATATATAATAATTTTTTTTATTAAAAATCATAATATTTAAAATATTAATATATTAATTTTATACCTTTTTAAATAAACTATTATTATATATTCTTAAACAAGCATTTAAAAAATCAAATTTCTTACCATCCACCTCGAGCATTGTGGGTCTGTCTATTTTATCATCAAAGTCAAGGGGATAATTTTGATCCACCAATAAAATGAGTATGATCACGCTCCATTGTTTTTTTTATTAAGAAGTATCTTTGAATAAAACACACACAGAATTGTTTAATTTTTTTAAAATATCACATTTCTTCACTTAATTTATGAAAAAATTTGTTTATTATCATAATTATTACATTATTTTAATTACCAAATTTTATGATGATTATAACTTATGTTATCTGCTTTTTAAATATATATTTTCCTCCACATACACGTTTTAAGTATAAAAAAAACCAATATGAAGTACATTTATGCAACTGTTAAAGTACATTTTACATTATATTTTTGTCTATTTCACTTCTATAATCAAAAGTGATACGAAACTTTTTATATTTTGCTTTATTAATTTTTTATATTCTTTATCTAAACTTTTATTGAGCGGTCATTTTTTTATTATAGATTATTTTTTTAATTAAATTATTAAAATATGATATTTTTTATAAAATTATCTAAATATGGTATATCTAAAAATTATTAGTGGTAATCTTTTATTCTCAAAAAAAATTTATAACTTTTTAAAATTCGCCAATAGCGACCTTTAACCAATGTAAATTTTTAAAAAATGTTATAAAACGTTATTGGCGATTTTTAATTAGTGAGACTATAAATATTGAAATCTTTGTTTATAGCAACTCACCTTTACAACCATTTGAACCACTTCCTACAAAGTATATGTGAAGCTTATATGTTTACGAAACGAAAAAAAATGAGTGTATCTGTTGTAATTTATTTTAAACGTGAGATTATACCAAATATGAGTGAATATGTGACATTTGCACGGAAAAAACTAACGTGTGTATATTCCATATAATATATCATTTGAAAATTAAAAGTATTAACTTTGTCAATATATTCATGAAAATCTATTTTCAAAAACAGTAGAAAGTAGTATGTATCGATGTCTAGTGTTGATATTTGTCGTTTTTATGCAATATCATTCAATTTCAAAAACCAACAATGATGATGTTCAACAAATATTTTAGATACATCAGCAATGTCATCCTTTAAGTAGTACGTTGTATGTTGTTTTAAAAGTAATGAGGTTCAAGAAGAATTTGTCATGCTATTAGAGATAGAGATAAATTGGGAACACAACAATAGCAAAAGTAATAACTACAACTTTAAAGGAGAATATCAAAGTGATGAGGATCTTAATGATAATGCTGATGAAGAAGAGCCCCATATGGGTGGACAACATCCTTTTGGGAGCCACCCTTTATGCGTGAATTAGATCTTGATGCTATGAATGATTTTGAGTTTCTAGAGTATGTAAATTAGATATGTGAAATTTGTAATTATGTCAATGAGATTAATTTTAGTTTTGTTAATTAGTTTGTGTTTGCTATTGATAGGTAACGCAGAGATAGATAGTGAATTATATGTTGGATGACAATTCAGTAACAAATAAGTTGTTATAAAAATAGTAAAGCATTACAGTATATAAAAAGAAGTGGAATACAAGGTGTTATAGTCAGAACCAAATACTTTTTATTGTAAATATGTAAGATATGACTTAGATTGCAAGTGACTTTTTCAAGTTAGTTTTAGGAAGAATGGGTATTTTTGGGAAATTAAAAAATATAATGGTCCACACACTTATTCTATTTAAATCACTTCTCAATATCACATAAAGTTTGATACGGACATAATTGTAAAATGTATAAAGTCAATGGTAGAATTCGATCTTTCTTTCAAAATCAAAGTAGTGATTGGAGAAATTCAGTCTCGATTTAGATATACGATAAATTATCGGAAAGCGTGATTGGCAAAACAAAAGGCAATCGAAAAAATATTTGAGCATATCCAAATTGACGTATCACACGGTCAGTTGCATATCACTCTATAACTTCAAAACATATAAGAGGACTAACAGTTGACCACATTTGTTGTTCCCACCTCACTTCATCTGGAGTTACTGCATCAATTTCATCATCCACGTATGGTGTCCACAAAAACTGCAATAAACAAAATTCATTAGCGTTAATCTCCATTAAGAAAAGTTTGTTTAGATATCATAATAGTAATATTTAGTAAAACTATTTACCTGATTAATATCTGTTTGATCATAAGCTAATCTAATATTTTGAAGATTCTTAAATTGTGTATTCGCTTGAATACATAAGTGTCTACATTTAAGAGCAAGTGGAAATATTATTGGTTCTACTGGGATTAGAGCTAGCCATGGAAGGCGATGCCATGCCACACCTACATTAAATTATATCAAAACTAGCATTTGTAAAATTTTTATAATTTCTGTCCTTGAAGACATTATTGACAAGTGACAAGAGCATAACAATTTCATTACATGTTATAAATAATATAAAAAATTATTATTAAAATACATTATCTATATTAAATATCTTCTACAAAATATTTATAAAATAATATTCTTATAAAATTAAAATTCATTATAGTAATACAATTGACAAAAATATTAACATCAACGCATTATTAACAATCAACATATTTAATAAATTACAAACAAATTCATAATAATTATTGTTTAAATTATAATTATTTAAAATGTAATAAATAATTATTAGAAAACGTAGATATTCAATATAAATATTTAACCATATTGTTATTAATTATTTAAAATTAATTCTTAAATTTTATTAAAATATTTTGTGCATACAAATTAGTAATTACTAATTAATTAAATTACAAATTATCCTAACTTATTCTAAAATAAACTTAAATAACTTATTACTAAATTAACTTAACTAACCCATTTAACAGCAAAATTATATTATAATATAATGTACTTTATATCATATATAAAAAATTTAAAATTAACACAATATATTAATGATAACATATATACTAAAATACACATTAAAAATACATTAAATAAAATTGAAAAACTTACATTTAAATTCTGAATTTACTCAGAAATATGTTTTCTTAAATCAATAGTTGAATCTTTAATTATTTTTTCTGAATTTTTTTCTTGTTTCATACTCTCTCTCTCAACCTCTTCTTTTTCTTCTTCTCCTCCTCCAAAAAGCCTCTTCTTTTTCAATTTTTCATTCTCATTCCTCGCACACAGCATCAGCTTTAGTGGACATATATAAAGAGAAAAAATCACCATCGACAATTTATTGGGTCTTCCTTGCTATAGCTCCCTACATGGCGTGATGGACAAATGTCAAAACTCACCGTTAGCGAGTTTATAGGGTTCATAGGTCTTTTTGGCTTCGTTTCTATTCATGGCAGTGTGAACAATTGGTCAAAAAACACCTTTTAGCGAGTTTATAGGAGTCAAACATCTTCTTGGCCTCATTTTTGTGCATTGTAGTGTAAATAGTGATAAAAAAAAATGCCTTAGACGAGTTTACAAGCCTTAGGCAGAGATTAAATGTGACAACTTTTGCACAACTTTAACCATCAAAATCGTCATTGACAGTTTTAGAAAATCTTGTACAACTTGAAACTGCAATATGAACTCCTTACCATAGTTTGGTCACGTATAAACCATCATTGGTGTATTTTGTAATGCTATTTTTCAGTAATACTGCAAAATATACCATATTTCTGTACTTCTTTTAATTTTATACCGTATTCAAATAACATTTCCTTTATTAAGTCATATTTTTCATTTTTCTTTCATTCCTTTTCATACATAGTCATACATTGCAAGTTAAATTTTCTTTGCAGTCCTTCCACTTAAATTATTTCTGACGTGTAATAAAATATAAGCGAAGAATAGTATAAAATATTTTAGACATTAACTAAACAAAACAAAGTTTAATATACTTTTATTCTAGATTATATAAATCTTTCCCATTAAATATTATTTTATGAGTTAAATTGGGAAATTTTAATATAAAAACTTAATCAACAATTAAATTTGTTTAGTTTTAAATTTTTTAAAAATAACTAGCTTAAAAATGAATAAGAGAAAAATTACACTTATCTAAATTAAAAAAAATTTTAAATTTAAAATTGACAAGAAAAATTAATTAAAAAAATTAAATAAAGATTTAATGATTTTCATTTAATTTATTTGTTTTAATATTTAATCTAATTTTTTAAAAGAATTTTTTGTTAAATTTAGTGCATTAAAAAATTGTTTAATTTATTTCATTATTTTTTCATATAAAATTTAATTTATTTATATTTATTTTAGACACAATACGGATTAAATGTATTATTGATATTATAATATATATTTTTAATAATATTTTATGTTATAAATTTTAAAATTAAAAATAAAAAATATAAATATTTCATTATCGTTTATGTTAATTTTACTTTATCTAAATTAAGTAGGATATTCACACATATTAATAACGGAAATTTTTTAATAAAAAGGAAATATTTTTTTAAGAGATTTGTTTTAATGTTTTTAAATCGTAATTTTTTAATGACAAATACCTTATTCAAAAACAAGAAAAATATATTAAAATATGAATTTAATTCTTATACATGTCACACAATCTCAATTTAATTTTGATAAGTAATTTTTTTAATGTAGTCTTTATTAATGCAATTTTTTTAAATATTCCTCCATATTAGGATCTCCTCATGATGTTATAGAAGTCGTTATAAAATTTTAATTTCATCCTTTCATGCGTTGCAAATTTTAATTGGTTATTGCATAATAATAATTTTTAAATTGTTCTTTAATCTTTATGAAACGTATCAGAGACTATTCTAATTTTTTTAATAATTAGGATTAAATTAATTTTTTTATGTGGAAAAATTAAAATATACAACTCATGTAAGAATTAATATATAATTTGATAAAAAAAAAATTGCAACATTAATAGAAAAGAAAAGGAAAAAGTAAACATCTTTGTTGAACTTTGCGACCAGTGGTGACGTTTTCGTTGCTCGGTCTTGACGGTAATTTTCAGTTTCAATTGAAATTGGTTTAACCTTGAGCTTTGGCATTGAATACTTAAGAATAGTGAGTGGTGAAATCAAAGGGTCTCTCTCAACCGAAGAAAATGGGAAGAATATTCACGGTGGAGCTTGAAGGCAGGGCTTATGCTTGCAAGTCCTGCAAAACCCACCTTGCCCTTTCAGATGATCTCATCTCTCGGGTACCATCTTTTCCCTCACCAACTTTACTTAATAATAATAGTAAGTACTGACCATTGTTGTTTTACCAATTGCTTCTGATAATCTGAAACAGCCACACACCGTTAATTTTTTCTGATTAAAAAAAATAAAACAAATTTTAATTTTTTATTTCGTTTTTCTTATGTTGGTGTATGAAAATTTGCTGTTTTTCTTATATTGGGTATGTGAGATTTGTTGATTTAGCTGTTAGTATGTGTTAGAAGAATGGTCCTGATTGGTAAAAATTTGAGCTTTTTGTGGAGTCTTTACAGAATCATAAGATTTTGTTTTACCACTAATGCAGAGAAAACTTTTTGATCCTTTTAGTAATCAGTTTGCTACACCTTTGAAAATGGGTGAAGAATTTTACTTTTTCATGTTGAAATCATTCCTGGATTTTCACTGAATCCTTGAAAATGTGACAAGGATTTACTTTTGCATGTTAAAATCATCCATGCATTTTTCACCGGGTTTTTTGAGGCCGTTCAACACTTGTTTATGGTAAAATTGAAGATATGCTGATAAGATTGCCTCTTGCAGGAAAGAAAATGTAGTTCACTTTTATAACTTCATATTGAGGCTTATATTTTTCAAATCTGGGAATCATTGGATAATATTCTGCAGGTTTCATGAAACAATTATCCCAAAAGTTTGAGTTGTTAGGTGAAGACAAAGGAATGGCTCTATATTAAAATTCTAACATGTTTCTTTCTGCATGAGCCCTTTGGGCTTGAAGCGTGAACAATGCACAGATCCACCTACCTTGTGCTGAAATTCAACTTTTTATTAGAACAATGAGGGAAGTAAAGATTGAGCTCTTGATTATTAGGTCATAGAGACTCTAATTCCATGTGACACATCACACATGAAGGGCTTTATACAACACTTCTGAAAACAGGTTGATATTCTAATACAGGTGCACTTAGTAACTGTCCTTATGATAGGTATATCAATTATTTATCTTTCAACCAGTATGTTGTGTCTAAATGCCTATATCAGAGGAATAGATGGTCCTGTATTTTATGACAAGAAAAAGACTTCAGTAGAAACTTACGATATGTACTTCTAACTGTTGATTACTTACTGTTGCTTTGTGTTTTTTTACATGTTTCTCTTTCCATCTTATTATGGTGGGTGTTTGTCTGTGATTATCGTATCATATTTTGTTGGTTGTGAAATGCATTATTTCTATTTTTTTGGTTTTGCTCGGTTTCTCTCAGTATGTTGCTGTAATTGCTCTTCTGGGTTGTTAATTTACTTGCCTTAATATCTGGTTTCTATTATTTTCAGGCATTTTATTGCCAGCGGGGAAAAGCATATCTCTTCAATAATGTGTGAGTATTTTTTATTTCTAATCCATTAATGACAAATGAATTATAAATTTCAAGTTATGATAGCTGTGTATAGTAACATAACAGCCTTGTGACTTGTGTAATTTAGTGTTTCCATATTGCAAGATTAAAATTGCATTTAGACATAATTTGATACCATATAAATCAGTTTGTGAAAATTGCATTCTGCATTCATTTTTTAATGTATTTTTGTTTCGTAATAGCAATACAAGACTGAGGCATTTCAACCTGTTGCACTACATATAAGGACTGACTGCTAAACATATTCAAAAGGGGAACTATGCTAACTTTTTAATTTTTTTTGTGTGTTAATTGATTTGGCATAGATATTTGTTGAAGACCAAGAAACAAGCTATTTATGATATGTATTATGAATTGATGAAGACTATACTGCAGAAAGAAAAATCTACAGCACCACAGAGCAAAGCTCCTTATAAAGCCTCTCAGCCTTGTTCCACTGTAACAAAAAGTGAATCACCCCGCATCTCTGAAGAACCACTGCCCCTAAAAAGCACTACACGCGTTGCCTACTTTCCCACACTTTACCAACTCTCCCTTATTGTTTACCATTCTGCCCCTTCTTATTTCTCCTACAACTTTTCAAACCCAAGGTCCATGACTAAGTTGAATTGAGCTTGTCAACTCAGGTTCATTGGACTTGACAATATTAAACTTATGTTTTTAAAGAATTTGATGTGTGAAAATGATTAATAGCCCTAATCAGTTTAGATGCCTGGCACATATTGATCCACGGGAGCTATTTCATGTTTTGATTCATTTTATTTCTCTATTTATAAGTACTTACTAATAAATTTATCCAAATTGAGTCTTAGTGGATCACTTTTTCAGTAAGAGCTTATCACCAAAGAAAGCTTATGTATAAGCACTTAATAAGCTTATTTTGATAGGTTAAACTTAGGACTTTCATATAATCTCTTTTTAACTTATTTTAATAAGCTTTGCCATAAAGCTTATTGAAATAAGCTAAAAAGAGCATATAGGAAGGTCATAAGTCACTTGATAAGCTTAAGTCAATACTTTCAATTTTCAGCTTAATTGCCTATATCAATAAATAATCTTGGATAAGCTTCTTAGAAGCTCTTTCAAATGCTTGCTAAACTCTTGCCTATCAACTATTTAGGAAATTGTTTGTTTCCTTTTTTTCTTTGATGAAAATATTGCTAGATTTGAAATTCCAATTCTTATGTGTATGCATTTTGTTTTGGGCCCATGATTCAGTGTGAACTTCACAATCGGAGCCCTAGAGGAAAGGATGATGGCTTCTGGACTGCATATCGTGGCAGATATTTTTTGTTGTTGCTGTGGTCAAATAATTGGCTGGAAATATGTAATCCTCTACCTACCTGTCTGTTTTTTGTATATCAATTATCTCAATGTGTGTTTTAGGTGAAGAGAGATATTAGCAACATATTCTCCGACACACTCTTTCTAACACACTTGGTTATTGACTAAAATTTATTAAAAATCATAAAAACTCTATGATTCTCATTCTTAATTTATTGATTCTTGCTCCTATTTTAATGATTTTCTCATATTTTTGTAGTTTTAATAAATTTTAACTAACAACAAAAAAATGAGTTGTTCTTAGCACTTCTCGCAGGTGAATTCTCTTAGAATATCTATTCTGCATGGGTGTCCAGAAAAAATTTCAAGTATTTATTTTCATTCTTTTGTGCTAACCTGCTTTCATATTACTTTTGACCCCTTTGAAATTGCATTCCTCTCTTCCAGGAGTCTGCACATGAAAGATGCCAAAAGTATAAAGAGGGGAAGTTTGTTCTTGAAAGGTATTATTTCGTTGTCACAATTTGAGTTATACTTCATACTCGATTGTGTTTGTACTGACTGTGCATAACATGCATGTCCATATAACAGAGGAAGGATTGTTGACGAAATTGATTTGTCCACTGGTTTCCATATTGAGAGCTGTGTCAGCACGAGTGACGCTGAAGATGCTTAAGCTTGTTAAAATATTCTTTACTTATCAGATCGAGTAAAAGAATGCACTGCTTTTCTATGTGAAAATAAGGTAGAACCATGAAAATGTTCAGAATCGAAGTAAGTTTGTTCACCATCTTTATAGTAGTAACAGGTAAAAAAGTAGAATTTTCAATGGTGTTTAATTTGTGTAGACAGAAAGGGATAAAAAAAGTAAAATTTAAATGGGGCCTTTAAATTAATTACCTTCAATGTTATGACTCATATAGAACTGACACGGGGCATCAAAATCTCCACAAAATACTGATATTGTTAATAGAATGAAGATCAATTATACTTGTATGGTTTACTCCAACCAGTTTGATTAAGTCTATCACTTGGTATTGATGTTTCTTTATTTTTAGTGGCTTTTCTTTCAAAGTTTTAAAGTATTCCATAGATTGATCTTCTATAATTTATGTTTGATGCAAATGTGTTGATATTTTCGCTATCGTTTATGGTCACAATTCTGGAAGAGTATCCATTTAAACACAAAAAATTCAAGTGATACATGTAATTTGTTATTAGAGTTTGAAAGGCAACATTTAAGGTTAGTTAAGTCCACAGTTTGAATGACTAAAATCTTTAGTCATTGTCTAAAAGGAATTATTTGAAGCCTTCATTGATATTCATTGTTTTGCATAAAGTTGTATCCTCTTGCTCATTGAATTGAGTTGTTTGAAGAAGCTTCACAAAACAAATAGGATATCTTGTGCAAATAAAACACAGTCAAAGCTAATGCAAAATACAAAGTATGTCTTGGGCAATGCACGAATGCATTTATGCTTGCATAAAACGGAAAAAATGGCATTGGCACAAGTACATTAAATTTTTGCATAGCAGTCTATAGTTAATACGAATAAGAGTTTACATCATCAACCAAGAGCTCCAATTTAGAATGTTCATTTTCCTTTAGAAACAATATATATACAGGACATTCAATGAATAACGACCAACTTGCAAATGCCATTCATTTTCAACGTTTTTCTATTATTTCACTCCGTTTATTTTTCTAGTTCTTATTGTATTAAATTCCTGTACCTGTACTGCAATAAAGAGATATTTCCGATTTAGCTATCATTGTTCTTTGTTTGAACATCTTTTAATTAAATTTACTTTGGATGAATGATGAAATAGAGAACAGAGAAATAAAAAAGAAAGAAATGAGTTAGAAATAGAATAAAAAAGATGTTTTGTAGTAGGAAAAGAAAAGAAAAGAAAATTTCTATATTTGTTTATTTTAGTAAAATAGATATATTTAAATTTTTTAAAATAATAATAATAAATTATTTTAATAAAAAATAGACATTTTAATACAACATTTTTTCTTAATACTTATTTATCTTCTAATTTATATATATATTTTTTATTTTAAAAATGATTTAACATTGAGAAAAATTAAAGTAAAAAAAAAAAGTAAAGAGAAAATTAACTTCACCTCATAGCTGATTTCTTAGAATTGGTGGTGAGAAACTCCAATTATGAATTATGGGTCCTATTTTACAATTTTCTTTTCTCCCATCACATAACAAAGAGGTACAAAGAAGAGAAAAACATATTTTCTCTGCTAATCACTCGCCTTAATTTCTTTAATTAAAATCATCCCATCTAAACATTTTTAGTCGCTTCAATTTTCGTATAACTGTAAGTACTCCTTACCTTTAATATTCCCTATTGTAAATTAAGTTATTTTTAAAGCAAAAATAAAGCATACCAAATAAATTATATATCTATACGGAAAAAGAAAGCAAGATTATAAGAAGCATGCATATTTTTATAAATCTTTTATAAAAATAAATCAAATAGTTAGAATAAATTTTCATTGTTATTGAGTCATGAACCCACATATTAAGTAATGTGCATTAATCAATGGTTAAGTAACAAACTTAACACTCCAATAATTTTTTGAAAAAAAGTGGGTTAAACCTGGCTAGCTGTGAGTGAGCTTGTTATAACTCATTACTTAAGCAAGTTAGGTCATGGTAACGTCCAATCTTTGTGAACTAAATTTTTTGCAACCCAACCTATCAGCGAGGGGATTCTTTTTGTTTAGGTTTCTTGTCTCTTCACATGTACCCACAACAACAAACAGACTTTGGCCATGATGAACAAAAAAGAAGAGGTTCGAAGTCTATTAGTAGAGATTCTAAACTCTTGAAATTTTTATTATATTTTATTTTTAAAAACAAAAAACTATTTTTTTAAAAAAAAAAAAACAAACATGTTCTTAATTTTAAATCTTGTTTTGAATTTTAGATAAAAAAAAATTAGAGCAGTGCATACTTTGTTCTCTAGTGATTCAGTCGATGCATTAAATATTGCTCTTTTGAAGTTGAAAATTCCTCATTAAATAAAGTGCAATTGGACCAAAATCCAAAAAATTTTATAAACACATCTAAGATATCGTTATAAATTACAAAGTATTCCAAAAATACTCATAATGTTAAATAATTTAATTGGTGACTTATACATTAAGTGAATGAGTATATCCAGTTACACACTTATACAAGTAATGGATGAGTGTTTTGCTTAACACAAATCTAATAATAAATAAGTGTATAAACAAAATTTAGCATTTATTGTATATAAAAATAGTTCTTTATATCTTATAATTAAAATACGGAAAATATTAATAGTTGTTTCTTATAAAAAAAAAAAATCAGCAAAGAATACTACAACAACCAAAGATGGCATTGATCATTTCCAAAGTGCATGTCAGTTGCAACTGGGTAGGTTAGAAGCTATCCCCACACAAAATATGCCGGGAGGCATCAAGCTACACAGTTAGGGAATGGTTGGGATCTACCAAACCTCCAAATTGATCACTTACATAAATGAGTTAACAAACATCCAAATTTCTTTTTCTGCCACTCACACAAGCCCAGTCATCCATTCTGGACACTTCTATGCCTTCTAAGAATGGTGAATATCTTTGTATGATGCACTGTACCTGCACAAAACACGACAATATTATTAAGCAGTTATAGGTCAGAATGTAAAAGTTATAGTAATATATATAAGGTCTGTTACACACTAGTAAAGGGAACTTAAGGTGTCAGAATATTATTGTGTTTTGAAGGAGGAAACTCTTTCTAGGGGGAACCCAGAGATTGTTAGGGAGAAATCATGTGTTAAGTATTCAAATCTGGCCTAAAAGCCAGATTATTTCTATCATTCAATTAGAATTCAGTGTGTTTATTTCTTGAGTCTAACAAAATCAAAATGCATTAATTAAATTACCTGCTCAGATAAGATACCAGAGAGACCAATAACTGCTCCAGGCTTTACCCAAGAGATAATTTCATCAGCAAGGTTCAATAAAGGATTTAATAGTATATTTGCAATGACAACATCAAACTTATCCCTTTCAGTAACTCTTTGCATCTCACAAGTGTTTTCTCCTCCCATAACTCCAAATGTCCAGTCATCCTTGGAGGATGAGGAGGTTTTGCTAGCAATCAGGAGCAGTTGCATTTTGTCTGGTCCAATGTTGTTCAGGGAAGCATTTTGAGATGCTGATGCAATTGCTTGTGCATCTACATCAACTCCAACAGCAAAGGCAGCTCCAACCTGCAAAGGCAACAGGATGTCAAAATTGGAATTGAAGAGTCAGGTATAAAATATACAATGTTAACAATATCAAGAATCTGATACAGAAAGATTTTGGCAACATATCTTAAATCTGAAAAAAAGATAAAAATACAAACATGAAATTTTTGGATTAAAAGTACACATTATGACAAGATATCAAGTGAATTCTCAAAAAGGATATGGTGTTCTTATTTTGAAGAAATAACAGCAATTGGATCAAAACATGTATTTTGCCTAGTCAAATATGTGGATAAACTATCAGCAAAAAATTGCAGTTTTTTTTTTCTTCATTTTAATACAAGAATTGTACTTCCAGTTGAACATCCTACCCAATAAGTAAAATATTAATCTTGAAGGAATATGAAAGATCATCTATTAACCAAAGAACATACATGGAAACATAATGTCTCTATATTCATATCAGACCCTAACATATGGTTTATGGATCTAAAGCTAAGTAATTTTCCCTCCTTTATCAACGCATAAGCATGTATGTATCTATACAACAGTTTCTAATTAAATTTATAGCCAAAACGTTTTATCATGATGAATGCTGTAAATAATATAAATTGGGTAATTTCATAAATAGAAAGATTATGCGGATTAACAACTGAAAACCTTTAGAGCTGCAATTGCAAGAATTCCGGTTCCTGTGCCATAGTCCAGAACATGTTCTCCTCCTTTTATACAATCATGTAAGAGTAATAGACAAAGTTTGGTGCTGGCGTGTTCCCCTGTTCCAAAGGCTACTCCAGGATTGAGAATTATATTTGTTGCTTGAACAGCCTGTACAAAATTCAGGATTGATTAGCAGAAAATTCATTTTATAGTTCTCAGCCACAATCTCTCTTGTAGTATTCAATTTAAAGAGGGCAAAATGTAACTAGATATTCACAGAAGTTGCCCAAATAAATAAATATATAAAATTGGCATGCATGATCAGCAAGACAGAAATCATAGCAAGTTAGCAACTCATCATCTGTAGAGAAAATTGAAGATAGTCATACTGGTGGAGTGCACCACTTGGGCACCACCCATAGGCCTTCAGTAACTTGAACTGGTTGAAATAATTCCTGTAAGCATAGATAGATGAAATTGATAAGTTCTTTTCAATAACAAATCTAGCTTTATAATTTAATTATCAGCAAAATGAATGGTTTACCATTTAATAGCATGCCCTATATAAGAATGTTAAGGATACAGTACTGGGGTGAGAAAAATCAAACAATTAGTTAGTTGTCAACAATGAGTATTATTTTAATAGTTCCTTTACTTCTCACAGCTTAAAACTTCACATGCAAAGCCAGTTTCTGGTTCACACAGGATACAGCTATAATTTTCACTTATGCCCCATAGTTACAAAAAATCGTTTGAGAAATAACAGTAGTGAAGATGGAGCTTTAATGGGTATTAGTCCCTGTTTCCATGCCCACACCCATCAAATTTTATAGGTATTACCTTTATTTGGACTCAAACTCATTGAGCGGATATTTAACATACTCGTTGTAGGTACTTTTTGCAGGTATCCAATAAGCATAGAACCTACTGTCATCCCTAACAATAGCTGCTATACAGAAGGGGAAAAGGGGACATAATGAAATAAATAAAATATTTTATTTTTCAGTGAATTTGCACATGCATTAGATTTAATCTCCAATAACACAACAAGAGAACAAACAATGACAAAAACCACGAACAAAAGAAAAGTAAATTTACATGAGCTCTCTTTATCCAGTCCTCCTCCTCATTAATTTTAACTTCATATCTTGGTATCTCCCTTAAACCAATAGAATCAGCTGCATGTGAAATGCTTGCATTTATATCTTCACCTTCAGGAAAGATTGAACTAATGCAAATCTGCAAGAAAATATAGTCTTTTAGCACTCACATCAACGAGTGCCTTAATACTATTTCATTCCAACATTTAATTTGAGTGATGTTTATCAAAGATAAAACCAAACAGTTTCCAAAAAGAATAAATACCTCATTTCTGATACTAGGAGTTTGATTATAATATGTCATCAATATGAGCAATTGGGTAACAGCCTAGTGAGTAGTGACTGACTAATTGTTGGAATGACTATGATTAGAGATTTAATTCTATTGTGTGATTTTGATGATATTTAATAATAATTTTGATATACAGGAATATAACTATTATGATTAGAGTTTTAAAATAAATCAGGAATTGAATTTAATATGGTGAGGGTTCTTACCCTGGCAAAGTTATGAGTATGATTATTAGGGTTTTCTGTTGAAGGAGGTTATCCGGTATTTGACTGGATTTAATACTTAATAGTTCATTTTGATTGTGCCAATTCATTTTTCCCTCCACATTTTTTTTATTAATTGAATCATGAATAGAAATTGTAGGCTCCTCACAGATTTTGACACCTCTTAGTGAGGGGAAGGGTTCCATAGCAGAGAACAGAACTTTAGAAGCCTCTATTTATATGTTCTTTATTGCGCTCAATGAATTTCTGATCATATGTATTCAATATGAATAAGTTAGGCAGGAAGTTCTGTCTTTTTCCTCTCTCTTTCTCCTTTTCTTCTGTCATATCCCTTTTTTGTGTGCATTATTCATGAATACCAAAAATAGGTTCTGTTAAACCAAATGGAAAGGGAAAGTTGGTAATATTTTGATAGGTTCTCTATCTCTTTCTCAACAAAATGGCATTTGTAAACATGAGTGCACAGCTTCAGCTCAAAAGAATTTTGTCTCCATGATATTCTTCTAAAGTTACACCACCAGAAGTTATTTTCTAGACACCCTAAACATTCCTGAATCACATGCATTTGAAAGCAGGATTATAGGGTACGTAATCCTCATTTTATTGCTTGTCATCATTCTTTCCTAAAGATTCAGTTAATCTTATAACAGGAAAACCTTTATTATAATCATAACCATATCTAGGATAAAGCTTGAAACAAACAAAAGAAACAAATTAGATAAGAAACAAAAGCACTCAACAATTATAAGAAAAAAAGAAATAAACCGTTAGAAAAAAAGGAAGCAAGAGTCTACTTCATCAATACTTTGACAGATATCTTCTTGATCCATGCTTACAGAACTTGCACCAAAGCATAAAAGAGCTTCTGCAAGCACATCCTTGTCATCACGAAGAGGATTATGTTATTGAAGGCAGTCAAACCTTTCGGCAACAAAACAAAGTTTTCATGCCATAATTTGGCCCAAAATTTGCTAAAAATTATATTGAAGTCTAGCAGACACATCCTTCCACACAGAACACATACTTCAGTTGCTTTAACAATACATTCTAGCTCACTAGTCCAATATAAATAAGCCATTCATATTTTATTTTGATGGGATTCAGTGATTTTGACCAAGGAGGGCTTCCTATGATTCATGTATCCAACCGCACTTAATAAAACAAAGCTAAACAATAATAACCTCTTGGCTAGATTGGTGGCTGTTTAACCAGTGGCAAACCATCATCAGCACCTTATAAGTTGGCCCATTTCTCTCCAATGTCAAAAACTTTCCTTTTAAACACAAGTACATTCTGGAGCTGTAAAATGAGTTTGCTCAATCGGGTCCACCATTTCAACTTTAAATTTTGAATCTGAATTAAATCTGATTTTTTTTCAAAAACTCTGAAATTATTTAGCCATATCCGATTAATCTGACGAGAACTAAGCCTATAAAGACCCACAAAAGGTTTTTTTTTAAAAAAGCTGGGCTTTGTCAAGCTTAGACATCTTTTCTGCAAGCTCGAACTGGATCAGAGCCCAAATGAGCCATATAACCGGTTTTGCCAGCTCTCGTATTTTCTTTATGCAACATCAAGCTATGCTTTTAGCCGTTAGTTCAGACACCAAACACCAATTTCAGAAGATGGGTAACTTAAAGTTCTGAACTTTTCAACATTCTAAACATACCCAGTTGGTCAGTTACTCGCATAAAGACTAAAATGCAACATTACAATGCACAAAGACAAAAAGAATAAGAAAAAGGGTGAAAAAGAATGTTACTGCAGTGTCTTTAGGACAGTAAATCAGAACGGAACTATATGGTTGAGGTAGATTAAGAGAGTTGTCTGATAGAGCGGGGGAAGAAAAAGCTGTAGAAAAGTTTGCATTTGGAGATGCAGCAACATCAACATTGGGATGCAAATGGTGAAGCCATTGGTAATGGTACCTAACGATTTTGTGATGGTTGGAGAGAAAGGGAAGAAGTGGTGAGTAGTGTATGAGGCGGCGAGAGAGGGTGGGGGAATGAGCGCCAACAAGGCACGTTAACTGTTTGAGGAAATGCAACGCCGCCATTTCTTTCTCCTCCCTCTTTCACTTCACCTCCGCTTTGTCCAAAACCCCATCAAATCTCCAACGTCAAAATCCTATCACCATTTAGTTATATAAATTCAAAAACGAAATTCAGCCTAATATTTATAGAAAAAAAGTTCTAAAATATATTCTTTCTTTAACATTAATTTATTTTTAAAAATTAAAGCATTTATTTTATAAATTATTTTTACTTTTATATTTATCACTCATAAAAATTATATTTAAAAATATATTATGAATATTCCTTTTAAAGTAATAAGAATATTCAACTATTTATGTCATTTTTATTAATTTTTTATCACATTACATTATATTATTTATTTGTTTATTTATTTTATTCTCTTATATCTCTCTCTCTCTCTCTCTCTCTCTCTCTATATATATATATATATATATATATATATATATATATTACAATTGGAAATATATTTCTCATACCTTTTAATAAAAAATATATGTATTAATAAAAAGTTAAGATTAAGGCTAATTTTTAAGTATATTAAATAAACATATAATTTAAGTGTTATTTAAATGCATTTTATCTTTGAATACAAAATAAATAATTAAAATATGATATTGTTTTATCAATTCAACTAGTTAAAAAAATAATTAATAATAATCACGGTATATTTTAAATTTTTAAAAAATATTTTATTATCCTTGTCAATCATAATATTACGCACACGTAGATTAATAGGCAGAGGTTGCTGGAGTTTAAACTTTTGAGTTCAAGCTCGATGAATACTCGTAAGAAAAAATTGTAACAATAATAATCATTCGAAGATAATCGCTTACGATTAAAAAAATACTTGTGTTTGTGTTGTGGCATAAACAATTCAATTTCAACGATGAATCATACCATTATAAAAACAAATAACATACTAAGTCATACAAAATATAAAATTACAGCAGTCCACACATGCTTATTATTTCACTAGCCATGAATATGATGCAGCTTGAAGACACTTCTTCACGCTTCATCCGAAAGAATCATAGTTTCAACTATGAGCACGACAAGCGATGACAAGTTGAAAGCCTCAGCTCTAGAGGGAGACATAAATCTTCTCTACACATTAATTGAGGAAGATCCACACGTTTTGGAGCACAAAGATTTGATACCATTTGTTGAAACTCCTTTGCATATTGCTGCCTCATTTGGGCATGTCCAATTTGCCACTGAGATTATGAGGTTGAAACCTTCATTTGCTTGGAAACTCAATAAGCAAGGATTCACACCCATCCATGTTGCTATGCAACATGGCCAACAGAGAATGGCACTTCGCTTTGTAGAATTTAACAAAGATCTTGTTCGAGTCAAAGGGAGGGAAGGCCTAAGTCCTCTTCATTTTGCAAGTCAAATAGGAGAAATTGACCTTTTGGCTAACTTTCTTATGGCTTGTCCTGTTTCCATTGAGGATGTTACTGTTAGAGGTGAGACTGCACTTCATATTGCTGTGAGATATAAACAGTATGAGGCTCTTCAAGTCCTTGTTGGGTGGCTCAAGAGGACACGCCAGAAAGATGCTTATAAATTAGAAAAAACAATATTGGATTGGAAAGATGAGGCTGGTAATACCATTTTGCACGTTTCAGTACTCATGAATGACTCAAAGGTACCCTTCTAACTATATTTGTTACTTAATTTTGATTAATAGTATTTCATGGATATATTTTTAGTTGCTAAGAGGAATAATGTTTAGATCTCCTTTGTTAGAAATATGATCATGATGTTCTTTATAAAGTTTGGATAATTATCTTCTCTAAAGATAACTTTTGAGAGAGTTAGATTCTTTAATATGGTATGTCTATCAATTCATAATATTGAGTCACTTACAAATGTGTCTGAAGAAAGTGTTTTCAGATAAGATTTAGATTCTTTGCGGTAAGAATTTATCCAGTCAATTTTGCAATTACCAATTAATTACTTAACTTTTTTTCTTATACTTTATTAATTTTGTTAAATTTTAAAAATAAAATGAAGGGTAGCGATTTATCTTCTTTTTTCTCACCAGATGCAAGAATCTAGGTTGTTTAAGATGTCTTATATTAGGTAAAAATATGAATAGAATATTTAGAAGTGAGTTAAATCTTTTTTTTAAAAGATTTTGCTCATCTAAAACGAGGTGTGTAGAATGAAGAAGTGTATTGACTTTTATGTAAAGTTAGTTATGTTTTAAAAATAGTTTAAGATCAAGAAATGATATGTCCTTACTTTTTTCACTTTACACATTTTCTTATCTAAAAAGAGCTGAATTCTTAATAAATGAATCTATAACAATTGTATTATTCCTTGGTACCATAGGCGGTTGAATTGTTGCTAAAGACTAAAATGGATTTGAATGCAAAGAACTTATTGAACTCAACAGCATTAGACATGGCAGACACACAAGAGATGAGGAGAAAGTTAGTGAGGGCTAGAGCAAAACGTGGTTCATCAGTTGCCAATGCTCCCACCCTTGCAGAAAAACTAAGATCAAATACCACAATTATGGATAAAATAATAATTTTTATACTCCGTATTAGAAGGGACATAACAGAGGAACAACGCAACGCTTTTCTAGTTGTTGCTGCTCTTGTTGCAACTGCCACATATCAATCAGCACTAAGTCCCCCTGGTGGAGTTTATCAAGCTAATGCTGGAGATAACAGTAGTAATAATAATAATGATACTAACAATTCAAACTCTACTTCCCTCAATTCTACAGCATCTTCAACCCAAAATACTGCTGGCAAATCCGTCATGTCTGTAGGTGATTTCCTTGTCTTATCCATTCTGAATTCAGTTGCAATTTTGGTGTCAACTATGTTAATTTTTATTCTAACTCCAAGTGGGACTGTGGGTAGGATACTATTTACTCCAGTATTTTTCTTTGCCTATTGCTATCTTTATTCTATGAAGGTGGTATGCCCTAATTCTGCTACCTCACTTGCCAATTACATTCTGGCAACCTTATTCAACTTCTTGTACGTAATAGCATGTTGGACGTTTGCCAAAGTGTACAAGAGGCTTCAGCATTATGATAAGAATGGGCAAATCAAAACATGGAGTAGTATAGGAGGGAATAGATGGTAGTAATAGCATTGGTGTAAATTTGCTAGTTTGTAGTGTAGAATCAGAACATACGATTGCTGGCCCAATTGATCAAAGGTCAGTAATTGATTATTAATTTGCTCTTTCACCTATTAAATTATGGTTATGGTTGTCATATTTTGTGTAAAATATTTGCAAATTGTGCTGCATCAGCACGTCAGGTATTTGACTCTGTGTAAACATGGTGTAAAAGCAAATTGTTTACTCCTCATGATGTGATGGTTTCGTGCAACAATCTGAGGGCTTTAAGGATTCTACTTCTTCAGTTTTGACTTTCATGATTGCTTTGATTCTATTTGCAATAGCTATATTCTAAACATATATATATTTTTCTGAATAGAGATTGAATTGAATGATTCATAGAGTCATGTGAACTATCTCTCAGGACTTGTGTGGAAGAAGTCATTAGACAGTTTATTGAAAATAATTTATGATTGTCGTGAGTTTTTCATTTTAATAAGTTTGTTAATATAACTTATAAAAATAAGTTATTTTTAACTTATTTCAATAAATTTTATTATTTAAACAAATCTTATTAAATAAACTGCGTATCCAAATGTATTTTAAAAATTGAAAGGAGATTTTAACAATGATATTTTATAACGGAGAAGACGTAGAGACATTGCTTAAGGGGCTTTGAGGGTATCCTGTGAGAGCCTGAGACAGTAATTCGCAAATCAAATTGAAGGGAACTCCTTTAAAATAAAGATTGTTCGGAAATGTGAACAGAATTAAAAATCGCCTCCAGAAAATAAGGGTCTTAATTTATTATTCATTTTTCATCCTTCTCCTTTTAAGTTCCACATTAGATCAAAGGCTCTAAGACCCATATATCCTTGGTGATCAGAATTGGAATAATGTCAAAACGTATTTATGTGCAGTATTGAGATAAAATTTCAATTCTTATTAAATAATAACACCAATAATACTTATGATATTAAATTTGTCCTAAATTAAACCACTTGTCAAAGTTCAACAAATCTTGATCTTAGACTAGGGGAGGTACCGTCTCAAAATGCGTCAATTTTAAATTTTTATAATATGTACTGTCACTTACACAAATATAATATAATGACTGTTGAAATATTTGAATTATATTGCTAAATGATGTGTTGGCCGTGGTATATTGGAATTATCTTAATCCTTACATGGCTTGCGTTGGTAGGATAAATTTGTTGTAGAACACAAATGGAATAACTCCTAATTCCCATGTTCGGTGGTAATAATGTATATATATTTTAAAAGACATCAGTGATGGCTCCTTCAGGCATCAATTCTCTCACAGGTACCATTTGAATTTTAAGAACACATTACCACACTGAATTGATTTTCAAAGTAAAATGCAGCTTTAGAAAAAATAAACTCACAAATTATTAAGCAGATTTGTAGTATCCCAGCAAGGTTAAGCTAAAATCATATTTAGAGTGATGCCGACAAAGCAATGTGATTTTCAGAGTCAAGTCACTTCAAACTTTCATTCTTCAAAAAGACAAAAACAAGCCCCACAAAAATGCTCTTTTGGTACAAAGTGAATATTGAAACATGTTCACATTTAACAGTTGAAACAACGAGAACAATTTGATGTAATTCACTACCCCACAAGAAAATGAAAACAAATAAAAGCAATGTTTCATGAAGACCCATCAACAGTGCGTGCAGAAGCAGAAATCGCGAGCTTAATCGTTGAATCGTCACCTACCGAGCTTATTTTAAATCATAAAATTATTAGTTTATTTCTATTTTAAAAAGTTTGTACAGAAAATAATAAAAATAAAAAATATTTAAAAATAAGATAAAATTTTTATAATTAAAAAAAAAAAGAACTTTTTGAAGCAAGAGTTTCACTTTAATGACCGCAATAGTGGACTTGATGCAACATTTGCCTTACTTTTATCATAATTTTCTATTCTCTTATCATTTTCTCTCTCCGCGTCCAATCTTATGCTAACTCATTATCCCTCAATAAATATTGAAGATGTCAACTAAAAGCTGTTGATATTTTTACCTTCTTCACGAACATTGATATTCCAAACCAAGAACCACACCAAATGAACATAATGAACAATGACAAGTTGAATGCTGCAGCTCTAGAGGGAGACATAAACCTTCTCTACACACTAATTCAAGAGGATCCACACATTTTAAACCACAATGATTCAACACCATTTATTGACACCCCTTTGCATATTGCTTCATCTTGTGGGCATCTTCACTTTGTCACCGAAATTATGAGATTGAAACCTTCATATGCTTGGAAACTAAATCAACAAGGACTCGCTCCAATTCACCTTGCTTTACTACACGGTCATAACCCAGTGGTTCTTCGCTTTGTAGACATTAACAAAGACCTTGTTAGAGTCAAAGGGAGGGAAGGGATCACTCCTATACATCTTGTGTCTCAGGTTGGATATGTTGACCTTTTAGTTCACTTTCTATTGCTTTGTCCAGATTCCATTCAAGATGTTAATGTTAGAAGTGAGACTTCATTGCATATTGCTGTGAGAAATGAACAATATGAGGCTCTTCAAGTTTTGGTTGGGTGGCTCAAGATAAATGATGAGAAAAGTGCTATGGATTTTGAAGAAACATTGTTGAACTGGAAGGATGATGTAGGCAACACCATTTTGCATGTTTCTGTGCAAACTAATAACTTACAGGTAGGTAGATCCTTCTATCTATTTTTGGATATTTACTTTTGGTTAATTATTATAATTAAAAGCGTCACTAACTAACAAACTATCCAACACATTTTTTATTATGGACTAAAATTTATTGTAAATCATATAAATCTTACTCTTAATTTAACAATTTTGCTTACATTTTTATAATTTAACTAATAATAAAAAACGTGTTTAAAAAAGTGAATTAAGGAATCAGTCCTTGGCACTCCTCTTATTACAATACATGGATAACCACAAGGTATACTGATATTAAAAATTTTAATTTCAAAAATGGCAAAAATAAAAAGTTTGGCTATTTGAATAACTGAAAATTGATACTGTATAGAATTATTTTTCATTCTCACTTTTTTTTTTTTGGTTGCCTTTTGTGTGTACATTTATCCCAAAAATACGCCTAAAAAGTAAAAACAACTACTAAAAGTCATCCATAATTGTTCAGAAAACATTTCTGCAAAATGGGATGACATTTGCTTGTTTCCTAATAGGAATAATCTCTAAGACTAAGTTTTTTCTACTAAATTAAACTGTAATAACAACTATATATGGTGTTCCTTAATTGCTCATAACTTGGTATCACAGGCACTGCAATTGTTGGTAGAGACTAATATAGATTTCGGGGCCAAAAATTCAGAGAACAAAACAGCATTAGACATAGCAGCCAATGAAGAGATCAAAAGCATATTAGAAAGAGCTGGAGCAAAACGTGACACACCAGTCACTGAACATGCTCCAACCTTTGTACATAAACTGAAATCAAATATCACAGTTCTGGACAGAATAATAATCCTTATATTTCGCATTAGAAGGGACTTAACAGAGGACCAACGCAATGCTTTTCTAATTGTTGCTGCTCTTGTGGCGACTGCAGCCTATCAATCAGCATTGAGTCCTCCTGGTGGAGTTTATCAAGCTAATGGTGGAGACAGTTCCATCAAGTTCATGGCTACAGCGCCACGAGGAAATGCTGGGAGATCAGTGATGGATGGAGGTGATTTCCTTGCATTATCATTGCTGAATACACTTGCTTTTTTGATATCAACTTTGGTAATTTTTGTTCTGACTCCAAATGGTAAAATGCGCAAAATTCTGTTTGCGCCAATGTTTTGGTTTGCCAATTGCTACCTTTATTCTATGTCTGTGATATCCCCTAACTATGCTTCCATACTGGTTTATTATATTCTGTTGTTTTTGCTCAATTTGTTGACTCTTGTAGTGTGTTTCTCTTTTCCTGTAGTGTACAAGAGACTTTGGGATCCTGCTAACAGGAAAGTTGTAACAAAAAATAGTATGAAACGGAATAATGTGTGGTAGTTGATCATAGGATTGCTGCGAATGTGGCAGTTTATTGTGTAGATCATTTTTAGATCTTGAATTTTCTTATGTTAATGGTGGTTTGAAAGCAAGTTGTTTTCCCCATGTAGGGACTGATATAAAAGCAATTTTACATTCTAATCATGATTGCCAAAATAGTGATCCTGCTTAGAATCAGAAGAAACGCATAAATTCTGTAACATTCAACATAGATTAAAAAATTATATTAAAAAATATATACACATAGATTTTGATATTGATGACAATTTTGTGATGGTTCACTCACTCACTGATATATGGTTTCAATCAACAAAGAACTAGAGATTTGGATTCTTCTCTCAATTTCAATTAAAATATCGATTTTTCAAAATCCCGTTGGCCCATTTATTTTCTTGCAACTAAAACTTCAATCAGAAACAAGTTATCGTTGGTGGCTCTAGTATTAAAGATTCGTTATTAGACTGTAACTGAGAACTGTTGTAGCAGTTCACGGGTACATACTCTAATATCCATTGATTCATATTACACTATCAAGAAAGGATCTTTTATGATGATAGTGGAATTAAAGCATTAGAAAGGTCAAGAGGTGTAACATTTGGCATTATGCTGACTTGGTTCAAAAGACGTAGACTATACAAGGCTACTTGCATTTCTAAAAGCCTGTAAGCGACTCCTAGTACTGCTGCGAACTGAGAAAGTATTCTAAACTCTTAGAAACATCCTCTAGTTGATCCATATTGTTCCCGTGGCAACAGCATTATACGACAATGAATGCAAACATAATTACCTAGAAAGGAGTCAAATGACTCATTATTTTATACAACTATTTTTTCTTAAAATATAAATGATGATTTATTATTTATTTGAGAAACTTAAAAAATTAAAGTCATTGACATGAAAGTTTACTTCTTTAAAATGTATAAATATCAAGACCAAAATTTTTTTAAAAAATCAAGAGCTTATTTACTACTTATTTGAATTTAAGTGTTTCATAAATATAACTAATGTTAAATCAATGATAAATTTTTATTTTTTACTTTACATTTTTTTTCATTTTGAAAGAACTAATTCTGCTTTGACCAAAAATAAAAAAATTAAATTTGTTAAACTAAGAAAATGTGAAGAATAGAATCAGTTTGACATAAACTGAACTGTTGATGTGGTAATAAATAATAGTTGTTAACACCACAATTTACTCAAGATTTATATATTATGAGTAAATTTTGGCTTCATACATGCACATTAACAAAAAAAACCCTTCAAAACTAGGATTATTCAAAAATGCTAAGCTCATCCAAAATTGACTTAGCCAAAAGTCTAAAACACGAACAGGGTCTAATCAATTTATTTAGGAGAAACGCAAATCATTAAAAACAAGTTATGAGGGTAGAAGCGGTCTGATACGAGTGAAAGAATTGACATCCAAACTAACCCGAACACTTATTAAATTAATATTAGAAAAATTAAAAATTAAAAATTAAAATCCTAGAGATATATTTAAATCTTCTTCTATTCCTTAGCACCGCTGCATGCCACTTTTTCCTTTTCTGTCTTTCCTTTCTTCTTCTTCATTCTTTGATTTCGTTCTTTCTGCTAGGATTTTCATTCCTAAGGGCCGCATATTTTTAAAGAGAAAGTCAAGGGGTCACCGGAATGTCACAGAGAAATTATTGTTAGAGAGGTCGAGGGATTCAAAAGTGGTGATTTAGGAGAGGATGTCAAGAATGAGACCCACAAGGACATTTTGGGAAAGGTCGAGTTGACAGGGACTATAACAGCCGACAACAGCACCACCAAAAAGGGTGAAGTTAATAAGATTGTAAGAAAGAATGAGAGACGAGAAAGAGGAAAAGTGGCAGAAGGCTACAGAGAAGGAGCCAGAGAGGGAGGCGTTAATGAGTTTGATTATTGGGGTCAGAGAGTGAGCGCCTGGCTTTGAGGAGAAAAAGACCATCTTAGTTCATAGAGAGAGAGTTGCAGTGAAGAGAGAAAGAAGAGGAACAAAACTAACTAAAACATCTTGCAACAATGTCGTTTTGAAACTCCTAAGATTTGTTACCGCTGATTTTGGGTGGGCATAGGATTTGCCTTTGAAAGTGTGCTGGTTTTGTCATTTGTGAGGAAGAGGAAGAAAAAATAGAAGAAGTGAGAAAAACAAAGGAGCCCTGTCCAAAACTCATTCCAATGAAAGGAATGGTACACTTTTCACTAACAATACTTGGTGTGAAATGAAAAACAGGCTAAAAAAACAAGCATAGGAAAACAATTCAGAAGTATAGGAGTTTTCAGAATCAGCGAAAACAAAAGATAATTCATGAGTAGGCTCGTCCTTTCAGAATGCAAAGATACAATTATAAGTAAATAGGAATCAATGTATTATAGTACAATTTTGATGTAACTCACCAAACCCCGTAATTATACAACAATGATCATACTATCCCTATAAGAAGAAAAATAACGAAAAAAATAATACTAATAACAATATATGTACATTTAATCAGAATAAATGTATAAACAAAACCACCACACAAAAATCAACTTCTCATTCCGCTCAAGCTGGATTTAGATCCCGTGAGGTTTGGCCTTGCCATCTGCAAAACATAAACCAAATTATTCATAGGCACATTTTATGCCACATATAACGTAAAGATGGGAGTGTGATTTCATTAGAGATGCAATTTGTTTCCTTAACAAGCTACCAGTCCAGAAAGCAAAGTCAATGGGCACCAATAAAAGAATTATTACTTTTATTAGGGAGTGTTTATTAGCACTCTCGTTTATCTATTATTAATCTTATTTAAATAATTTTTATCTAAAATATATCTAAGTTCAATGGCATCATGTGATTTGTATAGCCGACTTCATCTAGTGGGTTAAAGCTTAGTTGCTTTTGTATTATCTAAAATATCCTTTATCTTTGTTAATCACACCAATAGCCTAAAGAAATTATGTAAAAATTATTTAAGTGAAAATAGACACATGGAAATTGCTATAAAAACTTCCTCTTCATTAAAAAATCAGTGCAAATGATAACATCCATAAACCTTGAGAGAAGAAATCTAGCAAGAGGGCTTAAGTTGCTATTTGAATGAACTTCCTTGTTTTGCTGTTTCTTCTTGGTATCAGGCTCTGCATTTCGGGTTTCTTCAGCTGGCTTGGTCTTGCAGAATATTTGGCCAGCCAGTTCTTGCAGGTCCTTCAATGAAGATTCCTTTGAACTGCACAATTGTTTTCTAGGGTGTTATAAATTATGATGGATAAGAGATACGCATTTTTTGTCCTTTAGTGTGAATGTGCTGTGTGATGAATATTAGTAGAAGGCAAACCTAGCCAACCGCTGAAGCAACTTCTTGACAAGAACATCACAGGATTTAGGCTTTGTCCTTTCCATGTTTACAAGAGTATTGATAACATCTTCTACAATTGACCCTTCTGGATCATCAGCAATACTCTGTTTTATAAACACAAACGCTATAAATAAATTCATAACTGACCAAATCTCTTCAACCTACAATCCAGTTGATAAAGCATACAGCATCTTGTAATAAGCTGAAACATTTTCTTACACTAATATCAACTTCCACCAAGAAGACTTGACCTCATTGGCAGGTTTTGGCACAGAATTTTACTGGGGCCAAGTCCTCCCACCCACTTACCCCAGAGATAAACATCACAAGAAGTTGCCACTTACTTTCATTGGTTTCATTTTTTTTATTTTCTTTTTCTTTTCAGAATGCACTGCTGAGTTTAAAAAATCACCCAGTAGCTGATTAGTAGTAATTTTAATTTTTCTCTGAGAAGTCAATGTTATATCATAATCCAGAGTATGTCCAAGATATGTACTGAAAATTTAGACTACAATCAAAAGATAATTATATCTGAAACAATTCTAACTGTGGAGCCTTGCATCCTTTCCAACAGCCATCACTACAGAGTAAGCACCTCTATTTGGCATCACAGACTAATTTGGAACTGGAGCAAAGCATAACACAATAAGAGAATAAAACCTATATGAGCATTTACCTCTTTTAATGAAGGAATAAGCAAAACTGACAATGGCACAGAGGATGAGATTATTTTGGCACTTTCTTTATCATCACTAGCATAATGTGATCTTGATATTCCCTTTGGTGCATCAATGTATTCACGGGATGGTCTGAAAAATTAAAAAATATTGCTTAAAAATTTGAAGTCACATTGTTATCTCAGCAGCAAAAGCTTTACCAACATTATGGCAAAATGGATGTACCTGGAAGAATCAGAGCCGCTTGACATTTGATCTCTCCTGCTTTCTTGTACATCATTGTTCAGTTTTCCCAGGGAAAATCTCTCTCGTGCATTCCCTTTCCTTAATCCTCCTTGTATAGCAGCCTTTGCCTACAGAGAAAAATAGGCAAAAAAATATTTTAAAATAAGCATTTTCCCTTTCCTTAATGGCACTTTCTTTATCTATCTATCTACGCCTGGTTTATTAACATTATTGTACAAGTGGAATTCACAGCTTAGACAAAAAAAAAAAAGAAGACAGAACCTCAGCAAGATTTGTAGCACTATCTTCCGAGGAGGCACTTAAATTTCTGCTATTAAGCCCCAGTCTTGACCTTGGTGTCTGGGGAGAATCAGAATCATCATGCTGGCTGCGCAAAACAACAGTTCCACTAGTAGAAGCATCATCAAAAGAAAAATAGCCGCTGCTGGACTACAAGACAAAAAAATTATAATTAAGTGACTAGCGCAAGTGCAATAATAACTAACCAGTTTTAAATTTAATACTCATCAAAAATACCTGGGAACTTTGATCACGAAACAGCGATGGCTGTGACCGTTTTGGAGACCTAACAACAACAGTTCCTGATCCATTCCCAGACAATTCATCCTGCTAATTGACAAGTTCAGTTGTTCAAAGAATGTTACACATTTAAAGGTTTAACTGCATACATTGAATTTTCATCATACTTTCATGATTGATGCAAGTTCTTAATATATTATTTGACCAGTGAAGATGAACTCTTTAAATGAATATAATGTTGCAGCCATTTTAATTGTTGTTCATATGTCGCTAAATGGGTAGCACCACAAGGAGAAAGAAATTTTTGTCAGTTTCAGCTCAAAGTATCTAGAAGGTCAACAGGTACAACTCACTGCTAAGCTTTTATTATAGATCCACTTGTTCTGGAATCTGGATACTACTGAAAAGGCCCCAACATTCCCCATAATATCTGCCCAATATATAATTTAATTGAATTTAAATTCAAGAAAGATATAGCAAGAATCATTTACATCTTCAAGGTGATTATCTGGATACTCGTCATGGTAGGGAACTCCAAGATCTTTTCCTAAAGAACTTTCTAGTGACTCATTAGGTGCACTTCTCCTGGCAGATCCCCCTTGATAGGCACCCTCTGGAGTTTTTCTTTGGTTAAACTGATGATTTGAAAATTCAGTTTTCTTATCTCTAAACTGAGGTGGCCGTGACACATTACGAATGGTTCCAGTACCCTGTGGTCCACCAATGCTGAAGTCCCACCCAGAACTTCTAAGGGTTTTACCCTGACCACTGCAAATTTAAAATTGTCCATCAGATATTTCAAGGTGTGAAGTAAAAAGTAAAAAGATTAGTCCAACAATTATAACCTACCTAGGCTGATTAGTATCTTCACCCCTTAAATCTCTTGCCACCTTAATGGTATCAGATGCCTCCCCCATTCCTCTTGGGGCATTTCTAGGTGCCACCTGATCTTCCTTTATTTGGTACTTCGGACGCTCCCTGCCATGAAAACATAAAGCATGGTGTCAACCACAAGCTCAGGAATAATTGGTTTTTTCTGATTTCTTGTCATAGAAAAAGTTAAAAATGCATAGGCAAAAGGGTTTCAGTAGTTACTCCAAACATCACATCTTTTGAATTCAATCTTTGGAAATGGAAAAGGAAGAAAGAAGGGGGAAAAAAACTCAACAGCCTAGGAAAGATACGTAAAGTACGCAAAATATAGCAAGATTACAAGGAATAATCCACACCTGATTCTCTCTGAAAGCTTTGGACTCTTCCTTGCATTCCGAATGAAACGGTTTTTGAGAAGTTCCTTAGCACTTGGCCTCTGCAATATAAGCCAAGAAATGGAAAAATTTAGGGAAGAGAGTAACAGAAAGAGCCAACAACATCAGTTCCAAACTTCCAATACAGGTTTAGTATAAAAAACTATTTTATAGATTAGGGAAAATTGATCAATGTATTGCATCAGGTTGACAGATACAATTTCAATAAGACCAATCCAAACAAAAAAATCTATTATGTATTATCCTTGTACTTAACAGGTAATGGAGCATACAAACTTAACATTTTTACTGTCAACACAAACTTAACATCCACGAAACTCAATATTTCTTATTATTATCTTCTGCTGGGACTCAAAATTCCAAAGGGCTGAAGGAATATCTATTGTCTGGACTCTGGAGGTACAGTCCAGAAGGGGGCGTACAATTTAGAACTGTCATGTGGCAATTATGTAATACAGCTATGTATTCCATTTCCAAGTACAAGATGTAAATAGTGGCAGGAGGTAGTTATTATGTGTGTTTGCTAGCTTCAGACAGAGTTCATTCTTAGTGGGAGTTTCTTAACACTGGGCCAGCATTCGTGCTTTAGTTTCTGAATAGTTCTGTGAGTTTATTTTTACAACAATAATGGTGTTCTAACATATTTCCCCCAAAAATTAAATGTCCTAAACAAGCATATTAAGTATGATAAAATCAAAAACTGTTTTCTGACTGTTCTCATACAATCCAGAAAGTGTTCACTTCACTCAAACTAAAGCCTAAAACAAAACCTGTTCATTAACAGCAAAAAGAGAAAGAAAGAAAATTGATAGAATATATAAAAATTATCCAATAGTATATTGACTATAGCTTTAGAATAATTTAGAGTATCCTAGATTATCTTGTAGGTTAGTTTACAGAATATCTTATTATCTCCTAGGACTGGTTTCCATATTTTCTTTTATTATCACGTGATTGGTTTCCTTATTTAGTTCAGATAATGATCGAGCGTTATATAAATAAGGACGCTTTATGTTTTATATCACAATACTCAAAGGAATATTTTTCAAAGCCTCTATGCTCTCAATTTCCTCCCCCGATACCTAAAAACCCTAAATTTCAACAAAAATGAAACAATTGTGTGTGTAAAGCATAGATACTTGCCTAACATTAGAGATAACAAAAAAATGAAATGTAGTGAGTGTACAATAAACTCATAAAGCATAGACACTTGCCTCAGCAGGAACCTTCTTCAAACACAGTGAAACAAATTCTTTCATGGAACGAGAAAAATGTTCATCCAGCTGCACAATATCGTTAAATGTCAACTCTTTTTCATCTGAAAAAAATAACATCTCCATCCGGAAAACTTTAAAAACTCAAAATACTTTGCAGCTTGAGAGATCAATTAATCTGATGTTATAAATATGGTACCTGAGGTGGATTCTCTCGGGGTATTATGAAAAGCACTCTCATTGGATGAAGATCAGCAAGTGGAGGCTCTCCTTTTGCCATTTCAATTGCAGTAATCCCCAGAGACCAGATATCTGCCTGTATAAACAAAATACAGAGGGATGATTTTAACGAAATGAAGGCAAAAGCAATAAAGGAACACGGAATAAAAAAACATATATGTTTCAATGGATTCAAAGAAAACATAATAAATAAATGATGTTTACAGTAACTATAAGATAACCTTCTCATTATATCCTTCTGAATTTTGAATAACCTCAGGTGCCATCCAGAATGGTGTTCCTACAAATGTCTGTTGTTATCAAACAATTAGCATATCAAGTCAAAAATGAAATGCACTAATTAATATTATCTTTAATTAAATATGGTTACCTTTCTCCTTGATATAGTCCTTGTTAACTGTGCAGAAACACCAAAATCTGCAACCTGCAACAAAGTCACAAAACCACATAGAAATTTATATGTGAATGCATGTTAGTTCACATCTCAATTTATTTTATGTACATTTGTCAAGTCATCTTTATTTTTAAAAAATTTGTAAATATAGCCCCTCAGAATAAGGCATATATGATATACCTTTACATCACCATTCTCAGTCAATAAAATGTTTGCAGCTGCAAAATTGATATGCAAATTCTGTGAATTATAAGAGATAATTAAAAAAAATTGAAGTCCATGATCATAAAACTTCTAATTATGGTAGTGGGAGAGCAGCTTCAAAGCACAGAAAAAACAAAAAGCCAGGTTGTAGTTGATGATACCTTTAATGTCCCTGTGAATTTTTCCTTCACTATGTAGGTAATCAATTGCATGAAGCAAATCACGCAGAATGCAAGCAATTGACATTTCATCAAGTGGAGGACCTGACTGGAGCTGCAAAAGGAAATAACCATATAGCCATATTGGAAATTAGCAAGAACAAATGAACAAATAATAAAAATAAAGTGCAATGTTTAGGTAGAGATGGGAAAACAGAGAAATAAAGACAGAATGCAAACAAATGATATTGTGCATAACAATGTGATGCAACACACAGACCCGATGGTCATATTCATACTACTCTCTCCATCTCAATTTAAATGTCACTTTAGCACTTTTTTATTTGTCTAAAATTATTTATTATTTTAAAATACCAATAAGGTATTATTATTTATCTTTCAGTAATAGTGTAATGCCCTAGTATCACTTCCTTGATTACATGTCTAATTCATTTCATTGTATATTTTGTCTAAGATTTTACAAATCATTCTAGACTCTGGAGATATACCATGACATTCGACAATACTTTATTTTGTAACACTAGTTCTCAAGATAAATCTAGCTAAGCTTTTAAAAGAAAATTTGAATTATAAACAAAAATGAAGCAGAGAAATAAAATGAACTAACAATGATCTAAAAATTTTCTAAGCATCAACAATTATTTACAGGTTATATTTAAAAGATACTTGGTACCATACATAAAGAGCTTATAACTTAAACTAGCCCCAAATCTTTATTGTAATATGCAACATTATACTTATATATTAACAAAGAAATTTATGAGAAGTTCAACGCCATTTACATGCATTGAACACATAGAAGTAAGTCAATAGAAGTAACCTACTAGATCAGCAACAGAGCCTCCAGCCATGTATTCCATTATTATCCAAAGCTTAGTTTGATTGAGAAAGGAACCATAATACTCAGTAATGTATGGAGATCGACATTGTGACAGAACAGAAATTTCCTGAAAGAAGTTCAATTGTGAAAAAAATTAGAAACATTCTGTACAATAAATGTATTGTGAAGTAGTAGTAATCTAAACAAATTTCATTTATACCTTCTGAATGTCCTCAATTTCATCCTCTCTGCAGATTAGGAAAAAGAAAGAAAAGGAAAGTCATAGCAACATTTGCATAAGAATTATGAGTTCAACAAGGTAACAAAATGAAGATTAGAATCACAACATTCTATGAAGAGACAAAATCTACAACTTAAACACTTGACCAAAAATGGGGCCCACTTGGTTTGCTACACGTCTGCTACTTCCCTACATTGTGAAATGGAAGAAATGCATTTCATATGCAAAATTAGCTATAAAAAATTTCTCATTTCAGTTAATAATGTACAGCCTTCTAATGGAGAACAAAAATTTGAATGGATGCCACACCCATTAATCTAAAAGAAAGTTGAATTTCAGCACAAGTAGACCTAAAAATTATGCACATTTAAAGCCCAAAGCACTCTTACATGAAGGGTGTGTTAAGATATAATATAAAACCAGTCATCTTTCTCCACCTAATATTTTAAACTTGGGATGGTTGGCTTATGACAGTTTTGTTAATTCTCTCTTTCTTTACGCGAGGGGGCTGAGGTGTATTATGATGTTCTTCATCAAAATAAGTGGTTGATCGGTGTCATATCGCCTTCCATCTACTGCATTTCTGCCCATTATATTGACAGACAGGACTGTTTATTGGTTATTGCATCTAAATTAAAGCATATGCATATTCTATATGCAAGTTAGGCTTATTTGTAGAGTCTGTGTGGGAAATGGGGGAGTAGTGGCTAAGGGTGATATTTAGACTTCATAAAGTAACAATACAATTGAGCTTCTATATAATGGCATGATAGTGAATTTTGAAATGACAGTCAAATTCACACAGTGAAAAGTTAAGAGCTTGATTTGTGCCTTAAAGTGCGGAAGTCATGGTCAACAAGGTAAACTATTTCAAATTTTCAACCCAAAGGAAGTGGATGAACTTATATGATCCTCATAAAATTGATGGAAACTTATTGCACTGTGTAGAGCGTACATTACAGTGCACAGAAATAGAGGGATCATGGTAGATGCAAAGTTACTGAAAAGAATAGTGTCTAATGCCTACAGTTACAATGAATATGGATCAACATCTGCTTTTGTTAAGAGTAATTGGCATCCCTGTAATGGGTGCTGTTGTTCAATGACAATTTGCCAATACTCGCTATTGGAGATATAATATAAAAGTCATCATATGTCTTCACCTAATAACTTAAGGTTTTGGAATAGTTAATTCATAACATTGTATCAAAGCCAATCCCAATTCAGATAGAGTCACCTACAAATGTCCAGTCATACAAAACCTCACACTCCAAATGTCTACTCCTTAGCATGAGGGTATGAGTGAAGATTTCCCATTGGCTAAATGAATGGCCTAACTACTCTGTACAATGATTTGAGCATTCTTTCCCTTGAACTAGCTTTTGGGGTTGTGCTATGTCTGGTCCGTTCTCAATTCTAATAAAAAAAGTAGATGATGTCTTTCAAAGATCCTTTAAAAAAAATTTCTTTGGGCGCGGGAAAATGGCCATGGATAAATTATGTGGATCTAATCCTATAAGCAATTATCAATTACCCATATAACTAGCACACAAAAACATAAACTTTGGTAGTACTAGTTATTAGGCTAAGAAATCCAACTAGTGATATCAAACATGTTATTGGGGGAAAAACTCGTCTAACAAATACTCCTATTACTTCTACAGTTCTACTGCAGGACTCTATCATCCTTTTACAAAGAAAATATCAAGGTAAACAAGGAGAAACTGTTATTTTTCCAATGCAGTATTTGGTATCTATTCCATAATTCTAACAAGCAAACAACTGAGATAATTTAATGTATTTTCAGATAACCACTGTTAATGTCTCTAATATGGTCAATCATGCATTGACTTGATTTTGAACATTCTTGAAAAGAATATACTTACGATTCTTCCAAATCGATTACTTTGATAGCGACTTCTTTGTTGAGCTCCTTGTCAAACCTGGGACAGGAGTGCAAAATAGGGACAAACAACTCATTGTTTATTCATATTGTCAACTAGGTAGCTTTATGGGAACGAGGACATGAGATGTTCTGAAGATGGCACAAATTTGAAATTCATATGAATGCCACTTATCACTTTTAAGACAAAAAGAAAATGTAAAGACAACATAAAAACATTTTATTGCCATGTAAGAGTTAACAAGAAGTGAAACTAATCTAAACAGGACCAACATCCATCAAAATAACATTTACAGTAACTTTCCTAGTGTACCATTCAACTATAGATTACATGCACATACCCTGCTTTGCAGCCATTGCTGCTACAAATATCGAACAAACAGAAGCAACAAGTAAGAAATAATTCTTTCAACTCAACACGAATCAATACGTAATTCAACTTTGCAGGGCACATCACACCAATCCAAAATCAAATCCCTACCCTTTATAGACGTCGCCGAACGATCCTTGTCCAATGAGCTCCAATGAACTAAATCTTGTCCCGGCAGCCTCAACCAGACCTGCTATATCAGCCATTCTCAGAAGCAACCCTTCACACACTGCCTACACAAACATCTGAAACACCAAACAGCATAGCTGAGATACACAGCACATTCTCCAAATCAAAGCCAAACACAACCCTAACCGTTGACTTCAAAAACGAAACGACAACAATTAATTAACCAACCAACAAAAATCTAACAACCCCACTACTACCCCAAGTAAATGAAAATTCTCCGAAAACACAATAATTCAAAATCAAAATTCATAAAGTTAAACGACAAAAGTAAGGATAAAAGTCTAAAGAGCAAAGCAATGCATCGAAACACTGCACTTGAACTCAAAGCAAAGTAAAATAGTGTGCGTGAGTGTGATATTAGTTAGGTGGAAGTGGGATGCTAAAGTGACTACACAACAGAATTGAATGCGCGATGGCACTGAGCGAAAGTGAAACGACAACAAAAACAACGACAACGACAACGACATGGGAAGTAGAGTTTGTGAGAGTCAAATGAATGTTGTTGGAATTGGAAATTGAACTCACCAGAGAAGAAAGAAAGAGTGAGGCACAGACAGAGATGATAGATCTCTTCGTCAATTCTAAGGGCTTTTTGGTTTGTTTGGGGTTAAGTTGGGGCTTCCTTCCACACAGGAATCGAATGCCAAGTATCTTCTGTCAGTGTTTGTCTGTTTAATAATGGAGTCTCCCTAAATTTCTATAATAATTATTAATCCTTTTTTAAAATTGTAAAAAACAAATTAATAATTTATTAAAAATCGTAATTTTTATATAAAAAATATTATTATTCATAGATTTTTACGTTGTACCACTCTTATTTTACATGTTTTTATCTTTTCTTCTGGAATATTTTTTTCTTGTTGTAAAATGTTTGTTAAAAAAATTAATAAATATCACATACATTTAATCAATGCATACCTTATTGTTAATTCAAATTTACATTGAGTCTATTGAATTGTGGGGAAAACCCACTTTTAAATTAAAAGTTATCTTGTTTACTGAATACTGTGTATTTTAATTAAGTATAACGTATAGAGTGTTAGAAAATTAAAAATCATATTACTTGTTAGCATTTTTTTTTTATATAAAATATAAATCAAGGTAGGAGGTACTTTAATTTAAATCAGTTATTGAACTTTCATTTATGCATTTTAAAGTCTTTGTCAATGCTGTGTATAAGAATTATATTTAAAAATTGTTTCCTAATTTTATTAAAAATTTATTTTATTATTTTAAATCTCTTAATGCTTTTTTTCATTTAAAGGAAAGTTTTGAAAAATGCAAATGATTGATTAAATTTTTTTTTTTATTTTTTTTATGTTTGCTCAATGTACTGATAGGGACGAACACAAATTAGAAATTTATAGTTAAAGAGCATAATCACAACTATCGAGGGTAACTACAAGCTTACATCAAGGTTGACTTTAGAACATGATGAAAATAAATCTGCATTAATTACAACTAATGGTTAAGGTCTGGTTGGGTATGATTGTTAGTTTTAAATTTTAAAATTTTAAAAAATTAAAATTAGTTTTAGTTTTATAATTTTTCTTTTTAAGTTTTTGTTAGTGTTTCAGTTTTCAAATTTTAACATTAGCCAATAACCATTTCTATTATTTTTATCTCTTTTATTATGTCAATTATTATAAGATAGTATTATAGTTAAAACAATGTTATTAAATTCAGCTAAAATCTATTGGTTAAATACTGTTATTTAATATCCCAGTTTCATGCTATTTTTTAAATATGTGATTTGATTTGTGCAAAACTCTTGGTCTTTCTGCTTATTGTGATTTGAGAATGAAAAACAGAATATAATGAAATATTTTGGATTTTTCAGTTTTAAAAACGATAAAACATTATTTGGAAGTTAGATTTTAGAAGGAAAAAGAAAGAAATGAAAAACATTTATTTTTAAAATTTAACGAGTTATAGTAAATAAAAATTATTTAATCAAATGTATACTAATATATAGCTTTTATTTAAAAAATTATGAAATTATAAAATGTTAATTTAAAAAATTGTCCTCCACTCTCTTCTTTTTAAAAATCTAACCCTGGCTTAAATTGTTTTGAAAAGTTATAATAAAAGGGTTATTCAAACAAGGTTCTTTTCCCCTTAACAATAGAAAACAGTTTTAAAGTAACCAAACAGTCTCTGAAACCGTGTTCTGCAGAGAACCCTCTAGAATGAGTGATTTTTTCACATGGGCGCTTATGTGAAATAAAAAGCCCAAAGTAAAAAGAACAGAAGAAAGAACAAAACATGGTTGTAGACTACAGAGCAGAGAGCAAAGGCTTTGGACCAGGCCCACTCTCGTGTAAAAATTTGCATCACAGATGACATTTAGAGGATTATAATTAGGTAGTAGTTTTTAATTAGAGCTTTATTATAAACATCAACGTCAATATTTAGTATCGTTTTATTATATTATAGATAAAAAAATATTTTTAATTAACAAATATGAAAAACATTTCATATAATATATCTAAATATTCTTCTTAATGAAATACTGTTCTTTAAAATCCTTTCAAAATAAGTAGCCATGTTTTCTTGATCGAATTTTGAAATTTATGATAATTAAAGAGATGGTAGGGTGTTACCCGAGTATTCATAAATGTTTTCACATGGAAATGTTTAGGGATGTTCGAATCAGTTAGGCTCTAGTGTTTTCCTGAACATAGTTGATTCAATTCCATAGCATTGCTTTTGACCAAAAGAGAATTGAACCAGTTGCGTGTTGAAGATGTAGCAGAAACAACAAAATTGACGAAAACTATTCATCTTAAGAATCAATTACATGAATCATAGGATTCTCATCTTCAACTCTTGTCGCTCTTTCTGATAAAACAAACTCTCCATTGTTAATTAGTGATAATCATTAACGTTCTTTAAATTGTAAAAGGATTATTAATGAATAAACACTTGATTGGTATTGAAAATGGAAGGAAATTCCGTGGGATATGGTACAGAAATAGCGAAATAGGCAGAAAGTCGTCTTAAATAAGTTGATTTGACTATTAAATAAGAAGTGATTTAGAGTGGTTAATGATGTATGAGGAGTGGATTAAGATTAAGAAGCTTGCTTTCGGCCATTAACTCGTGGTTTAGGGTTTGGGGAAAGAGATTTGGGAGTGGACCCTACCAAGATACGACGGTGGGGTTATAGCAGGCTCTCACCGGTCAATGCGGAGGATAGATACACCAATGCCTTCCTTTTCCACGCCCATATCCGCGCGTCCAATCCAACTCACATCAATTTATTATTTTAAAATGGGAAATAGGGTTGAATTTGACGGAGCGAGTATTGGTGTGGTTTACGAGAAATGATGCACCGACTCGCTGCCATGGCACGTGCGCACGTGATAGCTTAATCTCACGCCCTCTGTTTCTTAATTAGTGGCACTTGCATTCGATTAAAATAATCCCTGCTTTGCAGTTTGCTGTGTTCCATCTCACTTTGTTTTCAGAGTAACACTTTGTTTAGGTTTTGGGTTTTGACGAAGGAATCTCCTGCAAATTACTACATTGCCACTATGGTCACACATCCTTTTTCAGTGCCCAAAAAAACTTTAGGTTAATTGCCATAACAACAATGTGATACGCTCTTAAAAAATTAATCCAAATCTAAGCCTCAGAATCAGAATCCACACTATCACTTTTGACCAGTAAAGATTCCCTGCTTGGAAACTTGCACATACAACACATCTACCTCATCGGGTTATTTTAATATCTTTTCATGTAAAAAGTAAAATAAAATTATCTTTTTTTAAAATAAAAAATCAGATGATTAATATCTTTTCTTGTTCTTTTCTTTCTTTTCTTTTTCAGTATTAATAACATAGTTTAGACTTAGAAAAAAATATTAAAAAATATTAAAAAAATTGAAAGCATAAATTAATATTTCTAGAAATATTTCAGCAAGTTCTCATCCTTATTTATGTTCTATAATAAAAGAACACATGTTAAAATATGATAAATATAGATTTATCAAGAATCTTTATTGAATATGTTTATATTCTCTTTTAATCCTTGAAATACGGCACAGTTTGCTTAAGAAAATCAAGATTTGGTTAAAAATTTGTGTCAAAAATTGCAACAAATTCATAGTCTTTCACATAATCACAACTCGTAGCAGACTTGAGATTCTCAACTTTATATATTGGATTAACGGATAAATTATATTGATTCTCTTTTGACTTTATTTTGTGACTTGATTAACCATTGTCTTCTCTGTGTGACGTAATTTTCTTTTAAATGTTACTTTCTAGATCGGTTCTGTAGAGGAACTCATGTAAAAAGCTAATATCATTGTTTTTTACATTGATCTTATTAGAGAATTGATATGCATAAAAAACTAACGTATACTTTTTACATCGGTTATATGAAGAAACTGATGTAGAAAGTTAACGTAACTACTTTTACATCAGTCTTAAGTGAAAACCTATGTAAAAAGTTAACATCTCAATATCAAAAATAAAGTAAAGCTAACTTATACTTTTTACATCAATTATATTAAGGAACTGATGTAGAAAATTAACGTAACTACTTTTACATCAGTCATACGAGAAAACCTATGTAAAAAGTTAACATCGTCATAATTTTTTGAAGGTGCATATTATTCTGGGTAAAGAGTTCTATTATTTTCCTGGATGGAATTTTAATCTTTTGACTTTACTTAACTGATTCTATGTAGGCGTATGAACAATCTTTTAGTGTTCATTTTTTTACTTAAATCAATCTCAGATGTAGTTAAAACACTTTAGACGCAGCTATGTTTGACCCCTTCTTTCATCTTTCATATCATTGTGCTAATTCCCTCTAAACTGTATAATTATTGTCACTATCAATAGTAGAAACGAAGTGATAATACTAATTTGATGTCTTTCTACGGCAACAACAAGATTATGTTAGGATTTAGAGGGGATTGCTGTTATAATAAAAACATGTTGATATTATATATTACTAAATAAAAATTAACCTTTTTTACATGTCTATTAACATTAAATGTTAGACAAATTATAATTTTATCTGATTTCAGAGTTTCGATAGAAGAAAAAAATTAGAAATAGAGGAGGTTAAAGGAAAAATAACATTTAACTATTTACCCTTCATTAACATGTTATTACCCAAAATAGTTACATTCTACTTTCGATTATTAATCTTTTCACCTATCAATCTTAACCATTCATTTTTTATCTACAAATATCGACGATTTAGTGTTAATTTCACTTTACTTATTGAAAAGTATTATTTTTATTTTTTTGCAAATTTAATTATTAACCTTTTCACCTATCAATCTTAATCATTTATTTTTTATCTACAAATATCAACGACTTAGTGTTAATTTTACTTTACTTATTAAAAAATATTATTTTTATTTTTTTTAAAAGAAAGAAGGATATTAGAATCGCTCTACCTCGTCCTCATTTTTATGTTTTATCTTCTCTTCATTACATAATATAGTAACATTTGTTTATTAACCACAAAAGCTTTATATAATTGCTGACAATTCGACGGTGAATAATCCAATTTTTATTCACTGCTCAATAATAACTGAAGGGGCATCACAGAGCAAGAATTTCCATAAGTAAAAGTCTTTTACAAATGGTGAAAATATTTCCCCTCTTTCTTTCCTTCTTCGGATTGCCACCTTCCATAATTTATCGCAATAAAATCAAAGCAAACAGAGCTGAAAGCTTCACTATTTAGCTTTGCTTTGATAATTGGACGTCGAATTAAGGTTCCTTCTCGGGAAAGGTTCTTAGACAAGTTTATCAGCAACTATTCAAAGAATGAAAAATAAAATAAAATTTCTCTTAAAAAGTAAAACTATTTATACATCTTAAAATTTGAAAAGTCAACTAAAATAACTCTTCATTATTATTTTAAATTTTTTATAAAAAATTATTCCAACTAACATATTTTAATAAAATGCTTTTAATGTAAGGTTAGACGTGTAACACGTTAGCTAGCGTTTACTGTACAATTAGAGTTGGATAATCTAAAATCACCATTGATTTACTAGCAAAATTAATTATAAAACTAAGATGACTTGGTGACTGCCGTTTATCACAAATCACATCAGAAATTTAAGTCAAACTTATTGTATGAAATTTTTTCTTTCTATAGCTAAATTAAAGACAAAGATAAATCATCTAATCAGTACAAATATTAAAATTTTTTTTGTCAATGGACAACAAATTATTAGATACTAAAATTTTTTCCTACTAATTTAGTCTTCAACTAACAAAATAATCTGTTATTGGCTTAGAAATAAAACTGTTTATTAATTAAAAATCATTTTTATGATGTAATATACAATATAATATAAGAATATTCTCATTCTCTAGACGAAGGAATCTTTATTTTTCATTTTAACTTGGACGGGAGAATTTTATTTTTCTTTTAGTCGTTGCTTACACAATATTTATAAAAATAATTAATTACAAAAATAAAGGAGCATTAAAATATTTTTATATATTTTAGATTTTAATTAGAATTTAAACTTTATTATTATTATTTTAATAAAATTTAAACGTTCAATCAATTATATCTTTAAATAATATGCTAATGCTAGTGAAACAAAAAACATATTTAGTCACATTACGAGAGAAAAATTATAAAACAACTATAATAAAACCTACTACTATAGTACTATTTATGTAAACTCCACATATTTTATTTATTTATTTATTAATATCATAACATTATTACGAATATATTTAAATGAATTAATAGTTAATAATCATAAATTTTGAACTAAATCTACGTATATAAGTTTATACACTGTCTTATTTTCTATAACGAAACTCAAAGGATCCAAACTCATGCAAAACCGATTCCATATCCTCGACAAGTGGTAAAGGTACAAAATTAAGGTCAGAAACAGAAGAAAACCCAAGTCACCAACTCTTGCAGACTTTGCACCCGAAGAAGAATTGTGTGTGTGTGTGTGTGTGTGAGAGAGAGAGAGAGGCAAAGGGTAAAAATGTGAAATGGGCAGACACCCTCTTTCCTTCATTTTCCCCTCCCTCGCATGCTTTCTCATGTTTGTTGTGTTGTGCTTTGTTGTAAGAGACAGAAAGAGGATAAAAGCTGTCCCCACAGTTTTTCATGCCAAGATACTCACATCACTATGCGGTAAGTAAGCACCCTCTTTTACCACCTCCTCCTCGTTAGGGACAAACAAAAAGCACACTCAGAGAGAGAGAGAGAATAGCTCAGCTTCAAAAAGAGAAGAATTTTGAGAACAAAGTAAAGAAAGAAAAGAAGTGAGTTTCAGATTCAGACAGTAATACACAGAGAAGATAGAAGTGAGAGAGAGAAAAAAAAAAGGTGTCAAATTGTGAAGTGAAAGAAGGTGTAGTAGGGGTGGTGGAAATAAAAAAGGTGTATAGTGAGAGAGAGAGAGAGAGAGAAATGGTGGGCTCAGGAACAACAACAACAACAGATAGAAGCAAAGAAGCTGTTGGGATGATGGCCCTTCACGAGGCCCTCAGAAGTGTATGTCTCAACTCAGATTGGACTTACTCTGTCTTCTGGACCATTCGTCCTCGCCCGTATGCTTCTCTCTCTCTCTGTCTCTGTGTGTGTGTGTGTCTGTTGTTTGTGGGATACTTTGAATGTCTTGTTTTCTCAACTGGGTCTTCCTCCATTTTCTTGCAGAAGGGTCAGAGGTGGCAATGGGTGCAAGGTTGGGGATGATAACGGTAGTTTGTAAGTCTGGCTTTTCCTTTTCCTGCGTTTGAAACAAACAGCAAAAGTCAACATACAACCTTGTAACACTCACACTTTAACAACTTAGTACTTTGTAAACTCAGCATCCGAACGGGGTTTGGTGTTTTTCTTGTGAAAACAAAGGGGAAGAGATTAAAAAAAAAGTGTTGATTCCTGTTGAGTTCAAAAGTTGATCGATGATGGAAATATTGTATTTGTAGCAATTTCTGATTCTGAGGGTTGCTTGGATTGGTGATTCTTTGTTTGTAATTTTGCTGTAGGATGTTGATGTGGGAAGATGGGTTTTGCCGTGGAAGGCTTTCTTCAGATTGTTTGGAAGAGATTGACGGAGAGGATCCTATCAGAAAATCGTTTAGCAAAATGTCCATTCAGTTATATAATTATGGAGAAGGGTGGGTACTGGGTAGGTGTTTATTCATGTTATGTTATGTTTTTCTAAGTCTTTTTGTACCTTTTTCTCTTTCTAATCTTCTTTATTTTAGTACCATGTTGGAGGGAGTTACAACTTACAAGTGTAATTCATCTCTGTACTTTGCTCTGATTGGTTGTTGTTTGATTTTGGTCACAGGTTGATGGGAAAGGTTACATCTGATAAGTGTCACAAGTGGGTCTTCAAAGAGCCCACAGAATGTGAGCCTAATATTTCCAACTACTGGCAGAGCTCCTTTGATGCTGTATGCACTTGATTACTAGAACCCTCTCACATTCAGTTACACTCCTCCGATCTTTTTGTTTTATATTCCTTACCTTAAAGGGACAGATTTTTACTCCCAAGTTTCAATGGGAACAAAGCCAGCATTATATTTAGTCTTTTCTATTGGTTGTCTCAATCTCTTCTTTCTGCGTTATTTATTGCAGCTTCCACCTGAATGGATAGATCAGTTTGAGTCCGGCATTCAGGTGAGAACATAATGAATGAATGAATTAACTCACCATGCTATTAATGGTCTCAGAGTGCTTCTTTTATGTACTTTCATGCTTCAACCATGTCATTACGAATATTTTATTTGCATTCGTTTCATGGCCAGACAATCGCTGTAATTCAAGCTGGGCATGGCCTTCTACAGCTTGGTTCTTGCAAGATTGTGAGTAAATTTGTATATAACATTTTTTCTTTATTTCTACACTTTCTAGATTGTTTATTTATAATTTATAATTTACTTTCACTTCTTTTATACCATTCATATATGCGTGACAATTACTCTAATTAACATACTATTTGCGACAGAGTTTATTCAAGTTATCCTGTGGGGGTAAATAATCCTATGTTAGTTAAACTAATGAAATTTATCTATAATACATAAATAAATAACACAATTTTGAATACAATATCTTAACTTCATTAATCTATTTAAGATTGAGTAATTTATCATATGGGGTTACTTAGAGAAATCCTTTACAAAGTATTCTTTATTATTGGCTTAAAAATTATTGTGATATGAAATTCTACTCCTTATAATGAATCTCACTCGAAGTCTTATGAATTTCAATAATTTTAATCCATAATAAAAATACGTATTAAAAATATCATTAAATAATATATTACTAACATATCTTTTTTCACTGGGTTGACGAATATCTTCCATACCAACAAAAATATAAAACGTTTGATATTTTTCCCTTCTATTCTCAGATTCCTGAAGACCTCCATTTTGTGCTAAGAATGAGACACACTTTTGAATCTCTAGGCTATCAATCAGGGTTTTACCTCTCCCAGCTTTTCTCTTCCACTAGGAACACTTCCTCTTCTACTTCACTTCCTTCAAAACCATCCACCATTCCAATTAGGCCACCTCCTCCACTCCTCAACTGGGGTCAAAGGCCAGTTGGGTCAGCTACTTCTATGCTATCCTCTCCCACCTTTCAACATGCAGCTAGATTGGGGTTCCCACAGGCTAAAGATGAGACTCATATGTTCCTCATGCCTCATGCATCTGAGCAAACAAGAATGGAAGACATGATGGGGGAACATGAAAATGACATAAAATGGCCAAATGGGTTATCCATATTCAATGCACTCACTGGAAGAACTGATGATGCTAAACTTTTGTTCAATCCAGATAGCTTGGGAAGCAAACCAGGTGATCACAATCACCACTACCCTCTTAACCCAAACCCTAATTCATCAGCCTCCAACATGCAAAATACTAGTGTGGCCAACCCAAATGAGTTTTTGAGCTTGGATAGCCACCCTGAAGGGACAAGGAAAGTGGACAAGTTTAAGAGGAGCTTCACTCTACCTTCTAGAGTGGCTTCCTCATCATCTTCAACTTCAATGGATCACCATCAACAAGCAACTATGGAGTATAGAAATTCAGAAGGAGGCATGTACCCTGATGTCATGGAGACATTTTTAGAATGAACGAGGGTGAGAAAGGTAAGTTTCATTTGGGAAATGAAAGATGAGAAGTTGTATTTAGGCAAAGTTATTTGTGTTCCTTTTCATGTGTTTGATTTCCACTTTGTATCCTGTGTTTTATTTTTTTTCTGTCATCCACCAAGAAACTTGATTAATGACAATTTCTTTCTTTCTTTTAGCTTGATTAGATATGAAAGTTTTCAAGCTTTCTTGCGTACATATCCTATCCACAAACAATATGTGATTTGACAACTTGTTTTGAAAGAGTAAGGGGTAATTTAATAAGAGATTTTGGTCAATTAGTATAACCAAGCAAACTGGGCATCCAATCCACTGAATAGTAATGTGTTTTTATTAATGTTTCTTGAGTATTTTTATTTGATAATAAGTTTGGTAAATTAAGAGCAGCAACTTGAATTACCTTTCTGGGGTTAGGATTGTTTTTTTTTTTCTGGGTCATGCATGGACTATGGACTTTCAATCTATGAAGTGGGCCGAGTGGGCCTGGCCTGTAGCCGACATACGTAATGACGTATGTTATACGTAATGCGTGTTTAGTTCTACGTTGTATTCTCAATCCGCATTCGATATCTATAGCGTTTGAAATTAAATGCACTTATCTTTGATAAACATCCATCGGTGTTTATGGTTTCACACTTTGGAACAAAATCATCCAATTGGAGGGAAATTACTTGGTACATTTCTCGAATACCATAATTAAAAGTAAACATTAATTTGGCACTAAATCTTGGGGATCAACAATTTAATTATTAATTTTTAATTACTGAATAAATACATAATGTTGGCAATTTTTTTATTCAAAGAGACTATGTGTTTGATTTAATTTATTATGGAGAGATAGCTATATATTTTTATCACATTTTCAAGAAATTTTTTTGATGAACTAGCAATTATTTATAAGAAATAATGTTTTTTCAAACGCACTCATAAATTGACATAAAGTATATTTGAGAGAATTCAACAAAAAATGTATTTTAGTCAGAATATTTTTTCTCTTTTCTTTACTCTCTCTCTCTCTCTCTCTCTCTCTCTCTCTCTATATATATATATATATATATATATATAAAACTTATCCCAATTAAACACAAATAATTAAAAGAACAAAAAATATACATAAATTAAAATATTGAAACTACGTATGCAGTTACACTGAAATAAAAAATTGGAAAAAGTTTATGTTTTTTATCTGACTCGACTCGATTTGTTTAAATTAAATATGTATTCCGAAGCATTAATTGAAATATATGTAAAAAAAACATTAAGCTTATATAATTGGGCAGAATTAATCGAATTAATTGTCATCTTACACGGAAATCATACCAACCCATCCATTGCTGAATTCACAGTGATAGTTATGATACCAATAAAATATCACAAAAAAAATTCATAGCACACACAATCCAAGGCAAAATTTTCTTCAATGGTCAAATCCAAGACCAAGTCCATCGTTTTTTGCATCCACAAGCAAAATAAACAATTTCATGTGCTAACCACATGCACAAATGTATATCGATATACTCCATACCAGCTCAAATTCCCATGTACGTACCCACAAAAAAAGAAAATGAAATCTAATAAATAAAAACTATTCACATTTTCTTGCATCATCATCATATCTCTTTATTGTTCACCTTGGATGGTTCCATGGCATGGCATTCTCTACAAGCCATCACAAACCACCGGAAAATTCTCCTTCCAAACCTCAATTTCACTCCTTTCTTTTTCAGTTTCTCCTTCTTCTTTTTATTCTTCTTATCCTTCTTCTTCCCTTGTTGCATGTTCCTTTTTGTTCTCATTGACCCATCACGATTCAACACTGGCACTGGCGTTATATATTGCCACCTCTGAGAACGCCCATATGCTTGATAATGAGAAGAAACCATTGATTTATATGTACCACCCTTGATCTTGTTGTGGAACAACCTGCTTTCGGAGGTGTCACTAGAGCTTGTTCTTGCACTGCTGCAGCTGCTGTTGGTGCTGTTGCTTCGTGATGAGAGGAACGAGTCTTTGCTGCTATTGATGCTGCTGGTTCGGCTCGTGGGGTGGTTGTGTTGGTGTTGAAATAGAGGGAAAGAGTGTGGTAGGAGGCGACCATTGAGGAAGAGTTGATCGGCTGGTGAGGTTGTGAAGGGTTCAATGGAGGGTGAGTCTGGGGTTAGAGACCCAAACTCGAAGTCTGAGTCTTGGTTTGGGGTGCTTGGGAATGAGAAGGAGTTGCTTGAGCTGTTCTTTTTCTTGTGTGTTTCCATGGAAGAGTGAGGGATGGTTGGTTGTATTTGCATTGTGGAGTTTGCTAAGAAGAAGAGCTTTTATATTGGAGAGTGTGTGTATAAGATTGGTTATTGGGTTTGAATGTGAGACATGTTGAGTGAATCAAGCTCTTTGCTGGTTTCAAATTGAGGGAGCTTAATTTGGTGGTGGTGTAAATAATGTGAACCATGGGATGCCAACTCAATGCCTCAAGTTTAAGAAATAATATTGCATGGTGTTGTTGTAATGATGTTGTTAACTAGCCTGTGTGAGATGTGTCACTAACTAGTGTTTGTGTGTCATGTGATGTAGAAATATCTTAATCTTAATCCTAATTGATGAGTTTTGGGTTTTAAGTTTGGAGGTCCAAGAAATAAAGAAAGAAAAAGGAGTGTATTCGAATATGACATAAAGAAATGTGTCAAACGATGTGGCGATTTCCTATATAAATTATATATAGTCTTTTGGTGTCTATTGTTTATTAAAAAGATGCTGATGCTGATGAGTGATTTGGATCAAGTTAGTGGATTTGAAAAGTGAAATGCTTAATCATCTTGTCTCTTGGCTACAATATAAGAGAGAGAGAGAGAGAGAGAGAGAGAGAGAGAGTGTACTAATACAAGTTTAGCCAAATTTATACTTTTAATGACTTTTTTAAACGATCAATTACATCAATTACATTATTGAATTAAAAATTCTTATAAAATAGATTAAGTTCATTAAATTTTATGTAATTCAAAATCTAAATAACCCTTCATCGATCATAAAATTTGTAATAATTTAGACTTTGAGGTCAAGATATCCCATGTCTCTAGATCTCTATGTAAACATTAAGGTATTATTTTTCAGTAGTTATTAGCTTATCTCAATTAAGTACGGTGGTGAGTTATTTAGCCTTTGTCAACTTGCTTTTTGCTATTCTAAAGGACACAGAGTCCCAAATATACCCTTCCTATATAGATAAAGCAGAAAAACAAAAGGAAAATAAAGTAAGAAAGGAGAGAGCCAAGCAGGAAGAAGTACTAGTCTATTAGCTTATGGTTCTTCATTCCTCTTTCCAAAAGACCAAGGAATGGTGGGATCACTATTGTTGCTTTCTTTGGTAGAAGGAAGCAAAGCCAAAGGCTCCCTATGGTCTAAAAGAAAAGAAAAGAAAAGAAAAGAAAATAGGATGAAATATTTCGAGGCGTGTGATTTGAATGATCAAAGACTTACTTTTGATTACTCCTAAACAAACAAGGGGACAAAGTGCCTCTTATAAAATTTCTTGGTCTCTTATTTAGGTTTCTATGGCGTAACCCATGACCCATTTTAGCTCATTGTGCCTTTGGGGACCATAAGTCAGCCAGATTTAGTCTTCAATATTTATTTTTTACTCCAAAACCCAAGCAAATTATTGGTCAATCTTCCTTAGAAAGCATACTTTTATGTGACGCCAACACAATGGATTCTTAGACAAAGCTGTTCAAGGTTTCATTATAACTACATATATAATTAATGAGCTATTTTGACTACCAATATCATGTTGAATAGCATTCTAAATGCTCATAAAATTTACAAAAATAACTAGTTTATAACTAAGCCAATATATAATGTACCTATATAAAATAACTCTCTTCTATAGAATATAAAATTTCATTAATTTAATGATTGAACCCCGTAAGTTTACATTACGCTATCTTAATTAAGCGTAAAATGTAAGAAAACTTGCCCACCATTACACTGATAAATTTATATTCAGTTTGAACCCTCAAACTTCGACCAAAAATTATTTTTTAAAAAAGTATTATAATTTATCTTTTCTTTTAAAGTATTTTTAGGATCTCTCCTTATCTTTATACAACAACCATCAATCAAATTTTATCTCATTAAATGAGATTGACAATAATCTTATTGAGTTAAGTACAAAATCAAATTTTAAAAAATGTTACTCTTTTCATTTCTTTTTATTTGTCTCTGTTTTAAACAAAAATTGTTCTTTTTTATCTATCTCATTAAAATTCTAAGAATACATTTATTATTATTTTTAAATATACCATTATCCTTCACACAAATGAAATGGCTAATAAACTTGTGCAAATTCTAAATATTACAAGGGTAAAACAGAAAAGTAGATGTTAAAATTTAATGATCTAAAAATATTAAATAATTTACTTAATCTGTATGTTTAAATCTTAAAAGATAGATAAAAAGAAACAAGCATTTTCAATCATTTTTATGTGCAAGATAAATTGGCTTGATCTTATATTTTCAGTGATTAGAACCTCAAATTTTCTTTTAATAAGACAGGTCATTATTATTATAATTAATCCTTTATACGTATATTAAAATTGTTTAAGTTATTGACAAGTTAAAGTATAAGTGCGTATATTATAAGTTATTTCTCATAGACACATCCAAGTGCAGGGAAGGGTGACACATAAATGATGCAATTCACCTCTCTCTTTTTTTTCCTATAATATGAGATTTGTTAATAAAAAAAATTGTGACTCCCTTAACTGAAGTAACAACTTTATAATTCACATTTCATTTGATTGAACATGAAGTTAAAATTCTCAATAGAACTGGAAATTTCATGATTAGGACCATCATTTTTCTTTTAACAGCAGAGTTAATTACTATTACAATCCATCCCTTATATGTTTATTGAAAATCTTTAGGATATTAACAAGTCAAAGTATAATTGCATTTTTAATTCTCTATTGCACATACAAGAGCAAAGAGAAGGGTGGCACACGAGTGTTGTAGTCACTTTCACAATTTTCAATCTTTTTTATATTATATTTTGTCAGTAAAAAAAAAATTGTGACTCCCTTTAACTAAAGTTAAAACATTGAAAATTTCATTTTGTTTGACCAAACATGATGTAAAAACTCTCATTACAAGTAACTTCTTCATGATTAGAACCTTCATTTTTCTTTTTACCACACAATTCATTATGAATATGATTAAACTCTTATAAGTTTATTAAAAATATTTAAAATTTTAACAAATTTAAGTATAACTATATGTTTATTACAAGTTCTCTCCCACGGACACAAAGGAGCAAAGGGAAAGGTGACACACAAATTTATGTTTATATAATTATTTTTTATTATATTAAAAATATCATCAAATGCTGAAATAATTGGACATATTACTTTCTGCTTTAAAGAAAAAGAGATTAATGATTAACATGAAAGGAAGCAAAGTGGGCCCAGAAGGAGAAAAGGGACGAATGAGGTAACAGCACGTGTTAGAAGGAACGCGTCTTCGGAGTTGCGACGTACGCGGCATAGTATTGGGAAATAACAAAAAGTCGTGTCAACGCGACAATGATCCTCAGTGCCTCATCATCTCACACTACACACTCGTCTTTCTCCTCTTCATTCCCTTCTTTCTCTGCCTCTTCACCTCTTCTCTCCCTGTCTTCATCTTACCCTCTTCATTGTTTGCTTTCAATAATTATATTAAATACGTGGCCACACCCTCTTAAATCTATATATATATATAAACCCCTTCACACTCTCCACTATGACCGGCAGAGAAATTCTTCATAAGATGAAGGTATGCTCTTAATTCATCACTCACCCTTTTTTCTCTTATGTTATTATAACTTATTGTTCCTTTTTTTAAAAATTTTAATTGCCACATCATATATTTTATTTTTACGATATGCTTTTTAGTCAATTCAATGATGGAGACTATTCACTTGTTGCTGTTGATCTTCATCTATTAGTTCCTTGGATTGCTCTTTTTACTCAAATTCGATAAGCCCCGCCTTTTTTTTTAAATTGTTGTCAACGTGATTTTACTATTTGCATGTGTTTTCTTCATTGACTGTAACATTGCCTTATCACTGATTACCTTTCTGGGTTCTAAATTCGGATCTACATGGAAAAGATGTGTCACTAAACTGTTGATTTAACTTGTGTACTGGATGATCATGGACAATAATTGATACAAGATTGTGTCAAATGCATACAATTTATTTCAACATCTACTTGTAGATTTATTAATTCCAGAACCAGAAGTAATCAATTAAATAGCTTACAATATCTCTTGGTGGTTCCATTTTTACTGTCGACCCATCTCTCATTGAGGTTTACTTTCTTTGCTCATTCGTATCAGTGTACTCTGTAGGTTTATATGATTAAGAAATCCGAGATATTAGAGTGCTTTCTTCCTGAACCTAGGAGCGTATGTATCATCAAGAGTCCAAGACACATGTTCCTTGACCTTAAAATGAATCGTAGAGTAATTTGATCCAGACAATTTGCAAATTCCATTGGTGTGTAGGGTATGAATAATCATATTTGAAGTAATAAATTGGTTGATTAATGGAGATGGTTGGGAAGTTACTTGTCTCTGTGGTAAAAAAATATCAAAATTTTTTATGTGGTCAGCAACTTAAGAATTAAATGCTTATCCATGACCGTTGGAGGGTGCATCACGGGTTCAGTACCCAGTTGCTAAACTGTGCTTTTTGACCACATAGACATAGAATGAGGAGAAAAAGTCAATCATGTCCCTTGTGAAGAGTAGGTTGCTTTTGGTTTCGTCTGTGCCAGTTGTTAATTCCAGCTATCTGCAATATCAATCAATCAGATTTATGTTATGATAGTGTTAAAAAGCTAGATGATTCTTGATGAGTTAATGTGATTTACTTGTATACTGCTAGTTAGGTGTTGCTTTATAGATAACTGCATTGGAGGGTAATTTATGATGTGATTTGGCGGTGAATAAAAAGGAAATCTGTGACGTTTTTGAAAGTTAAGATATTGAAATAAAATATTTAGGTAAATGCAAGCAGTGATTGACAAGTGCAATGGTTGATTACATTTCACAGCTCCAGACATTGATTGTTTGCAAAAGAATGTTTCATATGGTGTATATAGTTATTGATATAAGAGAATCCAAGCTTCTGTTTTTTTTTTTTTTTTTTAATTTTAAATTTACTCTTGAATTCATTGAAAAATGATGCCCTTAGGTTCTTATTTTGAAAATACACCAGAATGTCTTAGAGGTTACGATGACTCAGGCTTCAACAAATTTAACGTGTAATGGTTGACTAAAACTTAATAACTCCAGACATTGGTTGTTTGCAAAAGAATACTTTATACAGTGTGTACAGTTATTGATATGAGAAAATCCAAGCATTTTTTTTTTAATTTTAAATTTACCGTTGAATTCCTTGAAAAATGATACTCTAAGCTACTTATTTAGAAAATACACTAGAATGTCTTAGAAGTTATCATGACTCAGGCTTCCACAAATTCAACTTAACAAGATGAATTGCCTATTCTGTGCTTTGTGAAGTATTCAAAAGCTTGCACTCTGATATTTCTCCTAGACCTGGTTCTCACTGCACCAATAGCTCTGAATTTTGAGTTTTCTATTGTGAGTCTTGTGACAAGATTATGTTGCTTGCAGGAAAAAGTTTTGGGATCATCTGATCCTGACTCAGGTAAAGGAAAGAGCAAGATGAAGAAGCAGATAACTCATGGCTTTCACTTGGTAAAGGGAAGATCAGATCATGCTATGGAAGACTATGTTGTTGCTCAATTTAAGCAAGTTGATAACAATGAGTTAGGCTTATTTGCAATATTTGATGGCCACTCAGGTCACAGTGTACCTGATTACTTGAAGTCTCATTTGTTTGATAATATCTTAAAAGAGGTAATGAATATTTTCTGGTTACTTAATCTATGAACTGCTTTCTTTGAAGCCTAAATTACATTTGAGTTTCTCAGGAAGAAAGGCATATCGTCAAGGCCTAATTGAAAATTAACAATGCCAATTTAAGTTTAATGAATTTGATTACTATGTTTATCAGGAATTTAAATAAAAATAAAAATGGGATATTTTTCTTGTCATAATATTTTTTGTTTGTGCTATTTCCTTGTCCTTCCTCTACACAGATTGGTAAATTGTTTCAAGCCGTTCTAGGTTTATTTTGGCCTTGCAATTTTATCCCTTGTCTGTAGATTTAGTTTGAGGAGGATATTTGGGGCTGCTAGGATTTTGGAAATGTTTTCTATTTTCATTTTTTGTTTTCACTTTTAAATACAAAATTGTCACTTCTTATTTTGTTTTCTGTTTTCAAAGATTTGTACATGAAATAATACAGACAACTTTTTTTCTATTTTCTCTATTTCCTTTACAAAATTTGGAAAACAATAAATAAAATGAAAACAAGGTGAGATTTTGTAATTGAAAGTGAAAACAGAAAATGAAAATAGAAATCATTTCTAAAAACCAAACAAGCCCTTAAGTTTTCAAATATAATGCATGCCTATAACTCTTGTTTTGCACCTATTTCTTCATGTAGCCTAACTTCTGGACAGAACCTGCGGATGCGGTCAAGACAGCATACATTATAACTGATTCCACTATTTTAGACAAATCAGGTGAACTGGGTAGAGGAGGTTCAACTGCTGTCACAGCAATATTGATCAATTGTCAGAAGCTAGTAGTGGCCAACATTGGGGATTCTCGTGCTGTTTTATGTAAGAACGGTGTGGCCAAACAACTATCAGTGGATCATGAACCAACCACAGAAAGTGAGGATATAAAAAACAGAGGTGGTTTTGTGTCAAACTTTCCAGGTATGATTTATTTTGAAATGTAGAATAATTTTGCATTTTATCTTAATTGCAGCACTAATGCATCAAATTATGGGTGCTGTTGTTCAGTTGGCTTATGATTTTAAATGCTTTTTTTTTATCTGGTCTATTTGAGGAATACTAGTTGATATTAACACTAACAACACTTTTTTTAATGACTAAAACTTATTAGAAATCATAAAATTATGGAATTGCCTAAAATTTATTAGAATTCATAAAATGATATAGGTTTGTATTTCAATTTCAAGTCTTAGTAGATATTTAGTTAATAATAAAGAACGCATTAAAAATTTAGTTAATAACAAAAGTGTACTTTTTGTTTATATAATTTTGAGTTTTAGTAAATTTTAGTTAGATAAAAATTGTTGTTAGTATTTCTTTATTTAAAAAAAATTTGCTTAAGGCGGGATTAAGACTTTGTTTCAGTTCTAAGGGGGTACTACTGCTTTTGTGGCCAATTCAGGGGACGTTCCACGTGTTGATGGTCAGTTAGCAGTGTCAAGGGCATTTGGTGACAAAAGCCTGAAGAAACACTTAAGCTCAGAGCCTCATGTGACTGTGGAGATGATAGATGATGATGCAGAGTTTGTAATTTTAGCTAGTGATGGGTTGTGGAAGGTAACATTTGATTAATCATGAAGCATCATATCAACACACAACTTATGGATTTGTCTTTACGGTTTTGTTAACAAAGGCTAATTTTAAGCCAATAAATATAGTAAATTTATTTATTTTTTTCATTCTCGATGTAATAAATATATTTTCTTGAAAAATATTATTTTTAGTTCCTTAACCTGAGTCTTATGCAGAATTTAATATTTTCTACACTAATCAATTTTGTTTATTGAAATTGTTCAAGGTAATGTCCAATCAAGAAGCAGTTGATGCCATCAAAGATATAAAGGATGCTAGATCTGCAGCAAAGCTCCTTACTGAAGAAGCAAAAAACAGGAAAAGCTCAGATGATATCTCTTGCGTTGTTGTGAGATTTCAGTGATCACAGAACTCACATTGTGGATTTTGTTCTACGAACTTGAAAGTGTAACATATACTTTACTATATATAATATGGATAAATGTTGATATCCTTAAAGGTGTTATAATGCCAAGCTGAACAGTGTGGGGTAAAGATCTAACTTTATCTGCTTTGATCCAATCCAACTTTGGACAACGTGTCGTTTTATGTAACAATGTAAAAAGGATTTAGTTTTGGATTGTGTAGACCAAAATAATTCGTACCAATGCAAGGAATAGTTTGGTCAATCTCTATCATCTTCAAAATCCTTGCCAAATTTACTGCTTGGCCGTTCAAGTTTTTCTTAGACCATCCATTTGTGCTCACGAATCAATGATGCTTGCATTTACTTAACGTATTTAATATCGATATTTTTATCAAGTATTCAAATCAACTACGTCAAATCTTAATTTTCAAGTTGTCCTCTTTCGGAAGAAATGAGGTTACGTTTACTATGTTTTCAGGTTAACAGTAATGATTTATCTTGAGAATGTTTGTAATTTTTATTTAACTAATTTCTAAGAAGTATATTCTTTGTTTGGATTTACAGAATAGTTATTATATATTTATTGTTTTATCTTGAGAAATGTTACGTTGTTATAGTGTTTAAAAATTTCCATACAAATTAATCCTTGTCAGCAGATTAATAATTTTGAAGTTTAAAAACATAAAGAAATAAATTTGAAGTTTAATATGTACAAACGTTATTGAAAAATAAGACAACACAAGTAACATGTAACATCTTTTATGCTTTGTTTGAATGGAGTGATTTGAGGGAAACAAATTAAAATGAGTAATTGTGTGTAGAAAAATAATTTCTTTTTCATTTAGCTATTTTGTCTTAATAGAATGAAAGAAAGCCGGTAGCTCCAAATTTTTTTCACCCCTTTCCATCCGAAGAAGTAGGTCAAAGAGGGGATTATTTTATTTTATTTTATTTTAATATTAATTTATAACATAATATAAAAATTTAAATTAAAAGGTATTGAAAAATTTTATATTAAAAGATTTGTTATTATAAAAATATTTTCATATTATTTTTTCACACTCCATTTTATTAGTAAACATAATTTTTTGACTTCTTTATCTCCTATTTTTATTCATTTAAATGATATTTTTTTAACTCTATTTCTCACTTTATTGTTTTCAATTTTATCTTTTGTCAAAACAGAACCTTAAAGACTAAATGATATATTTATTTACTTTGTACTTTTCAATGACTAAGCGGTTTTATGACTTTATTATAGGTAAACAAATGTTCCAAATATGTTGTGGAGATCCTTATGAGAAAATAGAAATAAAAACGTATTTCTTCACTAAACCCAAAATAGAAAAATTATAAAAATATATCTTCAGTGAGTAATTAGGTAGAGATTCAAAAGAAACCTAGCACCTAAGAACATCACTAATGGTGCTATGATTTTTACCTTAAAATTATAAAATAAAATATTAAATAACTTCAGTTTTCAAGTTGCTAGTGCAAGCAACAACAAAAAAAGGTCTAATAGTGTGGTTTATTAGCATATATAGCATAAAAGAGGTACAGAAACAAGAAATAATCGAAATAGATGTGCGAATTTAACCAAAAGAAGCAATAGCTTTTTATTTTAATCCAATCGAAGATAAGGGTACACCATTCAAGGGTGTTTTAATAGGATAACAATGGTAACTGCTAAGGCAAACAGAAACAAAAGGCACTCACTAAACAAGAAAACATAGAGGTCCAAGGCAACTAGCTTACATTGCATAAGACACCAACTTTGGATGTTGGAAATTTTTGTGACTTTGATTTGTGTTTATGTGAACATACAAAGTGGTCTTTATTATATGCCTTGGCATGTAAGAAACCAGAAAGTGACAGAAGAGAGGGAGCTAACAAGGTGAACATTTTTGGCTTTTTCATCTGATATTGAAAGACTTATAGCCAGAACTCCCTGGTAGGTTCATCTGAATTCTCCCCCTCTCATCAGCAAGCCTACACTGTGTTGTTTCCTTTGGTTGATGATGGCCTTTGTTGCAGCCCTCATTAGTAGCTTCCGGGTTGCTCTTCCGCCGCCGTTCATTGTGTCCGGCCAGGCGCCGACGGCAGCTTCTCTTTGCTTCATCAAACTCTGCCAGGTCATGGAACCTGCACACACTCATCATAGATTTCTAAAATGATGACCATGGAAACAGTTCTTCAAAATTTAAACCATATGACACATGGGAAAAGTAAAAAAAATGAAAGAATGTATAAGAAATGAGGCTCTCTGTGAGTTTAGATTCATGTTTAAATGCTCATGGATTCACATTTATTTCAACACTATTAGTGTGTGTTGGAAACACGTTGACAAACCCGTAAACGTTGATCCTTGAGGATGTAAACGTGAAACCAAACACACAGTTATAACTTTTGCATTGGATCTATGCTTATAGATTTTTTAATGTAAATTCAAACATACATTCAATTTCTTAAAAGAGTGTTTCTTTTATATGCAAAGAACATGTTCCCTTAAGTCATAAGTTAGGAAGATCCAAATATTTTCAGTTAGTGATCAAGGCATTTTTTTTGTGTACTAGGAATTCTTTTCTTAATTGAAGGTTTACAGGCAGTGCTAGTGCCTGTGATTCGTTTACTACAAAAAAACATAATTATTAGTTTCAACAGAAAATGAGCTAAAATCAGATCATAGGAAAACAAGATCAAGTCTACCATGCATAGTAAAATGCTAAAGACAAAACAAAAAGAGAAAAAGGGTGTTGATGAGTGAGGTTTGAATGAACACACCTGCTACATTGCTGGCAAAACCTTTGCCTCAACCCTGCAACCACCACAACAGGTGCCTTGGAATGAAACTCACACACCTTATGGCGGCGATGGTATCTCTTTGCATCAGTCAAATCAGCACCACACCTTTCAGCTTGACATGAAGGTGGAGAAACTCCACCACCACCACCACTACCACTAGCCCCTCTTCTCCCACTCCCACTAACCCCCTTTTTCTTCTCTTCTTCTATGAAATTAACATCACCACCACCACCACTTTCATCCTCCTCTTCCACTTCATTCTCCACTTCTTCTTCAACTGTGATATTACTCTTTCTTACCTTCTCAACCAATGTCCTCTTCCTCTCAACACTCTTGGCCTCCATTGATGGTGACAATAATGAAAGAGCAAGTGAAGTTGTGTAGAGACTAGACTTTTTGGAGCAATGAAGTGAAAGAGGGAGTTTATATGAAGCAGAAAGGTAGAAAAGAAGGTGCAAAGAGTGTGGACCACAGGCTCCATTTTGTTAATTGTGTGCTTTTATTAGTATAAAGGTAAGGGAATAGTGCATAGAGGAGGGTCTTGGTTTTTTGTCTTTAATGATAAGCTAATAGAGGAAAGGTTAAGTCCCAATTCTTGCTGTGATGTGGGAAGTGGGTATTGATTTTGAATGAATGGTGTGTTGAAAGTGATAGTGCTGCTGTCATATAACTCCAAGCGCGTCAATGATAAGCGCTTTTCTATTGGCACTCAAGGAATTACAAATTGGAAGAAGAGGATTTTGCTTTTGTTTGTTCTTGTTATTTTGTTGTTGTTGTGATTTCTGATACGACGCAGGTGAAGGACCCATATCACATGCATAGCCACCCCTTGTTTACGATTCTTTGTAATTACAAAATGATAATAATAATAGTAATAAATGAATGTGACTTCCTACAAACTCTGCATAACTACAACTATCAGAAAGAAAATGGCAACAAGTCTAGTGTGAAGTTTTATAACTAATCTGAAGAAGATAACTATCAGCTTTTATTTTTCACTGCCACTATGACTATTACATATCCATTGGTACAGGAATAACATCATTGAAGATTTTAAGTGGAATTTGATCGTTCTGGTTGGTCTGTGTTTCTGCTGTAGTTAGCTTTATTCATTTTAGTAGTAAGACTAAGCATTAATTTAGATGCATAGGAAGAGAGCTACTGGACCATTGCATTTTTTGTCTTAAAAAGCCTGTGTTGTAAAGTACTCATAGCACTGATCAAGGCTACACTCTAGCGAGTAGAGAGAGACACATCAAATTTTTCATATAGAAGAAAATTCACCTTTACAGTATAAATGACTAAATGAGCAGTAGCAAACTATTCCCCTGATTTATTTTCATTTTCCAATTTGCTGTTCGACAAAATTTAAGTGCAGTTTCATATGTGTTTTTGGTGGTGTTCTTCAATCAACATTGAAGTTGTACTTGGATAATATGTGCCGACCTTTATTGCATGAATTACCAAGGTAAAAGTTCAATTTTAATCTAAGAACAACACAAAAAACATCTAAGTTTTGTCCTTTGCCTATCTAGCATGATCTGGGTATCGTCCAACAAAGTTTTTTTGGTACACACAAGGAAGAATCAAGCCCTGTAAGCATACTCAAGGGAAACAATTATCTATTAACTCTGCGGAACATTGTTAGTTGTCGACTTTTGTTGCATATATTTGGTATAAATAATTGATCATGTTATGTGATTAAGCAGTTAGAATTTTGTGGTTGTTTAAAATTATGAAAATAATTATTCCCATAGAATCTTTCTGGAGTAAATGATATCAAGTTGCAATAGTACTATTATGGCCACAACATGTGGTGCTGACATGACCTTGCACGCTAGTACCATGGTTTCACAAGATGCCATCGTACTCAGTACTTGATGCGAGTTTTCACCATGGACGGTATCTAGATATAGCGGACAAAAACAAACGGTTCAACCTTATCTACGTTCAATGATTGAGGATTTGGCTTCATATAACCCAACTTGTATTCGGTTCAACCTTAGTCCAACATAACTCACATTAATCTACGGAAACAAGTCCTTTGCGCCTTTCTTAGGATCAGTCATGGCACATTAAATAACTTGGTAAATAATGTTATTTCATGCACCAATTCCTAGTAATATTTGTGGACATATTTAGAGGCAAATTTCCCTTCTCTTTTCTTTTAACATTTTATAAGACTAGCAAAAGATCTTAAGAAGAATCAAGTTCCTGGTATGCTTGGACCAATAGGCTTTGGTTTCAAATAATCCTTTTTGATACTTATTCTTCTTGGGCAATGTTTTTGTGGAACTCACACGTTCCATAGAAATATTAAATTTTTAATTTTGTTTGTTATAGTCTATCTGAACCATTTTTTTAGTTCTTACATTTTTATAAATATTTGTTTTTAATTGTTATTATTAATTCGATCTATTAAAACACTATGAAATGTCAGTTTTTAGTCAAAATATAATGACTAAAAATTATAGTTGATTAACATAAAAAATTAATAAAATATAGATTAAAATGATGTTTAAATAATAAAAAAAGAAAGTAAAAAATGTTAAGAAAGTGATGTGATAAAAAGAAAAAAAAACAATAGAAAGAAAGAGACAGCAATTGTGTATTTAAAAAAATCAGAGTTATTTATAAAAATATAATTTTCCACTGTAACGATTGGAGTATATCTCTGTTAAATGTTGGAGGTCTTAGAATTCGAATAATGGGAAAAGAATAGAGCATTTAATTGATAAAACAAATACTATAACTAAGAATACACTGCACGTATTTTACTTGGTAGGCTCCCTAGAATTTTAATACTATAACTTAATTAGAATTTTTTGGTCACTTTGAAATTTACACCCTGAAGATTTGTTTTTCCAAGTGCATTTATTGATTTTTGTAACATATTAAATTTTATATAATTTAATCATTTATAGATATATAATTAATTGTAGTAACTTACTTATATTTTAAATAATATTTTATCTGTTAAAATATAAAACAATAATAAAGTATCAATTATTATTTAAATTGTGTTAAATTTGATAAATTTATTTATTTTATAAAAATTTTAAATTAACAATTAAATTGATAAAATCGCTTTTAATAAAAAAATTATTAAATATGTTGTTGAGACATTGAGTAATATTTAATTATATCTTAGGCATGTGTTTATTATGTCTTCAAACCAAATATTTTAATTATATCAATATGTATTTCGTGCATTGTATGATTATTTTTATTTAAATAAAGTAAATTAAGTTATATAATAGATATATATATATATATAATTTAAAAAAATAAAATAATTTAGATTTAAGAGGAAAGAGAAAATTTAAGATTATAAAAATGATTAAAATGTATAAGTGATTGAGATTTGAGATGGGAAAAATAGTATAAAAAGAAAAAGAAATTAAAAGGTTTAAATTTGAAGAAAAATCTTAAAATAAAAAAAAAGTTGAAAAATTTAATAATTTTAAAATAATGAAAAATAATACAAAATGATGATAAAGTTGTGTTAAAAAAGAAAAGAGAGTATGATAACATATGTTTTCATTCTCAAAGATTAAGGACTCACATTTATATTACTGGAATTGATAATGATATTAACTAGGAAGTTGAGGATCCCTTGGACAAAATGCAATTTTCCATTTTATTTGATTTATATGTTGTTTAAGGTGAAAAGTAAAAACAGACTTGCAACATGTCCCTGCTTAAAACTCCATTGATGCAAATCAATTTTCAGAGGCATAAATGGTGTTTGGCCATAAATGTTCAACCATCCCTATTACACATCCACCTGAATTTTGTTTTTCTTTCGTTTTCTACTTTCCTTTCTGGCCATGAGAATCAGAATTTCACACCTCACACATACTTCACCGAAAAATCATGCCCATCACTCTCATATTGACTTGGGTTTGGTCCCCCACTTCTCTTCCTTTTATTCTTCTCTGTTCATTTGTTATGCAATGCAAAAGGTCATGCACCATTCCAATAAAATAAAGCCTTGCTAGCTAGCTAGCCCATCAGCACACACACACACACACAGAAGATGGAACATAGAAGTGTGCATATTTTGTGATATATACCCTTTAAAAAGGACCTTTTTTGTGTTTTCTGAAAAACTGTGTAGGACAGTTGTGAAGAATTCCACATGAATAGACAAAAGTAAGAGACAATCTTTGTAGTGCTAGAGAATTCTTGTTGCATGTCTTTGTAAAGAATGATATATAGTGCAGACAGCTGCATGGTTGATAAGATAAGAGGAATATAAATCATCAAATCATTCAAGAGCATGGGAATTGATGTTGGTCCCCAAGGTTTGGCAACCCATGAATAAAGCCTTAAATCATAGACTTGTTTTCACGGCACACTTTTGTAGTATAGGCAGATGTTAACTAGTGGGTATTGATTGAAGAATCAAAAGTAAGTATTTTTTTATTAAAATAGTATAAATATACTCTCATTATAATTTTCAATACATTTTCAATTTTATTTTTAATCAAATACTTAATTATTTTAATTTCCTAAACAACGCTGTTAGCAAGTCAATTTTAGTATATATTTTGAAGTTGCCTTTGGGTCTTCTTCCCACACAGAGAAACTAGCCATTGGCTCTTTTACCTTCTGTTTTTCTCTTATTTATGGCTTGTCGTTTTTGCTACTACTTTATCAGAGGATATATGGGTAAGAAATAGACATAGGTATCAGATTCTATTGAATTGTCAGACACATAAGTCTACAATAATGATAATTGACTTAGTTTTGTAAGGATCATATATACCCGTGCCCAGTTGGTTTTCATAATATGTGAGTCCTATTCGGTTTAACTAATAAATTAGTAGGATTCAAGTTAGAAGATCTAGAACCAGTGAGCTTGATTTAGTAAAAATGATAAATCAAAATGAAATTGATATAAGTATTTGCCAATGTCTCATCAATATCACTGTTGCTTACAAATTGTAATGACTGTGTTTTATGCAAGTTTTGGTGTTTATACGATCTTTATTAATAAGAAATATTGTCATTTAAAGAATAAAACATTCAATTGATCCATTTGATCTAGCATGCAGCCAAGTTAATAACCACTCTTTTATTTATTTATTATACGTACTCAGGGATCTAAAAGACTTATTATTTTTTTAAAAACTTATTTGCAAATTAAATTTTGATATAAAAAGATCCGTTTTTATTTACGAATAAAATGCTGGTAAATTCAAAGATATAAAATATTGGCAGTATTATATATTTTGATGAATGTAACAAAAATTACTAACCATTGGACTGTAGTTAAAGGAAAATCAATCAATTTTGGAGAGAAAAAAAGTTAGCTAAAAAGATAGTGGTCACTGGTTATTTTGAATGGTATAAAGCTCATATAATTCACTAAAATAATTTATTATTTTGAATTAAATTGGGTAAAATTATAATTTCACTTAATTTTTTATTTTTAGTTTGAGTCTTATTAAATATAACTGTATTAAATATCTACGGGAAGAATTTTATGTATAATAATCCTACTTAACTAAAAAAGAATTGCATTTTACAGAAAATACTTGGAATTTAAATAAAACACTACTAAAATAAATTATTAATAAAGTATATCTTATTTTAGATGAATGTTAAAAATTTATCAATAATTTATGAGTTTAATTAAAATTCATAGACAGTTAAAAAATTATACTAAAATTTGTAATATTGTCATCTAATTATATGATGCCAACTAGTTAAAAATTATTAATTTTTACAGTAATTATTTAAAATTTATACATAAAATAATTTGTAATTTTTAAATCCTAAATCCTAAAAATTTTATACTAATAATATATTAAATTTAAATTCATAAATTTGTTCTTAAGAAGTAATTTGAGGTAATAATGATATTTTTCTGGGAAATTAATGAAGAATGTCAATACCACTTGTAGCTGTGTTTCAATGTTACATTAAGATAGCTTAATTCATAGAAAATAATATTTAAATATAAATTTTAATGATTGTCTAGCTTGCTTTAATTTTCTTTTGAAATAATTTTTTTTTAAAAAATAAATATTTAATATTTATATTTTTGTTGTGCCCCGTAAGTGAGATGGATATTTTTTTAAAATAAGGAATTAAAATAAACAAAAAAAGTAGATACTAAATTCAAAATCTCACAAATATAATAACCAAAAATATATTTAAACTTACAAAAAATTATCTTTGAAAAGTGAAGTGAAAATTACGCAAAAAAATAATTCAGAATTTATGATCTAAATTTACGTAAATAACAATAGCAATCAAATGATATGGTTAACTTACGGTAATGTATAAAAATAATAATGATAGATTAGTTAAAATAAAATAATAAGATATAGTATTTCATTTGAATAATAATAAACTCATTGTAATAACGTATTTTATATAAATGATAGTTTTTCATAATTATTTTAATAATGTTCAATTACAAATAGTATAATATTATTTTGGTATTGATGATCATGATAAGAAGTTGGAACAAGGAACAACAAGCATCTTAATAAATTTATTTAGTTAATGTCTTAAACTATTCAATTAACATTGTGTAAGTATTTATAGATTATCAATAAAATAAAATTTTTTATCAGTTAAATAACATTTGTGATTTATTAAAAGCATGTGCTTTTATATATTTAAATAAAATATTTGTTTTAGAAAATAACTTTTTAATGTGGTTTATTGTTTTTTTATTTTTTTTCTAACCAAGTCTTTTAAAAATCATATTTCATCCTTATATGGTCTAATGCTTTTAATTAAAGAAAAATAGTAATTAGATCGAGAACAAAAATTTTAAATAAGGGTAAGAACTTTTCAGCTTTCACATATAATTCTTCAATACTCTAAAGGTGCAATTATCAAAGTTAGAGAAGAGGCAAGAGATTCACAGTGAAGAGAAAATGGTTCAAATGAGAAATGGGCTAAACAACTAAACCTTGGGATGGTAACCTATAATGTCAACAAATATATATATTTTTATTTTCATCTAATTATGAATGATCTTATCAACAAAAATAGTTAATTTTTGTAATAAATTTTTATATTAATAATGTACAAAAATCAAAATATTTTATAATTTTTAATAAATTTTAATTAAAAACTAAAAATAGTTAAAAATAAATTGTTCTTAGCATGGTCAAATAATTCAATTCAAATTATCGAAGTTCAAAACTAAGCCCTAAAATTCACATTTTTCGTGTTCTCAAATCCTTTATGTTATTTTCCCTCATTGTCTCTACTCAGCATTAGTATCCTCTCTCAATCTTCAAAACTGTAGTTGCACTCAAATTCACATTCCTTTTGCAGTTCACACATCATCCACAATTTACTGCGCGTTCTGGTGCTTTCGAAGCCCTCTGCTCTGTGTACTGTAATAGATTTTTGAATTGAACAAAACAGTGTCGTTTGATGCATGAATATGACTATAAACACTCACTGATATACTTATTTGCTTGCAGAAACATGGGTTCCATCAAGATCGAAGAGGTCGAAGGAGAGCAAGTTGGGACCACCGATTACTTCTTCGTGAAAATAGGAGAGAGTGTTCCATTGAAGGACAATGACACCAATTTCGACGTTGAAACGCTTCCTTCGCAGCCTCTCGCAGTCTCTGAACGCTTTCGTCTCACTTTTGTAGCTCATTCTTCAGGTAAACTGAACTATGTTCAATTGAAAGTGCCTCTTATTGAATTGAATTATTATTTTATTTTTATGTTTTAGGTTTTTTTGTTGCGAAGACGAAGGACCTTATTGATTCGGCTAATGAATTTAAGGACAAGGGAAGTGGCTCTCCGGTGCAGCAACTGAGTCTTGTAGATGTTTCTGTTGGGATGGTTCGCATCTTGGCTCTTTCAACTGACAATTCAATGCTCGCGGCTTCGGGCTCCAGTGACATTCGATTTTATTCTGTTGAGAACTTTCTCAGTAAGGTATGTAAAATGTAACTTGCTAAGAGATTATTGCATAGGACTAGGCATCCTCGTGTTTAGGTTTTCTTCAATGACTTCTTAGTTTGTTATCATTGTGCTAAATGTTGATGTAATTGAAGTCTCTGTTCATCACTTTCAATATCTGACACTACGTAATGCCATAAAAGTGCTTTGTTGAAGCTTTAGCTTTTGCATGGTCGGTCACCTTGTTATTTATTTAAGCTTCTACTTTGGCTACCTTTGTTTACCTCTAAAACTTGGCAGCGCTTCTATTTGCCAAATCTCTCCTATTAATCTTTTAAAATTGTAATTATTTTCCCTTCTTAAGTTACAGAACGATGAATTTCCCTTGGCCTGCTCTTAGCATGCACATCCAAAACCAAAACCCTAGGCTGATAGGTCGTCCCTCTCTCGGTATGAGTTTGAGATCCCTACACGTCTTTTCCCCTTTACATTTGATTCATCTCCACCTACCACAGAATCATTGTGGACTCCTTTAGTGGGTTAATGGGTGTTTTCTTTCCCTTTGGAACTTCATTCCCTATGGCAACTGGCAAGTTATTTGGAGTAAGTATGCCTTAGACTAGAATGGGTGGGATGCTAATGCTGCAGCCCAAGCTTCTCATTTTAGCTTGTTGAAATTTATTTCTCAAGGTTGTACTTAATTTAACTCTCTTTACTCTTGAAGGTTGTTATTTTTTCATTTCAACTTCAGGGAGGACTATTGGTAGAAGATTCCTCTTTTAGTTTGGCTTTTCCTCCCACTACTTTATTGTCTATCTTCATTACACTACTCTTCTATCCACACTTCTTACCTGTTAAAGACTTCACCTTTTATTTCTACTTTTCCAGTCCTTGTATTGGAGACCATCTTGGGTCTCCTTGATTCTATCCTTTTCCTACCTGTAGTCTGGATAAAAGGCTTTGCTCTCTTGATCCTTTTGGGGTGGATTTTGTAAATCTTACTTTTAATTCTTTATCAATGCCCATTCACTGGAGAATAGAGTTTCATTCCAGTATTCCACCATGATAAATCTATTTGGAAGTCCAAAGTGCCCTCTAGGGTAAATCCTTTAATTGGACAACAGTGTTTGGTGGAATTGGTTGGAAATATCAGTAATTATTTTCTAGTTCTTTGTATCTTTACTATTCCTAGGAAATAATAGATTCATGTACATAGGATGTATTAATCTTGCACTGAGGAAGTAGCATTCTCATTAACTTTTGGCGTTGTTTGAATACTTGACGACTTTGTCTAAAAAGCAATTTCTATGCTTGAAATATTTTATACCGTATAAACTTTAATATTTATATTATCTCTGTTTGTTTAGGAAGTGAAGCAATCCTTTTCTTGTTCAATCAATGACTCAACATTTGTCAAGGACATGCGATGGATAACAACATCAAAAAGTTGTTATGTAGTTCTTTCAAGTATTGGGAAATTATATTTTGGAGAAGTTGGTTCTCCCCTTAAACATGTAATGGATCTTGTTGATGCAGGTAAGCTTCTTTCTTCTATTTCACTTACCACTTGAATATGTTTACACCCCATTATTCACGTGTAGTATGTTTGATGTTTTATTAATTTAAAGAGTCCAAGTGCACCAATTGATAGCAGATATTGGGTTATGAATTTTAGTTCACTATATTATGGCATTATACATACACTCATATATGGGAAGAGATCAAATTACACTACTGTAAAGTACAATAATTCTTATATTGATCAATAACTTTATATATAATGTAATTTTTATCAAATTAATTGTTGAATTATACCTTGATTATTTGAGTCAAATTTTGTCTAAATTAAACAAATATAGAAATGTAATAAAAGGATTCTTTTATATTCATTTATTTTTGTTGATGTCCTACATCAATTATAGATATGATCGAATAAGAGTTTATAAATGTTAAAACAGTTGTCACCTTATGAGCTGACTTTTGAGGTTGAGTTAGGCCAAATCCAAAATTTAAGATGATATGAGATCCTATCTTAGATTTAATAATGGATCACCCTTGACTGAGAGAAACACTTGGCCCTCAAACAGTGTAGGATTTCTTAGCATGACTTACCTAACCTTGTAGCTTTTCAAGTGCAATATTGGAAAAAAAAAAAAACTTAAATATGTGATTGGTCCCTACAAATATAGCACATTTTGGGATAAGTCCTTATAAAATTTTCTGTTAGGATTTAGTTTTTGTCGTTAATTCTCTTTTGTTGAGTGCTGAGATGGCTAAGTACTATCTTCTTAACATCTTAACAGTAGAGAGTTGATGACAGAGACTAAATTCTATTTTCTTAACATTTTAGGGACTAAATCTTTGTAAAAAATTTTGTATGAACTTATTGCAAAATATGCTATATTTAGGGAGACCAATCACATATTTAAGCAAAAAAAAAAAAAGAAAAACAGTCTTACAATTTTTATACTTCAAATGTGTGCAATCTTGTATAGGCTTATAAATGTTAAAACTATCTTTACGAGATGGCTTTTAGATTTGAGTTAAGTTCAAGTACAAAATTTAAGAATTTCAAAAATATATATTATGTTAGTTCCGATACACACGAATCAATTATCAAAAACAATTAATGGTGGCGCTATAGTGGAGCAGCTATTGGCTGTTACAAAACTAGAATAGTGGCTTTAGTGGCCCTGTAGCAAAATTTTTCAGAAGAACTCATGTTTGCCCTCAAAAAAGCATTGTTTTGGGGGAGCTTTTTTACTTTTAATGTTATTTACTTGTATGTTTTGTTTTAATTATATCTCTTTTTTCTTAAAAATTTTTAATTAAGAATATGTCATCGATTTTGAGTTTTTTATTTTTGAGCATTTATATGTAGTATAAATTATTTAGTTAGTATATAAAATATCTAAATAGTGGTCATTGCACTATGCCTTATCATGCTATAGCATCTTTGGCATTGACCTCTATGCATTGCTATCTGAGATTGATAATTATGACATCAATGAAGTATCAAATAATTGTGAATTGATCTAAAATTTTATAGACATGATCTATATAATAGAAACTTTTTATCTAAATGTTGGTTTTAGGATAAAATTATCTGATAAAAATGTTATCAAATGGTGTTTAGTGTGCATTGTAATATTCCAATATGTTTGGTTCACAGCTTTTTTTTCTTTCTTAGGTATTCCCATTTACTTGTCGTAATTTGATTCTTTGTGTAGTTGATTGGGGTTTGAAAGGTTCATTTGTTGCTGTGGCAAGTAAGAGTGTTCTAAGCATTTTATCTGCTGAGTTTGAAGAAAGAGTTTCAATTTCACTATCCTTCAGATCATGGATTGGTGACTCTGCTGCAAATTGTAGCATAAAAGGTTTGCATTAGCTGTTTCATTTCTCTATTTTAATATATATTTGTTATGCTTATGTATAAATTATATTGTACTCCCATCTGTAAGTTTTGCATAGATTTTTTAAATGCACTTTTGATTCAATGATTAAATCAAAAGGATGTTTTGTCAAAGCTATCTAACATGGAAGTGGAGTTAATAAAAGAAAGGCAAATATACTTTAGCTCCCTGAAAATATGTTGTTTTTTATTTTTGGTTTTAGTCCCTATTCATTTTTTGTTTGCTTATAATCCTTGCATTTAACCAAAGAAGTGCGTTTTTAGTCTGTCACTGGACACTGAAAACACATTTTTATTTGTATTTTTAAGGACTAATTTAAAAATGATACTTTTAGTGACTTAAAACACATTTAAGCTAAAAAGAAATATCTAACTTTTCTAGCTTCTTTGTTTTGTTCTGCTACTGGTCTTCTTAGGGGAGTCTCTTTGATAGATCTTCAAAGAGATTGACACTATGTTGCATGATTCCTGATCTTTGTTTTTTGATTTTTTCCTATTAATTTTTATTGATTTGATGTGAGGGTATGGCTAGGCACAACTGTAAGGTTGTTGCTTTGTGACCTGAAGCATCACGAGTTCAAATCCTGGAAACACTCTCGCCACTTGTGGGGGCAAAGCGGCATACATCTATGATTTACTCTCCCTAGACTCCACTTGATGGTTTCCCTTTAGTCTTTATTTTGAGGTCTTTTTCCCTCAAGAATTTGTTATCCTCTACTTTTGTATCTCTCTCTTAATTATTCTTTATATAAAAAAGCTTATTGGCACTCTCAATCATTCTGTAACCTTCATTGCCAATTCTTTTGTTATATTGGATTGTATGGTTTGAATGATTGGTGTAGGACATGAATAATGCAAACTGCCATCTCCAACCAACCAGTTCAGTGATTTGTGTTTCCTTTGAATCTCCCAACACTCTTCATGAAAGTTTAGATGACCCAAGTTTTTCAAAACTTCTGCAAATGGTTTCAACTTTCAAGTCATGTGAAGTTAAAGACCTTGGATTCTGTGTCATGTCAATATGGGCAGCAAGTTCGAGCATCCTGTTCCAAGTAAGGTGAAAAATCGAACTGAGTTTCCTTAACTATTATCCATTATGATATACAGGGTTCAAGTTGTGTCACTGCTTCTTTGGGTTATAATTTTGCACTTGGATATTTTTATTGAAAGAACACTTGAGTTGTTTTCCATCTTTACTTCTTTAAGATAATTAAATACTTTGGAGTGATAATGCAAAAGAAAAATTTCTACTACTTTTTTACCCTTTATGTTTTCTCATGGCATTATATATCAGTCCACTTGTCCTCGTATACCCTAACAAAATAAATTGTAGAACAAAAAATTTGAATGATTTATGACTCTTTGCGTTTCAATTCTTGTAGGGTCATTCCAACTTTGTGGAAGTTTTAACTCAAGTCTTTCAGCTCCTCTTTCAAATTTTTGCACTTGCACCTGCCTTTATTGTCTTTCTTTGCATAATTTTCCCATATGCAATTTATATGGCTCCAGTATTCTGTTTATTTCTTTTTACCCCTTGAAATGTCTGCTTTTCTTGTAATTTAAATGATCAGGAGTCCTTTAAATTGGAGTCTGTCTTGGGGCTCCTCGAGTCTATTCATTTTTTGTGATCCCTTTGATTAAAGGTTTTGGTCCCTTCATCCTTCTAGGTAGTTCTTGTGCAATTTTGCCCCAGTTCCTTGTTCATTCTTTGAATATGGATACTTCATGTTTTTTAAAATTTCAAAGTTCCCTCCTAGGTCAGATATTTTATTTAGACTTTGGTACTTAACAGAATTAATACTAATGACACATTGCAAATAATACTTAAAGTAAACAAAATTTCAGAATATTGGTTTTTGATTGAGCTCAATGGCATTTTGTGATCTATGTAGTTGATTTCACCTAGTGGGATAAAGCTTGGTTGTTGTTGTTATCACATGGCAATCCATAGGCCACGTCAGGCTCTTTCTTCTGATATGTGTGTAATTTGTGGTGATTGCTTAGAATCAGTTCGTTCCCTATTCCTTCAATGTTATGCTGCAGTTCTTTCTATGGAACTCCTTATTTGCTATTTTCAGTGAATGTTGGGTGTGTTGTACCTCCCTGGTCCCATTCTTCATGATATGCTTTCATGAATTTGGTAGAAGTTAAGGTTTTCTGTTAATGTGCAATCTATGCTGCACTTTGGTGCATATGTTTGAAGTAGAGCCTGATGTATTTTTATGGAGGTTCACTTGGCTCAACACTTGATTCAAGATAAGATTATATGTTTGGCATTTATTGGGGGTAAAGCATGTGGCCTTTTAAAATGGGGTATCACTAAAAGATATGTGGAGATTGGGAAGCTTTGATTAATTTTTTCTTGTTTTCTTGGTTGTTTTCTGTTATGTTCGTTAGTTTAGGAGGGTTCCTTATGCTTCCTTCTCTTTGTAATTTTTCCTCTTAGTTTTTATGAATTCCTTCCTATATCCTAAAATAAATAAATTACATGTTTTACTTATAGGTATGCTTTGAATTTAGGACAAATTACATTCACGCTGTTTAGGTTTAACAAAATTTCATTTGATACCCCTCCTTTTTTTCTTAAATTTTACTTTGACCTCCCTTAAATCATATAGTTGCATAGCAAATCAGGGGTGGTTTATGTAATCGAGAGGGATATGTAGTGTTATGTTTTATTATTGTTATATAAATTAAGGGAGGTTTGTGTAAGGTTAAAAAAGGAGGGGTATTGAGTAAAATTTTTTTAAACCTCTGGCTTTTAAACACTGACAAATATTGACAACTAACAACTATCAAACAACATGACTGCTTTAGAGGAATTTCTTTTACTAACATGGAAAAGATTAAAAAATCATACTCATTTGAAGCTTTTTTAATTGCATGCTTGAACTTTTTAGTAATTATCTTTGGTTGGGCTATTGGCACTCACAGTTGATTGTTTTCATTTCTTTCTATTTTAATTGTAATTTTTTACATTAATTACTTATTAAATGTTAATAGACTAATGGGATGTAATTAATTAAGGTTTGACTTGAACCAGACAAATTAAGCACATTTTAGGAAAATGTAATTAGAAGTAGGTGGTGGGGAGTGAGTAGAAAATTGGGAGTGTTAATAGTCCCACCCATTTTCTTGTTGCTTGAATTGTACCCCCCTGCGATGTTTTAGAGTCAATACATGGTGTTTTAATGTTATGCATTGCATATAATGTAGTCTTTCTTGAACAAATATTCCAGTGGATTCTGTCAAGTGCGTTCGACCTGATTCCATTGTAATTGGATGCATTCAACTTAATGAAGATGGCAAGGAGGAAAATTATCTTATTCAAGTTATTCGATGCCGGCTTGGTGAATTTAATGACGTAAGTGCAAAATCCTTAAAGTCTGTTTTTCTTTTGATTTGGTTTTTGACCGAGTCCAATGACGTGATTCGTGTAGCCATCCTTACCTTTTATTGTTGTTGTACCTTTGATTGATCATGAGTTGCCAATGCATGAATAAACTTCATCATTGATATGAGACTTTAGAAGGCCTAGGTAATTGCTGGATGTTCTCATCTTGAAGTTGAATATGTACTTGTCATCTTGCTTGCTTTTTGGTAAAATATTTAGGTTAAATTAAATCATAATCCTTGAATTATTGGAGATGTTTTTATTAAATAGGTCCTTGTACTTCTGAAGCTTTTGGATTAGGTCCCTTATAAATCACTTTTAATAGGTCCTTGACCACTTTTAAATGTATCTGATACTTGCACATTGATGTTTCAAGGCTCTTGGATGTTTTCAAGATAGGGTGTTGTTTTGGATTCACTTTGGCATTAATCTCATGGATGTTTTCAAGACTTTTCTTTGAAAAGATGCTTGTATATTCTTTTCTTTTGTGGCTTCTGGAGATGGCTGTCTTATTTTCCTTAATTGTACTATTCCTTTTCTTATATTAATAATAATTTCTTCTTTTACGTTGTATTCTTGCTGCGCATTGTTCAGTTATATGCATTCTGCTGCCTCTTGTAAATAGTCATGTTTATTGAACGCAAGAGTGAGGATGCTGGGCTAGCCTAAGAAAATCACTGTTTGCTTTCATGTAGCATTAAACTCAATTTTTATTTTCTTTTGCAGGGTTGTTCTGAATTCGTTGTGCAGTCCTTCAATGATATTTATCAAGGACTAATTGATGATATTGTACCCTTTGGTAGTGGACCGTACCTTTTATTGACGTACCTAAAACAATGGTAAATGTTTTGCATTTCTTGTCCTTATGTTGTTTTCCCATCTCCTCCTTAATACAATTCTTTGACTGGTTTTTGTCTTTACATGTTCTTACATCTTAGTTTCAAGGTTATGTTTATGTAAAGTTTGTGATAGTAAATAATGTCAATTTAAGGAGCAACAGTCGAGTGAATGGGAATCATTCGTTTTGCCTTTATCAATTAAAGATTCAATATCAACAAAGCCTTGTCTACCATCAAAGAAGTTTGCAAACCCCTCATTCAGTTGCCTCCTTATATCTACATGAATAAAGTATATTTTGAAGCATTTCATCCTTCTATGATTAAGTTTCATGTTTTGATAGCGGAACTCTATTAGTGTATTCACTTAGCCATTTATGACTATAATATTTACAATATACAAACAATATGGTTATAAATTTATATAACCTATAGAAATGTATTTAAACAATTAAGGTATTGAAAATTAATAAACTATATTCGATTATCATTTCTCGTGTGAGCATTCATCTATCTTAACATTCTCATTTTTGTCACTTTCACTTTTTTTATTTTGCGTTGTTCTTTTAAAACATAGCATTCACTACCATGTAGAATAGCTAGTTGTATAAAAGTTCAATAACATTTCCTTTCTTCATATTTCACTGTGCGCCTTAAAATTCTGGGTCTTGTTAGATTGGAAGTTGATTATACTTTACGACTGTGAGCATGCTCATGGTTAAAAGACATTGATTTAGACTTTTTCTGCCTCTGCATGTTTACAACTTGGATGGTCATTGTTAAATTTTTTAAAACTCATCAACATCATAGTTTATCTTTGATGAATTTTTTTAAATATCTTCCCTGAGCAAAACATGGAATGCAAATTTATGGATAGTTTTACTCTATTTATTTATTTTCTTAATAACTACAGCCAGCTTGTAATCAATGCCAACACGAAGAATACAGATCAGCATATAATGCTGCTTGGTTGGTCAGCAGATGATGATAAGGGTGAAGCTGCAGTTATTGATATTGAGCGAGATAATTGGGTTCCAAGAATTGAACTCCAAGGTACTTCAAGATTGTTAACAACACTTGTAGCATGATTATCAATAAAACATTGTGATGTCATTTGATTGTTCCATGTAGCTAACCTAACTCAGTGAGAAAAGGCTAACTTGTTTTTGTACATGTAGCATGTTTGCAAAGAAACCTTTAGCAAAAGCCCCAATTACATATTTGAAATCAATTTTCCATTTTTTTGAATAAAATGAAAAACTCATTGAGCTGAAAAGAATAAATTGTTTTTTTTAAAAACCTAAACAAAAAGGAGAAGTGGGAAAGTGTAACATTTAATGTTGCCGATGCATGCCCTAGTAACCTCCAATTGAGGCCTTCAAATTGATTCCTTAATCAGTATCCTCAGGGTGCTTGTTGGCAGTACCTGAACAAAAATAAGACAAGAAAGGAAAGGTGCAAACATCATGGCACAAAGCTAATTTCTAAATCCCTCTGCATTTCTGTTGGGGAAATTCACTTTAAAAGATCATTTGCTTTGTGCCATCTTGTCCTACCCAAATCAGGTGCCTGGCCGAATAGACCTCCTTTGAATTTAGTTGAGTTCTCTTGCCGCTGGTATAGGAAAGGTGTGCAGATGTTTGCACTTACAAAAACAAAAGTTGCACTGACCAGTCCTCTGACCAATGAGTGTTTGTCATTAGGTATTGGCTTTGGACTCTTTAAATGCTTACTTGGAGCTTCAGTTGTAATTTCTGTTTCTCATGCTCTTCCTATAAACTAAGATGGAAAAATAAAGGAAAATAAAAATAAGGGTTGGTGATTATAGTTTTTGAAGTCACACATCAACTATGGGAATGGTCAAATAAGAACTTCTAATGGCTAAAGTAATCATCACCTTACAAGTTAAATTTTAGGGTTGACTTAGGCCCAAGTCCAAATTTAAGATGGTAATGGTATTAAAACTTACAATAGATCTGATATTGGGTTACTCTTTAGCTTAAAAAAAGAAAAAAACCAACCTCATTTCTAGTGCAACTTACCTGGCTCCATGACCTTCCCGGTGTAATATTCTAATAATAATAAAAAATAGTTGTACAATTTTCCATTCTAGATGTCAAATGTTGTGTGTGAAGAGATGTGTTAGTCTAATATCGACTACAGATATGGTCAAAGAAGAGTTTATAATGGCTAAAATAATTGCTATTTTATAAGTTAGGTTCAAGGTGAAATCTAAGAATAGTTATAAACCATTTTTGTGTTTGTTGTATACTACTACTAAAAGTGATTGGGTCAGGATTACATTTGAGCTTACAATTATTATTTTAGAGCCCAGGTTATGCTGGTGGCCCAACCTTAAGCTAGTTTATGGTTCCAATAGTAGTTTGAAAAAAAAAATTTCCTTCCTCTATATTGTTTCACCAATTAGCAATTACCCAATATAATGATGTGGAATTTGAACAAGAGTAATGACTCTTTTAAATCTTCTATTAATTCTGATCATTCATTTGTGATTCAGTTAACATTTTCACTCCCTACTTCTCTTGGATGTGTGACTTGTGTGTGCATCCTAAAGCATCAATATCATAAATTAATGCATGCTTATATACAGTGTTGTTAAATGGCGGCGCCATGGCGGAATTCGGTGGCGGTTTTTGACCCCGCCGTTACAGCGTTACCGTTTTCTGGCCTTTTTCAATGGCGGCGCCATGGCGGCCGTTACGCGCATGGCGGTAACGGCAGCCATGGCGGAAAATGTAAAAAAATGGCGTTTTTGTGGGAAAAATTGAGTTGGGCCATTGATTGGACCTGCTCCGAAAAGATAATCCGTGAGCCCAAACCCTAAATCACATATTTTCTTCCTTTCTTCATTGCTGTTGTGCCGCAATGGAGCGTCGGTTGGCTGTTGTGCTGCTGTGGAGTGGCGGTCCGCCACCTGCTGCTGCTGTGAAGTATTTCTTCGCAGGGGTTAAGCCCTAGTTGTAGTGTCTTCGTGTGCGTGTTGAAGTGTAATAGAGAAAGAGAGCGAAATTCCAATCTTGCCCTTGTTTTATGTATTTTAGGGTTTTTTAAGGGCAAAATAGACTCTTTTCACTTAAAATTTTTAGGGTTTACCTTCTCTTCTCAAGCGGTCAATTTTCTGAAGGGTAAAATATTTAGGGTTCTCTACACTGTTTTTCTTCCTTCTTCTCTAAAGCCATTTTCTCCTTCACCATTTTCGCCGGAGAAGACATCCTTTCCGGCTGTTTTCCGGCAACTGTGAATGGAAGGCCCTATTTTCCGAAGTCCATTTTCTATTTTGTGTCTCTGGACTCTGCCCCTCTTTCTTAGTTTTTTCCTCTCCTGTTTTTTTTTTCAGTTCTGTTTTTCCCTCTCCCACTCTGTTTTACTCTCCCATTTTTTTTGTTTTTCCTTATTATTTTGTTTTCTTGATTCTATTTTTCTGTTTTCACTTCCAAGTTTCCTTCTCCATATTTATTTTAATTCTCTACTTTTCTGTTATAACTTCAGCTTATTATTCCCTCTTTCTTAGTTTTTCCCTCTCCTATTTTTTTTTTTTTTCAGTTCTGTTTTTCCTTCTCCCATTCTGTTTTACTCTCCCATTTTTTTCGTTTTTCCTTATTATTTTGTTTTCTTGATTCTATTTTTCTGTTTTCACTTCCAAGTTTCCTTCTCCATATTTATTTTAATTCTCTACTTTCCTTTTATAACTTCAGTTTTTTTTTCACTATTGTACAACCATTTATTCTTTTTTTCTCAAAACCTTCTTTTTATATGTAGTTAGTTTTCTAATTTTATATCACATTTTGCAATATATATGACCGCCATTATTCCGCCATAACCCGCCATGGCATCCGCCATAATTTTATGGCAGTTTTTTTGTTTTCCGCCATGACCCGCCATCTGCCATTGATAACATTGCTTATATAGCACCATCCTAATACTTATTGACTCTCATTGATCTTTCTCTTGTATTAAGTTTGATATATACTTATGTAAGTTTGTCCATGCACTTTTTCCAGAAAATGGCGATGATAATTTGCTCTTGGGGCTGTGCATTGATAATGTTTCAATTTATCAAAAAGTTGGAGTTCAACTTGGTGTGGAGGAGAGGACTGAGCTCTCACCATATTGTGTTCTTATATGCCTTACATTAGAAGGAAAACTTATCATGTTCCATATTGCCAGGTAAACTTTTTGGAATTCCTTTTATTTCCATTCTCAAGCATCATTTGATTGATTGCTTCAGATAAGAATATCAGTTGTGTTTCGGCAATAGAGTGGTCTGAGATTAATTTTCTACATGTGCTTCAAAATTTTTAAATTTCAAAGGTTGAATAGGGTTTTATCTTTAGTCTTGCAGGAAGTAAAGCTTCCCCTGAAATTGATTCTGCTCTGCACAATGAAGATACTTCTGCAAAGCTTCCTGAAGAGGAAGGTTCCACTTTTTCTCTGGGATTGCAGAATGAGGAAACAGATAAGGTATTTTTTGGTCTTTAATTTTAGGATATGAAGGGAAATGTTATTATTTTGACCACTGATTGTTAGTGTCTTTAATTAATGACATTTCCAAAAATAAAAATTATGTGCAGGCTTTTGAGGTTAGTGGGAATCTGTTGGTCATGCCTGTTGGCAATCCTGTTCAAATAACAAATACTGACGATGTTACTAAGTGCCCAGAAGTGGCATTAATGGAAAATTCACAGAGTCTGAAGTCAAGTGTACAGCAAATTGTTCCTGATGTAGATGCAAACCAAAATACTGATAATCAAATTCAACGTCGTCCAGGTGAACAGCATAAAAACATAGGTCAAAAGACTGCAGCACTTGGAACTGCTATTGGTTCCTTAACAGTAAACAGTCATTCTTCTGCTCCTGGTTTGTCAAGTTATAACAATTTACAAGCAACTACTGAGAAGACTAGGGAGCTGTGGACTGCAAATAGTTCAAGGGACTCACAGAGAGCTTCTAATTTATTGCTTGGTGAAACATTTTCATTCCCGAAAAAGTCTGATGTTTCTTCATTTTCAGCTTCAAGTTACACTGATGGTGTTGGTTATCAAAGTCAAAATTACTCTATCAGTGCTAAAAATATTCCCGGGAGCATGGGTGGAAAATCCTTTCTTGTACAGGATGTGAATGGTGCATCTCCTGCCATGAATTCTGCTAGTAGGCCTGTTCAGAGTGAGGGACAACTAACTTCCATAGTAGCTGGAAATATTCAACCAGTCATGGATAGCAGTTCACATTCGTCATCTAGTGGAAATACTAAAGCTGGAAAGTCATTTTTTCTGAAGTTTCATTCTTTGAATGAGCCACATGGAACTTCAGCCAAGCTTGGGATAGCAAGTTCTGATTTATCAAAGCAATTTGGCAATGTATTATTTCTGGAAATCTTAATTAGTTTCAACATATAAATGATAGATCTTATGTTGGGAGAGGGCATTACTGATGAGGATTAATTAATTTCTTGTTTTATCTAGTTGTTTGTAGTTTTTGCTGTAAGGAGGAGTCCTGTTCTGTATTTCTCTTCTGTGTTATTAAATTCTGTTATTATTAAAAATATTATATATTAGGTGAAATAAAAGACAGCAACAGAAGAGAACAAGGACTCCTCCTAGGCCCTTTTCCATTTCTTATGGTGGTCTCTTTTTTGCTGTCCTCCACTAGATTAACGAGATGACTAAAGAATTGGACCTACTTTTGACATCAATAGAAGAGGCTGGTGGCTTTAGAGATGCTTGTACAAGGTCACTACGAAGTTCAATCGAAGCTGTGGAGCAACGCATGGACACACTGTCTAAAAAAACCAAAATATTGACGGTGATGTTTCTTTATTTGTATTGTGTTTTGACCCTTTCATTTCTTTAACTAGTTAAAACATTGGAATTTATCTCAATCTATTCCTTGTTATATCCTTGTATTATATCTTTCACTTAACTTGGATCATTTGTTCTAGTAGTTGTTGAGATTATAATAATATATTAGTCAAGTTTAATTTTTATTCAAAATTTAGTTGGTTTCTTACTAATATTCCAATATGACCCGTTAACTTTTCAGTGCCGAGTGGATGAACATCAAGAGGAAGTTCGTTATCTTCTTAATCAGACAATACGAGGTAATATTTGTTTATCGATAAATTTTGTGTTATTTATCTATCTATCCATTGGAAAGAACCTTGGGAGAACCATATCACAAAAGAATCCTTATAGTTGAAAAGAATCATATCACAAAAGAACCACTGAAAAGAACTACTGTTGTTATAGACCTTTCATTAGAATTCTATAACTCCAATGTGGGACTCAAGTCTCACACTGATAGAAATCCTCCAATAACAGAGGCCTTAGTATGCAGTAACAGAATAGCAGAATCTGTTTTATAGTAGATATGAATATGGGGAGGAAAACAAGTAACATAGTAATATAATCAATCTATTATTAACTGCTCATAAATAGGGATGGAAACCAGAGGGAAAAGGGGAAAGAATTTAGAACTGTAATAGGGACCAGTGAGAAATTTGGATCTCTCGAATATCCGTGGAATTGATTTTATTTTAGTATATTCTTCCTATTCTTGGTGTGGCACCGCATTGGTACACTCTTTCATTCATATTCTGATCCAGTTTCCTATTACGTACCTTACAAATGGAGCCTAACTTTTTGATAAAAATGAAAATATTTGAAAAGTAAATGGTGAATGAATTCTCTTGAATGTTTTGTTTGGTAAGCATATTTTACTGGCATAGCTGGTAAAATATCAAATATAATCTTCTTTCTAATAACATTTCTTTGCTAAATTATACTTTTGGTCTGAAAAATACGTTAGTTATCAACAGGTTCCTTTAAATCATTACTTTCAGTTGTGTCCTTAAGAGTTCCCATCCATAGTTATTGAAGGGAGTTGACGGCCACATTATCAAAGCTTCGTTCATTGTCAAGAGTGGCTGGTGGCTACCACATCCACATTTTCAATCATGGACTGGTTTCTGTCTGATCTGCATGCAATTTTAAAATAATACAATTAAGTTTCAATGAAATGTGTAATTGTAAAATTGTACAATTAAGTTTCAATGACATGTTCAAAAACACATTTCAGAGGGGCTCAAACTGTAGTTTAACCTTAGTTTGTCTTTTGCACAAAACAATCATTTTCTGTTAGAAAAATTACATTCTGTCATGGGTCAAAATGAAGGATCAGCTTTTCTCTGTTTGACCTGAATATTATCTGTCTGGAATCTGGATAACAGTTATGGCAAGAAAAATATACATGGAAGGCATATACAAACAAGCTTCTGATAGCCGATATTGGGACCTATGGAACAGGCAAAAGTTGAATTCAGAACTTGAGCTAAAGCGACATCATATATTGAGCCTGAATCAGGTATATGGGTTATAGTTTGCCAACAAAAGATTTCTGGCCTTGAGTTTAACAAGTTTTCTCAATCCTTATTCCAGGATTTAACCTATCAGTTGATTGAATTGGAGAGGCATTTCAACGCCCTTGAACTGAATAAATTCAGTCAATATGGTGGCCGATGCATTGGTCATGTACCTGTCCAAAATAGATTTGGACCTTCAAGGTATTGTAACTTGTAGCAAATTTTTTACTGTACTATACAATTAACATGTTCATGCAATGAAGCCACAAAGAACTTCTCTTTAAATATAGATTTAGAGCTGAGGTCAATTTTGAGTCTTTATCCTTTTGCCTTGATTTGGACATTCTTACTCTACATATCTAGTAGCTGGTGCTTCGATGCGTATTTTTTTAAGATGATTTAGTTTTTGTTGGAAAGCCTCACATCAGACGTATGAGATTCTAGTGTGGGTTTATAAACCATTGGGCCCTCTAAGTCTCTAACTACAATGGCTAGCTTTTGTTGTGTAATTTTCAAGGTTCTTATCACCATGATGAAATGGCTTGGTGGAAATTGCCAAAAATGCCATTAGATATCCATGACGTTGTGGCTTGTCAATGGTTGCTGCCATGGCCAACACTCTTTGCCTCTTTTGCTGGGCCATGCTTCAAATGTGAACTACTTTTCTAAGGGTATTTTGTAGATTGTGTAAAAGTTTTGAAAAAAGTAAAGCATAGTTTGTACCTCTTTGAATCTGAAATACCTGCACTTCAAATCTACCTAACTCACTTTATGTATTTGCTTTGTCCAGTACACTAGAGTAACTTCACGTCTCCTTATTTGTTCTCTTCAGTCTTCACCAAGAAGCACCAAATCCACCACAAACTATAGACTCACACCATAAATCATAGTCCAATGTGAAAAACTATTCCTTAGCTCCTTGCATTTAGGAGCCGTTTGGTTTGAAAAAATGTTTTTGGTTTGTTTTTTATTATAAAAAAATTGTATAGGATAACAATAATAAAAAAGTTGTTTTCACTATTTCCTATATAAATTTTTGAAAACATGAAACAAAAGGAAAATGGATTGATACTTTTGTAACTAAAAGCTAAAATAGAAAACTGAAAACATTTTTTTAAACCAAATAGCCCCTTTGCTTCTTTGTGAATCTGTGCATATGGCCTGTCTAGCAGTGTTACTCTTGTGGATTTAGAGTGATTGAAGAGGTGTTGTATTCCATTATTAGTAGATGTTCTTTTCTTGTTGCTTTTCTTTTGTTGGTAGAGTGTCTTGCCTATGTAGGCTTTAACTTCTTCCTTTTATAAAACTTGCTTCTGTTTAACTGAGCTGTAGTTTTTAACCCTATGCAGATACATCCAGTCGTTGCATAGCTTATATAATTCGATCAGCTCACAACTTGTAGCTGCAGAAAATCTCTCTGAGTGCCTTTCAAAACAAATGGCAGCATTAAGTTTGAGGTCTCAAACTGAGGAACGGAAGAATGTGAGGGAGCTATTTGAAACAATTGGAATTCCATATGATGCTTCTTTCGGTTCTCCAGACATGAAAGGTTTTATGAAGACTCCTCCCAGTAAGAAGACCTTGTTTTCTGATTTGACTACCAATAAAAATCAACCTAGGAGAATTCAAGCCAGTGCAATGAAGAGTTGTGAACCAGAAATGGCCAGGAGGAGGAGAGACTCACTTGACCAGGTATGCTTACAGGTTAATTGAGTTTTGGTCATCATAAAATAAGCCAGAGAGCCAACAGAATGATTTGTACTGTTCGGTTGGTTGCTTGAATAAAGATAATGTTCATATATTTTTATTTTTATCAACTGTTGTTGAACATCATAAATCTCTAGAGCCTGTAGTTTGATTATTATCATTTTTAATCAAAATAGTCCATCTATCATTTTTTGAGATTTCAGCTAGCACACATGATTTTCTGTGCATACATTTTTAAACAAAATAGTCCATCTATCTACTGATTCAAGGGTGAGTGTTTGACTGACATAATTGTTGAAGTAAAATGAAGGGGAGTGGACTGGAGAATGTTTTTGGGAGGAGAAATAGGAATGCTGCTTAGGAGTAAGGAGGAAATATTGGAGTGTATCAGAATGTAAACATGAATGTTGGGATATCTCATAATATCAATATTATATCTTATCAGAATTATCTAAATTATCCAATAATGTCTAGATTGTATCCTAGAATATTTTAGGGTTCTTAGAACTATTTTCTTTACTTATTTTCCATATATCTCATGATTTGTGTCGTTAGTAATTAGAATTATTTTCTGCATTCTATTGTTCTTGTAACTAGGTTTTGGGTTGTTAAGCAATATTTTTTCCTTGTTAAGGAGTTATCCTTGGAAAAAGGCTTTGGCATTATCAATTTTCAGTTGTTTGGTGTATTTGGTTGGAAAGTAATGTCAGAAGTTTCTCTGGAGTTCATTTGGGATCAAATAGTCCATGTTGCTTCTGTGGTGTTCTGCTAACAGTCCTTCTCTGTGTGTGTGTGCCATTTACATATGTTCTTAGTTTTTTTTTTTTTACCTTTCATTCTTTGTTTATTTTTGAGGATTTCTTACCCTCTTGCTTTTGTATCTCCTCTTTCTTTCTTGATGAATTCTTTGTTTTGAAAAATAAAAATGAATGCAGAAGTCCTAATTTCCTATATTAATCTACAGACGGTGAACCTAAACCTAACAAATAAGTACAGTATAATTGGACACTAAACTAAACTAGATTAATGGCATATCCAACACTTCCTTACCTCATTGCTTTGGAGGATTAAACGTTGGGATTTAGTGGAGCAATGGTCAAGGAGCCAATATCTTGCAAAGGCTTCTGATTGATAACCAGATGTCAAGGGCATCTCTAGTAGTGTTCTTTTTTTCATGTTTTTCTATTTCCCCCTCTAAAATATTTCAAACATAGCATGCTTATGAAACTCAGATTCCTAACTGCATTGGTTTGAAGCATGTATCTCATTCGTATTAACAACATACAAAAAAAAAAAATGAAGGATTTCATTCTACGTTACTGGATGCATGCCTGTTGCTTGATATCATTCTGATGTGGTAGGGGTTTAGGCAGTTATAGAGTGGCTTATATTAGGCTGGGGATTGCCTTGGTAATTGACCCAACCCTGAAACCCTGTGATGTGAAAGATTTATCTAAGTATGCTTTGTGAGAGGGACTTTATCCCCACTTATGTTATCGTTATAATATATTGCTTTGACTAATGGTTATAACTCGTGAGTTTTACCAATTTTGATGCAGAGTTTGACCTGTTTTGAACCTCCCAAGACCATCGTTAAAAGGATGCTGCTGCAAGAACGCCAGAAACCAAATTGGAATGAATCATCCTTTTCGATAAATAAAGGAAAGAAACTTTCCATGTTGGAGGAATCTGCTCCTCATCAAATTGTCTTCCCTGCTTCTAAAACGAAAGGTGAGCTGCAATTAATTGTTGACCTTGTTCATAACTCATGGTTTATAATGTCCAACACTCATGTTTATTTATGAATATACTTGTAGCAAGCATTCTGGATTCTCATATTCAACTTGAAAAGGTGTCAGAACACTCAAAGGCATATATACCAGCTGACAACCTCCAAGTACCCACTCAAGTTTCAGTGTCTAAGTCTAGTGTTTTGCAAAACAGCAATGTTTTATCTATTCCTTCACAGCCTGGATTCCAGTTGTCACCTACAATGGTGCATGGTCATTCCACAGAAACTAAAGATTTAGCTGCTGAAAAATCGAGTCCTGTTCAAAAGTTTGATTTAATCTCAAATAGTGAAAATAAGTCTATTCTGCATGCGAAAATGCCTCAAAATTCCTCAATCTCTACCTATTCAACCACAGAAACACCTTCAATGCTGATTAAATCTAGTGAAATGCCCATTACAAATAGTAAAATGACTATGGCAACAAGTTCCACGACGAGAGACAAACTTTCAAGTGCATTTACTCCCCAGTCTTGGAGAAAAGACTTCCCATCCTCTGAGTCACACTCATCCACTATTTCTGCACCTTCAACATTGTTTGGAAAAGTTAATAATGAGTTCCATGTTGAGAAAAGCTGGGCTGATGTAAATATTCCAGCAGTGCCTGCATTTGGTGGTTCATTTAAATCTCTGTCATCTCCAGCTATTAAATCATCATCTTCTCCATTGTCATCGGCTGTCTCATTTGCAGCAGTGCCTCCAGTAGCAGTGTCAGTGACATCAAGCAGTTATTTGACTACTTCAAACACCAGTACAGATTCTAATCACGTCATGTCATCATCTTTATCGTCAGCTTCTCTTCACATATCCAATCAGGCACCTAAAGACACAGTGTCCTCGTTACGTAACCCACTTGCCTTGAAGTCAACCTTAGAGTCACTTAAATCAGAGATTCAACCAGCTGCTGTGTCTAATTCAAAGACTGATTCAGATGCTGCTGCAGAAGCAGTCACTCAGCTAAATGAATCTCTAAATGGTGCATCTGAACTGAAGCTTGGACCTTCTAGAAAATTTGGTCCTACTAACGAACAATCTTCCAACAATATAACAAGTTCTGATCTCAATGTCTCAGTTTCTCAATCAGAACAGCCTTGTGATGCACCTCTGCAGCTTTCAACTTCTTTCCTTCCTTCTGCTAGTGTATCAAGTGGGAAAAATGAGAGTTTGGATGTTGGAATCTCCTATGAGGATGAGATGGAGGAAGAAGCTCCCGAGACAAGTAACACCACTGAACTTAGTTTGGGAAGCCTTGGTGGGTTTGGGATTGGCTCAAGCCCTAACCCATCAATGCCTAAACCAAATCCATTTGGGGTTTCACCTAATAATGTAGCTACAAGTTTATCAAATTCAGCAGTTACATTCTCTGTTCCTAGTGGAGAGTTGTTTCGACCAGCATCTTTTACCTTCCCAAGCCCCCAGCCATCATCCCCAATCCACTCAACAAATTCAGGTGCATTCTCTGGTGGCTTTAATGCTGTGGCAGCTGTCCCCACACAAGCTCCTAGTGGATTTGGGCAGCCAGCACAAATTGGATCAGGGCAACAGGTTCTTGGATCTGTTCTCGGTGGTTTTGGACAATCAAGACAGCTTGGTAGTGGTCTACCTGGGAGTGGTTTTGCTGCTACTGGTGGTTTTGGTGGTGGATTTGCTAGCAGTAGTTCTACTAGTGGCTTTTCAAATGCTGCTATTGGTGGAGGATTTGCTGGCATAGCTTCAACAGGTGGAGGCTTTGCTGGTGTTTCGTCCACTGGTAGTGGATTTTCTGGAATTGGTTCTGTTGGTGGGTTTGCTGGCGCTGGCGCTGGCACTGGCACTGGTGTCGGTTTTGCTGCTGTTTCTTCTACTGGTGGATTTGCTGGAGCTGGTTCGGGTGGTGGGTTTGGAGCATTTAGTAGCCAAGGTAGTGGTGGTTTTGGTGCTTTTAGTGCAGTTGGAAGCAGTAAACCACCTGAGCTGTTCACACAGATGAGAAAGTAGTTGCGTTTATATTGTGATGCTCCATAAAGAAATTACGCCTGTACTTGTGGAAAAGAAACGGGATAATTTTATAATGTAGAATTTTATTTTATCCTGAACAATTCCGTGTTCCAACTTTTCCTGAGAGAGGCATGAAATTCGTAGTCATGGTTATGGATGTGTTCTATTTTGAAATGACCGCTAAAAAAGCTGGTTTTAAAAAACTTTAGGAACGATAAATTGTTACCACCACTATTTAAGTGGTTAATGCATACTAAATTTGTGATTGATAGATAATGTAGTTAGAAAATGAAAAACAGAAAATTTATTTAAGGAGCAAAATTTAAACCTAAAGAAACCTTTTATTATAAAAGAAAATATTTAAGCTTTATGCAAAACTTATCCCAGAACACAAATTTAATTTTTTTCTAATATTTTTATTTTTGTACTGTAATATATCCGTGTAACTACAATGAAGAATCGTCTTCCAGAAAGTTATTATTATGCTTAAATTTTATTAGCAGCATTATACGTGCTAATATAAAAGATGTGGAAAACATAGTAGGGGAAAAGGTTTCTTAATTGTGCTCTCAAAATAGATAATTTCAAATATTGCAATAATTTTAATATAAAGGAAACCTTGGTTTCTCTTCCGTAAAACAGAGATATACACATTATCCTTGAAATTTTGAGTCGTGCGTGACTAGTTCATAAGTTTTGAACATATGCAAACAGTGTCAATGTTCACAGATGTTGCAAACTACAATCTTTGTTACAGGAATTAGATATAAACACGTGCGATGTGGAAACGAGATTTATAAAAGTATGTTTGTTTGGTTTTTCTTCATAGAAAAGTTATGAAGAAACAATAATGACGTTTGAACTATGTAGATTTGAACTTGACACGTAAAGAAGTTTGTTAGACAATCTCTATGACGTTTGTGGATTAGTCTTCATCCTCGTTCATTTTTTAGGTTGGTCTTGATCATTTTTTTAGATAGTCCTCATCATAATTTTCTTTTTGTGCATTAGTCTATTTTTCTCTTTTTTAAAAAAACTTTAGAAACCGATAAAACTTTAATGTTTTTGTTCTAACAATTATATTTAGTAAAATTTAAACATTATTAACTGACGGGTTAATTAATGTAGAATGAATATGTGAAGTAACATATTTAAATTATGAAAATTGTAATAAAATCTGTTTATTTCAGGAGCTAGTCTTAAACATTTATTATGGTTCATATTTTTTTAGAATAAATATTTTATAAATCTACCTATTGAATCATATATTATATTTATATTGATGATCAAGTATGTAAATTTTGTAATTCTATAAATGGTATTGACGTACTTTTAAAAATATATTACACATTAAACTAAAATCAATTGATATAAAAAATCAAATTAATGATTAGAGTAATATTGTTTAATATTTATAAAACTATTAAATAACAATTTATATAGAATTTATTCTTGAAAGACGTTAGTTTTTCCTCGCAAAATGGTTGGAGTAATGATTTTAATATTATAAAAAATATCAAATAATTTATTCCAAAATTATTTTTAAGTGAATTTCTTTTCATAAAAAGTATCTTTAACAATCTTGTAGTTTTTATAAAAATGATTAATTTTTAATGAAGTCGGAATAGTATATCATTCATACAAATTAACTCAATCTAGAAATGCACGTTTGAAAATACGTTAGAAATTATGTAGACATGAATTTAATATAAAATATATGATTAATAGCATTAAAATAAATTTAAATTTCCGATCATTTAAAGTGAATTTAATCGTATCCTAAGTGATGTAATATTATATGGAAAATAACACTGTTGGTCCCAAATCCCCTTCCATTGAATCGTATGGTGGCACAACTTGCACAGGTTAGAGCATTGGGCAAGTTCACACTACGTAGTTAATGAAAGTACCCAACAACCCAAAAAGCTTATTTATTTAAATGTTATTGCAACTTTTATAGTTGGTTTCATAGGGAGGGCTGTGAAATACATAATTTCCGCCAGCTCTCTGGTCCATAAAAGTTGCTTATTAAGAGTTTCAGCTGCAAATGGAAAAAGGTGTACCAATTGATGGGTTTCTCCACTGCAGATTCCAGTCTTTTCAAGTTACTTGAATTGGTCAACAGTCCATCACGTTTTGAGATTAATTCTGTCAACTTTGGACTTTAGAGATGATTACATTATCGATCTTAGATTTTTTCTTTTTAAAAGGTATTATTTCAACAAGCAAATCGGTCAATGAATTTGATTTTACCCAATTCCAACATATCATTTAAAACTCACATCATGCAATGAATTCTGAGGGCATCGAAAGCAGTCACATAGCAAAAACAAGCATGAGGTGTGTACTTTTTAGTTTCATGACCAGAGATCACGAGATATCTACGAGTCTAAATGACCCAAGACTAATATAATTCGTGACTACTGTTAGCTCAAGAAAATTTGCATACAATAGGGTTTAAACACAGGATCTCCTTCTAAATAAGTCGACTCTATACAAGTAGATGTAACAAGGTTTATATATACCATTGCACCAATCATTCGAGTGATGAGGTGCGTATACTAAAATGCACAAAAAATGAGAAATAAATTCATCCATATATTGATATAAATGGACATGGTAAATGCATGCAAAACTCATTGTTTATAGGGAATAATCAAGGCTAGAAATATCAAAATTAAAATATGATAATTCATGCATTAAGGCGTAAAATGGTTAGGAAACAATGTAGCAATTAAAAGACAAGGTTTTTTTCATTAATGCTACTAGATAGCAATTGATAGGGATGATAAAAGCCTGTGTTGCAAAAGATATGGCCAAAAGTAACCTCTTGTAAAGATTAAAACTATAAACCAAAGTATTGCCTTATCAAGAATACCCCATCACCTCCATATTATAAGCATCCTTTACAAGTATACTTGGTCAATGATACACCAATAAAAACCCAGATTAATGGCATAAATGGAGCAATTAAAATGAATGTTGAGAGCCATCAAATCCTACACTATCAAGCCATGAAACAACTAACTCAATATGGGGTCTCTGCCTTGGATCTTCATCAACACATTTACAAGCAATAGCTAATACCTCTAAGAGCTGTTTCTCATTATCTTTGTGCCAAATGGCTGAATCAAAAATTTCCTGCTCCCTATTCTCAGATTTCATCTGAAACACCCAAGACACGAGATTCCTGCAACATTGCCCAATGATGACTTCTACAGGCCTTCTACCAGTAAGAAGCTCAATAAGAACAACACCAAAACTATAAATATCACCCTTGAAAGTTGCTTTCAGTGCCTGGCTATACTCTGGAGGAATGTATCCTAAAGTTCCTACTAAATCAGTAGTAACATGAGTATCATATGGTTGAAGTAGCCTCGAGAGACCAAAGTCAGCCAAATAAGCTTCAAATTTATCATCTAAAAGTATGTTGCTAGATTTAATATCTCGATGCACAATATGCGGTTCACACTCCTTGTGCAAGTAAGCTAATCCATGAGCTGCACCTTGGGCAATCTTGAGTCTTACATCCCATTTTAGAGCTGATTTTCCATCCTCACTCTCATGCAGCCAATTATCGAGGCTCCCATTCTCCAAGTAGGAGTAAATTAACAATCTGTCATGGACATGCTGACAATAACCTTTAAGAGAAACAAGGTTTCTGTGCTGAGCTTTTGAGAGGGCTTCTACTTCAGCTTGGAATTCACGTTCCACTTGACCACAGTACCCTGAAAGTTTCTTGATAGCTACCCTTGTGCCATTTGCAAGATTTGCCTTGTAGACAAGACCAAACCCGCCACAACCAATTATATTTGCTTGGTTAAAATTGTTTGTGGATTTTAACAAATCTGCAACTGTGAGATCCTCACAATCTGAATTCTGAAACAGCACCAATTTTGAAGAAACAAGCGCTTCAGGTATCCTGTTTGGCCTGCTAAGCTCCATATCAAAGTTATCAATTGGCATATCATCATCCCTCTTTGACATTCTCAGCAGAACAATAGCAAGAAGCAGTGCAAGGCCTACACCTAAACCAAGTGTTATGCCAAGAACAGTGCTTTTACCAAATTTTCCCACAGAATCAGTAGTAGCAATGTTGGGCACCAAGCCCACATTTTCTTCACTGCTACAAGGATGATCTATTTCCCCACAAAGCCCCAGGTTGCCCTCGAAACTCGAATTAGGGAAACTTGAAAATTGTCCCCCAGTTGGAATAGGTCCCTGCAAGTGGTTATATGCCACACTAAACTTTGATAAGAATGTGAGACTATTAAATGATGGAGGGATAGTTCCAAAGAGATCATTATTAGATAAATCTAGTGTCTCCAAATTCTTCATCTCTGAAATAGAGCTAGGAATGGTGCCAGTGATGTTGTTCCTGCTTAAATCCAAGATATGAAGTGCTTTTAGATGACCAATTTCAGGCCATATTTTTCCTCTTAATCTGTTATTGCTCAAGTATATTGAAGGAGGGAAACTTGAGGCATGGTTATACTGCAGCCCATTGGCACTCTTGTTTCTCTTAACATAGAGAGGAATAGTAGTAGATGCAAAGAAACTTGATGTGAGGTAATTAGGGGACATGAGGCCCCTCAACTCTGTCAAACCTTTTGGTATCTCTCCTGTAAGAGAATTATTTGACAAATCCAAGTAAAACAAATTGTCCATTTGACCAATCCAAGAAGGAATGCTACCTTCAAAATGGTTCCATGACAAATCAAGAACTTGCAATTTTGCACAATTTAATAGCCAATCAGGAATACGGCCTTTGAGACCACAATTTCCAAGTGCTAAAACCGTAAGGCTCTTGAAGCCTGTGGTTAAACTTTGTGGAAATTCCTCACCATGGAAATTCTTTGCAAGGATAACAGTGGTTAGATTTTTACATTGCTGCAGTACATACAGAGCCCCAGATAAGTTCTCAAAGCTGTTGTTTGACAAAGACAGAATTAAAAGTGAAGTGAGATTTATGTAACTCTCAGGGATTTGACCAGTTAATTCATTCTTAGCAAGGCTTAACAGTGTCAATTCATGGCAATGGGACAAAGAATTTGGAAGGGATCCATTAAAATGATTGCTACCAAGGTCCAATGTGACAAGATTAGGCAACCCAATGAAATTAAGGCCAACAGAACCTGTCAAAGAATTATTTCGAAGATCAAGCACACGAAGTTTTGAGCATAAGGCCAAGGTTGACGGCAATGGTCCAGAAAATGAATTGGAGTGTCCTTCTAATTGTTCCAGATGCAAAAGATTACCAAATACATTTGGGATTTCCCCTGAAAACTGATTTCCAGAAAGCATCAGAGATTTTAGGCCTGATAGATTTCTCAAATCCTTGCTTAACTGACCAGAGAAGTTATTCACAGAGACTGAGAGCTGCTCCAAGGCTGACATTGAATACAAGGAATCAGGAAGAGGGCCAGAAAACAAATTGGAATCCAAATGAAATTCTTGGATAGATGTGCTACAATTGTCCAACCATTCAAGACCACCAGCAAAATGATTTTTGGATATATCAAGAATAAGAAGAACCTTGGAAAAGCTGCAAAATTGAGAACTGAACTGACCAGTGAATGAATTGTTGCTTATGTTGAGAGCAAGGAGATCTTGAAATCCCCCAAAATGGAATAGTTCTCCAACAAAAAAATTGCTAGAAATATTCAGTATCTGAATGGATTGCAAACCAGAAAGTGCCCCAACAACTGGTCCAGACAGCATATTATGGCTGAAGTCAAGAACCTTTAACTGCTTCAATCTAGATAATTCAGAAGGCAATTCACCTTGGAGATGATTGAATGAAAGATCCAGCACTTTTAGCTTATCTAGAAGACCTAAAGAGCTGGAAATTGTGCCATTGAGATCCATTCCTTGGAGAACCAACCTGGACACTCTCCTAGCAGCTGCTCCATCATCCACATTATCACATTCAACTCCAACCCATTTGCAGCAGAAAACATCATCTGACCATGCTGTAATAATGGACCCTTTTGTCAGGTTGCTCGCAAATTCCTTCAGGGCCAATAAATCATTTTTGTCGCATGACGAGGCTGGGGTTTCAAGTCCCATAGAAAAACAAGGAAAACAAGCCAACAAACCCCATTGCATAAAAATCATAAGGTAACATCTTTGCGGCACCATTTCAGAAATCAAAAGAGATATTTATATCTTTGTTCAGCCTCAAATCAATACTAAGCTCCCGTTCGAAACATCAGAAGCTACCATCACTTAAAGTTCAGTGCTTTCACAACTCTCAAGAACCCAAGCTCCATATACAACTTGCAGCTGCATTAATAAAGACAAATTACAAAGAGAGCATGATTTATATCACCAACACATTCAAAAACGAAATCATTATAACACAGATGGAGACACTAAAAAGAAATAAGAAAAGACTAAGAAAAGCACGGTCAAATGAAGAAACGGAACCATTTTACAACAACCTGAGAAACGGTGTGTTTGGAACCTTTAATAATCAAATTATAGGACGTTTTAACGTGAAAGCTATAATTTGCAGCTCTGTAATAGATTCACATTTAAGTAAATATAATATCAATCCAAACACGTCAATCAACAGTGATCATTTGAGAAAACAAAAAATACAAAGGAAGTGAAAAGAACATTGAAAAATGCACGAAGAAGCAGAGAGATATACCCCATACCTTGACAAAACAAAACAAAACTCATTACACTTCAAATTGCAGGAAGCACAACTCTAACACTCAACAGTGACCATTCAAATGAAACATCACAATACCATCACCACCCATGAAAGTCCTCTCATAAAAATGAAATCTTGGGTGGTTTCAGAAGGCAGAAAAGTTTCAAAACGAGCAGAAACAGAGGAGAAAGTCATAACCGCGCACTCAACCTAACTTTTGCAGACTTTTTATGTGAAATGGGGAGTGTGTTTCAAAGGAGTGTGTGATTTTCAGAAGATATTTAAAGTGAGGAACAGTGAAAGAGAGAAAATGTAAGAACGGATTCAAGACAGAAAAGGAAACTGCGTGAGTACTACATTTTTCAGTATCTCCTTTGTTGTAAGGGCTAATAACCAAAAAGTTGTTAGATGTCTGCCAAAAATAACTTGCATTTACTGTTAAAGGACAATTTCCCTTTTTTAACCCACAATCATTTTATTTTGGAAATAACATTCTATTTTTCTTTTAAATTATTTATTTATTAAAAATAAAAAATAATTATCTTTTATAAATTTCGACACTTATAATAATCAATAACTAAATTAATGAGTCATATACTAAATAAATATATATATTTCTTTATATAAATAAGTATATCATTAACACAACAAAAATTTTATAATAAATAATTTAATAAAAATACATCTAAATATAAATTATTATTTCTTATAAAAAAATATAGTGAATATGTTTTACGATGTTTTTACTTTTGGATAACTTGAGTGTCTTTTTTATTAACTAGTTATGATATCTATATTACATATAATTATTTAAAATAATAAATATATTATTAATATTATAAGAATGTAAAATAAAATTTCAAGTAACTATAAAAATTATAAACGACAATAAAACAATATTTAACAATATTATTCTATTATATTTTAAAAATGTTGAAGTTACCCATTTGCCAACTCATAAAAGCTCATCAATTAAGACTTTCAAACCATAATAATTCAATTTTAAAAATTATTTATCAAACCTGAATAATTTAATAATTTTGAATAAAATTAAACATAATTTAAATTTTGGTGTTTCACATTATCATTATGTATAAATCACATATTTTATTAACTTAACAAAACACATTTAAAGCAATAATTTGAAAGAAAATATAGCAATAAATAATAGCATGAAAAAAGGTACTTAAAATGGGATGGGGTGGATGTCCGTATAACAATACAAGAGTGATATAATAAAGAGAATGAGAATTGATTGATACTCTGTTATTACATGCTCGATGCAGAGAAAAAGATGGCGGCGGTGAAGAGAATCGGAGTGGTGGGTGGCGGCCAAATGGGATCGGGAATAGCCCAAGTCGCAGCCATGAATGGCATCGACGTTTGGCTCTACGACCTCGACCCACGCGCGCTTTCCACCGCGTCCTCTGCAATCGCTTCCTCCATCACACGCCTCGTTTCCAAATCGCACCTCGCTAAGGTCTTAATTTCACACTTTTTCTTAAAAGGCTTAGGATTTAGGAATAGCAAGTTTATGTCGTTCAGAAACGAGGCTCTCTGTTATTTACAGGGCTCTGGCGATGATGCGCTGAAACGACTGCGTTTGACCTCGAATTTGGAGGAGTTGAACCTTGCCGACTTCATTATCGAAGCTATTGTAGAATCGGAGGATGTGAAGAAAAGTTTATTTGTTAAATTGGATAAGATAGCTCAAAAATCCGCAATTTTGGCGTCCAACACCAGTTCCATTTCCATCACTCGCTTAGCTTCTTCTACGACAAGGCCGCGTCAGGTTTCTGTTTCTCTTTCTTTTTAAGAGAGAAAGATAAAAAAATTATCAAATTTAATTAGTGAATGTTACCATTAATCATATTTAATAAAAGTTTAGTTAAGTGGAGTAACAGAGATTTTTGCACCCAGCATGTGCATGGAGATGTTATAGTTTACGATGTGATTTCGAGGTGGAACAAGAATGAATCCAATGCCAAAAGATAGATTTTGCATGTGACAGGTCACAGGTTTAGCCATCGCGCTCTCTAGGTTTTTGTTATTTAGTCTCGCGATTTTTCTTAACTTGGAAAGAGACACCTTTCATTCTTTTAAAATTTTTTGTAACAAAAAAAAATCATATTACTTATACTATTTAACAACATGAGGTGATTGATTTTTTCTTCCAAGAATAAGCCTCGATAACAGTATTTTTATGCTGTTTTTAAATCAAAATTAGATTTTTGTCTGGCTATAAGGTTGACATTTAAGGTTCTTGCATGCTATCGTATCGAAGTATAATTTTTTATAGAATTAAAAATTGGCACTGAATTTCTAAGGATGTGTAGTCTTAAATTTGTTCTCCTTTTCAATGTACAATTTATGTACATTTATTGATGAAATTAAGCTGAGTTGTTTTCAGGTGATAGGAATGCATTTTATGAACCCTCCGCCTTTGATGAAGTTGATTGAGATTGTGCGAGGCGCTGACACTTCTGAAGAGACATTTGTTGCTACGAAAGCGTTGTCGAAAAGGTTGTTATGTTGAAAGATTCTCATTCCCCTGTCCAATTCTAAAAAATTTGGTTATATGATGCAGTGCAGTTTTGAGGTCTATGCCCTACATTGCAACCGTAATTGTTGTATACCCTGTTTGTCTCTATCACCACTTCCTCTGAAAATTGTGAATGTGAATCGCTAAAAAAATTTTACCTGTGTGGGTGTGATGGAATTGTAATTTTTTATGTTGAATACTTAATTCAGTTGAGGCTTTTATGTTCCCATTCCCCCACAATATTAGGAATGTTTAGGTTAGTATTATTTTCAAAATATATGACTATCTAATTAAAGCATCTTTAGTGAGGTTGCTTATTCCACCTTTTGATGACACGACGAGAGAAAGAAAAATAATTTTAAGGTATGGTTGCTGATAGAAGCAATTGTTTATTTTCAGCGCGAGTTCAGTAAGAGAGAGCAGCGATAAAGTTCCTCTAATGGTTTTTATAGAAAGTTAGATGTGTGCTCCCCTAGCTTCTAGGAAAATACAATTTTCAAATCCTTTGTACATTTCGTAGTTGTGTTCTGAATGCAGACTAGTTCTTCGTAGTTTTATATGCTGAAACATATGGACTTAGTTTTGTATCATTTAATGTGTGCACAATTACCTGCAATTATTGTCATGACATTGTTCTTTTAATTTACTTCCTTATCAACACGCAGGCTTGGCAAGACAGTTATAACCTCTCAGGATTATTCAGGCTTCATAGTAAATCGAATCCTAATGCCTATGATAAATGAAGCATTTTTTTCTCTATATACTGGTGTTGCAACCAAAGAGGATATTGATACAGGAATGAAGCTGGGTACTAACCATCCAATGGGTCCTTTAGAGCTTGCAGACTTCATTGGGTTGGATGTGTGCTTGTCAATAATGAAAGTTCTTCATACTGGCCTTGGAGACAATAAATATGCACCCTGCCCTCTGCTTGTGCAGTATGTTGATGCTGGCCGACTTGGAAGAAAACGAGGTATTGGCGTGTATGATTACCGTGAACCAAGGTCTACAGAATCATCTTCCCGTCTCTAAAATGTTTGGTTGGCTTGGAAGAATGAGTTTTCTATACTCCATGTTTTAATGTCTGAATGTGGGGCACACAGCTCAAGTTGAATACTTGAATGGAATGCAGTCATGTGATCTCTTTTCCTTTGCACGTGTCGTAGTTTTGAGAGCAGAAACTGTTGTCATAAGATTAATTTGTGTGCATTTACTGATACTTATCCAATTCATGTTGTTATCAAGATGGTTGGTCCCTCACTTTGAGCTTCAATCTAGAGGGAATTAGCTATTCTTTCATGTGTAATCTGCAGTGTTACTGTGCTGCAGACTGCTTAGAGTTTGTGCTTTTTCTCAATATGAAATAGTATATTCAGATTCATGAGGAAAAAGAAAACAGTACTTTGAAAACTGAAGGCAGTTTGTATTGAGTTCAGTACAAGCATTTTGCGGAAAGTGTACATTTCAAGTTCATCAACGCAAAGGGTGAGGGAGGAGGATCCTCTTCATTCACTGGATTACCATTACGAGAGAGACACGCATATTTTGTAGGTCCTAATGGACCGTCCAGTAAATTAAGAGATTTTTCTTTTTCACGGGTGAATGGGATATAAGAAATGCTAGGAACACATTTTTATAGCTTCTTAATTTTTTTAATTAGAAAGTGAAATTTATAAAGTTCCACTTTTAGAGAATGCATAGCATGAGGTTTTATTCAACTATAATGTTGAAAAATATGTGAAATAGGGTGTTATTAGCTTGTGCAACATTTTACTGGGGTAGTTGAGACTCGAATATAGAAATGAAACTCGGTGTCAAATGAAATACAACACCCCCCCCCCTCCTCTCTCTCTCCCTCTCTCTCTCTCTCTCTCTCTCAATTAATGCCTATTGCTTCACAAATGAATTAAGGGGAGTGCTCTTTTCATTATGCATGGACCATGTTGGCCCACAAGGAAGCAGCTACGGTGACTAATAAGTTCAATTACAACATGGCTTGCTTAACCCAGCCATTTCTCCATCATTCCAAAGGTGTCATCATTAGGCAGGCATCTTCCTTGAAAGTGATTGAATTGGAATATAATGGGTATTGAATAAAGGGAATATATATTATAAAAGTAAAAGAGCGGGAGGAGTAAAAGGAAAGAAATGACAGCATAATATTACATGCTAAAGAAGATAAAAAGAGCTCAATAAAGCTGCACTTGCTTTATATTTTGCTCATCCAAGAATTTGAGATCTAAGCAGTAGGAGATGAAGTTCTTGTTCCAGTGCCCATGTTGCTCATGCTTTTGCTTCATGAAGCCCAAGAATGGGAAGGCACGGGTGAAGGAAGTGAAGGTAGAAAAAGAAGCCAAGGAAGAAAAGGAAGAGTGACATGTAGCTCCATTACTTAAAGCTGATGAAACTTCCTTCTATTGTTTGTTTTCTTTTCCTTCTCCTTGTCAATAATCTTCTAAGCATGCACTTCAGGTAGTGCCTACTTTGTACTTGCTTCTTCATTTACCATTGTCATGCCATCCATATATCAGTTCAAAATCCACAATACCTTTTGTACACACTGCTAAGGATGGAAAATAAATCTGCCATTCCTGTGCTTGCTACTACTTTGTACACACTGTTTGATGCCTCAGAATTTTGTTTCCTGGAACTGCTGCCTAAAGGCATGTTTGGTTTGCAAACCCGTGTAATCAATCTTCTCAATAAAATGGATGATCATCACTTGCAAGGTTCGAAATCCAATGCATACTGTAGGGTAGTGACATTTTTGGCTTCCACGGAATTGATTCTGAATTTAATATGGTTAATTTTAATAACTAAGCATACTTTTTCAAAAAGAAAAAAAAAATAAAAATAAATAAATATATATATATATATATACGGTTAATTTTGTTATTGCTAGTTTTATATCTAAGTTTTGATTTTTCAGAGATGGTAAAATTTCTGGGTGTTGAGCTTTGGAAAGAAAGTGGAGAGTATTGAGAGTGAAACGAGTGGCCAAGCCACAAAAACAGAAAATTAAAGTAAGTCAAAATCACAAAACAGAAACATAGAACAGAGGGATTTCTTTTTATCATAATAAATTAATTTTAAAATATTTAAAATTTAATAAAAAAAACAGGGTGAATTCAACAATATTTTTGAAAATGATTGAGTAGTAAAATAAATAGGCGTCACGATATGTCACAATGTGGTATATAACTAATTTAAAAAGCATAACGTGTGATATCTTATATATTTTTATAAATGATTATCTATAATAAAATTATTTTAAACAATAATTTAAAAAATTAATTTTGACTAACTCTATAACATTAAAATAATAAAAGTATAATAATTTTAAAATATAATTTATTTTAAAATAGTACTTTCATCGTCTAATATCAAAACAAACTTTTAAAATAAATGTCAACATTCAATATATATTAATAATCATATCTTTAAGATATAAGACTCTTAAAAGTAAATTTTAAATTTTAAAAATAGTTTTGAATATATAAAATTATTTATTCATAAAAAATATAAAAAAGTTATATAATATAATATAAAAAAGTTAAATAACAATTTTAATCTCTAAAATTTAGAAGGAAATAAACAAAGATATAATAAAAAGAAAAACATAAATAATCATGAATTTGTTTGAGTTTATTATAATAAAAATTATTTGTTGTGTTTTTCTAATTATAACACAATACATGTGTAAATTTTTTCATTAAATTTTATAGTTGTGGTATACATAATCTTTTATTTATTTGGTTGAATAGAGAACAAAACAAAAGAGCAAGAAAAAATTGTTTTTTAGAAACAAAAATTTAAAATTTTTCTTCATTTGTTTTAAATTTAATTTAAAATTGTATGGATTTTTTATTTTTTTAATATATTTTTTATGTCACAGATTTAATTGTTATTTTTGTTTGACCTTTTTTTGAATTTTCATTTATTTTTTCTAATACCATATAAGAATTTAGTATGCAGGCCTTATCTAATAGTGAGTAGTGTTTGGACAATAAGTTTTGAAAATATGCCTCTCTAAAATATTTTTGACAATTTTAGAATAAAATAATCTGAATTATATATCATTAATATGTTACTAACCTACTAATGTGAGATCTATATATCTTAACAATTTCTTTTATTCTACCAAACAAAGAGTTAGAGTATCTAATATATATTGATTTCAATTTAAGAGAAGGAAAAGATATGCCTTCATATGTAATAGATGACACTTTAGAAAGTGAAAACGATTGAAAAAATAAAAATAGACTTAGAGAAAGAAATAATTCTTTCAAATATAACAAAGTTAGTTCAGAAAATTTTATTTATTTATGAACGGTGTAGAGTATATCAATCGTGTAAAATCATAGAAATTAATATTTATTAAAATTTGAAAAGTTTTTGTTAAAAGAAAATATACTAGAAAAGAACAACAAAATAGTATTATTCTTCAATCCTCAATTATATTTTTGAATGCCTTATGAGAAGCACATGTAATTCCAAAACACTTGTATTGAACTTGCCCTAAATTCTTCAATTATTTGGGGGATATTTGAACAGCTTCTCCAATTTCAACCAAAGCAAACATGAGGATCATGGCCATCAACATCATAATTGCAACTTTGTGGGAAGCCATGAGCACTGAAATTTTAGGTGGCAAAAACTTTTTGATTATTTTAAGATTTGAGGTTTTGGTGTAATGCTAGTTCCTATTTATACTTAAGATGCATTAAAGATGGGTTAGATTTTCTTGTTAATAAATTAAGAATGCAATTATGAGATTTTTTAACGTTCATCATATTTAAAAAGTAGAAACAACCTTGAATTCAAACCCATTAAAGTGGTCTTAATATGGGGATTATATTCTTTTAAAAACATGTATGTTTTTTATATATTAAATGTGTGTCTGAACGTTTTCTCTAATTAATGTTTAATTAAACTTGAATTTTCTATAATTTATTCTAAGTTTATATCTTTTTATTCTAGCCTTATTTAATATATTAGAATATTTATTATTAGTGATAATTTATCAATTTTTTAAATGTATAAATTTTGTTTTAATTTAATAACGCCTATATAGTGCAAAAAAATATCATTAATTTTATTTATACACAAGATTCAAATAAAAAAAAACAAAAGCAAAATTAAGATTGACACAGTAGAATTAAATTGAAAATATTATATTTTTTAATAAAATAATATATTCTTCCTTTCTCAATAAATGTAGTCAAAGTTGAATTCTCTATTTTCATTAAGCCAACTTTTCCTATTATACTGGTTAGTATATTGTGAAAAAAATTATGTAATTTATTATTTAATAGTTATTTTTTTACATATAAATAATACCATATAGCATTAATATATCTATCATATAGGTTATAAGGTTAATGTTTAGTAAGTTGTCTCCCTTTTTATTAAAAAAGTATTAAAATTTTAACTGTTTTATTTAATAATTATAAGTTGTCATTATATTAGACAAATATTTTTAAATAAAATAAAAAATATAAACATACAAGAGATAAAAATATTACTTTTATTAAACAATAGTGAAATTAGATATCGAAAAAAGTATAATAAGACATGTATTCATTATTAATAATAGAGTTTATATTTTATTAGATAAAAATAAGACAATATATTTGGAATTATGAAATAAATTTAAAATTAATTTTAACCGGGCAGTAAATTTTTATAACTAAATAAATTAGCTATATTTCTTTGAACTAAATAATTTAAACTTTTTTGGACTAATTTTGATTACATATAACAAAGTTATAAATAAAGATTTATCGATATAAATTAATGCCTTAAGTTATTTAGAGTCATATTGTAAAACTACGTACTTTAAGTTTGTGTATGTACCTTAGGTCTTTTTTTAATTATTTTAAAATATGAGTTCGTTTCAAAATTAGAGAAAAATGAAAGGATTAAAAGCTTACGAGATTTGTCTCTCTAAAATGTTTTAAAATATTTCAATTGACATTTTTCTTATTTATATATTATTTAATTTGTTGGTAATTAATCTATTAACACGTAACTTTTTGTTTATCTCAACAACATTGGAAGCATAGAATTTAACAACAAAATAGTATTGTTCTTCGATCTTTTATTCTTTCATTCCAAAAACTTGTAAAAGTTTTTGTATGGTTTACAACATTCAATAATTATGGATGATGGCAACGAACTGAACATAAATGAAGACAAAAGGGTGCAGTGTTTGATCTTGCAGTGCACAACTCAAAAACATTTTACAAAGCAAGGAGAAAACGCAGGGGTTTGGGCTTCTCCCATTTCACACAGAACCAGCATGACGATGACGGCCAAGAACATAACAATTGCAACTTTCTTGGAAGCCATTAGCACTCAGATTTTAGATACCAAAAACTTTTACTTGTTATGAAGATAACAATTGCAACCTGTTCCTATTTATAAGGTAGAGAAAGATTAAAAACTTTACATATTTTATGTTAGCAAATTAAGACTAATAACTTATTTAAGGAGGTTATATTTTCTTTAAATCCCATTTACTTCTATATTTTAAATGTGAGTACTTCGTAGTATATTTCTTTTTTTTAAATGATAT